GTCTCGGCGCGGTGACACTCCACTTTGTCTGTTCTCGCACGCCTCTTCACGGCCTTGGCCAGAAAAAGAGAGATTTCCACTCAGAACGCAGACGGAGAGTCGAAGTCTGAGCTGTAATGAGACCCCTGAAGGTTTAAGTCGGAGACCAGGGGGGCAAACTTTACCTCAAGAGGACTAGACCTCCTCTCTGTTTGGAGGACAGAGGGCACCGAGACTCAAAAAGGATGAGAGAAGAAAAAAACATCAAATCAGACGAGAAAAATGTCCAGAAAAGTGAGCAGAGAGGACCGGAGAGTTTGGTACGGAGGAGGAAAAGGGCCACAAGACGAAAAAACATAAGTACAGAAGAGAGATTTTTTTCAATTTCCATTTCAAGATTAAAGCTGAAAATTTCAAGATTAGACACAAAATTAAAAAAAAAGTAAAAATTAAAAAAAATTAAGATAAAAAAATGGAAATTTAAAAAATCAAATTTATGTGAATGAAGTCAATATTTTGATTTTAATCTCATTTTTTTTAAAATATTGAAATTTCAACATTTTGTAATCGCAATATTTTGAATTTATTGACAAAAAATTGGCAAAATTTCCATTTTTTTATCTAAAAATTTCAATTTTTTCAATCTCAAAATTTGACATTTTATCTCAATATTTTCACTTTATTGACAAAATTTCAATTTTTCTAACATTTTTTTGAATCATTCTGTGTTCTTGATATTTCAATTAAATCCTAAAATATCTATTTTTTTAATTTCAAAATTTCTATTTTCAATCTTGACGTTTTGACTTTAATCTCCTTCCTGTAATTACTTTTTTTCTATCTTCATGTTGCCCTAATCCTCATTATAGTTTGGCCAACCGTCAGGGAGAAGGAGCTCATGTCCAAGTGTCATTTCTTTGTGACGTGTAATAAAGAGTTGACCGTTTACAGTAAAGTTAAGATAACATATGCAGTACATACTCACAGTTACATCCACACTCTTCTCTGATAATCTGACGCCTCTTCAGACCAGAACGTCACTTTTTTAATACAAATAAAACCCGCCATGATGAACGAACGCTCGCTAAGTTTGGTGTCAATAAGCTAAATAAGGAACAGATAACAGTTTTATTATACTAAAATCAACACCTGATAAAGAAGTTCAAACTAAAATCACTGTGCCCAAGGTCGGTTCAACTTTCCTATGAGTTTGTCACGGTTGTCAGGGGCGACCAAATACAGTCGATGACAGAAAAAGTCTCATAAGAGGACGTGTCGGGGAAATGAAACGCTTGCATCATCCGAGAGAAGAGTTTTGTCTGTCAGAAACAGCGAGGATATGAATCTTTAAATCTCTGTGACCCACATCGGTGTGAATGTTTCAGCGTCTTCGTCAGAAAAACTCGACTCAGAGGAAGTGTTGCAAAGAGACGTCAGAGAAGATTCACCCATAAAGACATTCTCAATAAAAAACGTCCACATTTGCTCTTCCCCTCTCTCTCTAACAGTCTCTGTGTTAAAAAAAAAGAAATACTAAGACGTCTGCTGCGAACTGACAGGGCAAGCATGTCAAATTGAAGCGCTATTTTAAGCACAAGTGAGGGGACAGAGTCCATTTATGAAAGCTTCGCCTGAAGGCGCTTTCAAGGCACAGATAATGCAACTCTTTCCTACGGCGAGATTTAAGCAGCTTTTTTCTTTTCTTTATTCTTCATCTTTGTTGTTCCCGGAGTAAAACTTTAACTGAAGGTTGGTTTAGAAGTCGGAGCTGAGCTGAAAGCTTCTGCCTGCAGTTCTTTACTTCATCCGTTTGAGAGTCTTGGACCTTTTTCTGAACCGTCTCCTTAAAAACAAAGTGAACCGTAAAGAGGTTTCGCTGTTTTCTAACGCTGTCTTTATTATAGTTAAAGGTTTTTATACATCTGAGGAGAAAGTGGACGGACTCGTGCTGCAGAGAGTGCTAAAGACATGAGGACCTTCAAAATGAGACTTATGTTAGAGCATCGATGTAATCAGCCATGACTAAAAAATAAATAAATGATGAAGAACTGAGACCGTTTGGTCTACGAGGACCACCTCTTCTCTGTTAATGAACACTGTGACTCTGTGAAGTTATATTTTTGCGCTTGAGGCGACTCCGAACTTTCAATTAACATAATTCAAAGCCGAGTCGATTCCACAATTACTGTTTCTCAGGCTGCAGAAAAGTTACAGCCACTGAAGATTTATATCGACTCACTTTAACCAATTTCCTTCGGCTCCTCCGCCAAATAATTTGATTTTGTGTGAATGGAGTCCCGCTGGTTCTGTTTACGGAGCGGCATTCACACTACAGAGTGCTGGTAAACAGATCCCCACTGTGTTAAAGATGTGGGCGCATCAGCGGACATCCCATCCCACAGATCTGCTCGGGTGTTCAAAACATCGACATCATTTTTTATAAGTACGTCTCGAGTGTTTCTTTATCCCTCTGCCAATATTTAACAGCACAGCCTCGCTCAGGACGGCTGACAGCCAGCATTGAGGAGGGCGTAATTATCCCCCCTGTCGAATCCTAAACGAGCCCGCCTGTCAGAAAAACCAGACGCTTTCAGAAGAAGTCTGTTTAAGAAAATCTCCTCTGACTGCTCCTAAACTTCGATTCAAGCTTCTCGAGTAAACAGCAGACGCAGAAAACACATTTTTGAGGAGAAAGCGATGAATAGAGCTGAAAAGACTGAGAGGTGAATAAGTTGTGAAAGTGCAATCAACCAAACCTTAAAAAAACACTGAGTTTTAACAGGACAGAGGATCAGAATGTGGACGTTCATGCTCCAAAATAAAGTCGGAGGAATCAGAAACAAAGACTAAATCATTTCACTCGGCAAGGACAGGCAGCTCCGCGGTTCGACTCAGTCTGGTTACTCACAGTGGAAATCTGGCTGAAATTTATCCACAGCGGCTTAATGAGACACAGATGTGGTTTGATGAGGTAATTAAGGACAGGTGTGCAGGAGGCGGGGCAGCGGGAGGCGGGGCGGCGGGGATCTGAGAGGGCAGGACCGGTGGACAGATGTGGGACAGCAGGACTCTGAAAGATGTGAGGAGATTTTAGAGCGAAGGGGGAGGAGGAGAGGTGAAGCTGGAGTGGACAAAAAGGGTGGAGATAGATGTCTCACACTTTTACACCTGATAACACAGACTCTTAAAGGTACAGTACGTGATATTCAGCAGAAATGGTGTAGAATTGTCATGTTTGTTTAATTACGGCTGGTGGTAAAAACGGAAGACATTTTTGGTCCTCAAAGGCCACCTTTGACTTTTCAATATTATTGAGAAAAAAAAAATATTTTACCTAATTTTGTTGTAATTTGCTGGGTGAATCAGTCAGTTTTTTAACATCAAATTAACTAATTAGACCTGAGATTCTTATTAAAATGGACATTTGAACATAAATCAAAGTAACTTAAACAGAAAAAAAAAATTGTTGAAAATTACTGGACTTAAGTTTTGAATTTAAAGTTTTTGTCATGTCTCATCTGTTTACATGGAGGTAGTATTTTGAGGGTAAAATTGTACCAACATCATAACCAACACCGTTTTCACAGTCAAGACTAGTTTTATAAGTCAGTTTGTTGATATAAATCTGTTGCTTCACCAACAGGGGAGTAAGTAAGCAGGAAATCAACCCAGAATCTGACTTTTTAATATTATTGAAAAACTATCTATATTTTACCTTATTTTGTTAAAATTTCCTGAGTGAATCTTCATCTTTGTGTCAGACTTTTAACATAAAATTAACTAATAAGATCTGAAATTCTCATTAAAATGGGGATTTGGACATAAATCAAAGTTTCTAAAAATGAAAAAGAATTTTTTGAAATTAATTTGCCTTTTATTTTTAATTAAAAGTTTTAGTCATGTCTCATCTGCTTACATGGAGGAAGTATTTTGAGGATGAAATTGTGCTAATATCATAACCAACACTATTTTCACAGTCAAACCTAACACTAGTTTAATATTAGGTTGATGCTAAACTCAATCGTTACGCTGATGATACAATCCTGTGTTTTGCGGACACTTAAAAAAGTTTAAAAGTCACTTAAAATAGTTTAAAAAGTCGGTTTGTTGACATAATTCAGTCAGTTCAGTTTTTAAACTAGCTTTAAAGAATCCCCGTTTCTCTGTCACAGTGAGACTTCCCGACACACGTGGACACTCCTGTATAAAGTCAGTGTTAGCCAGAGGACACTGAGCCCGGCGTTAATTTCCCAATATGCCGAACAATAAAGGTTGTGCTGATTCAGCGCGTCCTCTAATCAAGTTTTGATTGAGAGTTTTGCCTCATTGACCCGAATCGTCCCAGAGGAGACATTAGTTTCTGCTGATGTGAGGAGTTAGCATGTCATCAGCTGTTGTGTCGAGTTTCTAATAAAACAGGCGGGATGACGGATCACATGAAAATATCAGGAGTCTGATTCTAACATCAACTTCAAACTTCATCAACTACAGAGAACAAACAGATCCGGCTCTGAACAAACTCTGAGGTCTCTGACAAACTTAGAAAATTCATATCAAATAAAAAGTATTTATGGAAACACACACACACAGACACACACAGAGAGGAATAAAAGGCGCTCTTCTTTGTGGTTTACTGCCCCCCCGTCGTCTCACACACTCATACAGCCAGTAAAACACACACAGTGTCTTTATAGCTCTGCCTCCATATCTATGATAATAAGCTGTCCTCAGGGTGACGCTTTGGCAGAGCAGACGCTTCGTGCTCAGACGCCACAAAAACTAGTCCTCACAGCATTTCTCTCTCAAACACAAACAGGTAAAAGGGACGGTTACAAAGTCTGAATTAGTGTAAGAGGAGGCTAAATGTGATCTGTGTGACTTAGACTGATTTTTAAAAAGTCTCAGTTTTTTACGTAATACCCTTTAATACAACAAACACAAGGCTGAAGCTGCAGATTGTCAGATTGTGTCGCGGCTGAATAATCTGCCATTAAAGCTCCTGTAAGAAGTTTTTGTCATGTAAGTCAGAAAAAAAATTAAAGTCAGAATTCTGACTTTAATTCGTAACAACATTTTTTAATTATTATTCTGAGATTAAAGTCAAAATTCTGACTTTAATTCAGAATAATAAATATTTTTAAATCATTATTCTGAGATTAAAGACAGAGTTCTGAAATTAATCTCAGAATAATTATTTAAAAAAAATACTATTATAAATTAAAGTCAGCGTTTTGACTTTAATCACAGAAAAATTGTTTAAAAAAATTATCCTAAATTAAAATCAGAGTTTTGACTTTAATCATAGAATAATAATTTAAAAAAATTATTACCCTGAATTAAAGTCAGAGTTCAGAATTAATTTAGGAAAATACTGTAAGAAATTATATCTGTCCTTTTTTTTTTTCTAGTGGCCCTTATGGTCTTCCGTAGCACACAGCTGTTTTAACAATTTTAACATGAAAAATCACAATAGACAAAACTCAGACAAAACGACTAAATGAACACGAGCTGAAATTCCTTACTGGAGCTTTAAATCAAATAGACATCTGTATAAGACTGCAGGCTTTAGCGTACGTAAGAGTGACCACGGCGTGACGTATTGATCAGGTAAAAGGAGATATAACCTCAACCACAAAACTTTAGCAGCTCTGTTTTGTTGTTTAACTGTCAGAGTTTTTTCATCCTGAACGTTCCCTCTTTTTTTTTAAACTCTCTGAAACAGGTCAGTATTTTGGTCCTCGTTGAGTCAAACTTCTCTCCAGGTTAGTTCTTCTTGTAAAAGCAGCTCTGTAGTCACTTTGTCTGGAAACACACTGATGTAGCGCCCCCCTTTGGAAGCGTTTAAACTCAGCTGTGTGATGCAAACTGAGATATTTTTTACAATCTGAAAGCCGCAGGCTGAAATATCTCAGAGTTAGTAATGCTAAAAGCTTTGATAGTCAAGGTGAAGTGTTATGAAGAGGATCTGGGGTCCACCACTGTGTACATACTTCTGCAAGAATCTCTTATTTACAGTCTCAGGCCTGAAACATTCACCTCTGAAGGCCCTGAGATAAGCACACACAGCTGCAGCTGCAGACCGGACTCTGATTCAGACCTGAACGTTCAGATCAGATCAGATTCAGAAGAAAGCAGAGCTCAACAACAACAAACAGCTGCCGGGGTGTCAGTGATCAATACGCTTCAACTGTAACTACAAGTGTGAGCTCGTCGACGTTCAAAGTGCACAAATCAATCAGAAAACACAGATTCTGCAGGTTTGTTTCTGCTTTTCTTCAGACTAAATCAAGCTGCAGGTGTGAGTCGAATGAAAATGTTAAACCGCAGAAATAACCTCCAGGGAGAGGCGGACCTTCCCTGTGACCTGGATTAAATATTGATGGATGTGATAATAGAGGATGGGACGCTGGTGTCGGAGTCAGGTGAGGGGTCAGTCTTTTGTAAATGAACTTTAGGAGGAGGGGGTTAACTCAGGCGTGTTTTCCCAGGCCCTGAAACGAGTCGTAAAATCTCCATTTAGAAATGAAATGTTAATCGATTTTGATGCGACGCCGCCGCCTCCATCAGCAGTGAGAGCGCTGCGAACACGAGCAGCTGCACTAAAAGTTAACCTTCAGATTTAATTAAAACTCCAGACAAGGAAAAAAAAAAACACCTCCCTCCTGACTGATGAGTTATTAGTTAGTGGAATTTGCAAGTAAATTAGTCACATCAACCAGGCGGCCAGATTTATTCAGCGCTTCATCAGGATGTCAGGAGAGGTCGTCCTCCTGTTTTAAGGGTCACTTCTTCAGTGACGCTGGAAGAGGTTGTCGAAGTGCAAAACAAAGATGGTGAAATGAAAATCACTCATCATCGAACCTTTAAAACGTCTCATAAATGTGGTTTTTAGAGGATATTTAGCTGAGAATCTTTAAGTAATAAAGACGTCTGCGTCCGTGATGGAGGTCGTAAAAGAAAACCAAACAAAAACCACGACTGTGTTTCTCTTTTCTGGAAACTACGACTGAGATTTCCTGGAATATCAACCAAACATCAAATATCTGCGGGAAGCAATAAAGCGGTTCAGCTGAGAGTTTCTGTGTCAGAGGAAGCTGCTGTGATGGAGTTAAAAAAGCTGCAGGACAACACTGACATCTAGTGGAGGAAGGAGGAAACTGCAGGTTGAAAAGGTACTGCCAGATACTTCAGTGAAATACTTGTTGCAGCATCAAAGTAGGACATCACAAGGACTTGGTGTAAAGAGGATCTACCTAAAACTGTCCAGTGGAAGAACAATATGAAATGGAGAAACTCACAAATACAAATCTATTCATCTACTCTTCCAAAGGGGGCGCTACATCAATGTGTTTCCAAACAAAGTGACTACAGATCTGCTTTTACAGATTTACAAACCTGGAGAGAAGTTTGACTCAATGAGGACGAAAAAAAACAAACCTGTTTCAGAGTCTAAAAAAAAAAAAAGGATGAAAAAACTCTGACAGCTAAACAACCAAACAGAGCTGCTGAGGTTGGATGAGGTTAGTTATATCTCATTTTACTCGATCAATACATCACACCGTGGTCACTCTTATGTACGCCAAAGCCTGCAGTCTTAAACAGACATCTCTTTCATTTAAAGCTCCAGTAAGGATCTTTCAGTTTGTGTTAATTAAGCAGTTTTGTCTGACGAAAATTCACATTTTTCTGACTTTTTGACAAATATTGTTTAATATTTTATGTTGAAATTGTAAATACAGCTGTCTCCTATGGAAGACAATTAGGGCCTCTGGAAAAAAAAGAGAAGGTCCAAAATCATTTTTTAAAATCATTTTTCTGAGATAAAAGTCAGAGTTCTGACTTGTTTTCAGAATAAATATTATATATAGGACTTTTTTTTTTTTTTTTAGTGGCCCTAATCCTCTTCCGTAGTCTCCTCCCTCACGCTGGTTTTGGCTGTTAATATTTACAAAATTAAAATAAAAAGAGACAATATCTAATCTGTTCACACTACTTTAAAAAATGGAAAAAAAATACAGCTGTCTCCTACAGAAGACAATTAGGGCCACCAGAAAAAAAAAAGGTCAAAAATAATTTTTTAAATCATTTTTCTGAGATAAAACTCAGAATTCTGACTTTTTTTCAGAATAATTATTATATATAGGACTTTTTCTTTCTTTTTTTTTAGTGGCCCTAATCCTCTTCCGTAGTCTCCTCCCTCAAGCTGTTTTTTGACGTTAAAAATTACAAAATTGATTTTTTTTGTGAATGACACCATGTTTTGTGTTTTTCTTTTTATTTATATTTTTCTTTGATCGTATGTCTTTTTTCTGTTATGTTCAAAAATTGCAAATAAAATTTAAGTTAAAAAAAAAAATCAGACTCCCATTAAAGAAAGAAAGTTCGACTCCAGGAACCCAAAAACCAAGTTGGCAGGTTGGAGGTGTGGTGCATCTCTGCAGCCCAATAAATTAACTGGTCCCAGTCCGGTTCCCAGACTCGACTGTGATCTTGAGTCGATGACCCTCCTGTTCCCAGTTCAGGTCCCTGCAGACTGTTTCATTTTCAGGGTAAATGTGGACTTATCTGCTGACGTCTGAAACTTTTAAAACACATCATCAGTTTGGTTTTAAAATTCTGTCCTCTGTGTTTCTGATCCGTCAGGTGGACTCTGCCTCCTCTTCACTTAAACCATCATCTCATTATAAATCCAGACTCAGCAGAAGGTTCTCGTCTGCATGACCTGACTTTGGCGTTAAACGAATCTCGTGCCTGTCGCTGAAACATCTGCATCTCCGCCATTATTCACGCAGCGTGCGCTCTTTTCCGGTTCACCTCTGAGGTCGCACAGCAGTGAGATTTGAACTCGTGTAAAACTTTTAATAACTAACTGCTGCTAACCTTCGGCGCCGACCTTCACGGGCTGTGATTGAAGCGGCGGCTCGGGGGTGGGCGCTCGGCTGAAGGTTAGAGAGCGCTGTGATGAGAGCGGAGGCTGCTGGGAGAGTAATTGGTGTTTTTTTTCCCCTCTCTGTTAAAAAGGTTTGATTAAAGATGTAAAAACGTCGTGTAGATGTGGAGACGCTTTGAGAGGCAGAGAAGACAAAGTGGACAGATGATGAGTTAAAGCTTTATTACCTCTGCTCTCCTCACCTGAACGAGGCGTCTTAACATTTCTGTCACTATTTAAAAGGTCAAGAGCGAGAGCAGATCTACGTTAAAAATATCTACGCTATTTACGGTAGTTTGAATCTAACATCAACACTGTGCTGTTACAAAATAAAACAATATTTCAAAATAAGAGGAGCCCTCAAATACTCTACAGAGATAGATCTGCACACTTCGTTATCTACCTTATGAATCCTTCACTGAGTGACCTTTGACCTTTGAGGGCGCATCAATTCAGCATTCCACTGATAATTAAGATCCAACTTTTAAAAACTGTAAATATAATCTCAGTTTTATATCAAATGCACACATTTAAAAATCTAAGAGCTCTGAAACAAGATAAATAACCTGCAGATACACGAATGCTGCGTTCGAGTTACATCGGCGGTCAGATGTCGGAGCTGAAAACACGAGTTCCCAGCGATTCAGTTACCAAGTCAGAAAAAAAATCTGAAACAAGATGACTACATCTACGAAAGTTATTTTAGCGCTTGCTTTATTGTCATCTTGTTTTCACCTTTGATTTTGCTTTTTTCCGACTTGGTAACTGAATCGCTGGGAACTCGCGTGTGACGTCATTTTCAGCTCGGACTTCTGATTTACGAGGTAACTCGAACGCAGCGTGAGTCACAGAAGTAACGGTGCAATAATGCAATAATTTTCAGTCATAAACGCGCCTCCTCTACACTTCCTGTTAGTGCTGTTTCATATGTTCTACTCTCATGTCAAAACGATCATGATTACACTTCGAATACTTCAGTCGATCTGTCCTTCACGCTTCATTAGGGGTGTCCCGATACGGTTTCTGACATCAGATACTGGTCAGATACTGATATTGGATATCTGTCCGATATCAGTGAAAAAACAAATATCGGATTATATCGGCCTGCATCTAAAATCTCCAATATCAGCATCTCCTCATCCATGGTGTCATCGGGGTGAAATGACGTCTAAAAACCTTTCACTTGTTCGTCTCCGCCCGTTTGCATGGTGTGAAATATGATCCTCCTGAAACACGGAGTGTTTTATTTTGAAAAGAAGCCGGATGTTTTATTTTGTGTCTGTGCCCGACTTCCTTTCCAGCACGGGTTAATCTGTGCTGAATTTATCCGCCATGCTCCGGTGATCAGCAGAGGAACGGAAAGAAGTCGGTGGAAATCGACACGTTAACTTGAATGGTTACGATCAGCTACGATCGGAGGATACGACCTTTTCGTAGCCGCTACAATATCTTATCAGAAGTAAAACGTTGTACCGGGACACCCCTTCTCTTCATCCTTCATGTGAGCCTGAAACCTTCATGAGGATCACCTGACCCCGTTAGCGGCTCTTTAACACTTCGTAAAAACCTTTAATACTAAAAAAGTCGACGTGGTCAGCAGTCTGCTCCCGCCTGCAGCGTCATGTTTCTCCTGTGAATCTCGTTGAGCACGACGTCGCTGTTGGAGCCGTCGGATATCCCGCTGTCGGCGAACACGGAGCCTGCGGTGGAACCCAAACAAACGTTAACGTGAGCGTTAAAAGACTTTAAAAAGAGCGGGACAGGTACTGAGGATGTCGACCTACCGCTGCTGTTCGTCGCGTCGCTGGTGACGGAGGAGCTTCTGGAGGTGAAGTGAGGAGCAGAGCTGGACGCCGTGTTCAGAGACATGTTCCTGTTGTTCTGGGTGGCCGTCCGACTCCACTCTGAAGAAAACAAAAGTGTTTAAAGTTTGTTCACTTTGTCGTGAGCAGATAGAATCCAGATAGAGCAGAATAAAACCGCGCTCACCTGAGTTTCCAGCCAATCGCAGCCTTCCACAGCAGAGGTACGTCCTCCACTGCTTGCGGACGTTCTCCTTTATGGCGCAGTGGAAAATAAAGACGAGGAAACCTGCAGAGGGAAGATAAAAACACTCAGATCTTCTTTCTGTGGGTTTACCGTCATGAGTGGATCTGAGAGTAGACCAACATGTCCGACCTTGCAGAGAGTTAAATATGGAGAACAGGTAAACGAAGGGTAAGTAGAGGGGTCCCCAGGCGAACAGGGCGAACCCCCAGGTGAGGCCGAGCAGGACGACGAGGCCGGCGATGCTGCGCAGATCCGTCAACACTCCCCTGTTGGGAGACTGGTTCTGAGGGTTCTGCTTCTTGATCCGGGCCAGCTGGACCATGACCATGATGAAGACGATCAGGCACAGAAGGAAGATCAGGAGGAAGTACGCCACCACGCCAACGTAGAAGGCGATGTCGTTACGCAGCCAGCAGCTACAGGGCGAGAGGAGAGACCGAAGTTAGACTCAGACTCTCTGAAAGGCGTCATTTTCAAGATGGCGTCCATGACGGTAGGAGGTCCGGGGAGACTCCTCAGGTGAATAGGGTAAAATTTTTAATAATCAGATATCAACATGAAACTTCCCAAGTTTATAACTTAGATTAAGACAAATATTTTTTATATTACAAGTTTTCCCAGATATTATGTTTAAATATGTAAATGAGGTCATATCTAATTAAATATGCAAGAGGCGAAAACTGAACGATGGATAAAAACCCTTTTTAAATTCTTTTTTTATTTTGTTGACATACTAGAGTCAGAAGAGGACTTTGGATATCTCTTTTTATCACTCTGTAAATGAGAAAATACTCTCACCACCCCTAAACATTCAAAGATCTCCATGCGACACTGTCCGTGGGTCACTAATTGTGCTTGTAATCACTTATCTATCATACAAATATGCTAATTAGAATATTACATGGTCTAAACATCAGTGTTGTTTTTGGCAGGCATTTTAGATTTAGTTTTAGTCTTAGTCATTTTGACGAAATGCTTCTTCGTTTTAGTCCCATTTTAGTCATTTCTATCCTTGATAGTTTTCGTCTAGTTTTAGTCCGAGGAAAACTCAAAAGGTTTTAGTCTAGTTTTAGTCGACGTAAAGGTGCCTTTTGAGGTTCGTGGTGTTTTTTCCCGACAGTTTGAAGCATGAGGAAGCTGTGGCTCCACAACTGTCGTCTGTCTCGTCTCCCCGTCCCGTGTTTTATTGTCACTTTTATTTTATTGTCACTTGAACTGTATCTGAAGTAGGACCAAAAATCATCCCTCTTTTTTCGGCCACCGGGCACCGCTGCTGTGCCTGCCGCCACGGTGTGTGTGTGTGTGCGCGCCTCGTCCACCTGCCGCTCTGTGTATGTGTATGAGTGTGTGCGCGCAGCTGTGCGCGAGCGAGGCTTTTGGTGCGTGTGTGATGGGGGCGTGACTGTTAGGACAAAAAAAAGCATGTTTTGAAACTTTGTTCGTCCACCTAATAACAATTTAGTCTCGTCTCGTTCTCGTCTGACGAAAATGAATATAATTTTCGTCACATTTTAGTCTTTACAGAGCTTTGGTGACGTTCGTCTTAGTCTCATTTTCGTCAAGTAAAAAAGGGGTCAGACGTCGTCATTTAAGTTTTCGTCCTGCCTGACGAAAACAACACTGCTAAACATGTATCAGGCGCTAGAATTCTTCCTGGTCTAGAATGAAAACAACGGAGTAATGGTCATTTTAAGGACATGGGAAAAAAACGAATGGCAAAATTTTAATTTCGCACGCTTCCTCGTTTGCTTGTTCGTTTGTTTTCTTCCGCTTCATCCGGGTCCAGGTCGTGGGGGCAGCAGCTTCAGGAGGGAAGCCCAGATGGCCCTCACCCCAGCCACTTCCACCAGCTCTTCCAGGGGGATTCCCAGGCCAGGCGAGAGATATAATCCCTCCACCTGGTCCTGGGCCGGCCACGAGGTCTCCTCCCGGTGGGACATGTCAAATGAAACCCATTTCAGCCGCTTGTATCTGCGATCTTGTTCTTTCGGTCATTACCCAAAGTTCATGACCATAGGTGAGGATCGGCACGTAGATCGACCGGTAAATCCAGAGTCTCTCCTTACAGCTCAGCTCTTTCTTCACCACGACAGATCGGTTAAGCGACACCTTCAAACTTTGGTAAACTTTTAGTTTGTTATTAACGACATCTAATACTTTAAAAAACAGCTGATAAACATTTTGTCAGAATTTCTTTAGGATCAAGTCATTTTTCCACCTGACTATAGAGAAAGAACATGAGGACACAGAAAAGGCGGCTGGTATCTGATCTTTAACTCCTCATATCTTTATAGATGATAAATATTTGGGTTTAACTCACAAGTCGTCGGTCGTTCCATCTGTGTATCTTCCGTATGTCACCATGCCGTAGTTGTCTTTGTCCACCGCTATAATAATGATCACCACGATGAGAGGAACGCCTGCAAAGACCAGGATGATCATCAGGAAATCAAGTTTGAGTTTTTTTTTTAGTTCATTCATTAGGTTGTTTAAAATAATGAAGCAGCGGTTAGCTCAAACTCACCCCAGCCAATCAGAGAGAACTTCAACATGTATCTGCTCAAGTACGGGGTGAACACCTGGACCACGCTGAGGTACAAATGCAGGGCCTCAAGCCCCGCCCATGTGAACGATGTCAGCAGGAAGTAGTGCAGGAAGAAGGCGGTGCTGGTACACAGACCCACAGCCGGGTAGAGCGCCAGCCAGCCGTCCAGAAGGAAGACCAGGTTGAGGAGGAGGAGGGACATGCAGAGCTCGACCAGGATCTTGGCGGGGATATCCCTGAGCAGCTTTCTGCAGAGAACGAGGTCGAGTTTAAAAAAGAGGATGAAAATTCGCTCAAATTGATTTAATCTGATGGCGGTGACGACCGGATTCTTACTCAAATAACAGGTAAGTCAGTAAGGTTAGAGCGAGGAAAATGGCGGAGATCCCACAGCCGATGTAGGTGATGAAGGTGAGGATCTGTGCGTGTTGACGGTCGGTCAAACCCTCTCTGGACAAATCCTGGATGAAGACAGGAAACACTCATAAATACGTCAATGAAGGAGTTTATATGTGATAGAATCTTAAAACCAGTCCTAACAGTCCTGCCCAGTGTTGGGAGGTGGACTGGTTTTTCGGCTTGATTACTCAACGTCACTTTGGAGATAACCAAACCACCGCCACACAACCGACGTTTAATAACTAATCTTCGGAGGATGACTCAAAGTCACGGCGTTCAGCTCCACGTTCGGTCATTTTGTTTACTCCTCCGGTAACTTGCAGAAGCGAGCAGGAAAAGCTCGACTCTGATTGGCTGCTGTCACGCACATTTCCTTTATGTTTGATGGAGTAAATAAGCTCACAGGTGATCACCGTGATCGAACTGAAATTTATCTGGATTATTTAATCGCCCAGTCCTACGCTGTTCTCACTCATGTGGATAACGAATATTTAGACTCGTACCAGCAGGATTGCAAAGGCTGTGAGATGGTTGCAGCTGCAGATCGTCTCTTCTGCTGTGGTGTTGACGATGAAACAACCCTCGGACCTCCAGCCTCCACCACCACCTGAACCAGAGAACCACAACAGTCAGAGATTTACAGTTTATAATTAACGCTGGACTCAGACACAGCTTATTATGGTCTGTAGGGAGGGGTTACCATTCAGAGAAAAATCCCAAAATGCACAGGAGGCCGAATGCTCCTCCTGAGAAGGAACAGAAAACGTTTGAGGTTAGGGTTCAAGAAAATGTAAAAGGTTATAAAAACGAACAGAAATCCTTCATTCTTGTTTAAAATCTTCATGAATAGATTATTTCATGTGTCATCTGTAGGTGTGCTCAGACTCACATGAACAGGGTTGATGTTTCTGATGGTAAACTGGACGTTTTCTGTCAAGTTGCTTATTGACAAATTGGCCACACTGGAGCCCAGGACTGGACTGACCAGGGTCTGATTATCCAATGATGCATCCTGATGGACAAAAATAAGGTGGTTGAGTCACGTCACGTCTGAGAGATCTGATCTGAGTTTGGTTTTAAAGCTCGTAGATCCTCTGACTGACCTGGAAGAGGGCAGGTTTGGTGTAGAAGGTGAACTGGAGCCTGTTGGCCTGCAGCTGCTCCTCAGGACTGAGGCCTGAGGTTAGAGAGGAGGGCAGAAAAACAGACCCGAGAGCTGAATCTGACCGCTTGGATCTGCTGAGAGTACGGAGCTGGGTGAACAAAAAGAAAACAAATGCTAAATCAAAACAAAATCCACTGACACAAAAACAGGAGCCCGACAGTGAGCAAATGCAGCCTGGACTACCTGGATATTATCCGTGTTGAAAATGTTCACTGATGTTTCCGGGAAGTTGGTTCCATCAACGGTCCTCACGGCCAGAGCCAGCGAGTTTGACGACAGGATCGCACTGTCACCGCTTACTGCCAGCTTCAAACCCAGATCGTCCACCACCCGGATCAGCCTGTGAGCGTGAAACAAGACCAAACCTTTCAGAAAAACTGAACCAGTGAGTATCAGTGTCTCTGCGTTGTTGAGGTTTCTGTGAGTTGAACCTGTTGGCGGATGCAGAGAGGGCCGCTGGGTCACTTTCCATCAAGTTGGTGACGATGTTGATGGCTTTTTGTCCCAGTGATTGAGAAACAGTCGGGCCTTCCAGAAGCTTCTCCAACCGCTCAACAACCTCTTCCACCTGCAACAACCGTCAAAGTTTACTTCAAGTATGGCACACATCTCTTCTCCACTCATCCTGCAAGGCTTGGTCTTGAGTTGGGAAAGCTTTACCTGAGAGGAGTCCAGCTGAGACGGGTTCTGTGTTTGGTTCAGCAGCTGGTTTGCCTGTTCCTCTTGGCTTTGACCTGGGTCTACTGTGGTTGTGGTGGTAGTCCCAACAACAACTTGTGAGTCGTGAGAAACAAATGTTAACGTATTAACGAAGCTGAGATGATAAAATGAAGAAGCAGAGGGTGAAATTTGCAGATAATGGGCATAAGCCCTTATAGCAAGGTAAAGGAAACAGGCCCTTAAATTTGGACATGAAAACCATTCTTCTCTTAAGGTTTGAGTCCGTTTCTGCACTGGCAACACTTATTTTCTAAACAAATTCATGTGGTCTAGTGTTTCCTGTGCCAAGTATACAAAACATAAAATCCCCATGATGTCAAGGAAAACTCTAATATGAACTTTTCAATAACTACAATGGATGAGAAACCAACAAGACATACTTTTTGATTGATATGTTTTTTGTTTGTAGATACAGAGTAAAATGCACATAAATGTTGCGACCACAGGGAGTTGAAGTCAACTTCCCCGACCTAGTAAGAGAACTCTGAAATGTCAGCTCTGGCCAATGCCAATGCAAAGGACCTTACTGAAAAAGAAACGATACCAATGAGAATGGATAAATTTGCATTTTCACCTTTACCTACCAGGTTTTGTTGTGGTTGTGCTGGTGAGGGTCGTAGTTTCCAGAGTTGTTGTGGAAGTCGTAGAAACCTTTGCAGTAGAGTTGTTAATCAGGGTTGGAAGCGCAGTTTTGGTAGTTCTGGTAGTTGTGGTTGAGGTTGTAGATATATTTCCAGCTGTTGTTGCTGTCGTGGTTAAATCGACTCCTGGTCTGACAGTTGTTGAGTTTGTGACTGTTGTTAAACTGTTTGCTGTTGAACTCATGTTTAAGTTGATTCCTGTCGTATTGCTGTGATCAAACGAGGGACTGGCATCAGTGGGAGCGATGGTGGAGTTGTCCTCAGTTTTGTTGGTTGTTGTTGAGACATTATTGGTCGCTGTCGCCATGGTTTGATTTCTGGTCTGGTTATTTATTGGAGTTGCTGTTGGTTTGGTGACGTTGCCAAAAAAAGGCATCGAAGTTGTTGTTGCATTGTTGAAAGTTTCATTCCCTTGAATTGCAGCAGTAGGTAACGTCTCATTTGTAGGAGAAACTGTCGTGTTTTGTTGAATTTCCCCAGGGTGTGCGGTGGTTATGTTGTTTATGGTTGTTTGGTTTTGAAGTACGGTCGTACGAGTTGTGCTCTCAGTTGTTGTGTAATTGATTGCAGCTTTAGTTACATTGTGCACCACAGTAAGATTGGGAGACATTGTAAAAGCGCTAACTGTTGTGTTACTCGTTGGGAATGAACCATTTCTTAAAGTTAGGTTGCTTTCTGCTGTAGTAAAGTTGTACGCTGTTGTGAAATTTTCTGAGGCTGTTGTGTGATTGGTGGGAATTGCAGTGACATTGTAGACCAGTGTGCTGTTTAGAGTTGTCAAAGCTGAACCGTTTTGTATGGTTGTGCTGTTTAGCGTAGTTAAGTTGTACTCTGTTGTGTGACTGCTAACAGCTGTGGTTACATTGTAAACTGTTGTGTGGTTGGGAGAAGGTGTGAAGGTGTCAGTTGTAGATATGTACGCTGTTGTATCTGTAGGCAGAGGTGTAAATGTGCTGTGTGTAGTCACATTGTACTCAACAGTGTGATTTGGAAAAGCTGTAAATGTGGGAACTGTTGAATTACTTATTGTCACCGAACCATTGTGTAGGCTTCTTGTGTCACCAACTACTGTCGAGTTATGCTCTGTTGTGTGATTGTAGGGGACTGTTGTGTGATTGTCTGAGAATGTTGTGTGATTGTAGGAGACTGTTGTGTGATTGTAGGAGACTGTTGTGTGATTGTAGGGGACTGTTGTGTGATTATAGGAGACTGTTGTGTGATTGTAGGGGACTGTTGTGTGATTATAGGAGACTGTTGTGTGATTGTAGGAGACTGTTGTATGATTGTAGGAGACTGTTGTATGATTGTAGGAGACTGTTGTGTGATTGTCAGAGACTGTTGTGTGATTGGTGGTAGATGTTTGGTTATTCATAACTGTGTGACTGGGAGTTGTTGTGAACAAGCTATCTGTTGAATTACTGATAAGGGAACTGTTCTGTAGCGCCCTGTTGCTATCTACAGTTGTATTATGCTGTGTTGTGTTATTGTTTGAGACTGTTGTGTAACTGTTGGTAGCCGAGGTGGTATTACCGTCTGTTATGTGATCTGGTGTAGATGTAAATGGTTTGGCTGTAGTTACACTGGTAGAAGTTGCGTCACTCAGAAGTGTAGAAGTGTTAGCTGGAGTGACAGTGTTGTTTTTTGTAACACTTGGAGGAAGTGTTGATGTTTCCACTGTTGTTACATTGCTGATAATTGTATTACTGGGAGATGGTGTAAATGTGTTGGTTGTAGTTACATTGTTGATAGTTGTTTCACTTGGAGATGGTGTAAATGTGTTGGCTGTAGTTACATTATTAACAGTTGTATCACTTGGAGATGGCGTAAAGTTGGCTGTAGTTACATTGTCAATTGTTGTGTCACTGGGAGATGGTCTGAGTATGTTGGCTGTCGTATGATTGTTGCTAATTTTATCAGTGGGAGATGATGTAAATGTATTTGCTGTATTCTCATTGTTGGCTTTTGTAGTACTCACAAAAGTTGTTGATGTGTCAACTGTTGTTGCATTGGATAATGCTGCATCACTTGATGCTGTAAATGTGTTGGCTGTAGTTACATTGTTGATTGTTGTAACACTCGAAGACAGTGTTAATGTGTTGGTTGTAGTAACATTGTTGATTGTTGTAGCACTAGGAGACGGAGTAAATGTATTAGCTGTAGTTACATTGTTGCTTATTTTATCACTTGGAAATGGTGTAAATGTGTTGGGTGTAGTTACGTTGTTGATTGTTGTGTTTTTTGGAGATGGTGTAAATTTGTTAGTTGTAGTTACATTGTCCGTAATTGTATGACTGGGAAATGGTGTTATTGTGTTGGCTGTAGTTACATTGTGAGCTTTTGTAGTACCCATAAAAGCTGTTGATGTGTCAACTGTTGTTGCGTTGTTTATTGCTGCATCACTTGAAGCTGTAAATGTGTTGGCTGTGGTTACATTGGTGATAGTTGTATCACTGGGAGATGGTGTAAATGTGTAAGGTGTAGTTACATTGTTGTCCGTTGTACTTCTGGGAGATGGTGTAAATATGTTGGGTGTAGTTACATTGTTGGCTGTTGTATCTCTGGGAGATGGTGTAAATGTGTTGGGTGTAGTTACATTGTTGGCTGTTGTACCTCTGGGAGATGGTGTAAATATGTTGGGTGTAGTTACATTGTTGGCTGTTGTAGGTCTGGGAGATGGTGTGAATGTGTTGGGTGTAGTTACATTGTTGGCTGTTGTATCTTTGGGAGATGGTGTAGATGTGTTGGGTGTAGTCACATTGTTGGCTGTTATATGACTTGCAGAAAGTGTCGGTGTGTCAACTGTTGTTAGGCTGTTCTTTGTTGAATCACCTGAAGTTGTGAATGTATTGGGCTCTGTTGTAATCCTTGTTGACTGTGTTAATGTTGTAGGTGTTATTGCATTGCTTGCTGTTGTTCCATTTGAAGAGGGTGTGAGTTTGTTGGCTGTAGTTGTACTGAAGACTGTCGTATCAGGTGGAGAAGCAGTTGTTGGGTTTGCTGTGGTTTGGTTGTAGATTGTCCCATCACTTGACAAGGGTGTGACTATGTGAGTAACTACTGAGTTTCTCTCTGTTGTGGTACTTTGTGCATGTGTGTTGTGGTCAGTTGTAGTTGCACTGTACACTTTTGTGTTGTTTACAGGTGATGCGCTGGGTCCAGGTGTGGTAACAGAGTTATCTTTTGTGAAATTGGTGGAAGTTGTAAACATCTCAGGTGTCGTTACACTGGAAGTTTTTTTCTCATTTGGTGAGATTGAAGATGTTTTTAGTGTTGATTCAGCGAGGGTGGTTGTATCATTGTGTTGTATTGTATTTTGTAAAGTTGTTGCTTTGTTGTCTGTTGTCTTCTTATTCGTTGTAGATGCACCCTGCCATTTGGTTGTTTTAGTCATCAAAGTTGTATCTTCTACTGTTGTACTCTCAGATACACTCAGCGTCATGTTTTGTGAGTTTGTTTTGGGCCAAGTGGTTGTTGTCGACGACTGTGTACTATCAACAGTTGTCAGAGGAGTTGTTGTGCCGGGCTGAGCTGTCCCTTGTGATGCATTTGTCCATGGTATTGCAGCAGTATTTCCATCTGTCGTGTAAGTCTGTGCAGTTGTGTTGGTAACAGATGTTGTTAATGTTCCAGTAGTTGTTGTGATGTTGTTGCTGGTTGAAGTGGGAGGCTCTGTTGGGCTTTGCTTGGTGGTAAGCGGTTCTGGGGTGCAGCTGTCAGTCAGGAGAACAGCTTGACTCTGATTTGGCTCACTAAAAAGGAAAAGAAAGAATTATGTTAAACTCATATTTTGTTTCCGTTTTTTTATTTTTATCTATTTTTTTCAGCTAGTTCCTTGTTAGAAGAGATGGTTGGGATACATTGATTTGTAGTTTCATGTTTGCCACTTAAGCTTTGGATTTATTGCAACAAACGTTCATAGGGGAACCCAAACAAAGTGCTTGGCAGTACAATGCATGAAACAATGTTTGACATTTTAGGTACTTCCCTTGTTTTTCCAGGGGTTTATGAGAAGATTGATGCCACTTTAATTTACTCTGAGTAAAAATGACACTTTTGCCAAACGCTAGTGAACCTAGCTTGATATAGACAAGAAACAAGGAGAAACAGCTATCCCAGCTGAGTATATACATTCCTATACTATATGTGTATAAACCCTACTGTCTTTAGATTATGACTTTATTCTTTATACTTCAATTTTGAACATTTTTACTTCCTTTTCCATAATACCACAACTTTAATTCCACAAATATATAACTTAATTCTCATAAAGTAATCAAATGAACCATGAATTTACTTTTTCACTGATTATTTAAGTGTGTAACTTAAATCTTGTTAATTTACAACTTCTTTCCTAATTCATATAAGAGAGTAAAGTCACAAATATAAGACCCTTTTTATCTCTTTTTCTCTTCCAACTTCATTCTCATAAATGTCGGACTTTATTAGGATACTTTAAGGACTAAATTCAGATAAATTTGGGGCTTACTTGCATAGTTGTTAAACTTTTAATTTCCTCAAAGTGGTCCTAACCTCCAAGTCATAAATGTGCTTTTTAAGTTGCAGTTCCAAGTGTCTGAAAGTCTTTTTTAGTCCGTAAATAAAGCCCATCAACACCTCATGTATTACTTTAGATTGTCAAATTAGCTGATTGCGTATTTCTTTTTATTTGTTTCGGTCCAGTATAAATAAATTAATCTGCTGACTGCGCTGAAGAAAACAAAAAAAGGGTTAGGGTACCATTCAAGTAAAGTGGGGTCCTGTTGGCAAATGTCAGTGATCTGCAGGTCAGCAGCAACCCAGTTAAAGTTGGACTCCAAGAGGGAACGGACAGTCGAACCAGGAGGACCACAAATCACTGCAGACGCACAGGAAATCATCAGTAATCAAACAGAACGTCTCTCTGTAGTTTTGGTTTTCACTGGAAAATGCTTGAATCTAAACACTGACGCATGCGTGAAAGTGGCTCCTCGATTGTGATGTCAAAGTTGCTGATGGCTTTTTGGAGCAGCAAACTCAATTGGCAACCATCAACTGGTCCGGCCATCTCTAGTATCACCATGCAACTGTAGAACCTGGTAACAGCAAAGAGGTTCAGTCAGTCACTTTGGGAACTTGAAACTTCCTTTACATGTATGAATGTGACTATTATAATGAGAGTCGTTTAGGTAGAGATAAATATACCTCTCTGGTGTCCCATGGCAGTCGACACGAGCTCGCTGGATAAAGGAAAAATACTGTGATTAATGGCTCTTGTTTGGGTTCAATAGATTAAAGTGGCTGCACACAGTTTGGATTAAGTTCAGAAAGTTCCCTGTGATGAGATTTACCTTGTAGTACTTGGAAAAATCCTGACACGCTGACCTGGAAACAAATTAGTGACCTCCGATCAGAAAGTCGGAAAGGCAAAATTAAAAGACCTTACAACAGTATTGAAACAAGAAAGAGACTTACCTTGACGTTTGGTCACACGAGGACACAAATCCAGGTTGTGTTAACTGTCAAGTAAGGTCAGAAAGTCAGTAGAGGCAAAAACATTTGGAACATTTGGAATTTCCCCCTGTGGGACTATTAAAGGAACTTATCTTAACACTCAGGTCGTTTACATGCACAGTTTAATCACACTAAGCTCATAATTCTTTTTTTTTTTCTCTGTCTGAATCAGACTTCTCTACTTGTCCTTGTATATGTAGCTGAGAAAATCGAATTATTGACGTGAACGTGTCCTCCTCCCCAACACTAGGGGGCAATATGGGTCTTTTCAGCGGCACTGTTTCCAACCCCATCCAACCGTCAACAACAACAGCAGGTCGGTGTCAGACGTCAGAAGTGTCTACAACTGCTGCTGGGCATTTTGGAGAAACAAGAAGATGGAGCATCGTACAGCGTTGTTTTTGTCCGACATGATGGACGCGCTACTTTTTCTTAAGATGAGACCAACGCTACTCCTCTTCTTCACATTATCTGGGTGTCTTAATCGGAGTTCTCAAACCCTGATTATAGTCGGACTAAGTTGTTTACATGCACTTCAGTTGCCCGGTCTTAATCGGAGTAAGGCGATAATTTTGTTTTCTTGAGCATCATGTAAAAGTACTGAATGACATAAACAGTTATACTAGTGTGCTTTACATACCACCGTTTTCAGGACATCAGTAGTCACAACAGCACTGTTGACGTTGAGGCGTGTGGCATAATAGTGGCCTGGAGGGACAGCAGAAAAAACAGTGACGGCAAAGATTCAGCAAGAACAAAAAAAAAGACGTAGACTCAATTTTCAAAATACATTTGTTTTGATTATTGGTTTGACTTTAAAGAAACTATCATCAGACTTTTAGCATAATGAACCATAAGCTTGTCCTTGGCTTTTTTCTGATCACAGTCTGTGTCAAATACTTGATTCTGATTGGTTAAAGCCCCCTCACAACCTCTTATCAATGGTTATCAACATTTGATCACAAGATTAACGCCAAAGACAAGCAGATCACACACGTCATATCGAATCAAAGAGCATTCCAGCCGTTTACTTACTTGCAGTTTGACAGAAAGCGGTGCAATCACAGTAGTGAGGTTTTACACCTGAGGCACAAAAACAAACACGGTTACACCAATGGAGAATTACGGTGACTATAATCTGTTTTAGTCACTCACTGCTGCAAGAGTCTGTCCTCGTCTGCAGAACCGGGTCAGAATTTGGCTCTATGATGGAGCTAAACGAATAAACACTGATTAGACACACACATATTGAACACTTTGATGGATATGTTTTGCTTAAAAAATAAAAATATTACTCACCATGAAAGCTGGGAAGGTTTATTTGTCTGACAGATATCATCCAGCGAAGATGAAGATGTGCACCTCATGAACCCCCCTCTAGAGGGCAGCATATCCTCACAAAGGTCCCGACCTGATGTGGATGCATCAATGTGAGTGAGTTTATATCACAGAGTTTGTGGCTTTAAAGGGGATTTTAGTGCAGAGTGTGAAAAAGTTAACAATAAAGATATTTCTGTCACAGAGCTGAATGAGGATTAGAAATTAGGATTAGAAAGTGAATTTAAGGGTAAAGATGGAATTAGGCTGGGGTTTACATTCATATTTGGATAAAACATAAAGTTACTGAAAATGATTCAGGGGAACGGAATAATTTGTTCAAGAGTAAGTCCTTATGATGACGAAAAACAAACATATATGTGTGTATTTGTGCTTGTCGTCTTATATTTATGGGGACCAGAGTTTTCTTTTGGGCTTTGACAATGGGGACATATTTTTAAATTTTTATTTTTCACAAGGAACTTACACATTTTTAGAGGACAAATTAGGGAAATAAAAAGGTGTGTCTTATTGTCCAACATAAGTATTATTATTCAAAATCAATTTTAGGTCTTTTGGTCACATGACATAGAAGCTATTGAAGGAAAACAGCCTTTTCTGAGAACATCAACTGGTAATTTATTGAAGGTCCCTTATTCAACACCGTCGTTGACAGTGATGGTGACGAGTAGATTTAACCGCGCTGCTGTTGTTATTCCCGGCTATGGAGAGAGAGAAGACACCGGTAGATCCTCAGAGAATGTCCGTCAGATATCCAACCTAAAACTAACTTCACCGCCGTATTTACAGGAAAATATATCCAACCTGAAACTAACTTCACCGCCGTATTTAGAGGAAAATATATCCAACCTAAGACTAACTTCACCGCCGTATTTACAGGAAAATATATCCAACCTAAAACTAACTTCACCGCCGTATTTACAGGAAAATATATCCAACCTGAAACTAACTTCACCGCCGTATTTACAGGAAAATATATCCAACCTAAAACTAACTTCACCGCCGTATTTACAGGAAAATATATCCAACCTAAAACTAACTTCACCGCCGTATTTACAGGAAAATATATCCGACCTGAAACTAACTTCACCGCCGTATTTACAGGAAAATATATCCGACCTAAAACTAACTTCACCGCCGTATTTACAGGAAAATATATCCGACCTGAAACTAACTTCACCGCCGTATTTACAGGAAAATATATCCAACCTAAAACTAACTTCACCGCCGTATTTACAGGAAAATATATCCAACCTAAAACAAACTTCACCGCCGTATTTACAGGAAAATATATCCAACCTAAAACTAACTTCACCGCCGTATTTACAGGAAAATATATCCAACCTGAAACTAACTTCACCACCGTATTTACAGGAAAATATATCCAACCTAAAACTAACTTCACCATGGTATAAAAACACATTTGTTAATTTTTTTATTCGCACATGTGCCCCTAAATACATTTTAAAATTAGCTGTAGAGTATCTCTGTTTCTTTCAAATATTCTTTGGTTGATAATCAGCAGAGTTTAAAATTCTTATCATTTAATTTTCTTGTGATCTAGATTAAAAAATGGATCTGTGTGTAATAAATGTTGCCTTGTGTTTTCCTTTTATATCTCACACACTTTTGTTATTTTCATGTGGGTATATAGTTCGGTAACACTTTACAATAACCATAATTCATAAATAAATAATTATGACTATTAATTTAATAACTAATAATTTATTAAAGGTTTATATAGGGTTTAAATATTGTTTGTAAAACATCTAGATTAAAATGTGTGTCAGCAGCACTTTGTAAATGTTTAACATTTGGTTTTCAAACCGTCTATAAACATTATTTAGATGGTTATTGTAAAATTAGGGTCTAGTTAACGGTTAATGATCTATATGCTGTTTATAAATAATGATAATGGTCTGGTTATAAATGGTCTATTTACAATTTATAAGTTATGGTTATTGTTAAGTGTTACCTTGTTATTTTGGGGCTTTGAAATGACAAAGTGCACCTTCAGACAATAACATGAGTGTTTTGATGGATGTGTGAAATTTGCTCGGAGGGAAAACTGAGTGTAAAAATCTCACCAACTCTCTCCACCTCTCCTGTGATTTTCACTTGGATTCGTTGGTTTCCAGCTTGCTGCAGTGCAGAGTCTCCAGCCCGCTGCAGTCGACACGCTGAGACGGCCTGACTGAGCTGCAGCAGCACATCGCAGGTCGTTTCTCTGAGAACAAAGTATTCACACCACGGTGAGGACGTGCAGTCATAAGATTATGAAGGTAAAATCTTTAAGACACGCCGTTACCCAATGTTCATTTTCGCCTTGCAGCTGACATCTGCTACCTGCAACAAGACACAGAAAGCTGCTGTCAGTTTTCCTCCCCTGCAGGAGAAATCATAATCTGGAAAGTGAAAAAGGGGATGTTTGTTTCGGGGACAGGCTGACCTGAAATCGTCCATCACTCTGACAGAAATCTTCTAGACCTGTTACCGGGCAACCAAACGCACTTGACACCTGAGTGGAAGATAGAGAGACGCAGACGGACAGACGCTGAAACTGTGTGGGAGGTGATGAGAGAAACAAACTTAACCCAGAGAGAGAGAGAACACTTAGAGAAGTCCTTAAACTGCCTGATCCAGTGAAGAGCCAGAAAATGAACACGCTAACATACAGCTCCATCTGAAACTCATGAACAGTAACGAGAAGAGGTTCAGTCTGGAGACCGTGAACAAAACGAGAAATTAAAGGATAAGAAAACTCAAAGTTGAAAAAGATATATTTATATACCCTCACTTGTGAACAAGATCCCGAGATACTTGATACTTGAGGCAGGACCGCCCCTCCGACCCGGAGAAGGCAATCTACCTTTTTCCAACCGAGGACCATGGCCTCGGAGGACTTGGAGGTGCTGATTCGCATCCCGGCCGCTTCACGCTCGGCTGTGAACCGCCTCAGCAAGAGCTGAAGGTCACTGCTCGACGAAGCTATAAGCACCACATCATCTGCAAAAAGCAGCGACTGGTCGATCTACGTGCCGACCCTCAACTATGGTCATGAACTTTGGGTAATGAATGAAAGAACAAGATCGCAGATACAAGCGGCTGAAATGGGTTTCCTTCGCAGGGTGTCCGGGCTCAGCCTTAGAGACACTCGGGAGGTGCTCAGAGTAGAACCGCTGCTCTTCCACGTCGAGAGGAGTCAGCTGAGGTGGCTCAGGCATCTGGTTAGGACGCCTTCTGGACGCCTCCCGTTAGAGGTGTTCCAGATATGTGCCTCAGACATATAGTTAAAGTTGCAACAGTCTCTGGTTTGACCATTTGCTCCACATTCCCAGAGACCCTTTTAACCATCCTAGCCAAAGTAAGAAAATACCCAAAGAAATAGCTTTAAAAAATCCCAACAAGAGGTCAAAGAGCTCCAGCAACACTTGTGTTCACGAAAACAGCTTCATCAGGGTCATCCAGGCCACAAGCCAAACCGCGTCGATCAAATAAAGCTGTTTTCCTGAACTACAAGTGTTTCTGGAGCTCTTTTGACCTCTTTCAGATCCTTTTTCTCCAAGCGCCTTGGAAGTTGGTGAAGTTGTGCTGGAATTTTTGTCCTCCAAAAATCCCAACAATCAATCTCTGTGCCCTTTCTAATCTGTGGATTTGGTGGTTTTTCAATTATAAAGTTAAAATTTATGAACGAACAAAAGAAGGAGTTCGCAGCCGTTTAATCTTCCTCAATTTTCAAGTAAATAACCAGCAGATCTTTTATTAGTTTAAACCCTGATTTTCTCAAACTGTTGTATTTTTACCTGCTGCCTGGTTTCAAAAGTCTGATTTTCATGCCTGTATCTGAAGACTCACATAAAGCTGACTGAACACCAAAATAAGCAAATAAAAAGTCCGACTCCTCAGAGATTTATCTGTGTGAACACTGACTGACAAAGATCGGAGGAAAAATTCACATATTTCATTCTCGAAACCTGAAAGTACTAACAGTTAATTATCAGTGAGGTAACACGTCGAGACGTCACCCTGCTGTCGCTGAGCGAGAGTTGTTGACAGGCTGAATCGATTTAGATTTCAGGTGCATCACAGAGCTGGAATGTGCTTCTCCTGTTGACTAATCTTCTGCCGGCAAGACTTGTTTGTGGCTCGTTGACATTTTGAAGCTATTAAAAGCACGCAGCATGAAACGCTGGAAGTTTGGAAGGTGCATCAGAAGCAGAACAAAGAGCACAGACTCAATTTTCACTCTCACCAGGCTGTGGACGTCCTGTTCGCTTTTATCCGCCTCTGTCACCTTTACTGTTATGGACATCCAGTAGTGAGCATCTGCAGTGGAAAAAAAGCATATTTTTGAGCATTATAATTCATATTTTATATGTTTTCAGTTAGAAATGCAAAAATGAGAGACGAGGTGAGGGTTAAAGGAGGATTTCTCTTACTTGTATTAGAACAGAGTGAGCTGACGTCACAGTTTACAAATGAAGATCCTGAAAAGGAGTTAAAAAAGTGAAAATATACTCTGAATTTTCACAAACTGGAGTGAGAAACATTACACTTTATCGTCCTTTGTGCTTCCTATAGATGTGCACAGATTGGTTTATGATTTGCTAACATACTGGAAACAAATGAGTGTCAAAAACAGAAAAATTCAGACTAAACTGTTTCAAATTAATGTAAATACATTTCTACAAATACGTGCATTCATGTCTAGAAGGTGGTGCACTGCTTTTGCAGACAGGAGCACCTCCGAAAACGTATGCAGATCGCTACAGATGGAAGAAAGGAAGAATTCAGGAGTGTTTAAACTCTTAAACACGCTTTTTAAAGACAGTCACAGAGTACACGTCAGTGTTAGGTCACCTGGATACACACCATCAGTAAGGCTTCTTTTAGCTCGTGCCCCACGTCTCAACCTCCTGTGGTCTACGAGACACATGAAAACATCCAACATTCAACATACAACATGCACTAAAGTCATGCACAACAGGACAAAGGTTAGAGATGAAGACACCACAAAAGTCACGCTCTGAAGTGTGAGTATGTTCTTATGTCTTTGCAGCCATAAGAGATGTTCAAATGTGAGTCATGTGCAAAGATCGAGCTGAAAAGAAGACTAGAGTAGAGCAGGTGAGATACTACAGTGCTAAAGTAAGTCATGTTAAAGTGCTTCGACATGCAAACCAACATAAACGTTCAAAATGATCCTTTTATGAAGATCTGATGGTTTTAATTTTAAATGATAAAACATGAAAGTATAACTTCTCAGAAAAAACACAGATCTGTTGAGACTAGAGTAATCTGATCATGATTAATTTATTCAGAACAGCTCTATATTTTTCATTTCAATGCTAAGACTAAATTGTGACGTCTATTTCAGGTCACAGATTCAGCTTCTGATTGGTCAATAATAGAAACAACACTGTTTTGATATAATTTGTAGATAATTCATCACAGATCACCTTCTTTTATGGGGGATTTGATCCAAACAGTCTCTGAAAATACACTGACCCTCCCTGATAGAAACATTCAGACGTCATCACCGCTCTCACAAACTGAGTGGATTTGAGTCACTTTATTGTGTTGTTATATTTCTTTAACTGGTGATGAAAACTCAACAATAACAGGTAAATATCAGCACTGGAGATGGTTAATTAATAAATGTAAACGCAAGATAATCACACTTTTCCAAGACGTATTTGGAGGAAAACAGTCTTAAATGGAGGTCAGTGTGGTCAGAGCCGATTCTGGAGTGTGCTTACAAGACCTATTATTTTTACTACATAACTTTTGCTCTAAAACAGCTTCATATTTTTACCACAACAGCCAGATTTGGTCTCTGAGACTTACTTCAGTATGTTATAAGCTCCAAAGTTGATAGTCTTTGATGCAGAAAGCACACTTTACATCGAAACATCAATAGTGTAAGACTTAGGCTAACTTAGACACGACTTTCATTAATAGCATTTCATTAACAGTTAGCGGTTAGCTGTTTTTTCCCCCATCCAAATCACTCTTTTACCGGTGTTCTAGTTACTCTGGTGAAATTTCAGTCTTGTATCTTACAAACACGCTTTCTCTCTGTCGGCTAACCTAACAAGACAGAGTGGATATGTTAACACACGGAAACAGCGAGTCAACGAAGCGGGAAACCGAGGCTAACGTCTGCCGCTAAGCTAACACGGCTAACTACCAAACAATTGACAGACCTTACACCAAACCTCACACCTAATGCTAGTTAAAGTATTTGCCAAACTTCACTGTCTGCTCCACTTACCGCTGTCTTGTTTTGTCCTAATTTCCCTCTCTTTCTTTTCTTACTCCATGATAAGTAGCTCCACTTCACGGCTGATTTTGAGGTTACTTTGGTTAGCCAATGGAGACCGACGTCCGTGCATGGCGGCCATCTTGCTAAGGGCAGCTCGCCCACTCCTAACATTATAGTCTACAGTTCAGGTAACATTTAAATAACCATAGATGGATTAATTTTAAACCGATTTTCAAACGGTTTGGTTTGTAACAAACCTCAGAGTTTTATTTATGTTCCTGCACACTGAAGAATAATTGTAACCATGGATTTTCATTAATAAACATTAAACCTAGATCTATAGATCTATAATAGCTATAGGTGGGTGCTATAGGTGTAGGGACGCAGGTGACTGCCTTGAGTCATCTAACCTTTCTTATAGATATCTATGATTTGACCACTTGTTGTTTGATGAGGTTGCAATGGACATTATCGTGGAGTGAGGTCAGCCCTCCTAGTGGCCTGGGGCCTTAAACAACCTGCCTGCCTCGCCTGTTGACAAACTCCGGCTTTGAGTGTGGTCCCTCTGGGGTGTATTTTTGTGACTGATCTTCTGCAGTTTTAGTACGTATGAAAAGTGCTTTGCAGACTTTTATTTCATAACTCTTCACTTTATGAGTTTCTCTTTTACCCACCCTCATGCCTCTGCTATGTTGCATCATCTGCAGTTACATAAGAAGTCAGCGCTGAAATCTCCAATCTGCACTGACTCCAACGTGTAAACTCAACAGTCGGAGCATTAGAGTGAAGTGTTTAGAGCACAATTAGTCCTAATGATGGCATTAAGGAATCAAATTAAGTTAATCAACCCTAAAATGCTGGAGAGTCTCCAAATTTGTGAGAAAAAAAAAAAAAAGAAATCAGGATGAACTTTAAAAGTTTGCAGGTTTGCAGTAAAAGTGTGTAGCAGAGGCTCACAGGTGAGTGACACTGACAGGAGCAGATGCTTACCTGTGTGAGTGGCAGGTGTTGTAATAATTGGATTTGAAGTGGTTGTTATTGAAGGCACTTCTGGAACAGGAGAAAAGAAAGAAAGATGAAAAAACAGAAGGAAAACAAAGAATCTTCACAGCAAAGATGAATAAAGGAGTTTTTCACTGACTGTAAATTAATGCTCACCAGGTGGAGGAGAGAAAATCCGCCCAAATCCACCTGTGGACGCTGAAACAGTGGATAAGAATGATCTTCTACATAAATAAGTCACTTAAAATGAGAATTAAAATGATGTGGTTCCCATTAAATGATGTTTTCTTATTTAGAAATACCATAGAAAACACCCTAAAATAAAAAAAAACACACTATTTTGATCATGTTTAAAGCTTCATGCGCGTCTCTCTTACCACACAGGAGATAAGGGTCTCTCTGTCTGGCTTTCAGACTGGTTACGCCCCAGTTCTGAGCATTCCAGCCAATCACAGTGCCATCCTCACAAAGGCCGTGGTAACTCAGGTCCGCCCACATCCGGAACAGGTACAGCTCAATTTTCCCGCTCAGGGTTCTCAGGCGTCGGTCCCGGGGTCGACAGCCAAGCCACAGAGACGTGGAGGGGGGGATGGCCTTAGCGATGACGGTCCTCTCAGCGACCAACTCCCCATCAACCTGAAACAGAAACGCTGGCGTGTTTTCAAAGAACAAAAACTCCTGTCTCTGAGTTTTCTGGGTCGGTCGAGTTTTTATTTCAGTCTAAGTTACACGACAGTGCAGTCACTGCTTTGTGTCTTTACTGTGTTTATACAGTTCATTGTTTAATCTGTCACTCAAAACCTCACCCTGAATGAACAACAATCGCTAACTTGTTCATATTAATCTGTTTTTGTTAACAGTTCCTGCCTTTTGTCTGCAGTCCTACAGGCATGTTAGCATGGGAGGAGTTTAGTGTGTTCACAATTATTACTTTTATAAGATTTAAAAGATCTGTTTGTTTTAGGGCTTTTTCCACTTGAGTTTTTATTATCTTCATCCAGTTTATTGTCTTTAACATTTTCCATATTAACTCATAACTAAGTTTTTACCTCCAGGCTGAATGAGTTGCGTTGCACGTCCCTCTTCAGACACACTCTGTGCCAGAGAAACGGGGACAGCCGGAGAGGAAATCTATGTTTGACCCTCAGCAGCCACCCGTACAGCGCCTCATCGTCTCCCTCCAGACCCAGCTCAGGTCTGGGAGCGTGGACGGAGCTGTATGAGAAAGCCACCCATGCCCCGGGTACGACCACACGGATGTCGACGCACACGGTCATCTGGAAAAGTTCCGGCATGGTGACCCTGTCCTGCAGGGTCCAGTGGTCCTCACATCCTGATAATACTGCTTTGGTGTCTCCCAGGAAATATGCGAGTGCTGGAATGAGACACAGATTCAGAGGATTCAGAGGTGGAGTTAACGGCTAAAACTAAACCCAGAAATGAAAACTTTAAAAGTCTCGTACCTTTTGGTGGTTCAGCTGCCAGCAGCAGAATCAGGATGACCAGAAGGATCCGTCTCCATCTCCAGCTGCCTTCAAAACAAAGTCCATTCATCCTCCTGGAAACAGAAATTCATGATAAATAAAACCTCCTCTCTTCATCAGGTTTGACTTTTCCATTTTTGTGTACATCCTTTCTGCTTCACTGCCTCAAAATTCAAATGTACAGCCTCCTCTTCCTCTTCCTCTTCCTCTCCTGCCTGCAGACAAACACTCGATCAGAGTATCCCTGTTTCAGTCGAGGTTTCCATCAAAGTTCGCTCTCTCTAAACTAAACTATCTGATGTTATCGACGCTTTGTCTGCGCTGACAGAGAGGCTGCAGGGCAGGGCCGGACTCTGCAGATAAGGTTCCCTCTCACCGCGCTCACACCTTCATTAATGACGGTTATTATTGCAGCACCTCAAATACAAAACAGCTTATTAAAACAATTTAATACCATCATGGAAATCTCTGTAATTATTTATGAAGTAGAGCGACGGAGGTAATTATGTTTGAAGTGGTTTTTTAATATGTCAAAACATAATTAATATGTTTACACGGATACAGTAATAATATCTGTGTTACACAAGTTTAAGTAACTGTTCTTGTACCGTGTCTCTACGGTGGCACAGAATGGACAAACTAGTGACGAAGAAAAGAGGAGAGGGATCTTTGCTAAAGGATTTTTACTGGTACTTTTTATGGTGAAAACTTGATGAATGGAGGATCAGACTTATTATGCACTTCAGGACTTCCTGAGCGTGAAGGTTACCCACAATTTCCACCTTCATCCCGATCGTCTCCTAAAAGGTCGTATCCTCCGATCGTAGCTGATCGTAACCATTCGAGTTAACGTGTGAATTTCCGCCGGCTTCTTTCCGTTCCTCTGCGGATTGTCAGACTCAACAAGAGTTCTATTTTTTCTGGACGCCGGAGCATGGCGGATAAATTCAGCACAGATTAACCCGTGCTGGAAAGGAAGTCGGGCACAAAATAAAAACACTCCACGGAGACGAACAAGTGAAAGGTTTTTAGACGTCATTTCACCCCGATGACACCATGGATGAGGAGATGCTGATTCTAGAAGTCTAGAAGTAGATTTCCTCCTCTGGAAGGACACAATCTACTGCTTATATGTCTATGTGTCTGTCTTTATAGAGACAACTCGTTATCGCGCGATTGAATGTAAATCTGCAGGGTCTCGTGAGTTCTCCCGATGGCTGCTGTCTGTATTCCACCACGAAATTTGCCTCAAAAACAGGTCTGGTAGGAATTGGCGAATGTTAGGTAGGATCTGAGCCGTTCCGTGAAACACTGGGGGTTAGGGTGAGCGAGGGAGCACCTCAATCTGAAATCTGACCCCATTTCTGCCTCTGAAAGAGCAGCAGACTCCATCTCCTCTCAAATCTAAAACAGCTTCTTGATGCCCTCTTATCTTCATTTCGTTGTTCATGAACGGTTGTATTTTTGTTGAAGTTGATCCCTGTTCTGGCTCCACCTTCATCTCGGTTTTACTTTATTAACTTCTCTGAGTAAATACTTTCACTCTGTCACTTTGGCATCTTTAGAATCTCATTCCTAACCCCGTCTGTTTCCCTGCGTGTTAATTGCAGCTGCACATTTGCATCAGAGCGTGTTTCTGACAGAGTCTGATTGTTCCTGAGTTCAGGGAGTGTTTGCATCAACAAAGAGCCTCATCATGAGAAAATGTTCTTCATCTGCTGCAGCGTATTAATGTGAGATTACATACAGAATAAAATCAAGTTATTATTTAGACAGGTGTAATCTTTTAATGAGGCCGTTTACATCCCTGCCTATTTCACTTGAGTTCTAGATTCTTAGATTTATGGATGTAAAAAAGGGGAGAAATGAGTGAAAGAAAAGCTGTTTTTGTTTGACGTTCAGATTTATCTTTATCTGTCTTTGAAAAGAAATAAAATTCTGATATTGTGTTGAAATCAGCACAGGTACAAATATCGTGAAGCTGATCGCTTCAAAGTTTGAAGAAAATGGAGGGAAAATGTAGAAAAAGAAAGAAAGTCAGTAACTAGCTGAGCTTTAGTTTGTCCAAAATATCGTTTCATTACATTTGTTGAACTTTTGAAAAACATGTGAGCAGGTTAGTCCGACTGAAATCCCACATAAATGAATCTCTCATTGATCACACAGTCAGTCAGTGTGTTTACAGTCACAGTTTAATCAGACTAAACTTATTATTCGTTATTTTTGCTGAATCGGACTTCTCTCCTTGTCCGCGTTATTGACATTGACACACAATGAACCAACAAAGACAGAGGAGAAGACAGGGACTATATCCACACTGACGAGCAACAGGTGAGAGTCATGAGTGATTAACAAAGGAGGGAAAACTAGACTAGAAACACAAGAGCTGTGTCCCAAATGGATCCCTAACCCCTATATGGAGGGGTGTCCAAAACCTGAGTGATCAATTCCAGTGCCTCATATATGCGACTCAAAATTTCCCATAAAGCATTGCAAAATGTAGTGACCATCCGATGGTCACTCACCTGTGGTGGGCATCCCGTCATGCATTGCGTCTTGCCATGTAGTGTCTGAAACCTGCGGTCATTGAGTTCACTACATAGTCAGCTATGTAGTGTAACCCCATATGGGGGTCAGGGGGTTAGGGAATGAGTGATTCATTTCAGACACAGCTAAGAAATCAACTTCTAAAAATTAAACAGGAAATAAACACTGAAAACTGATCTAAAGAATAAAACAGAGAGAGCAGGAGGGAAACAGGGTCGAAGACAAACTGGAACCTCACAAGACTGGATTAGAGAGGAGCAAGAACACTCGGGAAAATACAGTTAAATAAACTAAACAGAAAATATTATGACAGGTAGAGCTGTGAAGTTGTCTGAGTTTTCAGAGTTCGACTGTCGACCTGTTCACGTGTTTATTGATTGTTTTGGTGCCGTGAAATCATCAACCTGAGAGAGGACATGTTGGCGTGTCGTCCCGTTACATCGTCTTTTCCGGCTCTAACCGTCGACTGTTCACTGTTCATGTAAATGTACTGAACGATGCAAATCACATCACAGGAGATGACAGGTGAGAGTGAGACTGTAGAAAAAGGTAAAACACCGATAACCTGCTCACCGCTCTTTAGACTCAGAATCACACGCAGGAGGGAACGACGGGTTAGATTTATCAGTTCTTCTGTCAAAGGGGCGGAGACGCGTACGAGACGAAAAGGAGGACATGTGTCAGTAAATCTCCTGCTGTCTGTTACAGACGGATTCATGTCTTTGACATTTTCCACCGTCTTTAATTGACTTTTGTCTGTTATTATTGTAACAGTTGCTGAGACACTCTGGGCTGCATCTTTGTCTGTAAACTGATATAAAAAATAAAGTCGAATATGGAAGTAAAGCCTTGTCTGTCTCTTTCCTGCATGTGACCCATTACTTAATAATGATAATAACTTTATTTATAAAGTACTTTTAAAAACAAGAGATTACAAAGTGCAACAAGAAGAGAACACTTGGGGGAAATGACGCATTACTGGCAATAAAGAAATCAAATCAGAATTGGTGGAAGACATAAAAGCTTTGATAAATGTCACATGAGCTGAGACGTCATTAAAATAGTGATATTATAAGAGTCCGTGATAGCCGGCTAACACAGGAACCCAATCATAAACACCTGAGACCAAGAGGACGATTATAAAACAGGAATAAGAAGAATAAAGAAGATAAAATCACTTAAAAAGAGGTCGATAAAAATGAGTTTTGAGATGTGATTTAAAAGCAGTGACTGTTTCTGAACACCTGATCTCCTCTGGGAGGTCGTTCCAAAGTCGAGGGATCCTGATGGAAACGACCCTGTCACTTTGGAACGACCAGGAGGACCCAAACCGAGGATCTCAGGGTACGTGCCGGCTCATAGGGGGTTAAAAGTTGTTATATAGATCTTGTTTTTATTTCTAGTTTTCCAAACATGTCCTGGTGAAAATCTGACATCCTGACCCACAAAAGTGAGACCAACCCCCTGAGTTAACTCCCACCTAAAACCTGCTCAGTGATAGTTTCACAAACAGCCGTGGAAGTGTCGTTAGTGGTAATGTATGGGTCTATATTTAGGATGTGACGATCAGATGTCAGAGAGAGAAAGAGTCCCTCTCAGCGCCTGAAGGCTGCACACAACTCTTCTGTTTATTGTCATTCCTAACCTCAGGTTCCCACACTCTGACTTTGAAGTTAAAACACTCAGAAAAAAAACACGAATCAAAACTCTTTTTACAACCTTTTCTGTCAAAAGTTCTCACGCTTTTAAATCCTTTTCGTTATAAAGGACGAAGGTTTTTAAAGATTACCTGATGCTTTCCAAAAGCACCTGCAGAGTCCGCGGAGGTGTTCTCGTGTGATTGAGTGTCAGTCCTATGGAGGTCGACTCACACGGTGTCCACACATGGTCCCTGCTGGTCTAAAATCCCTCAGTGAGAAATCCACAAAACAAAAAAGACAAAATTAAAAACAAACTCCTCGTTTCCTTGTCGGTGTTAACTCCTCCGTCCTTAGCTGCTCCTCTCTTCTCCTCTAGAGTCCACCTGTGTCTTATACAAGAGCATCGTCTGCAGCGTCAGGTGCCTGAGTGTGAGTGTGTGTGCGAGTGCGAGTGTGTGTGTCAGTGAGTGTGCAAAGGTGTGGACAGGAAATCAGAAATTCTGTAACGTGAGGAGACAGGAGATGAAGTGATGACCCACCCCGCTGGGAGGAGGGAGGAGGCGCGTGAAAAGAGATGATATTCTACCTTTCAAAGTCCTTATCTATCTATATCTACATCTATCTATCTATCTATATCTATATCTGTCTATTTATCTGTATCAATATATCTATATTTATGTCTATCTTGTTTTTTTCTGTTATGTTCTCACTCAGTTTGACTCCAGGGCAGCAGCTGGTCTTCAGGATGCACGTCCAGACAGTTCCTGGACAGAGTATTATCTACTGTGTGTACTTGTGTGTGCTTGTGTGTGCTTGTACAAGTGTGTGTGTATGTGTGTGTGCATGTGCAGGAAACTATGCAAGGTGCAGCTTATTGCAAAAACAGGCAAAAAAGAAAAAGAAAAAATTACACGGTAGGCTCAAGTTTGAAATGTTGGATCCAGGCTGACAAACCGGTCAAACATCTTCCTTCTCTCTTTTATTCTCTCTCTGTCTCTCTCTTTGTCTCTCTCACACACACACACACACACACACGCACACGCACACACACACACACACACATACACAATATGCTGTGACTATGAGGAATGGCATTTGACGTCAGACGTGAAATGAATCCAAGCAGCCTCAGGGCGACACCGCTTTTCAAATCTCAGAGCGTCTTTACTCGTCTGCAGGCATGTTTGCAAGTGCGTGTGCATGTGTGTGCGTGTGTGTGTGTACAGAGAATCAAGATAATGAAGTATTAGATGTTGGCCACTAGGGGGCAGTCTTGACAACAGTATTGTGTCTCGCCGATCAAGTGTCAGGCTCTGTTTAATTTCAGCGCGACAAAACAAAACAGTATCAGATCAGTGGAGCGAGGCGGGACAGCCGCACGAAACTGCTGCTGCTGCTGCTGCGATGAAGAAGCACTTTAGACTTCACTGTCAGTGTGTGTGTGTGTGTGTGTGTGAGTGTTTAAAAAATTCCCACTGGAGAGCGTCTGTGGATTCTCCTGCCAGGAGACATCCAGAAACAACAAATTATCCAAACACAATCAAAGCTCGACTAACTTCTTTATCTCCTCCAAAGAGGAGTCCACACCATCTGGACTGAGTTTTCTGAGTTTATTAGAGAGTTCTGAACGTGCAGCCGAGGAAATATGTCCCCCCATCTGTGTCTGGGAGGAGGCCGAGCATTAGCGATCAGACAGTCGTGTGCGGGGAGGTCACAGTTTAGCTGCAGAGTGTCCTTCCAAAATCTCCCAAAACACCCTCGTAATGGACTGAGCTCAGAGTGTGATAGATTCAAAGTTAGAAAATTAGGACATCTAGGTCGATAAGTCTGCTCTGAACTCTTGAACCGAGCCCCACTTTCATCCGTCTCAACAATAGAGAGCGTTTCACACATAACTTCTTTTCAAACAAGTATGAAGAGAACCCTCATGCTTTTTTCTAAAGAGGGCGTGTCTCACATGACCGAGCTAAAAATATCCGATCTGTTTTCTCGTTCAGCCGGTGAAAAACAGGTTTGTTTAAATAGTCAAAATCTTCAGCTTGTGTCAGTTATCAGAGTTCTAATTGGTTTAGCGCTGTGTAGAAACCCAAGGCCTGAAAACCTTGTTATTCAGTATTAATTAAGATTATCAGGTAAAAGAAATAAAAAAAACAGATTAATTTAACTAAATATGAAGCTTCAATGTCAAACAGTCTTTGATTTCTGAGTTTAAATATCGACCATGAATAGATTTTTAATTTGAAGTTGAGTTTATTAAAATATTTTAGATAAATCAGAGTTTCTCAAAGCCGTTTAGATGTCTGGTTTTATTGTCAGACAGATGTTGGGTTTTTAAGTCAACCAGCTGTTTGTTTTCAAGTCCCTGAAGCGGTTTTCAAATCAACTTGATGTGACGTTTTAATGGGGCGTTCCAGTTTCCTCGGAGGTCGGATGTTGGGACTAGGGATGATGTCACACCTGAGTCAACGGCGTTCTAGAAAACAAATAAGAAAAACAAAATGGACACCTAATGTTGTGACATTTAGCCATTGTTAGCTGTTGTTAGCTGTTGTAAGCTGTTGTTAGCTGTTGTTAGCTGTTGTTAGCTGTTGTAAGCTGTTGTTAGCTGTTGTAAGCTGTTGATAGTTGTTGTTAGCGGTTGTTAGCTGTTGATAGCAGCTGTTAGCTGTTGTGAGTTGTTGTTAGCTGTTGTTAGCTATTGATAGCTGTTGTTAGCTGTTGATAATTAGCTGTTGCTAGTTGTTGTTTGGTGTTGATAGCAACTATTAGTTGTTGTTAGCTGTTGATAATTAGCTGTTGTTAGCTGCTATTAGCTGTCGTTTGTTGTTGTTAGCTGCTCCGGTTGAAAACAACGTATAACATGGTATTTAACTCATATAAACACAGTGTTTACCTTAGCTTTTTCACTTTGGTGGACGATAGGGGGGTTATGACGTAGACATACGTCACCCCATATGACTTCATATGGGATGATGTATGTCTAAATATGATGTATGTCTACGTTATATGGGTTGGCGGGAAATGAGTCAGCCTTGTTTCGGGGGCTGGGAGAGATGCTTAAGCTAGCATCACAAGAAAATGTGTGACGTCCGTATCACTACGTACCGTCTTTTTATAGAGTGCAGAAATTTAAAACTGGGGTACTGAATGTCCGGGGACAGTTCGGTGCTCCATGACCAGTTTTTTTTATTGTTTTGTTGGTGGCAAACACATTTGAAAGGAGCTAGAACCCCGTTTTGTCAAATCATCCTGCGCAAAACTGCTAGAGTATGAGCAGCAAGCGCCAGAGTTAGACGTTGGACAGTTCTACATATAATTTTTCTGTTTTTTGATCAAATAAGGCTCGTGTTTTTGAGACAAAAACCTCATCATTGCCCATTATTTGAGGATTTCAATTAGAAAAATCTGCATTGTTGTCAAAGCCGTCGTTTTCAAAGGATGACACAGCATACATTCAGCGTGCGCTCTAAATAAAGGCATCGGCAGGCAGGTGAGGGATCGCGCTTTTGTCTTCAGGTGGTTGTTAAGCGAGCTCAGAACCTGAACAATACTTTCATTCAGGGCAAAGAGTGAGAGAAAAGCATGGATTTACAATAAGAATCACTCCTACACAGAGACCTGGAGCCAGAGAGGATCAGAGGATCCAGGAATAAAAGAGATGAAGGAATCGAGCTCGTTATAGTCGAAAGAGAGAAACGCATTCATTCAGACGGAGGAAAGAACAACAGTTTGGATATTAAAACACTTTTCTGAGGAATAAATCAGCTCCTATGTCAGCACGAAAATAAATCTGAGATAAGAACGCTGTTAAAGGGTTCAGGATGATTTTAAGATCCTTTTAATCACATTTAAACAAAGCACGCTCTGGAGGCTCTTCCAGTAAACAAAAATGATCATAGTGCTTCTTGAATGTGATTTCAGTGTTTGATCCCACCCAAAAACACCACCTGAATGACACTGCTCTGGATAAAATGAATGTAAAGTGCACTCTGAATTGGTAAAATGCAAACAAAAAAGCCCTCTGAATGCCCTTCCTGTGGATAAATCAAAAACACAGTGAGCTCTTAATGTGGATCAAATGTAAACAAAGCGCCCTCTTAATGCCTCACCAGTGGATAAAACAAAGTTCCCTCTGGATGCTACTCCAGTGGATGTAATATGTCCTCTGAATGCCCTTCCAATGGATTAAATGTAAACAGAGCGCCCCTTTGATGCCCCTGAAGTGCCCTTTAAAGAAACTTCCAGTGGTTAAAATGCATATAAAGTGCCCTCTGGATGTCCTTCCAGTAGATGAAACCTAAACGATATTGCAATCTGAATGCCCTTCCATTGGATCAATTGTAAAGAAAGTGCCCTCTAAATGCTGCTCGATAAAAATGTGTTAAAGTGCCCTTTAAAGGAACTTCCAGTTGATCAATTTTTTCAGTTTTTTTTCCCTCAGAAATTCAGACACATTAATCATCTTTGGCTAAAACTGTCGACTGTTAAAATAGCGCCACAGTAAATGTCACAAACACAGCACCACCTCAGAGCCTCATTTCTTGAGTTGACTTTATTAATCCAGCATTAAAGTAGAAATACTCGAGTCGTACAGATGATTGCCTCAGGTTGTCGTAGCTCTATTTGTGCAACTTGCGATGTCGAACAGAAAGCGGTAGCAAAACAAGGTGACCAGATAGAGAGCGAGTTTTAGTGAAAAAATGTGGCACTTTGCTTCACGTCCAGGCCTGACCTCGGCTGACCCCCGACTTCTGGTCCGCTGTTCGGGAACGAGCTCATTGATATGCCGCACAGCATCAGCAACAAGCAGGTAACCATGGATACGCTGCATTAGAAAGCTGGTCTGTGCTCACTCTTTCTCTTTAACAACCTCACACCTTCATTTACTCCTTCACTGTTTCCTCTTGGCTTTCTGTCTTTATTTCTCTTCCTTTCTTCCACCCAAGGACGCCCTCTCTCTCTCTCTCTCTCTCTCTCTCTCTCTCTCTCTCTCTCTCTCTCTCTCGCTCTCGCTCTCGCCGTCTTTTCACGCGTCTCAGCACTCGCTCTTTTGGCAGCATCATAGCGGCTGCTTCAAGTGACTTCCTCGTCAAAGGGCAAAGGTCTGGACATCATCCTCAAACAGTGGTGATCTGGTCCACCACGCGAGTGCTGTCATTCATCTCCACGCACTCCACTTCCTGTCTCTGCCCCTCCCCCTCTGGTCCGTGTCCCCGGGTCTTGGAGGGCGGCAGGAAGGTGAGGAGGGTGGGCAGGAAGGCGAGCGTGTGCAGAGCCGAGCAGCCGGCCGTGAGGGTGAGGCAGCGGAAAAGTGTGCGTGTGAGGTTGGAGCGAACCGAGCCGACGGGCACCAGGGCGGCGCTGTAGCAGATAAGAGTCTGTAAAGAGGGGACGCCGTGTCTCTCTAACGCCACTCTCACCCAGCGAGTCCGGCTGTCGCCCCGACCTGAGGCGAAACCGCAGAGAAGGGGGCCGCTGCAGTCCGCCGAGTGCCCCAAAGCTGATATCAGACACAGCACTGACATGCAGTCAAGCTCCACCCCCCATAAGGTCATGAATCCGAGGACCCCGAACTGAACAGAGAGCAGGGTGAGGCCGAGCCACACGGACACCAGCGGCTCGACGACCGCCAGCGAGGACAGACCCAACAGGAAGAGCACTGCCAGCAGTGAGTGTCTGAGGGGGGAGCTGACCGCCGCGGCGTACCGATCCAGGTAAACAAAGGAGGGGTTAAAGATCAAGAACCGAACCCTCGAAGTCAGAGACAAGCGTCGCAGCGTGTCCAGCAGCACTGACATCTCCTCCCGCTTGTTCTCCGTCGTCTTGGCAACAAGAAAGATTCTTGACGCCGCCACCTCCGGCTCCTCCCCCTGACCTCGCTCTGCAAATATGATGTCATCGGTGAAGTGCGCAAACTGTGGCTCACGGAGGAAAGAGTGGCGAAGTGTGCGCGTGAAGTTCTCCCGTGGCTGGCTGGTGGACTGGTTGCGGTCTGTCAGGTAGTTCAGGTACGCTTCCAGCCAGCTGATTCGCTGGAAGCCTTTGGCGTACTCCAGCAGGTCCCGCTGCACCGACACGTTCCAGTAGGGGGCGCTTTCATAGATGTAAAATCCAATGACAGGGGAGTAGGAGCTGAAGTAACGCTGCTGGGCACGGGTGTACAATACTGTCGCTGTGTCCATGGCAACCAGAGCGCTGGGGTCCGAACCCTGGGTCACCTGTTGATAAAAGAAGCATGTTACTAACTGAACAAATCCTAGCGAAATCGGAGGCCTGAAACAAGATGGCGACATCTACGAAAGTAATTTTAGCGCTTGCCTTGTCCGAATATAAGGCAAGTGCTAAAATAACTTTTGTGAGGTAGCCATCTTGTTTCAGGCCTCCAATTTTGCCTTTTTCCGACTTGGCAACTGAAACGCTGGGAACTCCGACATCTGACTTCCGAGGAAACTCAGATGCAGCATTATTGTACAAAACATGAACCCGTTGTATTCGGGGTCTCCTTACCTGCAGGAAGCCCATCAGCCCAAAGGAGATGTAAACCAGGTACAGCAGAACCACAAAGGGTTTGACGTAGGTGTTGGTGATCCAGTCCCCATAGCAACGCCTCACACACCCTAACAACAGGTGTGAGTCCTGAGGATGATGATGGTCCGTGTGAGCTGACGGATGTGTGTGTTGATGTGGGTGTGCAGAGTTAGTCACATGACTGTGTCCGTGCAAGACAGGATTGTTCACCGTGTGTGGGTGTGGGTGCGTGTGTGCATGTGTGTGTGCGAGGTTAGGGTTTGGAGAGTTAGTGTGTCCGTGACCGACCCCCCCATGTGGAGGGTTCGGAGTTTGAGTCTCGTCCTGGTAGCGAGTGTACATCAAGCACCTGTACCAGGCGGGTTTAGAGTCCAGACGGTCCGGTTTGGGGACTCTCCGGCAGAAGCAGCCGTGCCTGTACCCGGTCTCCAGGTACCCGGTGAACACCAGACAGGAACTGTAGAAGGACAACATGTAAACGTAGCTGATGGTGACAGCCAAGGCAGCGGTGCGGCAGAAAAGACGAACAGCCTCCATGTTGGTGAGCGGTGAGGCGGCGAGGCCGAGGGTCAATAGGTGGAGCATGGTGGAGCCGGAGAAACGCAACATGACGTCCTCGAAGACGCTCGCCACACGCTCCTTCACGTGCTGGTCTTCCCGAGTTCGTCTCCACGATGACAGCATCTCAAAGGAGCCAAAAAGCCCGTGACCTGATGGAAACATGGAGCACAGTGTTAGTTCAGGCAGGCTGGACGTCAGGCTCAGCCAACTGTATATCAGCTGATCTTAATACAGGCCAAACAGCTGACATGTCAGCCATCATTAAAGGGATATTCCGGCGCAAAATTAAGTTAGGGTCAAACACACCGTCACACTGAGTTAGACCCCCCCTCCAGAGATGAATGTTGCCGACCGCTTGCTTCTCTAGTTATAGAGGTCTAGTTAAGACCTCGGGCCAGTCCATTACGGACTACAGCGGGTGCCGCAGCTCAAGGAAGAACATTTATGATCATTTCTTTATTATTTCCTTAAAGTAATAATCATCATATTAATCATTTTACAGACGCTGTAGTTCTTCTGTCTTAGCGTCTCGGTCTGATTGTATTTCCATGAAGAAATGATCATAAATGTTCTTCCTTGAGCTGTGTCACCCCGCTGTAGTCCGTAATGGACTGGCCTGAGGTCTCGCTATGAACAAGCGTCTGCTGGAAGAGAGTAGGTGAGTTGTGTTTAGTCTCTTTGCTAAAGAAATGAGTCAAAGTTAAAAAGATGTTTGGTGTCTAGTACTATGGCTGTGACCCTATATGTCCTGTTGATGAAGTTAGGTGCTGTTCTGAGCATTATTTGTGGTTATAGAGTGGCGTTTTGGTTGAGTGCGTGGCTCTCTGTATTGCTATCCTGAGGTCATTACTAAAGTTGGTATAACTAGAGAAGCAAGCGGTCTGTGTTGTGGTTTGTTTGACCCTAATTTAATTTTATGCCTGAATATCCCTTTAACGCCTGCAGCAGGGTCTTTGCTGCTGCTCTCCCCGCCTTACACAGGGAGAGCCAAATATAAACCGACCGGAGGATCTTCTTCAACCTAGAAAACAAAAACAAACTGGTGAACATTAAGAATCGTTTCCTGTTTCAGAGCCGTTTGTTTACTTGATCAGCTGATTCAGAGAGAAACCGTTTAAAGAGGAGAAACTCTCTGACAGAACAGATTGTTGCAGCTTTTTGTACTTTTTCAGTGATTTCACCAAGTTTTAAATAACAACTTGTAGTAATTTAGAGCTTTTAAAGAGGTTCAACAATTAATTATTGAAGCCCCCCCCCCCCACATAAAAATCATACAAACATTATTCCTTTACATTACGAGGGCATAAAAAGTGCATGAATTTTTACAGCCTGCTGCTTTCACTGGAATATTTCAACCACTTTTCATCTGGCTCGGATTCCCTCATTTCGAAGAATCACAGCATTGCAGACAAATATCTGAGTGTGTCTGTTTTTTAAACAGTCCTCTCAGCATGATGTCACACCTCAATCCTGTCTGAACTGGAAAAATCTGACTCGGCAGATCTGAGACCCCGTGGAAATGTAGTTTTCTGGTCAACTTGTGTAGTTTGAAGCAGCAGAGCGGAGCGCAACACGGATGATTGAGAAAATTTTAACATGAATTCAGAATTTGAGTTTGCAGATCTGCAGACATCATCATGTGAGCGCTGAAGTTCATGTCACATGCATGTCCGGTCTCATGCAGATGAACATACATGTTTGAATACATGCACCAGATGGTTTTCAATGGTTTCCTCTTCCGTGGTTGCTATGGCACCAGTGAGTCACCAGTGACCCAAGACCCCCCCTCCCCTTTCTCCAGTGACCTCACCACGGCAAAACACTTAACACCTCAGCAGAGGCACAACGTACCGACACTTCGAGCGTGGGTGCAGCTGAGAAAGTCTGTGGATCTGTGATTTGTGTGTGAGTGAGTGAGTGTGTGTGTGTGTGCGTGTCTGTATCTGAGTGCGATTGTGTGCGTGTGCATCTGTGTGAATGTAATTGAGAGCGAGGGAATCAGGCAGTGAATGGCAGGGAAAGAGGTGTGGAGGTTAATGTTGCAGCGTGAAGAGGGGGAGGCTGAGGACAGCACTCGATGGAGGATTTTGGGATTTTACCAGAACTGGAGACGAGCTAATGTGCGATCTCGGACCAAAACACACACATAATACGACACACATGGTGGCACTAAACCAGAAGACAAACCCATCAGAGGAGGACATGTCCTTCTGCAGGGAAGCTTTCGGTCCCTGATTTGTCATAAAGAGGATCTGAGGTACTGGAGACGCTCAGGTTAAACTGCTGTGGTAAAAGTGGCACTTACACCGTCCATTACCCATAATTCTGGTATTATCTCACAGGGTTAAAAAGCTTCTTTAAAAGGATTAACTCGATTTTATGCTGAATAACTACTATGAGTGTGCATTTAGTCTGAAATGTTAGACAGAAAAGAATGAAATAATCAAGTTTAAGAAAAGAGGAAAATATCATTGATTTAAAAGCTAAACTTCAGCAACCTGGAAACTGGATTACAAATTGAGTATATAGTTAGTTCAGGCAGGCCACAGAGTCCAGCTCAGCCCCCAGCCTCCTGATGCCCGTTACCATCTACCATCCAAAAGGCTGATGTTAAATTTAGTATTCTGTATAAACTGTGAACTGTTGCTACTTCCTCTGCAAAACCACTTCGAACCTGCTTGTCCTTTTCATGCTGTGCCTGATTGTCGTATTGTCACCAATGCCTGCTCCTTTCTTTATTCAAGGGTCTTTGCTTTTCACATATGCATTGAAAAAGGAGGGGAGGGGCTTTGGTATTTCTACATACTCATGCAGAACTCTAAGAGAAAAGCCATACTGTAAAATATAACATACTGTCTGCAATAATTAATGCTCTGTCTGAACATGGACTCTGCCTCATTGACACCCATTGGTTTTGGTTAGGTGACGTTGTAATTGAGTAAATCTATGTCTAAATCTTTGTCTTACTGTCTTCAAAACATCTGTGTTATAAAAAAATCACTTCTTGAAAAGTGTGTATGACTCAAAAGTTATGTTGTTTATTCTATGAAGTAGATATGTTGAAATACATTTTAACATCTGTGTTAATGTGAATTCCTTGGCTTCTGCAAGCAGCCTCTGGTGGACACTCAAGAACTGCATCATTTTGTTGCATTTCTAGATTGGCTTCATTTTCAACACCAGGTTACGATAATCAACAGACGTTAGATTCGACCATGAATACAATACAAAGACTCAAGCATAGCTCCTGACAACCCTTTTTAATGCTTTATCACCTTTATTATATTTTATCATGGTTTTATCGTTTTAGTCCTCACCTGGTCTTTTGCGTATGCATCTGTGTGTGAGTGCTGTATGTGTTGAATGGGAGTTGGGAAGGTGGTATTTGTATTTTTATTTATTTTACTTCGTTGTGTTTTAATATCCTGCGCCAATGGAAAGCACTCTGTGCAACATTATACGTATGAGAAGTGCTTTAAAAATAAAGTTTGATTGATTGATCTTACAGTAATACTGTCTTATGAGCAGTAAAAGTACAATACCAAACAACACTGCGACAAAACACCACTTGCCTTCATTTCATGAAAAACAGCTGTTGTTTAATCTCCACTGATCAGCACTGGGTCAGCTGTATGTCAGCCATTCCATCCATATTTAAAAATTTAAATCAAAACAATTCTAAAAGCATCATTCAAATTCGAAAACGGAATGTTCCTCACAAAAAAGATCAAAGCACAGTGATGTCATCGATGACTCAGAACAGAGTTAGTAATTGAGTTGAGTGTCTCTGAACTTGCATATCAAGAAGACTACTCTACGTTCGAGACGCGCATTTATCAACTCTCAACGATAAGAGAAAGAACTTGGATATTTATCGGCTATCAGCGATAACTCTCAACTAGCACTGTCTAGAGGACTACTCTACGTTTGAGACGCGGATTTATCAACTCTCAACGATAAGAGGAAGAACTCAGATTTTTATCGTCTGTCAGCGATAAAGAGAAGAAGGGACTTTGATCATCCCCCAAGAAGAAATCCAATAATGCAGGACAACAGGGAATCACAAACTCTCAGCTGGGCTGACATGATGGAGATGGAGGATGAGATGGCTGTTGAGATGATCAACACCATGCCAGGAGCTGAACCAAGCTGCCAGCAAAACCAACGCCGGCAGCCCCCGGCTCAGCTACCAGCGCAAGTCCCGAGGGGAAATCAAGATCACAGGACCCCTCACCAAAGACAGCAAGGAGGCCACCAGGTGATCCACCAGGCCCCCTATCAAAGACCACGTGAGGGACATCACGTCAAACACCAGGCCCCCCACCACAGGCAGCAGGGAAGCCATCAGGTTTACCACCAGGCCCCCTACCACAGACAGCAGGGAAGCCATCAGGTTTACCACCAGGCCCCCTACCACAGGCAGCAGGGAAGCCATCAGGTTTACCACCAAAACCAACAGGCTCCCTACTACCAAGAACACCAGGCACGCCCTCCCCCCCGATGGCAGGTGGAGGCAAGTCTGAAGAGCCAGATTCAGGACCTGAACTCGCTTTTGAGAAAGGAGAGGGTAGCGAAGAACAAGCTACAAGAAAAGATTGAGGACATGAAGGCAGAAATAGAAGAACTGCAGGGTAAGGTGAAGGTAGAGAGATGTGAAGGTTGTGAGAAGGTCATTCTGCAGCTGAAGGAGGAGCTTAAACATCTTCACCCAAACTACAAAGTACCGCAGAACACAAGTTATTACTCCATCAAGACCAAAGAGGAGCTCATGGGTGTGATTTCTGCACAAAATAAAAAACTCCTTGCCCTAACCGCACCTCAAAGGAAGACTAAGACAACCCCAAAGGATAAGGCCATCGACCTCGCCATCGAAGCAGACATCTTTGGTGCTGACGCCAGTTCTGCCCTCCAGATGGAAGGTTTAATGAATGAGCTGAAGGCACAGGAAGCTGCCAACAAAGCCAAAGAGGAAGAAATAGTAGAGCTAAAAAAGACGCTCAAGCTCTACATCTGGGAGCCAACGGCAGCACCTTTCAGTCTGGAGGAGCAGGCCAATGATGCAGATGCACACGACATGGCTAGAGTGCAAAAACTTAAAGATCAGGTCGCATCTCTGAGAAAGAAGCTTGACAATGAAAGAAAGAGGGCGTCTACCTTCCAACAAGAACGGGAGGAAATGAGGAATATGTATGAGGAGAAGATCAGCAAGGAAAGGAAGCAAGTTCAGGAGCTAAATGCTGAGAAACGTTCTCTGAAAGAGCAGGTGAAAAAAGTGCAAGAAGATGCATACAAACGAGCCATGGAAGGATCCAAAAATAAAGAGGAGATCCAAGAGCTCAATGGCCTTGTAGAATCTTTGAGCAACAGGCTGGAGGCTCAGATGCTGAGGACTGAAAACCTTGAAAAAGAACACGAGGGATTTAGATCTTCACTTCAGGAGGAAGCCAAACAGGAGATGAAGATGATGGAGCAGTTGGAAGCAGAGAAACTTTCTCTGGAAGATGTGGTTAAGAAATTGGGATCCAAGAACACAGAGAAGATCCAAGAGCTCAATGACCTGGTATCATCTTTGAGCAACAAACTGGAGGCTGAGATGCTGAAGACTGGCAACCTCCAGACACAGCTGGATGAGGCCAAGCTTCAGCTTCTTAAGGAAAATAACCAAGAACTGCGGCTGGATGAGGGAATGGATGAAGAAAAGGACATCCTGGAGACCACAGCGGATGATCTGCTAATGGAAAGATCTGAAATTGAGGATCAAGAGGAGACATTTGAAGTCATTGGCGAGGACATCAGAGAACCCTCCCCTGAACTGGACATTACTTTGGTGGACAGTGAAGAAGACAGTCCACGTACAGTTCAGGAGACACCTGAGATGACCTTACCAACACCTGAGGTCATCGCAGGAGCAACTGAACTGGAGTCAATCTCACTGTGGAGGAGGTTCAAAAAGGCCATGACTCCCAAACATCACCGCAAACACAAGAGGCAGAGGCAGAGGCAGGACTGAAAGGCCCTAGCTCCTTGCCTAGCTGGAAAAAAAAATACAAAATAAAAAAAAAAAAAAAAAAAAATTTGAATATTTCTTTGTCTTGATTTTATTGTTTGATAGGTCTTCTCTTAACTGCTGAATGTGCAGTCAGCAAAAAAAAAAAAAATCTTTACAGGAATTAAAAAGTGCAAAAAAAAAAAATTGCAAAGAAAAAAAAAAATCCTAAATGAGTTTATTTCTTTTTAAATATGTTATTGCTCGACGGCTTTTCTCTAAACTGCTAAATGGGCAGTCAGGAAGTGTAAGTGTTTGGTTCATTATTGACCTGTACGAATAAAAGCTCAAATGTTGTTTTGATATTTACGATCAATCTTGAACATTATCTTTGAAAGGGTCTTATCATCCCTCATAGAGCTACTTCAGTCAGCCTACAAGCAGTCTGCTCGTAGTTCTTTTCTTGTGTCTGTTTTATTATGGTGTACAGGACCATTATGAACCCCAGGTATTATTTTTAACCAAAATATCAAAATATACGTTTTTTAAGAAAACAGTTATCGTGAATACTGGTATACTATGACAGTACTAATGGGTATATATCTTATTAAAGCCTGATGAAAGGTGTATTAGGGTTATATTAAGGGCTTTTGATTGCTCCACCTGCTGTTAACAACACCACATTTCACTGGTTTAAGTGGTTTAACTGAACTGAGTTTGTGCCTTTCTGTTTATTAGCATGAAACATTCAAAAGTCAGCCAGAAACTGAGTTTTTCAGGGACTTATTTGAAGTAAACAGAAAACAAATAAAGATATTCTGGCCATTGGCTTTAAAAGGGTTAAAAATGAGGTTGTTTACAGTGTTACCTAGCAACCAGTTCAAAGTGCCACACACAAAACACCCAAGCAGTCTCTAACATATGGAGCATGTTGTACCTCAATGACTGATACAACGTAAAGTTATGTTTCAAATTCTCGACACCAACGATTTCCCTCCTCTCTGTACACCGACACACACACACACATGCAGACACACACACACATGCAGACACACACACACACACACACGTCGTTAAAAAGCAGTTACTGCCCTGGAACAGCTTTCCCCATCAACACATCATTTCGTCTCCTGTGCCAGGCTCTGAGAGCTAACAGGTCCAGAGTGACAGCATTCATGTCCAATTAGCGAAGAGAAAAGATGAGAAATGTTGACAGAGTCCACATTTTTCTCCTCTGTCATGCTCTCTCTCTCTCTCTCTTTTCCTCTAATGCATAATCTCATCCCTCTTTCCCTTTTCACACTTCCTCCCACCTCTTTCTGTCGGCCCACTTGGTTCTGAGAAATCCTCCCGCCCGCCTGTTTTTCTTTCCTCTAACTTCAGTTTAACTTTGTTTTGTGCAAAGACAATCCTCCTCTCAGCCCCCATTTGGAGTGATATTTCATCCAGCCCCCATTTCCTCTCCATATCCCCCATTTCTTCTTCTGCTCTCTCTCTCTCTCTCTCTGCAGTTATTTTCGGCCTGGCAGCAGCTTTTCCTCCTCCGCATTTACTGACTAATTATGGTATAGACCCTGTGTGCATGTGAGCATTTACACCAGCGTGCATGCACTGTAAGTAAACTGCGAGTAGGCTTTGTATACAAGGCATGGGTTTTGATTCGACACCTTGTTTGTTAAATTCACACTCTCTCCCTGCATTGAATGTTTTTTATTTTTTTGGTTCCTCTTCTGATTTTTCATGCAGCATATTAAGACTCACTGATGCAGCAGCTCTTCAAATAACTCGGTTAGCTTTAAAGGCACAGATTGTTTGCTTTCTGCTGCTCTGCTAAAATCAAATTCGTGACTAAAACAGAGAAATCTCATTTTCAGACCCCTATAAACATATTTGAGGATGAAAGGATTCATATTTGTCTCGACTTTATTGCCTGTTGGAGTAAATCCATCCTTTATTAACCCTGCTGCTGCAGCCTGTGGAAGACTAATGTTCCTAATAAAGGATTTTACTGCCTTGAATATACTCAAACTGTCCAACCTATAGATTTGTTTCCCCTCTCTGCTCTCTGGTCATGAGCGCCGTGACGTCAGGTCTGCGATGTTTCCGTGAGTTATAGTTCCAACTAAGTCTGGTGAAGTCTGCGGCCCATAAGGACCCGGATTCTGACCCTCCTGGGCCAAGAAGTAATCGATCCACATTAAATCTATGTTCCTCACTGTCTCTAAAATTCAGTTTTCCTGCAGTAATTTACATCCACTGAGTCACACTCGGCCTCTGACTTGGTTTTTAGTGCCGTTGTTAACCTTGGCACCGTGTTACCTTCTCTAAAAATGAGTCCACTGAGGTCGCCTGACGTCGCCATCGTGATTTATGATTTTTGTCCAGGCCCCGTGTCCATTTATTTCCTGTCTCAAGTATCAGATACAACAGATACGATAGCCAATCAGAGCAGAGAAATGTATGTCAGTGTGATAAACTACAAGGGTGGACCTCCAGTACAGTAGGTGGCGACATAACTCCTATAGTGTATAAAATAATACTTTCCGTCCATTTTGCATAATTTTACCTCAAAAATTTCAAAAAGTCTCAAAAACATAAAAAAAAACCAGCTGATTTCAAGACAGTGTTGCCAACTTAGCAAATTTATTGCTATATTTGGCGAGTTTTCAGACCCCCTTTAGCGACTAATTTTCAAAAACTAGCGACAAATCTAGCGACTTTTTGTGGTGTCATTGGAGACTCTGACGTTAAAGCACGTGCCTCCCCCCTCGTCCCACAGCACTCCAGTTTATGATTTTACTAAACTGTCAAATTCAGCTCATTGGAATTGTTTACTCGGAGGTTGTCAGACACCAACTATGCAACAGTTTCTGTTTGCAGCAACAGTTCAGATCTGAGTTTGGATATCCGTGTCTTTGTCCTCGACTTTTTAAACAACTTTCAGATTCAGTTTCTCCCCTCAGTCAGTCAGGGAGTGTACTTTCAGTTTCATCATCCGCCCCCTTCCTGAGTCAAGTTCACTCTTCACCACCTGTCAGTCATTTTGACGATCTGTCGACTTTGAAATGGCGTTCAGCCCGAGGCTGGCATCTGCAACACCCGTCACAGATTTGAAAATAACAGACTGGGAACACGGGCGAGCTGTGATGGAGGAGAAAACGGAGAAAAGTGTTCACCTTGGCTCACATCTGCTCTCCTTTGATTCTCTCGGCTTTGATCGTTATTTTATGTTGTTTTTTTGTAAAGAGTTGAACAACCAAAAGTTTGCAAAGATTGTTTTTCTGATAAGTACCGAAGTGTACTGAAGTAACGCAGTTAAATTAAGCACTGCGAGGAGACAGACTGTTGACACGTCTGTGAGTAAATTTAACCTCCAGCTGATGTTTCACCACTTTTTTGATAAGCTTGAAAATCGAACTCGCTCATGAATCCTCCAAACTCTCAAACTGTCGGGATATTTTCAAACTAACGAGGCTCAAAGACATAATAGCAGACGAACATATGATGCAGGACTCGACAGTGCGACGTTTGTAAAATGTATTTAGGGTCACATGTCAACAAATGTTTTTAAATACGGCGGTGAAGTTAGTTTCAGGTTGGATATATTTTCCTGTAAATACAGCGGTGAAGTTAGTTTCAGGTTGGATATATTTTCCTGTAAATACGGCGGTGAAGTTCGTTTCAGGTTGGATATATTTTCCTGTAAATACAGTGGTGAAGTTAGTTTCAGGTTGGATATATTTTCCTGTAAATACGGCGGTGAAGTTAGTTTTAGGTTGGATATATTTTCCTGTAAATACGGCGGTGAAGTTAGTTTTAGGTTGGATATATTTTCCTGTAAATACGGCGGTGAAGTTAGTTTCAGGTTGGATATCTGACGGACATTCTCTGAGGATCTACCGGTGTCTTCTCACTCTCCATAACCGGGAATAACAACAGCAGCGCGGTTAAATCTACTCGACACCCTCACTGTCAACGTCGGTGTTGAATAAGGGACCGTCAATAAATTACCGGTTGATGTTCTAAAAAAAAAAAAGGCAGTTTTCCTTCAATAGCTTCACTGTCACGTGACCAATTGACCTATAATTGATTTCAAATAATAATACAAAGTTCGGATAATAAGACACACCTCTTTATTTTCCTTGAAAAAAGTACAAACTACAGAGTCAAGCCCTGTATTTTGTATTTTCCTCTTCACTATTAAAATCAATACAACCCGGACATGACGCCACATTAAAGGCTGATTAAAACCGATTTTGATGGTTTGCGAACCAGTTAAACTTTGTGGATTCAATGTAAAATAGAGCAAAACAAAAGTTAAGGACATGGATTACTTCAAAACTTTTAAATTAGGTGGTGCTAAATAAAAAAGAAAACACCTGGAGGACCATCTTTCAACTTTTAGGTTAATTTGCAACAGGTTCCTCACATGCCAGAGTATAAAAAGAGTATTTCTGTGAAGCTGCAGTAAGAACAGGCACGACTCTGTAGTGGAAATCACTGCTTCAGCTCAAAATCACTTCATATCTGCACGCACAAATAAAAGTCTGGACTATTGCAGCGTTCGAGTAACCTCGGAAGACAGAACTCTGAGCTGAAAATGACATCGCACCCGAGTTACCAGCGTTTCAGTTACCAAGTCAGAAAAAAGCAAAATCGGACCCAGCATATGACTGCAGGGTTCAGAGACTCGGGTTGAAGGTTTTGAACCTACCTAGCATGACAAAAGGGATCCCCAGGTACGAGGAGTTGTAGGTGGTCCCCGTCAGGTTGAGGATCCCGGCAGCGGTGAGTCCTGACAGCGTGATTGACAGCAGAGCCAGCAGTCCCAACCAGGGTTTGGACCTCACACAGTCCCTCATGGAGCAGCAGAGGATGGCCAACACACTGCACGCCCCCAGACTGGCCAGCAGGGGGCGCCGGGCCAGCACTGAAGAGAACTGGAAGTCCGTTCTTAGAGAGGAGGAAGTAGCCGGGTACAGTCCGAGTTTGGGGTGCAACGCCGCAAACGCCTGTAACTCCGCACAGAAGGCCTTCTCCCATTGGCTGGCGACGCGGTCCATCAGGCCGCCACGGGCTTGGAGGTAATAGGTGAGCTGTAACGCCCTCGCCGAGCGAACGCCCTCCCCTCTACCTGTACCCTGACCACGCACAGCCCCGCCTGGACCCCAGCCCTGAACTCCGCCCAGCTGGTGGCCGATGTAGGCTTGCCGTCCGTCTGCCAGCTGAGTGATGGGATAGCGCAGAATCGGGACGGTGCGGTTGGAAGAGCGGGCCGACTGGATCTCCTCCATGGCGCGGATGATGTCATCGATGATGCAGACGTTCTTGTCGTCAGGGAGACAGAGGTACGAGAAGGAGTAGTTGAAGCTGTTGGGTCCTGAGGCCGGGACCGTGACCTGCATCTGGTAGATCAGTCTGTGGAGCTGTGGGTGAAAAAAACCATCAAAGTCAAACAAAAACGCAAAAACGGAAATTTATACCAACAGAACTTTGTTAAAAAAACACATAAATCTACAGTGACCAAGCCTTTTATCACATGAACATCATTCTCTAAAGTCTTGACTATCAGGAGAAGAAAAATCGGGATTGGAACAAACACACAACAGAAATAATGCAGAATAAAAATCGAGAAAATCGACGATATCGTAGAATCGCAGTTAAAATCAAATCAGAATCTAAAAAATCGTAGAAGAATCAAATCAGGAGAAAAGCGTATCGTCCCAGCCTGACTATTACGTATAGTCTACCGAGACTTGGCAAGAAAAGCATATTGATCATGTTTAATATTGATATTGAGGGAAATTATTTTCGATATATAACATTATCGTTTTATCGCTCAGCCCTACAGCAGACCCACTTTAGAAAAACCAGAACGAGACAGGAACTTTGTTAAAGTTCATTTGAGTCCAGAAACTCAGAGAGTGTGAAAAAGAGGGACAGAAATGTGGAGGAGTGTGTGTGTGTGTGTGTGTGTGTGTGTGTGTGTGTGTGTGTGTGTGTGTGTGTGTGTGTGTGTGTGTGTGTGTGTGTGTGTGTGTGTTTAACTGCTCTCCACAGTGTAACAATAGTGGTCTCAGCATCCTCCTCCTCCGTTTCGAGGTCCAAAGGACAGCAGTGCCAGCAGCATCCACAGGCCCGGTTACTAAGCAACAGGCCTGATGCCAGTCTCTGCCATGGCGAGGATGGGCAGAGCTGCTCAGAGGACTGCATTAACTCCAGAGAGAGAGAGAGAGTGTGTGTGTTTTAGTGTTTGTGTAGGAATGTCTGATTTGTTTTGAAAGTTCCTGTCTCGCGTGGTCCTGACGGGGGATTTGTGGCGATGCAGCATTTAAGAAAAACAAAACAACAACAGCGAGGACGCCTCGGCGCCATCAGAGTGTCTGCTGAGTCGTGGGTTATGATACAGCGGCTAGATTAGACTTCTTCAGCTTCACTTGTGGTTTTTGGTTTCCCACAACCATGGAAACAAGATCGCCGTGAGGACATGATGCACTTTTTATGATGGCGAGGGGCCGTAATCGCCATAAAACACTTTAAAGGGATATTCTGAAGTAGAAAGAGATGAATGTTGTCGACCGCTTGTTTCTCTAGTTATACCAACTTTAGAAACGACCGCAGGATAGAAATACAGAGAGCCACGCCCTCAACCAAAACGCCACTCTATAGCCACAAATAATGCTCAGAACAGCACCTAACTTCATCAACAGGACATATAGGGTCACAGACATAGGACTAGACACCAAACATCTTTTTAACTTTAGCTAAGAGACTAAACACAACTCACCTACTCTCTTCCAGCAGCCTCATCGACTACAGCGGGGTGCCGCAGCTCAAGGAAGAACATTTATGATCATTTCTTTATCATTTCCTTGAAGTAATAATCACCATATTAATCATTTTACAGACGCGGTAGTTCTTCCGTCTTAGCGTCTCGGTCTGATTGTACTTCCATAAAGAAATGATCATAAATGTTCTTCCTTGAGCTGCGGCACCCCGCTGTAGTCCGTAATGGACTGGCCCGAGGTCTCTCTACAAACAAGCGGCTGCTGGAAGAGAGTAGGTGAGTTGTGTTTAGTCTCTTTGCTAAAGAAATTAGGTCCTGGGACCTGTTCAGACCCCCTCTGATGTTTCCTTGCCTGTTTTCATTGAGGTCCTCATTTTAAAATGTAGTGAACTGTTTCCTGAAGAGCCACGCCCTGAAAATGTCCGAGACCCAGCTGTGTTTCTCCTTCGTCTTCTTCAGTGTGATGAATACTCAGAGTCCCTCCTCTAATAACCCTTTAAACCTCGTAAAGTTCTGAATCTGAATATTTTAATTACAGAGCTCTGAAGCTTCGTCTGAAACAGATTTATGAATATGAGCTCAACCCCCCCCCGGAGTGATTTCATAAAGTTAAACAGATGTAATCAGAGCGTGCCGCCCATGAAGCACCAAAGTGGACCAGCGCATACATATTTGTTTGTAGTGACCCACTTAAACCGTGGACCAGATCACAAGGTGGATCTCAGAGGAGGGAGGAGTTCAGAGCTGAGCTTCGTTTACAGAAACTCACTCTTACACAATCTCTCACTGTTCCATCTCATCCCTGAGGGTCCAGGTTTGGTCGTGTTGAGTCCAAGGCTGGTACTGGTCTAGTTCTGCATCAGTCTGTGAACTCCTACTCGCCTCTGAACTTGTTGAGTAAGAGTGTCGGCAAAAATAGTCCGAACCAGACAGGAAACCCACTTCACAACCAGAGTACGAGTCATGAGTCAGACCCAAATACTCAAATACTCAAATACTGAAATACTGAAATACTGCACACAGTACTCTGGTCTGTGGTCTAAGAGAGGAAGAAAACAGTGAACTGAAAACAGACAATAACTAAACGACTCGATCAAACATCATCTACTTCTGCTACCTGTCCTCAAAGCTCATCTTGAAACGGACAAAAGTTTCAGATATGAGCTCCTGCAGACTGAAAACTTGTGTCTCTTTGAATCATTTTCGATGTCGATTAAACGCCTCAGAGCAGGGCGGTCAAACTCAACCACGGCAACCTGAGGGACAAAGAGGGTCAACATTTCACCCAAACTGTCAACCTCCTTTTCAAAAAATATGCAAAACAAAAACAGCAACGATTATAAATCATTTAGAAATTCAATAAAGATAAAAAGAGAAGTTTAACAGGGAATCTGAGATAGAAAAATCTATTTCATTTTTATTTTTTATTCTATTTTATTTATTGGTTCAAAAGATCAGAGCGTGATATTAAAGAAGAGAAATATTTATGTAAAGAGCAAATACACGAGGAGAACATTGAAATCAGGTTAAAAGGTCAGAATATGACTTTAATTTTAAAACTGGAATCTAAAGTATAAAAATGACAAAAGTCTAAATACTGAGTTTAACAAAATCAAAGCATGAAATAAAAAATCCAATCATGTTTGACTTATAATCTTGCCATGCAAAACTGAAAACATGAAATAAAATACCAAATATTTTTCCTCCACATTCTTGACTGTTTATCGAATCTTTTTTACTCTTTTATTTTCCAGATTTTCGTGGTTTATTAAGAACATTTTAAAAAATGGTGCTAAAGTTTACATTATTATACTCTGGAGGAAATCTGCAGACTTTATACTAGTGGGCCGATAATAATACAGATATGAGATGATCTTGTGGACCTCGAGTTTGACACCCGTGCCTCAGAGGAAGATGAAGCTGTAAATGCTTTGACTGAAAATGTTCTACTCTGCTGCTCGTTGTTATGTCTGTATATGTCTGTATATGTCTGTACTTGTTTATGTCTGTAACTTTGTCAATGTACTGCTGCCTGTCTTGGTCAGGACACTCTTGTAAATGAGATTCTTCATCTCAATGAGGTTAAATAAAGTTTCATTCATTCATTCAAACATGACCAAAACAATAGAACTAAAAAAAGGACAGACTGCACGTGTCTCTTGGCATCCTTAAAGATAGTCTGAGGAATTATCAGAGGATTGTAAAAGCCGAGAACAATAAATACTTCTCAGAATTAATTGCTTTTAACTGTAACAACCCCAGAGCTCTGTTCAAAACCATAAACACTGTCCTTGAGGCTCCCAAGTCTCTTGGTTTTGATTCCTCCACTGAAATCTGTGAAAAATTCCTCCACTTCTTCACCGATAAAATTATGTCAACCAGAGCCTGTATCTCTCAACCTTCATATGACCCTTCTGCCCCTCTGCACCCCACATCTGTCTTTGCCAAATTTGAGTCTGTGTCCCTCTCTATTTTAAAGGACATAGTCGGCCATATGAAGCCTTCTGGTTCCCCTGCTGATGCCATCCCCCCTCGCTTGTTTAAAGAGGTACTTGCTACTATTGGACCAAGTGTCCTTAATATTGTTAACAGTAGCCTCTCCTCTGGTACAGTACCTAGGGATTTTAAACATGCTGTAGTACGGCCTCTACTTAAAAAAACTGGCCTTGACCCATCCCTCTGTGCCAATTTCAGACCCATCTCAAATCTTCCATATCTGTCCAAGATTTTAGAGAAGGTGGTCTACAATCAATTGTTACCATTTTTGGAAGATAATGGTATCACAGAGTTGTTCCAGTCTGGTTTTAAAGCTCTCCACAGCACAGAGTCAGCACTTTTAAAGGTTTTAAACGATATTCTAATGACAACAGACTCTGGAAAGTTTGTTGTCCTTGTGCTCCTAGATCTGTCTGCTGCATTTGACACTGTTGACCACAGCATTTTAATCTCTCGCCTGGAGCACTGTGTGGGCATTAAGGGTGTTGCCCTGGACTGGTTCCGGTCTTATTTAAGGGACAGAAGTTTCTGCGTTAAACTTGACAACTCTGTGTCGTCAACAGCTCCCCTCCCACATGGGGTCCCCCAAGGCTCAATCCTTGGCCCTCTTTTATTTGCCTTTCATTTTTACGCTGATGATTGTCAGATCTATTTTCCACTTGCACAGAACAACTCCAACTCAGTCCAGCAACTCACTGACTGCCTTAAGGACATTAAAGCCTGGCTTTCTTTTAACTTCCTCAGTCTAAATGAGAACAAGACCGAGGTAATGATGTTTGGACCAAGTGGAGGCCACCCCCCCAACATCGACCTAGGCTCCCTCTCACCCTACCTTAAAGAGGTCGTCACTAACCTGGGAGTTAAGTTTGACCCTGATTTTAAATTTGAGAAACAGATCAGCGGGGTGGTACAAAAAAGCTTTTATCAGCTACGTCAAATAGCCAAGGTGAAGCCCATTTTATCAAGACCTGACCTGGAAAAATTAATCCATGCTTTTATAACTACCCGTCTTGACTACTGTAACTCTCTTTATGAAGGGATTAGCCAGGCTTCCCTTGCCCGCCTGCAGCTTGTGCAGAACTCTGCTGCACGTCTCCTGACACAGACCCGCAGGCGTGAGCACATCACCCCCATCCTGGCATCCTTACACTGGCTCCCTGTACAGTACAGAATTCATTTTAAGCTTTTAATATTTGTTTTTAAAAGCCTGAACAATCTTGCTCCACCTTACATTTCTGAAATGCTCCAGCCTTACTGCCCACCCCGACCCTTAAGATCAGCCGATCAGCTGCTACTGACGGTCCCATATACAAGGCTGAAGCTCAGAGGGGACAGAGCGTTTGCTGCTGCTGCCCCGAAGCTCTGGAACGAGTTGCCCTTGAATATTAGACAGGCCTCCTCATTTCCTGTTTTTAAATCCCTTTTAAAAACACACTTTTACTCCTTGGCTTTTGATACTTTTTAGTGTTACTTTGTTTTTTATCATTTTAGCACCTGCTGTGAGCCTGCTTATTTATTTACTTATTTATCCCCTTGCATTAATGTATTTCTGCTCACTTTATCTTGCTCTTTGTGTTATTTGTTTTATGTATCATTGTACAGCACTTTGACTACCCTTGTGGTTATTTTAAAATGTGCTATAGAAATAAAGTTGATTGATTGATTGATTGAAATAAAGATTTGATTGGATTAGATAGAACTTTATTTCTCTTTTGTCCTCTCTATGAGAGTCCGTCAGTGAAGGATCCTGAAACCTGTTTTTTCCTGAATGACTGGTTTCCTTCCTCGAGATTATTTCAGGCTTTAGCTCAGAGATTACAGAGAGATCTGGACCTGCTGCTTCAGGAGCTTCAGTTTTAGTCTGAGGGGGAAGGAGAGCTAAACCTGCGCCCCCAAAAAACTGATATAATCAGGAGCAGAAAAATGAGTCTCTGTGAAGAATTGTGAGTCAAATCATGTTCCCGAGTATCGATTCTGAAGAGGCCAGGACACAAGCTCACCTTAGACGCTCTTACTCAGAGCTGCGATGACAAACTGGGATGATTCTCAGAAAGCTTGTGCAATTTCAGGCACGTAAGAGTCAGGTACGGACATTTTCAGGTGGACTTTTGCAGATTGTTCAATTGTACGACCACCGGATCAAAGTTTTTTAGTTTAACATCCTGAGATCAGCAGAATGATTAGATCATCAAAAACTGACATCGAACATAAATAAGAAACGCAGGAGAGTTTAAAGGACAAAATGAGTTAAAACTGTCCTCTGAGCTGTTGTCTGAGATCACGTCTGTGGAACCCTGAGGACGTCACCTGATGATTTAAAGGGATATTCCGGTGTGAAATTAATTTAGGGTCAAACCCACCATAACACCGAGTTAGACCCCCCCTCCAGAGATGAATGTTGTCGACCGCTTGCTTCTCTAGTTATACCAACTTTAGTAACAACCGCAGGATAGAAATACAGAGAGCCACGCCCTCAACCAAAACGCCACTCTATAGCCACAAATAATGGCTATTATCTATTATCTAAAGCATCTTTTTAACTTTGACTCATTTCTTTAGCAAAGAGACTAAACACAACTCACCTACTCTCTGTGGGGTGCCGCAGCTCAAGGAAGAACATTTATGATCATTTCTTTATCATTTCCTTGAAGTAATAATCATCATATTAATCATTTTTCTCTGCAGACGCGGTAGTTCTTCTGTCTTAGCGTCTTGGTCTGATTGTATTTTCATGAAGAAATGATCATAAATGTTCTTCCTTGAGCTGCGGCACCCCACAGAGAGTAGGTGAGTTGTGTTTAGTCTCTTTGCTAAAGAAATGAGTCAAAGTTAAAAAGATGTTTGGTGTCTAGTACTATGTCTGTGACCCTATATGTCCTGTTGATGAAGTTAGGTGCTGTTCTGAGCATTATTTGTGGCTATAGAGTGGCGTTTTGGTTGGGGGCGTGTCTCTCTGTATTTCTATCCTGTTACTAAAGTTGGTATAACTAGAGAAGCAAGCGGTCGACAACATTCATCTCTGGAGGGGGGGTCTAACTCGGTGTTACGGTGTGTTTGACCCTAAATTAATTTCACACCAGATTATCCCTTTAAATTCAAGTTATTTCAAAAACAAGGACAGGTTTCTTTAAAGTCTAGCAGACATGGAGTCAGGCCTTGAACCCTCGACTTTACCCTCTGATCCCTCACTCTCTAAACTCATGTGTTTGTGTCTTTTGTTCACTCTCTCTGGTTCTGGTGTGTCTCTAATATCCATGTTTTTGTTTGTTTGTGTTTCTTTTATACAGATTAAACTCATTTTAGGAAAAAACTAAAATCTTTCCAAACCTTCTCAGTTCTTCAAACTTTGTTGGGTTCGTGTCCTCAAATTAACTCACATCAATACACAGGTTTGAAGTAGGTACCTTCAGTATGGTCTCCAGGTGAACCGGGTCCAACACGCTCCCCTTCCTCGAGGTGATGATCACGCGCCCATAGTGTCCCGGGGTCTGCAGGTCGGAGTAGAGCGCGTGTTTGGATCGGTTCACGGGGAACAGGCTGTCCACGAGGTTCCCCTCGATCTTCGCCAGGCTGTGCTTGGGCGCGAGCAGGCTCTCCACGTCCTCCTCCACGCGGTACCGGCTGAAGCTGGCCCCGAGCAGGATGGAGAGGAGCACGGGCGCCGAGGCGAAGAACACCGGGTGGCCCGCCACGAACCGTCCCAGCGCGTGGAAGGACGTCCTCAGGCCCGCGTGCAACACCTGGCGCAGCATCCTAGCGCGCGGCCGCGGTTCGAGCCTCTCCCACCGACCGGAAAGCCCCGGAGCACTGCTGAGCATCAGGAGCCGCCGTCCGCATCGGTGAGCCCCGCCGCTCTCGGTCCGGACGAAGAGAGGGGACGCCGGGGGGTTGGAGGCTTCGCCCCCCGGAGCAGGAGGTCACCGGCCGGGGAGAATCCAACCTCGCTCCGGTTACAGGTGCGCCGCTTCCCCCGGGGTTCTCTCATCCGCTGGAGGTCAGAGGCGGCGGAATGAAGCGGCACTTCTCTGCTTCTCTGCGGTTAGAAAGACCACCGAGGACGGACCGACCACTGCCCTGCTGCTGCTGCTGCTGCCGCTGCTGCGCAAAGTCTCCTCGACATGAATCTGTGCGCACCGGAACACAAGCAGAACCAAAGTAGATCCGAATCAGACTCAGGATCCAGGACTTGTTCTTGTCTGCGCACTCGGACAGGTTGGAGTCAGGCTGTCCATCCCTGAACCTGAACCTGAACCAGGACCGAGCCGGTGATGACGGAGATCAGCCCCGGTCAAACAGCTGATCAGCTGCCGGTGTGTCCAACTCCACCCTCCGGTCCCGGTTCGCCAAACAACCTGCTGGATGGTCGCGGTGGGTGGGCCAGAATGCGTGACGCGGTGTGTGTGTGTGTGTGTGTGCCCCGGGAGATGCCGGTAGATCTGTTTGTCCAGCGGCTTAATCGGAGTTTCCTCTGCGGCAGAAGGCTCTCTGTCGTCCGGCCTCTCCGCTCCTCCTCGCCCCGGTTCTCCTCCACGGGTCCTCCGGGCTGCTCTCCCGGCTCTGACTGCTCTGCTCGCAGGAAAGGCACGTCGTTAATTACCGGCGTTCAGACCGGGGTGCAGACACTCCCTCCCTCTCTCTCTCTGCCCCTTTTCTTCAGCCCCGCCCCTCCGATCCGTACCGCTTCAATGCAGAGAAACAAACACACCGTCCACGAGTGACAGAGAGTGAGTGTGACACCTGAAGAGAGAGAGAGAGAGAGCTTTCGAGGGATTCACTATTTCACAGTCAGGATGAATATCGAGATCATATCCAGGAGATCTTGGAGGTTTTCGCCTCTGTTTAAGTCTTAGTGCTGTTATTGTTACGGTGGCCGAGAACTGCCACTGCTGTAAATAAAAAAAAAGAATCAAAAAAAAAAAGAGAAAGAACAAGTCACAATGAAAGTTATGGATGCAAAAAAAGAAACGGAAGCCCGCTGCAAAAAAAAAAAAAAATGGTACGGATTAAAAAAAAAATCAAAATGGAAGTTAATAATGCATAGAAATAAATAAATAATGAAATAAAAAAAAACTACTTACTGCAAAAATAAAAGTATGCAAGAAAAAAAGCCACAACAGAAGATAACGACGCAGAAGAAAAGTGGCGATGCAAGAAAAAAAAAGTTACTGACTGCAAAAATAAAAGGATGCAAATTTAAAAAATGCACAACAGAAGTTAACAACGCTTAAAAAAAGGGGCGATACAGATCAAAAAAAGTTACTTACTGCAATAATTTAAGGATGCAGTTAGCAAAAAAGTCACAACAGAAGTAAACAATGCAAAAAAAGTTACTCAATGTGAAAATAAAAGGATGCAAAGAAAAAATAAACACAACAGAAGTTACACTGGCGCATCATCATTATTGGTCCCCAGCAGCTCACTTAAGTTGTGGCTTTTTTAAAATTTGCTCCCTTTTATTTTCTCAGTGAGTAATTTTTTTAATTTTTTATTTATTTATTTTTTTCCATTGTTTACTTCCAGTGTGGCTTTTCCTTTTATCTGCACCGTTTCTTTTTATTTGCAGCGGGCTTCTGTTTCTTTTTCTTCCGTTGTGACTTCCTTTTTTTTTTGCATTCTTTTATTTTTTTTACTTGCAGCAGTGGCAGTTCTCGGCCACCATAGATTTTAGTCTGGTGTTGAATCTTTAATATAGCACAGAAACACAAAAAGTGACTCTCATCGTACTAAAACCTGTTGACAGGAGCATTAGGACCTTTAAAAACTTGTATTTTCTTATTTGACTCTCATTAAAGTCTTTAAATTCACTCACACGGCTGTAAAAGTAGGAAATATCAAGTGTCCTCATCCTCTTTGGGGACAGATGAAACATCTCTGTTGTGTAGCTCGTTGCCATAGAAACCAGACAAATTACTTTCTCTTTTTTTTTTTTAGCAGGCTGGTTCCCATGGCAACGACGATGCCACCCATCCCCCCAAAACACACACTACAGTGCGTTTGCACAACAGCATTACACAATCACACACACACACACACACACACACACACACACACCTGCTGACTCCCAATCTGCTGATGGTGTTTGACATGGAGAGAGAGAGAGAGAGAGAGAGAGAGAGAGAGAGAGAGAGAGATGAACACAGATCACTCTCTCTCCTGTCCGTCTCTAAATCCAGACTCATGGTGTCAAAGAGGCTAAACAGCATTTGGTGAGTCTGCATGGGACCGAGTTATCGGGACGTAAAGACGTCGTGGATTCAAGAAGTGTTCGCCTCTTCTGCAGAGTGTGATCAAAACTCACCAAACACACACACACACACACACACACACTCTCTCTCGCTCTCTCTCTCTCTCTCTCTCTCTCTCTGAGATATCGTCCCTCTGCTCACAGGACTGCATGATAAAATACAAATTCACAAAACATCATTTTTGTTTCCAAATCATTTTTTTTCTCCACCCTGACTTTAATCATTTGGTTTAAAGGTGTTATAGGCAGGAATCAGTTAAAGAAGCATCTTTATTTGTGGTGAATTTACAAAAAATCTTTAAATATCAGTCAATAGTTATTAGTTATTGATGACATTTGGTAATATATCGATATCAAAGTAAATACCGGAGACTCTGGAGGAATAACGGGCGCTTAAAACGACGGAGGTAGACCGGACAAGAGCTAAAAAGCCGGGTCAACATAAACCATGGGGGACGCTTGGGGATCTTGGTGACCCTGTAACCTTTCTGCTGGACAGGTAAACCGCTTTAACAAAGTAAGACAAGTGTCTGTAACAGAAGTGTTTCTTGTCAAACGGACCTGCTGTAGCGTGTTGTAGCGCCATCGCTAAACTGTCCTCCCTCGGGTCCTGGACTATGTCACTTTATCCTCGTTGTAGAAGTCCTGCAAACATTGTGTTTGCTGGTAGTCTGTTGGCATCTACAGTAGCACCAATGCTTTTGACTTTCACCTTGACTGGGCCCCATTTGTAATGATCTGAAGTATTTATCTGCATTATATCTGAATTTAATTGGAACGATACGAGCGAGCAGGAGCGTCTGTTTGTGGGCGGGGCTTGAGGGGAGAGGAGGAGCTGAGGGGAAAACAGGTTGGGAGGGGTAGAGTTTACATTCAAGATTTCTCCTAAAAACTGGAACTAACTCAGATCCTGACTACAACACCTTTAACAGAATCAGGTTTTTGACAGCATTTATGGGACCTGATTTGCAATTCCCACCTTGTCCACAGGGGGCACTGAAATCAGCATAAACAGAAAGTTTCTCACAGGAGCTTAAAATGTTTTAATCTGTAAAAAGACTCAGACCTCTAAAAATAAATTATTAAAAATTCTAACAATTAAAATTGGTGATAAGTGACCAGTTTAGAGCTGCTGTTCTGATGCAGTTTTCTAAAATTAAACAAAAATCACACACGCTTTTTATTTTACAGCAGGTTCGTACGTAAGGTCCTTTATTTTCCTGAAACTATAAATACAATCACATTCATGTCTATACAGACAAAACTCTCATAAATGTCGACTAACTCAACTCGAGCAAAGGTTTCAACCTTCCTCCTCACTGAGGTGTGACTTTTACCTCAAGTTTAATAATAAAAAAACAGCTCTGACTCATGTTCGCTCTAAAAATTCAGGTGAAAAGTGAAGAGAAAAAACATCAGCGCACATGCTTTTATGCATGTCCTAATCCATTATTCAATTAAGCCTCAATTAGCCTTTAATCCCCATTAGCAGTCCAGAGAGACCGGCGGCCGACGAATGAATGAGTGAGTGTCTCCCCGGGGAGGAAGGAAGAGCGGAGGAGAAAATGAAGGAGTGCAGAGATATAGGGGGGCTCGGGGCGGTTTCTGATAACACAAGTACTAATTAGTGTCGCTACAGGATTTATAGAAATCAGCGTAACGTGTGTAGAACAAGAGTATGTGTCAGAGCGTGTTTGTGGGACGGAGGGAAGAAGGCGGTGAGAATAAATGGAGTCCTCTCAAAGCGTGTTGGACTATTTTCTGCACATACAGATAAAGTAGAAGAAGGGAAACCTCCAGAGGTTAACAAATACACTTAAACACACACATACATATATATATATATATATATATATATATATATATATATATATATATATATATACACACACAAAAAGGATGGGCGGTAAAGAAACGAGTTTGGAGCGGCTGTGAGTCCACAGGAGGCCGCTCCTTGGCCGATCTCCCTCCCTCCTCCTCCTCTTCCTCCTCCTCCTCGTTTGTCCATCTTTCCTCCATTATTAAAGAATCCTATAAGATCCCAGAATTCATGAATAAGACTCCTCCACCTTCCTCCTCCTCCTCCTCCTCCTCGTCTTCCTCCACCCCTCCCATCCCCCAGTCCATCTGTTTTGGTGGAGGCCATCCATTAATAAAGAGTCGCTCCTTTCATTTTCTATTTCCCCTCCTTGTGTATTATTTATTTATCCATCCACCCACGGTCATGGCGACTATATCAGGACGCTGCGCTGAGCTCCACCTCCTCCTGAGCTGAAAACTTTACAACTCCAACCTAACTCTGGTCCTGGTCTTCGAATACTGGATCCGCTAAAGTCTCTCATTGGATTCAGGTGTTTTATTTCTGTTTGGTCTTGATTGGCAGCTCCTCTAATCTAAACGAGAGTGGGTGTCGGAGCGGCTGACTCAGTTCAAACGCTGAAAAGCTGCCTGGTTATGTTCTCCGCAGCCGCCCGAGTCATACGTGACGGCTGAGGGTGGTGAGAATAAGGCCGGAAAAGTATTTTTAAAATGAAAATTAGAGTCATTAACCAATCACTCGCTGAAAACCTGAATTTTAATGAAAACTTCTTTGCATATATTTGAATAAATCATGTAATAAAAGATCTCATTTCAGCTGTGAAGCACAATCACCTTCAGGACCGTCAGAGGAGTCTGAATACAGTTAGTGTTGGAGCCTTTTTACAAACCACTTTAACTCACGGGTAGAAGGAAACAGTAAGGGCCTGCTACACTGACAAAGGGCCCATGTCCACTTATGGCTCATTTTTGCAGTCACTGACAGGGGAAGCAGGGGTGCTGTGCAACAACTTCTGAAGCAGTAAGTGTCAGTGAAAAGTGCTCTAAAATCAATCAAGGTTGTGGGTGCTAAAAAAACATTCTGTTAGTGGAAACAGGCCCTAAGAGTGAACCAGAACAAAACATTTGTACACCTGTAATTCAAATAATGGGCTGTGGGCTCCAGTAGTGTGTCTCTGTGCTGCTAAATTTTCCACAGTGTTCACTAGCTATTTCCAACTTAGTCATTTGAACAGAGAACAGCTGCTTCACTGTCTGATTGATGTATTCAAGCAAACAATAAGGGCCTATATCCACCATCATAGGGCCAATGTCCACTTAAGGCTTTTTTTTAAGGCTGCTAAAAGGGGAAGCGGAGGTGCTGTGCAACAAGATCTGAAGTAGTAAGTGTCAGTTAAAAATGCTCTAAAATCAAGATCCTGGGCACTGCAAAAACATACTGTTAGTGGACACAGGCCCTAAGAGTGAACCGGACAGGAAAGTTGCACACCTGTCAATCATATAACAGGATTTAGGCTTCAGTAGTAAATATCTGTGCTGCTAAATTATCCACAATGTTCACTAGTTAGTTTCTAACTTAGTCATTTCAACTACAAACAGCTACCTCCCACTTTAAATTATGGATGAAAGTGGACACAGGCCCTAAGAGTGAACCAGAACAAGAAAGTTGCACACCTGTCAATCAATAATGGGCTTTAAGCTCCAGTAGTGTGTCTCTGTGCTGATCAATTATCCAGGATGTTTGCTAGCTAGTTTCTAACTTTGTCATTTTAACTGAAAAAAATACTTCCCTGTTTGATTGATGGATTCAAGAAAACAGTAAGGGCCTATGTCCACCTATGGCAGTTTTTGCACCTAAAAACCAATCTATGATTTTCATAAAAATGTTTCTATTTTATTATTTGATAAAAATATCAAATTAAAAAAATGTAAGGCATGTAGTAATTTAAACAGACTTAGTCGCTAAAGAGGAGGCAGAGGTTCTGTCAGTGGACACAGGCCCTAAGAGTGAACCAGAACAGGAAAGTTGCACACCTGTAAATCAATACTTGGCTAATGGATGTTGTTCTCTACAGTGATTTTCTGGATATTATCATTAAGCGACAGTAAGTCGTCTTGTTTGTTCACATATTTCAGCTTTTCCAACCCCTGCGTCTCCCTCTGTTTTATCTCTCTGTTTTATTTCTCTGTTATCCGTCATTATTTTACACTCTGCTGTTTCTGCTCATATATTTTCTGTGACTTCTTGGTCGTCGGCAGCATTCATAATTTCTAAATGTCATTTGGACATTAGCTCATGTGGCCCGGAAGGATGCTGAAGGGGTAGGGGGGGGTAGGGGAGGCAGAGGAGATAGAGGAGGGAGGTCACAGGGAGGTGCTCGAGATGAGAAATACAGTGAAGCCTCAGCTTCATGGCCTCTTAGAGACTCGTAGATTCAATTACAGTTACAGGCCAGACAAAGAGAAGACAGATGCAGGCGGATGCAGAGAAAAAAAGTGTATTACATCTTCGCTCTGCTCCTCTTTCTGCAGGAAAGATAAGGAGTGAGGCAGCTGAGTGTCTGGAGTTTGATAAAGAAAACTGGGAGTGCCGGGTAGAGCCTGAGGAAAACCAGATTTGCTAAAAGGTCAGGGTGTGATATCTGAGCATCTGAGGAGAGCCATTTTCACCTCTCAGAAAGCTAAATTTAATCTGTGTGATTATTGGAGCCATCTGTAATCTGTAAACCACCACAAAAGGGCCTGAAGGCAGGAATCAGTGCCCTCTGTTGGACGGAAACAGAACTGCAGGCATGTTGTGACGGGTGTTTTTGACATTTATGTTAGAGAATTAGAGATTTGAAGTATTTAGAGGAAGACGCTGAGATAAAACAGACTTCAAGAAATTGTGAATTTATTTGCATAAATTAACAACTTTCTTTAATCTTGTAAAATCACGAAATTATTGGACAAATTTTATGACCATATTTTAGAAATTTCTGTGTTTTTCATCCGTGACGTGGCTCAAATCTTCTCAAATCAAGATTATCGATCAAACGTTACAATCCTGAGATACAACACATGAAATATTGAGTTCAATGATGTCTGTAATACTTAAATATTTGATTTGTGTTTTTGTACCAAAAGACTTCACAGCTCTTTGTTCTTGAAGACGACAAAAAGAGCGACATTTCTTTGGCTCTCTGTACCGTGTCGTTCATTATCTCAGTGGCTAAACCTGAACTGAAGAACGGCCTCATGGGATTGCATCATGATCCTCTGACAGTGACTGACAAACATTTAAATGTCAACCTGTCAAATACCAAGAAATTACGAGTTGTTCTAGAACTTAGATGATGAAAAATCACGAGGGAATAAGTTTCTTTTGCTGGTTTAGAACATTTAAGTTGAAGCCTCTGTGTAATTTAATATTTACAGTAAAACTGGGACTCAACAAAGACAGATAAGTTAATGTTTATTTCACAGACAAATCCGAAAAGTTGAATAAACCTCTAACTGGGCTGCAAACACTGAAAAGAAAGTCCATTATTTGCAAACCTCCAGCGAAGTTTTCAAGAACTTCAAGAAAACAAAGTAAATACCGGAGACTCTGGAGGAATAACGGGCACTTAAAACGGAGGTAGACCGGACAAGAGCTAAAAAGCCGGGTCAACATAAACCATGGGGGACGCTTGGGGATCTTGGTGACCCTGTAACCTTTCTGCTGGACAGGTAAACCGCTTTAACAAAGTAAGACAAGTGTCTGTAACAGAAGTGTTTCTTGTCAAACGGACCTGCTGTAGCGTGTTGTAGCGCCATCGCTAAACTGTCCTCCCTCGGGTCCTGGACTATGTCACTTTATCCTCGTTGTAGAAGTCCTGCAAACATTGTGTTTGCTGGTAGTCTGTTGGCATCTACAGTAGCACCAATGCTTTTGACTTTCACCTTGACTGGGCCCCATTTGTAATGATCTGAAGGATTTATCTGCATTATATCGGAATTTAATTGGAACGATACGAGCGAGCAGGAGCGTCTGTTTTCTCGAGTGTCATGTAAACGTTCTGACTGTCACCCCCAGAGCCGATGGATCCCAAGATTGATAAACAAGAAGAAACAACAAAAAAGTTAGCAACAAGTTGTTCCGTCTGTTTGTTCTTGGACCCGGCGATCGAACCCGTCACCGATAATGAACAGCAGAGAGGACGGATAGCTGCCAGGGGCCTGATGAATTCGGTCACTTCTACATCTTGGACGAGAAGATCTGACCTCATTATCATCCATCTCAGCTCCTCTGTACTCTGTTTGTCTCTTAATCAGCCCAACACCCCCGAACGCACACAAACAATACACACAACACACACACACACACACAATACTATAACAGGCAGCCGAAACTGGCTTTGTAATTGGTGCTTATTGATGAGAGCGCCGCTGGTGTTTCCACAGATACAAGTCATTAATGCGACCCCCCGCCTGGCTGTGTAAGATACTTTAAATACACACATGCTCGCACGCCCACGCAAACAGGCTCGGCGATGGGTTCAAGAGCATCCTGGGAGAACACAGAAGAAGTTGCCATGGGAACTGCTGACAGAAATGAATGAGATATGATGCGTGTAATAGCGAGTTCAGAGGAAAATCGATACGCGGACATGCTCTCAGACGCAGTCCCAATCTCTTCAGGTGTTTGGCCCTCGATCGATCGTCCTCGTCTGTCACCTGGTTCCTCTTCACAAACTCGCCTTATCAATCACAGCAAAGTTAGGAGGTGTTACAGTCCAGGATGAGGAGTTAGTGACCTTTTTCTACCGCAGATATGAGAGATAATTCACCCCGTGACTCCGCAGGGATGAATAATAAGACAGTTTCATAATAAGGAGACTTTTGTGAATAATGTAGGAGCCTGAAAATCGGTTCAGTAGTAAACACTCTGGAGTACTTTTTAATAAATACCACATTACTGGGGCTGTTTCTGAGCCTCTTAAAATTTAACTTTTGATTTGTTTAAAGCTCTAGTAAGGAACTTTTAATTTGTGTCAATTTTACTGCCCCCTGTGGACAAAGGGAGCAGTACAACTTCTATGTATTTTCAGTCTCTTTTATTGAGACAAAAAACTCATTTAAAGTAACTCTACATCGTCAAAATTTAACAAACATCTGGTAAAACTTTCTTCTGTTGAACGTGGAGCTGTTACATTTGAGCCATAGACATAATATACATAGAAGTCTCATTCCATCCTGGAGTGTAATCCAGCGTCACCGCCATATTGGATAGGTCTTTACATGCTAGGCTCGCGCCAGAGCCAATGGAGAGTAAGCGCTGGTTTTTCGTGCACCCTACCGTCGCAAAAACCAGCGCAGTATTGAAACCGGATCACGTAGGATAACCCGACACGAGTACGATAGAAAAAATATTTGTTTTATTTTTAATGTGGAACAGTGTCCTCTATGATAACTACAACTCTGCGCTTTCAGGGAGTTCAGGAGTTACGATAAAACAAGTTGTGCATGCCTATCTTCTCCAGTAGAAATAATTGGCTTAGGGCGTTTGGGGGACCCATCCAAGATGGCAGCCGCGCTGATACATAAGCTCCAATAGGCAGCGTCAATCTATGAGGTGTCTTTGTATATAATGTCTATATATTTGGGCTCTCATCAGCCAATCAAATAACACGGTTTAGCTCGTTTATTTCAAGCTCTTGTTTTAGTTTTTAAAGAAGGCCTGCTTTGACTAAAAAAGGGGGCGGGGCCACAACTTAAAGACAAAGGGTGCGTTCCAGTTGTACTCGGGATTTCTGAGCTCTAAATCGAAAATCCATCTGGAACACCCCCCTGAAGTCGGATTTCTGACTCAGAAAGTCAGATGATCCCCACCAACCTCGATTTGACGACAGTAACAAAAACAGTATAGTAACAATTACGGCTTTCGTAACGTATTATTTATTCACACTTCTGTTTTGTTTTAGCGAAATTATATAAGTGGTAAATGTTGTACTGCCCAACGACCAACAACCGCCGAAAACGGCTAACGACAGCTGACAATTGTTAACAACGGCTAACAACAGCTAACAGTTGGTTTTCCGACTTGTTTACTGGAACGCCGTCAACTGGGGTGTAACGTTAAAAGTACCTGCTCTCAGTTTTTTTGACGACCTTTTCAGCTGACATGTCTTTATTTTTCCAATGTTTGACACGAGCTAGCTAGCTAGTCAACTCCTCCCTCACCTAAATGTGAACCAGCAACAAATCCGAATTTTAGCTGTTTTTTTAAGCAACAGATTCTACAAAAGCTAATCGACCTCCTGACCAAAAGACTTGGAGCTCCCTCTACTGACTGGCTGCAGTAACAGCAACAAACCCCGCCTCTTTCATGTAAACAAATAACAGCAAAGAAAAAAAGGTAAACTTACTTCCACGTGGTTGTCCTTTCAAAATAAAATCTCCTCCATTAAGAACAAATTAAAGATTAGCGAACGTCTGGCGTGTGAGTTCACCTCAGCAGAGCGGCTCAGTGAGGACAGAGCGAGGTTTGTGTTCTGCAGGTTTGAGTTCTCGTTGTAATTCTGCCAGAACATTTGCCTCCGGCTGAACCGCAGCTGAATAAATAAATTTAAGCGTCTGACACGAGATCAAGACGGAGACAAAGTCGGACAGACACATTTGAAGCCGATAGATTTCATAATAAGTCTAACAAACATGCCCACAAGGACGTCATATTTCACAGCGTTTCAAATAAGTGCTGGCAATCGCTTCAATTGATTTCAGTCAAATTAAAACACATCTGTCTTCTTGTCGAGGGTGCCCTCATCAAGATTCTGAACAATAAAAATCCAGTCATTGAGGTTTTATTTCATATAAACATTTTATTTCCAAAAGACAGATCCTAGCTTTATCAAATCAGACTTAAAGTACATATAAAGCTCTTTTGTACAACACTCCAATGATCCATAAATTACAGTCTTCAGCGGTTAGCTTCAGTCTTAATTTAAGCAGTAGCTGAAATATGTGCATGTGATGAACCAGTGGAAAAAGTGAGAGATTGATGGCAGTGAAAGTAAACAACAGCCCGTTAAAAAAACACTCCTGTCAGTTTTCTCCAAACGTGTCCGAACAGCGCCGGAGTCTTCACCAGAACGTGTCTGCTTCATCGTTTCCACATCATGGACACTGTGGCGGCCAAGTCCGGCGTTTTTACCGGCGCTTCATTAAAAGTCCTGACACCCGGATCAGGAGACAAAGCTGAGGTCAAAGGTCACCATACCCGGCAGGACTGTGCGCCTCGGTTCATGACTGAGGACTCCGGACAGCTGAACACTTTCCGAAACTCTTCAAAGTTACTCATCGCTCCGATAACTCTGCAGGGCAACAGCGATCACGGAGGTCAGAGGTCAGATTAAATCAGAGTGTGTGTGTGTGTGTGTGTGTGTGTGTGTGTGTGTGTGTGTGTGTGTGTGTGTGTGTGTGTGTACCCACCTGTACTTTGGCGGACTGTGAGCACCACTCTGGATCTGGTCCCTGGCGGCCTCTGGTCTGTACGAGTTACATCTGACCTGCAGCAGAAAATACAAAAGATGGAAAATTTCAAAATTTTTATGCTTTTTTATTATTACACTTTAATTAAATGTGTATTTAAATTTAGCAAACATACATTTAAATACACATGTGTGACATATTTATAGATGATGAATCTTGTGACATATGTGGATAACACTAAGGAGACATAAATTCTTAAAAATACGAAAATAAATCCCATTACAAGTTTCTGTCTCGATTTCATTGAAAGTTACATGAGTGTATTAGATTCACAAAAGAGAGAAAAAAATCTGCTCCGATTTTCTCAATTAACAAGAGAATTATCACATAATTATGAAAAAATGTTAATGAAACTAAATTTTGCTCCATTTAGTTTTTTGCAACTTAAAAAGTTCAGCCCTTTTTCTGAATTAATGAAATATTTATCGAAGAATTATGAGAAGATTTTATTGGAAAAATAAAATTGATGTTTTTTCTACATGAACAAAGTGAATATCTGGTTTATTCAGAAAAAAAAAAAATTCTTAATTCTAAAAAAAACAATTTGTTAGTTAAGAAAAATATAGATTTTTTTTTGTGAAGGAAATACAAAACATTTTTTAGAAAGTTCTCCAAACTCCAAAATTTTCAAAAAATGCAACTGTAAAAGAAGATAAGATAAAATAATCTTACAAATTCATCCAGAGTCTAAACTTCTTCAATAAATCACATAGAAAAATCCTGGACATCTCAAAAATGACTTTTACTATAACTATTTACAGACAAAAATATTAAAAGTCACAAAAAATTTCTTTGAAAATTCCCCGAAATTTTTGAAAACTTGAAAATTTCAGAAGAAAATTTTGAAAATGTCTTTTAAAACCCACCAAAGTTTTTGCAATCTTTTTCACATTTTTTTTAATTGCATAAAATATTTTAAATTATTAAATATTTAAAAACAAGTTATCATAAATATTCACACATCATTGTCAAATCTAACAAAAATTTCCAATTCAAACTTTATGAAATTTTGCTTTAAAAATTACCAAATATTTCCAAATTTCTTCAACCTCTTAAAAAAAGTCATTAAATTTTTTTTATATCCATACACAGGTGAGAAAAGAAAAGTCATTTATGTCAAACATCCTCAAACAGAATAAAGATTATTTTTAATGTGGTTGAAGTTTCACACAGTGTTGAAATCCTTGAAGGAACTAAACACGTTTTTTTTTTTTTTTTTTTAGTTTTATACGTTTATTTCCTGTGATCGGTAAAGAAGCTTCTCACCAAAGAAATGCCAGTATATTTAGTTATCAATGCAGAAATGTTGTAGCAGGTGAAAGAGCTGGTGAATTTGTAAAAATAGTGTGTGTGTGTGTGTGTGTGTGTGTGTGTTTTTTTTTACATGTGCGTAGCTGAGGAAGAAGAGTTGGTTGTTGTTCAAACCGACTCCTGGCAGCAGAGGCTCCTCCACACCACCTCTGCTCTCATCCACCCACCGCCTGTACGCCTGAACACAACGACAAAGACAAAGACTCGACTCTTTTCTCTTTCTCTTTCTCTTAAAACGGCATCAAGACAGAGTCCTTCTACACTCACGACAGTTTAGATACAGTAAAATACAGATTCATAATAAAACACACAGGAGCAGCTAATATCATACAGAATAAATTAAGTTACACTTGGAACTAATAAGACAAATCTATGACTATATAGATTTGTCGAGACTAAAATAAACTCGCAGAGGCAGATAATTCAAGAAGATGGTACCCTGAAAGCCTCTCGTATTCCTCCGTTATCTGCGATGTTTTCTGCCAGAGTCCTCTTCCCTCTCACCTGAAATGAAATGATATAGTAAATTATAAAGACTGAATTGGATAAATCCAGTTTGTTAAAGAGTAAATCTCTTACGTTAAGGCCCGCCTCCTCCCAGTGGTAGTTGTTATACTGGTCGATCATACACTGGTTCTTCTCAGTGAAGGCCGTCACAGACGAGTTGCTCCACCACTGGTCCAGGTTCCCGTTTTTGTCGTACTTGCGGCCTGTTAATAAAAAACATTAAATAAACTGCAGCTTCACTAAGTCTAAAATCTGTTATTAATTTTGGGTGATTTTAAATCTGGTGTTTTTACCGTTGTTGTCAAAGCCGTGCGTTAACTCGTGTCCGACTATGACCCCGATGGCGCCGTAACTTAAAGACCTTTAAAACAAAAACAGTTTAATTTGATTTATAAAGCAGTCACAACGCTCACAAAGTGTTTTACATACAAAATAAGACTCTCTACCGTGTCTTTTCCAAAAAAGCTTTTTCAGTAAAAAGTCAACAGACTTTAAAAGTTTGATATTCTAACTTTCAGCTGAGAATTAATCCTGATTTTAGGAGCTCCACACAAACAGACAGATAACGTCTGGATCTCACCATCTTTAAATTTGTCTTTCTATGTTCAGAATCAAACCGGATATTTTAAAATCAAGAATTGTGTGAAAACAGATCTAATAAGATCGCTCATGTCAAAATCTTTGGATGTAAAATATTCATAAGATCTAAGACGACCAAAACTGTGATTTTTAATGTTCTCTGGATTAAAATAACTCAAATATAAAAAAGGATTTAGAAACAATCAGAAACTAATAATTAAAGGCACAGTGAGGAGTTTTTAGACTCTTGAGAAATAACCAAAAACTGACACCGCTGACCCTTTATGACCTTTAAAATCAAATGGGAACGTCAGACAATAGTTTATTTATTTGTATGAAAAATGACTTTGGCAAGAGGTAAGAGGTGTCACTTTGTCCACAGGGGGCGCCAAAACCAACACAAATTAAAAGTTCCTTATAGCAGCTTTAATTTCTTTTTTGCTTTCTTCTCTTTTACTCTAAAAATCTGATTAATTTGTGAATTATTTATTCATACTGAGAAACATATATATTTATTACTCTAATGTTGGGAATGAGGTCGCTCTTTAAACGCTGGTGTTTACACACAGGTCTCAATGATACACCTCTTCTCTGTCTCTGCGTCAGAATAATTATCGTCTCGCAGTGTCACCTCGCTCCTGGGTAAAATCATGAGGTGGCGTTTCTTCGCTTCGTTAGCAGAGCGTGTCGTTTTTCTCACAGATCTCACCTTGGATACTCGCGTCCCCAGAAGAAAGGTTTCTGAAGCTCTCCGGCAGGAAATCCTAGAAGACAAAATATTAAAAAAACAGCTTTTTGTTTGTGTTTCCGAGCAGAAGTGACTCCTCACAAGGTCGGGTCACTTTTTAAAAACCTTTAATTATCCTGTTTATTTCTGATTTGTTGCTGAAAATCTTTTATTAAACAGATCAGACTCCCCCTGTTTTATAAAGTCAACTCTTTATGTGATTTTTTATGCAAATTCTCGATCTCTCCTGACTGTAAACTGCAGACTCAGCCATCTTTAGGGGAGAATAATCCCCTGAAAAAAAACTGTCATGAGCAGAGACTTAATTAAAACCGCTGAGGTGTCGTGTCGCCTCCTTCAGAAATGAAAGATCAGACTCTGAGTGATGGACCCGAGGATGTGTCTTACTGATTTGGTTCGTGGAGGAGCTGTAGAAAGCGTTTACAGTCGTGGGGTTGGTAAACCACCTGCAACAAAAACACAAAATCATCAAAATAGAGTCACACAGCGTGTCGACAAACGTCTGCGTCGCCTCTTACTCTGTCCTCGGGACACTTTTCCGCAGCCAGGCGAGATCGGACTGAGCGATGAACTTGAGCGTCTGCATCACGTTCCCGTAGTAATCCTTCTCATCGAACTCTAGCTGAAACAGACACGGGTAAAAAAGACGTTAACAAAGTACGCCAGAGGAAGAGTCAGAAAACAAAGACGGCGTTAAAACACACAGACCTGCTTCAGGTCTTCACTGAGGTAGGTGTCGTTCAGGATGAACTCTGGGTAACCGACTTTAGCCAAGACCGCGTGAGCCTGGAGAAATCCAGAAAACAGACGAAGATATTCAAACAGAGAACAAAACAGTCGAAGTATGAAAGTTCTGAGAGGATCTGAGTACATGAAGTCTTCGTAACTCCAAACTGGAGTCGGTTCAGCTGCTGATGTTTTCAAGTGTCTTTGTCTGAAAGCTGTTCAAGCAGAAGTGATTCAGTTCAAGGAGAAACTCGCTCCATCAGAGGAAAGAAACAGACGGAGAGATGAGAGACGACACGGTACAGATCTGTCAGACTCAGAACTTCAATCACTTTATGTTCGAGCACAGACAGCGAAGTTAAATCTTCGTTTTGAGCTTGTTGATGTTGATGTTTAAAAACGCTGTTAGTGAAACTTTGATGTGAAGTTTGTCATCGTGTCGGAATCAGGAAACACTTGAGATGAGACCGTTGAAAAATGTTGAAAATGTGGTCAAGGTTTGGTCGATGAGGGTTTTGAGAATATGACAGATTTATTCCCAGACAAACAAGATCTGCATGAACAGATGCAGGGAGGATGAAGTGAATATTACTCATGCATGTAGAGGACGAGCTTTGTCCACAGGGGGCGCCATAATTTTTCATACTTTAACTTTTCTATCTTTAATTTTCTTCATTTTTCATTTTCATACTTTATTTCATTCAGTTAATAAAAAATCCAAACAAGTAAAAATCTCAAACACCTGATCATTTCTCCATGGAAATACAATCAGACCGAGACGCTAAGACAGAAGAACTACCGCGTCTGTAAAATGATTAATATGGTGATTATTACTTCAAGGAAATGATAAAGAAATGATCATAAATGTTCTTCCTTGAGCTGCGTCACCCCGCTGTAGTCCCTAATGGACTGGCCCGAGGTCTCACTACAAACAAGCGTCTGCTGGAAGAGAGCAGGTGAGTTGTGTTTAGTCTCTTTGCTAAAGAAATGAGTCAAAGTTAAAAAGATGTTTGGTGTCTAGTACTATGTCTGTGACCCTATATGTCCTGTTGATGAAGTTAGGTGCTGTTCTGAGCATTATTTGTGGCTATAGAGTGGCGTTTTGGTTGGGGGCGTGGCTCTCTGTATTGCTATCCTGCGGTCGTTACTAAAGTTGGTATAACTAGAGAAGTAAGCGGTCGACAACATTCATCTCTGGGTCTAACTCGGTGTTTGACCCTAAATTAATTTTATGTCGGAATATCCCTTTAAAGGTTTTCTAAACTCTGAGTTTCGTCTCTCAGCTCTCCGTCTGACCTTCTCGATGGCTCTCTCTTTGGTCGGCGGGTCCATCCAGTCGTTCTCCTTCTTCAGTATGTCAATGAACGCCCAACGAATGCCCTCGATCAGCTCCTCCATCTGACACACACACACACACACACACACACACACACACACACACACACACACACACACACACTAATTAGATTTCATGTCATGTAAATTCAAGGTGACACAAACATAAATCAACCAAAGAACACAAACAGCTCATGTAAATAAACACACACTCTTACATCATCCTCACGTCACACACACACACACACACACCTGTACATTTGTTACACACTCTTATACACACAAACTTCAACATGCAGCCCACACTCCAGGTTGATTGATCGCGTCTGAAACCTGAACCCACCATGTGTTTCTTGTCCTCCTGGAAGTGCGTGTCGACGAAGAGGCGTCCGGTGGCGTAGACGAGCGAGTTCTCCACGTAGTTAACGCACTTATCCCAGCGCGGCGTGAGGGACGTGGTTCCTGTGGTGACCTGCAGAGGGCAATGACACGGTGACGAGTCAGTCATGGTGGAAAAATACTAAATTTCATCTTTATTTATAGAAACACAGAAAAACTGAAGCGTTCTCTATTTAAAAGATGACGTAGTGGTGCCGAATTAAAATGCGGTTACATAACTGAAGGTCGGATCTATTAATGAGTTTCTTAATAATAATTGGCGGCTGATTTAACGGCGTGTTTCTGCAGGAGGAGTGATGAAGCGTGAATACAAACTGCAAACGAAGTGACCTTGTATCATGAGTCTGAAATCTCAGCTCCGTCTCTGTTTATCTTTTTAAAGTACCTGTCCTTATTTATGATTTAAAGAGTTTACAACCAGAGAGAGAGAGAGAGAGAGAGAGAGAGCGAGAGAGAGACCGCCAAAATAAAATACACTCTTAATAACAAGGCCAAGAGCTCATGTACAATAACAGACACAGAGTCAAAGAAATACTGAATAAAATATGAAGATAAACTCAGGAGACGTCACTGCAAATGGTCAACATCTGTGTAATATCTCTCCTTCAAAATAAAAGCACGGTTTGACACAGCTCTGCGTTAAAACCCTCAGTTTTGATTTGTGGCGGACAAACCGAGAACACTGAACAGTATCAGCCTTTTTGGTACCGACCCGACTCTCTGAATGATCTCTAGAGCAGCTCTTATTAATAGTAGATGAACCTTTAAAATATTTAAAACAAACAGAGAACAGTTTAGAGTTCCCATCCTGGTGCTTTACACTCATCTTTGTTTGGGTTTTTGTGCAGATTAATCCATTTTTGTCAGATTTATGGTTGCAGGGAAGTAAAGTTAACGAAGGATGAGTCTTAGATCGTGGGAGCAGGAGTTGTCGTCGGCTGTAGGACCGTTTTTCCTCTATAAAGTGGTTTTTGACAGATTCAAAGATTTGCAGACATGTGCAGCCCAAAGAGTCAACTGTTAATGCAGAAGTCACGTTTAACAGCCCATATGTCACATGATTTAATGTCTTTATAGAGTTTTTATCCACTTAGACTCATGAGAGACGATTTCAGGAAGACTGTTCATGTGCCGACCTGAGCGTAGTCCAGGTATCTGTAGAGGAAACGACGACTCAGAGTGGTGATCCTGGAAAACACAGTTCTCCACTGAACATAGTTAGCTACAGTCCTGAGAGAGAGAGAGAGAGAGAGAGAGAGAGAGGGAGAGGGAGAGAGAGAGAGAGAGAGAGAGACAGAGAGAGAGAGAGAGAGAGAGAGAGGGAGAGAGAGAGAGAGAGAGAGAGAGTGAGAGAGAGAGAGAGAGAGAGAGAGAGAGAGAGAGAGAGAGAGAGAGGGAGAGAGAAGGTCCATTAATTAAAAGCCTTCATGTAATCTCATTATACTCTATAATATACTGATAATGAGAGACAGGAGCCCTCAGGCCTCAGAGTGTGTGTGTGTGTGTGTGTGTGTTTGTGTGTGTGTGTGTGTGTGTGTGTCTACCTGGGATCCGTGGAGTTCAGGAGCTTGACCAGGTCCTTGAAATACTGCGGCGCTCGGACGATGACGGGCTCAGAGGAGGAGATGGACCGAGCCGGGTCGGTTTTGGACTCCACCACAGCTCTGACGAAACCCAACCAATCAAACTGCAGAGGGGGCGGGGCAAAGGACAAAGGTAGGCCGTGTTAGAATGAGGGTTTAAAGGATGTTTACGTAATAATAATTTAATTAATAATAATAGATAGATAGATAGAAAACAAAAACAAAAAAATTAAAGATTATAAATAATAATTAATTAATCATTTTTTAACTGCATGTAAACACACTGATTGACTGTCAGCTGCTGAGTGATCTTTGGCGGTCTAAGGTTCAAGTCCTCAGAGTCAGTGTTTTAGACGAGCTTCCTGTCACTGCTCGAAAACTCAGTTGCATAGTAAAGATAATAGTAAAAAACATGTATGTTTGTAGGGTTTGCAGAAAATGCATCACTCTACCTGAGGTATGGTGCGTTGCAGGCGAGAAAGCGTGTATCTGTTGTACATGCTCTCACTGGTGCGGTTTTCGTAGGGGATCAGGATCTGCAGAGAGAATTAGTGACATTATACCGACGTAAAGTTAAAAGAGCTGGTCTAAGTTGAATCAGTTTCATATTTGACAGAGTTTTTTAATGGGCTCCAGAACCACTGAGACCTTTTTCTAAATCCTGGACTGAGTTTATCTGACATGATGTCCTTACATGAGCCAGTTTGGTCTCAAAAGCCAGAGCCTTTTCCATCTGGGTCAGAGCTGCTTTCTGTGGAGCGCCCAGCATGACGGCTGTATCTACCATCAAGCTCAGCAGGGCTGCACGGTACTGAAAAAAAAAAGAGGGAACGGGGGCGGGGGGGAGAAAAATGGAAATGTCATCAGGAAATGTCATGTCAGCTCCTGACACTGCAACTACAAAACACTAGACGCCAGCATCCGACATAAATCAGCGAGTGACATCCAGACACAGGTGCCGTCATGATATCAGGATCTGAATTTATTAGGAAATGTTGAACCGTTTCAATCCTGTCGACATCTTTTCAGCTCACGTCGGTTTTTAATGTTGAATGTTAGACAGAAAAAAACAAGAGAAGAAGAAGTATATGACAATTTTAAAGCTCCTGTGCGGAACTTTCTGTTCGTGTCGAGATCAACAACTCACATGGACAAAGTTGTACCTTACACCTTAATGTATCTGTTAAATTTCCAAGAAGTTTTCTTTTAACATAAAAAAAAACTCCACACATATGCTAAAAATGATTCAGGATCAATTATTGTTTTTTTTTTTTTTTTTTACTTAATGGTCTTTTTTTTTCCCAAGTAATTTTTTAAAGATTTTAAATTTACCTTTTTAAATAAATTTTTATTTGTGCAAAACATTACGAGAAAAAAGTGACTCAACACAAATTGGTGAACAAGAGACACAAAATTAAATAAATAAATAAATAAACCACAGTTACTTTGATACTGATTTTTTTATTAATTTAACTTTTTAAAGTAATTTGTTAAGATTTTAATTTGTTTGTTTTTTGAAAAAAAAATTGTGTGACACATTATAAGACAGAAGAGATTTGACACAAATCAGTGAACAACAGACACAAAATTAAAAAAATAAATAAATAAATAAAAGAATGCAAACTTAATCATAAATAAAACAATCACAGTTTCTTTGCCACTGATTGTTTTGTTTTGTTTTTTTTTACTTAAGGTTCTTTTTTTTTTTAAATAATATTTTGAAGATTTTAATTTCTTTGTTTTTTTTAAATAAATTTATAATTCGTGCAAAAAATTACAAGCAAGAAGTTGAGTACTTGATACACATTGGTTAACAAAATACACAAAATAAAAAATAAAAAAATAAAAATAAAAATAAAAAAATAATAAATAGAAGTCACAGTTTCTTTACTAATAATCTTGTTTGCTTTTGTTTGTTTGTTGTTTGTAGGTCACATTTTAAACAGTTTTATTATTATTTAACCTTCATAGTTATTGACTTTTTTTTCTGAAGCGTCTTTGTTATAAATGCTCTTTCAATGTGTATTTTATAAAACACTTTTTATCGTATATAACACTTACCACACAGCTACTGTTTTGGGACATTAACAAGATGTTGCATTAGCAGATAACAGATAAGAGGAAAAAAACAGTTTTGTTCTGGCTTAATGAGGCGATCAATATTCAAGCCGCCTCTCCGACTGTTAATTTATGAAACTACGATTGTCTAACGTTTGTGAAAATGTGGAGTCTGGAAAGATGCTCTCGTTCTGACTCAAAGGTGCGGATATAAAAAGCCGACATGAACTGCTGATAAGTGAGGTGGCTGAATTTTCTCGCTCCGATTAATCATTCAAACAGAGAGGAAATTACCACTGCGGGGAGAGGAGTTTTTAGATGACAGGTGAGGAAAAAAAATAAAAAAGGGTGAAAAATGAAGCGGAAACTCACGGCCCGGGCAGACGAGGAATTGGTGGTGTAGTCTTCCCTGGAAGGCAGAGACAGGGACGCCTGATCGAGCTGCGGAAAGACAGGAAATAGAAGTTAGAAACAGAGGTGGACAGCTGTCGAACCAAGAATAAGACTACGAACTGTGAAGTGAAGGGGTCCGACCTTAATGACGTAGTGTGACGAGTTCTTGTCATCCGGCGAGACGTAGATGCGGATCAGGACACTCTTGCTGTGCTGGTTCCTCATCTGCGCCAGGGTCTTCAGGAGGCTCCACTGCCTCTCCGACCACTCATACTCCCCGCCGAGCCCATCCCCCACAACAGGCCACCGAAACTCCGGCTGTTTCAGAGTTTTTAACATCGGCTTGGTGTCCATCTGCTCCAGTATCGCTATGTTAGCGCACACAGAGAACGTTAAATTTAGTTGGTTACGATCAGCTACGATCGGCGGATACAGCCTTTTCGTAGACGTTCTGGATGCGGTGGAAATCGGGGGTTAAACATGCGAACATTAGAGGTAATGGTAACTATTATGACGTCTCCCTTCACAATAGGTAGATAGAATAACTAATAATAATAAGATAATAATCATTATTGAACTCCTACTCCTCACTTTGTGCTGCAGGTATGAAACATGCTGTATGAACAAAGCTGAGTTTTGCCTCATTTCACCGTAGGAGACACAAATAGGGAGTAAATAATGATGAGATAATGTATAAATGATGATTTCATGCTGAGTCATTACTCAGTATGACGCCTCAGTATGAGGTCTCTTTATATATTTATTCTTTTACTGCTGATATGACACACATACGTCACAGGGAACAATACGAGCTCATTTAATTTAATTTTATAATTGTGTTCATGTGTTTTTTATCGCCTTACAGCTCAAATGTGGAAACCTGTTTGGACTTAAAGAGAACCGGGACTTGTTCTGGAGGTCCGAACTTGTTCAGAGAGCTCTTTGTTTGTGAGCATGTGGTTTCTGTTGAAGAGCTGAGTTATACTTAAGGATGGAGCCAGAAATGGATTCGGGATGATTGAGTCATCTGGGTCCCAACAAATCCTTTTTCAAGCCATAGTCCCCACAATACCTGAAGACATGTTTGTGTGTGTGATTGGTTTTGTTGTTTGTGTATCCATTCAGGGACTCGATTTCAGTTTACAGTGAAGAGGTTCGAGTTTATGTTGTAGATGTTGTGGTTAGCATGATGGTTAGAGGAGGTCCTCTGTGTGACGAATGATTTCAAGTACAAAGTCCTCTGAAGTGACAAAAACATGTTCGTGTGTGCGTCTGGAAATTTCTTATAATGTGTGTGTGTGTGTGTGTGTGTGTGTGTGTGTGTGTGTGTGTGTGTGTTGTTACTCACTCTCATTCATACAGGAGCGATAGAGGACCTTCGCCTTGGTCACCGCCTCCAGTTCATCAGGTTCTGCAGGAGCTTCGAGTAACTCTGGTGGACAGAAAACACAAATCCAGGACCCTGACATGAACGAACCTCTCGGACCTGTGCTGTAAGTTTGACCTCTGACACTCTGAACCTCAGGTGTAGATGTAGAATCTGCGTACAAACCTTTGAGCCGGATGTCCACATGCTGTCGCAGCCAAGGATAGATACCGTAGGACGAGGAATCTTCAGGGATGGGGTTTTCCTTTAACCACCCCCCACAGGAGAAGGTATAAAAGTCTTCACAGGGGTTCACGGACTGATCCATCTTATTCAGGATAGACCCCGCTGGAAAGAAAAGGAAGAAAAACTCTGACTTTTCAGTTTAGCTTAAGAAGAAATTAACGCTCGTAGATTCTCAGAAAAGATGGCGTTCTAATTAATAATGATGTAACGTGACTCCTTACCTGCTTCGATGCATTCTGGGGTCAGACAAAACTCCTGCTGACTTGATTTTTGAGCAACTGAGGAAAAAGGAAAGAGAACGAAATGAAAATGTTTATAAAAAATATTTATTCACAGTGACCTGAATGTATTTTGGCCAAAACATTCACAAAAAGCACTTTTTCAAAAATATGTAACTTTCTGTAGTTTTTTTAATCATTTCTGGAGCTGAAATGGGTTTCCTCCTCAGGGTGTCCGGGCTCAGCCTTAGAGATAGGGTAAGGAGCTCGGACACTCGGGAGGCGCTCAGAGTCGAACTGAGAGGAGTCAGCTGAGGTGGCTCGGGCGTCTGGTTAGGACTCCTTCTGGACGCCTCCTGTTAGAGGTGTTCCAGACATGTCCCACCGGGAGGAGACCTCGTGGTCGGCCCAGGACCAGGTGGAGGGATTATATCTCTCGCCTGGCCTGGGAGCGCCTGGGAATCCCCCCGGAGGAGGAGCTGGTGGAAGTGGCTGGGGTGAGGGCCGTCTGGGCTTCCCTCCTGAAGCTGCGACCCAGACGAAGCGGAAGAAAACGAACGAGATGATCATTTTAAAGGGATTTGTAGTTTAGTTTGAACGATTGGGTGCGAGTCAAGTCGTTTCCCACATGTCCACACCAAGTTCTGGAGGGAATAGTCGTTTTCTCCATCTACCTGTTATGTTATCAACTCAAAAGTATCAGCTCTTCATCTGTAGGTACGGGGATGTTGGGTCACACACACACACACGCATGTTTTACACAGCCGAAACAGCTTGGGATCAAATTTAATGTACAGCACATTAAAAATATATCATCATGATCATTTTATGCTTAATCAGTCGTCCCATCTAATCAGGAAAAGTCATAAAATATGAAGCAAAACAAAGAAAAGTCAACTATGATGTTTTTAAATGGGGTCAAATTGAGCTCAAGGATAACAGGAGGGTTAAAGGGATTAATACTCAGGACTTCAAGTAGATTTTAAAGGCTGTACTTCTACTGTAGTAAAAGTAAATATTTGGGTATTTCATCATGACTGATTTTCTTTCTGCTTGACTAAATCCAGATGTTAAACTCTTCATTTTTGAGTGTTTTTGTTGAGTTTTTACTCCACTACAACACTTTACTAACAGCTGCACACGGAGCTGAAAGTTCCTGCTAATCTTTGTGTCATGTTCCCAAAATAAGATACCGGTTATCAGAGCGGAGAGGAACAGTCCCATAATTCACTTTTTTTGACCAAATACAGACCAAAGTGCAGTTGATACAGCTGGAGAGCGCTCGCACAGAGTCAACAGCAGATTCAGTTTTTAACCTTATACCCGCCGCGGCCGCCGCCGCCATGGAAAGACACCACCTGCAACCAGCGCTCAGTTTTTCGCCGTGTCCCTCCCTGAAATCTTTATTTACACAGAACTTTCCAAAATACACACCAGGCTTTTAACTTGGCCGGACTGTCGATTGTGATTACTCCGCACACGTCTAAAATAAGGCGCTCAGAGTACAGCCGCTCATTGTTTACACTCCTCCTCGCAGCTCGACCGCAGCTCCACTTCCTTTCTCTCGAAGGTGAACGCGATCCTGCTGCTCGAACCTCTTGGCAGAAACGCTCGTGTGATGTGGCTCTGGAGGCAAACAGAGGCGGCGGGACGAGCCCCTAAAGTAAGCAGACAGATTTAGAAAGCAAATCCCTATTGTGAACGGATGAGTGGAGCGTTACAGAGCTGCGCCACAATGTCTGACCTCAGAGGTTGACTGGTCATGTTGTCTGGTTAGAGCGCACTCACGAGGGTCCCTTAAGGTTGTGCCCACTCTTGGTGGAAACGCACACAATCGCAGGTTCAACCCTGTGTGACCCGTTTGGCCTGGAGCGACCCTGAAAACACGGACGCACACCGGGGTTCACGTTCAGTCCTGAGATACCGAACAAACACAAACGTACAAACTCTCGTTTTAGAAATCCAGCTCAGAGTGACGGTAAATCAAACTCTCACACTTCAGTGTCCGCTCGTCTGTACGGCTGGAGACTCGAGGAGCTCTTCCATTAGAGCGCAAACACCGCCGTGTACATAATTACGCTTCAGAGACGCCACAAGAATGTCTGCTCCCCTCGATAACAACTAAACAATACTTACTTACCCCGCCCCGAACTTTCCCAACCATAACCACTCTTACAGTCAGTTCACTCAGAGACCAACTCTGGGAGGGAAATCTGAGCATTAAAATCAACTAAATACATGAGTTTATTAGAACTAGAGATGCACCGATCTTTAAAAAGCTTGACCTGCAGATACTGATTTTTTTTATAACTGACAACAAACACCTTCGATGCTCCGATCTTATTTGAATGAAAAACATAGAACAATACTTATGGAACAATACAACCTTCTTGTGTTTAACTGCACATGAGGTCGTTCTCTCTAATGTAAATGAAAAGTTGAGAATATTTCTGTCCAAACTATTAAATTATATCAGTTCCTAAATTAACAGTACTTGGTCACATACAGGTCAGACTGCAGGTCTGTTTTGAGCCTCTTACCAAACCAAATGTACAGCAGTATTTTACTTCAACAGATAAATGAAATCAAAAGGTTTAAAGAAGTTAGTAAAATAAAAATCGACAGGACAAACTGAACTGGCGGGCCTGTCATTCTGACTTTCAGACCTTTGCTGAGGTCGATAAGATCGGTGGATAAAATCGGTTTTATGTGTTAGGATCAGCCAATCACCGATCCTGGAAATCGGCGTCAATCGATCGGACGATTTATCAGCGCATGTTTAATTAAAACTAAAACTTCAACCACAAAGAGCGGAAACCAGCGAGCACAGCTAGCTTAGATCGAGCTATCATCAGCATCTTTAAAACTCACGTTAAACTTCATCTTCCTGTGATAAAGACGACAAACTAACTTTCAGTACTCGTGTTTTCTGAACAGCTGAACCAGGCGAAGTGATTTATCGTACGACTTCAACGATTTCAGTGGAAATGTCAGAATGAAGACGATCGAACTGGGCGAGGATTAGGAATGAAATTCAAGGAGATCAATCGACTGAAATATTAACAATCATCAATCAAATACTCATAAAACAGAAACTTACACAATCAAAGTAGTATCTCGTGTTTTTCCATGAATATAAACAGATATAACTGACAGGACTGCAAAAATAAAGAACTTAAAAACATTTGACTTTTGTCGCGCTCTCATTGGCCGATGTCCCTGACGTGGCGGGACAGGTGTGAAATAAACATGTGAGACTTTCTGTCTGGAGGTCGTGATGACATGATGGTCATTCCCTGAATCGCAGGATAAAGCGATCGATAGTTCGAGGTCATCAGGTCCTGAGATCCTGCTGGACTGAGCAGCAGACGTGGTTATTAAGTGAAGTCTGACCTTGGCGTGAGGGAACTTCCTGTGAGTCTGTGGAGTCCCTGAAAGTCACACAAGTAACAAAAAAAGAAGTTTTCCTTTTTTCCTGTTTGTATTTTCATCAGCAGAGATAAAGATAAATATCTCTTTGAGTTTTAGAGGGATCAGATTTTGATGGATCCAGATTCAGGATTTAGACTCTTTGGAGGATCTTTAGTCTTAGCAGCTGATCCTGTTGACCTTTTCAGTTATAAACTCCTCACTGAGAAAGTTTGAGAAAAGAAACGGAAAATTTGACTTTTGAATATGATTTTTTGTCCGTTTACAGAGAAATTTTGTTTTACTCCAAGTTAAAAACTCTTCACACTTGGTTTAAACTGTCGTATTAAGAAAAAAAAGAAAAGTAGATTTATTTTAAAGAGTGTTAACAAACTTATTAAGGGGGTAGTTTCTAACTCTTGGATTTCTTACTTCGGCCTGAGCTTCGCCGGTTTATGACTCACAGAGTTTCGAGTTCATTCGACTCATCGACTGAAACTCCAAGAAATCAAAGTGCGGTTTTCATTTTCAGGGTTTTCTGTGTCTCTTTAAAAATGAAACATTCAGCCTGAGTGACGTTTTTCAGGGCGTCTCAGAACCGTCTGTTAATGGTTACGGGTTTAGATGACGTACCACACTGACCCGGTCCAAGTGTGTGACTGGGTCATGTTTACAGACGGTTTACTCAACTTTAACCTGCTCTTACAGACGCAGAAACACACCGTTCACAGACACTGTTTTTTGGAGGGCGGAGTGCGGTGACTTCCACTCCAGAGTCATGTCTGCTTCTAACGCAGTGACGCCTCAGGGTTTCTGATCAATGTTTTAAAAAAATCATCAAATTTTTATTTGTAATTCCAGACAGAAAAATTATCCTGAAATCGATGAACTCAGACACTTTTGTTCAACTTTTTTAGTGCTTGTTGTCAACTTTTTAGTATTGTGTTACAAAAAAAGGTGAATTTTTGATAAAACACATTTTTAGATTCAACTTTCAACACATTTTCTTCGCACTATTTTCAATTTATTATCAAACTATCTGCAACATTTTGCACGACCAACTAACAAATGTGTAGGACAAAATCAGCAAAAATGTAAGAGGTGCCCCTTTGTCCACAGGGGGCGCCAAAATCAAGATGAAAAAGTTCTTTATAGGAGCTTTAATATTGTCTTCTGTTGGACTAAATAAGTACACTATAGGACAAAAGTTTGGAAGATCAGATTAGTACAAAAAAAGATCATAGTTTCATTTATATAATTTACAACACAATAAACATGACTATTGTGTAAAGAGTAACTTATCAGAAGACATTTTGACTATAATTCTGAGGTATTTGAGTTTTTGTTGTTAGACTTTCTTTAAAGTAACCTCCTCTGGCATTCGTTCACCAAGTTTTCTAAGGTCTGTTCCAGGGATTACATTCAAGCTTTCTTAAGTTCATTAAAAAGAGACGCTGATTCGTGGGACGAGTTTTTCTGACCGATCGATCCAATTCGTCCCGCTCAAGCTCAGTAGGAGAAAGGTCTGGAGACTGAGGGGGCCAAACCATCTTTTGAAGAACACCTTCCTCTTCTTTTTTGTCTTGGTAACCCTGACAGAGCTCGGCAGAGAGCTTAGGGTCATTGTCTCACTGCAAAACAAACTTATGAGCCACAAGTCTGAGTCCAGATGGAGCAGCATGGTGCTGGAGGATGGAGTGGTACTGTTCCTTCTTCATGATACCCTTTACTTCAAACAAATCTCCTACTCCATCACCTGATAAACATCCCCATACCATAGAACTACCACCTCCATGCTGAATTGTGGGTGAAACACATGGAGCTTTCAGACGTTCACCAGTTTGTCAGCGGACATAGACTCTGAGTTTGGAACCAAACAGTTCAAACTTGTTTCTATCATCATTAGTCCAATTTTTGTGAGTTTTTGCCCACTCATATCTCTTTTTCTTGTTCTGTGGACGAAGTCGTGTTTTTTTGCAGATACACAACCCTTCAGACCAGCCTTTCTCAAACATCACGGTTCTCAGAGATGTGGGTTTCGACCTTGTCATGTTGATTTCCTCCCTTATTTTTGGTGCTGTCTTTCGCCGATCTCTCTTCCTGGTGACAATGCTATGTTTATCCTCTGCTTTTGTAGTAACTCTCTTTCGTCCAGGTCTTTTTCTATCATCAGAACTTCCAGGTTCCTCTCGTCTCTTCAGAGTGGAGTGGACTCCTTTGTTAAACACCTTTAGGCGTTTTTCTCTTTCTGTGTTTCCTTCTTTCCTCGATGTACAAATCTGCACTTTTGTTTCTTTACTCAGTTGCTTCTTTCTACCCATGTTTGCTGTAGTTTGAACACAGTTGAGATTTATTAGGATTTTGTCTGCAGACTCTCAAAAGACAAAAAGTTGAAGTGAATAATCCAACTGTGATTTGTTTTTTTTTTTTTGCTTTTGCACTGAAGTTGTGACTCTTGCAAATGTTTTCGACCCTTATTATCTTTTGCTGACATATATTTAGCAACGGTCTGTTAACATCAATGTATATCTAAAGGTAAATGGAGTAAAATGGTGCATTCCCATGAAAGCAACATCTGATCATGGAGTAAATACATCCCAAAATACATAAAACTCATGCTGGATTTTAAAAAATCGTTGTGAACAGAAACTTGAAGTTACTCCCAACTCTTTTGGCCTGTAGTGTAAATTAGTCAAAACTCTTTAAAGTTGATAAACTTTTAAATTGTCTCTCGTCTTTTTAATGATTTTTACGTCTGCTTACAGTCGGACAATAGGCGGAAATTAAAAGTCGATCTGACCCTCGCTGTATTTCAAAACGTCCGTGTTAATTACACCCTCCTTGGAAATAAAGAAACGCACACACCCCACCCATTGTCCTCCAAACAATCCCCCTTAATTAATTTCACATACTGCAGGAAACAAATACCCACAAAGTGTCAACATACACATTCTTTCCTCCTTTCCCAGAGTTCAGTTTGGCGGTTCTGAGTCCGAGGTTCTGCATGTTTACGTGGGCGTGTATGAAACCCTATATGAACCAAAAATAGTTTGACACGAGTTACCCGCCGTGGCTGCGATCCCTCCACACAGACCTTTGCTCCTTCAGTGTGTATTTACAGTCTGCATGTACTATAATCTGAGTTCCTACTGTATGAAACATTTCTGCCAAATTCCTCACAAATTATAACTCGGCTGCAGGAGAAGAAGAAGAAGAAGAAGAAGAAGAAGAAGAAGAGTCAGTGTTTGCAGAGGACTTACCCAGAATGAGAGTGAGCAGCAGAGCGGCGCAGACGCACACACACATGGCCAGAGCCACCCTGTAGAGACGACTGTTGTCCTTCTCGGGTTTAACCCCGCTGCCACCTAAACGCTCCAGCTCCATGGTTTACTATATCACACACACATATACAAAAAAACACACACACATACACACACACTCTGACTAAATATTCGCTGGAAAAACTGTTTAAAAAATCTAAATAATGCACAAATGAAAACTAAAAACAATTTAATTTAACTTAAGCTTCTTCTGCTCATTTCTAAAATATCTTCATGTCTGTTTTAAACGTTAAAATCAGACTTTGTGCATTTTTCCTCTCTGTCTCTCTCTCTCTCTCTCTCTCTGAGCTCCTATCTGTCTATCTGGAGTTACTCTAACTTCACCCGGCTCTCCAAACTATTCCTCCTCCTCCTACTCCTCCTGTCCACTACCACTCCTCCTCCCATCCCTCTCTCTCTCCCTCTCTCTCTCTCTCTCTCTCTCTCTCTCTCTCTCTCTCCAGGCCTCCCAGAGCTCATTTAATAAAATCAGGGGCTCAAACCCGGAGCGTTATCTGTGTGGTTTTGTGGTTATTACAGGCTGCAGACCCTCGCCGGTGGCGTCAGCGCACACGTGGATTAAAAGTGTGTGATGTCCTGGACCAAACAGCGTGGTCCTCTGCTCCGAGCGTTTATCAGATTAGACAGTCAGTAGACCAAATTAGACACACACACACATATACACACACACACACACACACACACACACACACACACACGCGCGGACCGGGCGCTGATTACAATTGATTAATCTGATGATGATGATGGCGATGACATGGCGGCCTGTAGAAACACATCAGTGTTTTTGTCAGGATGCATCAATAGTTTCTTCCCAGAGCCAGAGGTGCTGATGATAACGACACCGCAGCTTCTGATTGGTCCACGCCCTCCCCCCATGCTGTGGCGAGGACTCTGCCCGCACGTGCTTATTAGAGTTCGGGGCGTTGGCCGCAGAGTCCTTATATAGACGCGACTTCCTGCGCTGCTGAAAACACCCATTCATCAAACAGACGTGTCCACCACAACGCTATTGTTCGCTCGCCATCATTGGTGTTGTTTTTACTCACATTGTTGAGCCTCTGCTGCGGTTCGGTTCAGCCTCTGGAGGAACATCTGATCTGACATTCATGCTCCCCAGACGACAGACCCTCATTATTCATCCTCCATCGCTTTAAAGACGAACAATTCCTGGAGAAAGGAGAAAAAAAAACGTATATAGGGACAGTTTTCAGTTTTAAGTATTATTGGTGCTCCTCAGAGGATGAACCACGCTGACTTTAGTGATCTTAGCTTTTTGTCTGGCAGCTAAAGGTCAAGATTTACCTTTAACCTTCAAACATATAAACTTTGAGATGGTAGAAATGAAACTAAAACAGATATTCATGATCCCCAGAGGACAAACACCAATTTTTAGGACAGATTTATCTCACTTTAAATTCAATTTATGTTCCTCAGAGGATGATCCCACCTAAATTTGGACATGTTCTCGGTGTTGAAGGTCAAACCTCTGGCACCTTCAGGATTCATCTGAGTAGACATTCATGATCCCCAGAGGATAAATCTTTCTAACCTTGGTGACCTTCATGCTGTTTCTCAGAGGATGAAATTGTTGGTTACCGATCAATGAAATGTGAAGATAACTCCTTGGTCTGAAATCGTGTTCATGTCCCTAAGAGGTTAAACCCTTTAGAGATTATCTCACCCTTTATCATGATCCCCAGTTGGATAATTCCTGTGACTTCATGAACCTCCTTAATTTTTCTCGGTTACTGATGAGGATTACTTTGACATAGACTGGTTTCAGTTTGAAGCAACATTCATGCTCCCCAGTGGATGAACCAAACCGACTTCAGAGGCTTTTTAACTTGACGTCTGACACAAAAAAGAGGTTAGCACTCGGGGATTAAAACTTCATTTCTGGAGTTTGTTTGACACTGACTGTCCTCAGAGGATGAACCCTTTAGACTTCCAGTAACTTGACAGGTCAACTATTGAATAAAGAGTGTCATTGACTTTTTTATAGTGTTGGTGTTCCCCAGAGGATGAACCCTTCTGACTTTGGTGACTCTGGTATTTGTACGGTGTTACCAGCATAAACCCGATTTAACCTCAACCTCATACTGACAACATTTAATCGACATACAGTACAGGCCAAAAGTTTGGACACACCTTCTCATTCAATGTCTTCTCTTTATTTTTTTATATGACTATTTACATTGTAGATTATCACTGAAGGCATCAAAACTATGAATGAAGACATGTAGAATTTTGTACTTACAAAAAAAGTGTGAAATAACCGAAAACATGTTTTATATTCTAGTTTCTTTAAAATAGCCACCCTTTGCTCTTGATGACAGAAGTACCTTGTCAGGGTTACTTCAGGCACTCCTGTGAAGTAAAAACCATTTCAGGTGACTACCTCATGAAGCTCATTGAGAGAACAGCTAAAGTTTGCAGCGCTATCAAAAAAGCAAAGGGTGGCTATTTTGAGAAATCTAAAATATAAAACATGTTTTCAGTTATTTCACACTTTTTTCTTAAGCACATGATTCCACATGTGTTCATTCATAGTTTTGAGAATCTAAAATTTAAATAGTAATGAAAACAAAGAAAATGCATTAAATGAGAAGGTGTGTCCAAACTTTTGGCCTGTACTGTAGTTCACTAACTACTGCTGAAGACGTTCATAGTCCCCAGAGGCATCACTTTAAACCTCTCCTTTATTCTTGGTCATAATTGAAAGTTAAAGTCGACATCTTCACCTGAAACATGCTGACGTAGTCGACTGTGGTTTTGGTTCATTGAGTTGGCGCACTGTTGGGTAATACCGACACACTCGTCTATGATCCTTGAAGTCACTTTGAAGGGGGTCAGAGAGTTAACTGGAAGAGCTACGGCTCTTCTCTGCCCTCTCCTCCCCCCTCCTCCAGCGTCCTTCCATGTCTGTTCACTCAAACATACCTGCAGGCCGTCATTAGTACAAGATAAGCAACAGAAATACTTGAACAAGGACACATCAGTAATCTTTTAGCGCAGATTAGGAGAAAAAAACGGCCTTCAGAGTTTTTTATCTGAACACAAACATCCACACACGCCAGACGCTGAATTCTGCATCCAACGGGGTCAGATCTTTCCACATCATGTCCTAATTATTCAGAGATAAAGCCCAGAACAAGACAGCCATGTTGAACCTGCTGACAGAGGTGTCTGCAGCTCACCCTCTCAGGGTAAACACACCTGTCAGGGCCTTTCAGTATTTTTCTGTCTGTGGGAAACTCCCTTTCAAATTACCATGTGTCATCTCTCTCCCACTCACAGAGGAAAATAATCACTGCATGACTTCTTCAAAATACGACATTAACGGTCGGTCAGGAGCTCTGACTAAAGTCTACCCCCTGTACTTTTGTTCCAGCGTCTGAGGAAGACGATGAGACGAGAATATAAAACCAGGAAGAACAGAGTTAATTTCTAAGATTCAGGGTTCACGGCTCATAAAAATTCAATTCAAAAAGGTTTTTAAACACAGATTAAATGTCTGACTCTCTTTAATTATATTTATATTTATTTACACTTAATTGGGATTCCTTTAGGAGGAATGACAGCAAACCCTTTAGCAGTAGTTCTGGCGCTGTGGGCAGGAGCTTGTCAAGCTTTTTCTTGACATTCTGCGTTTTCTACGGTGGCCCTGAGGTGCAAAACGGCAAATCAGAAAAGACAAAAACTGAAGTGGAAACACAACGGTTAGTGCTGTTGTGTTTTCTCTTTTTTTTGTTTTCTGATGTGCTGTTGTGTTTTGCACCTCAGGGCCACCGTAGTTTCCTGATATGTAAGCATAAAGTGTAGTTTAAAGTCATGGCTATGAACCTCGTTTCTATGGCGATCATGGTCCTATAGTGCGATCTCCACAAAGTGAAGAGAAAAAAGATCGGAAAAATCTGTTCACCCTATCAGCTGCAGGGCTGCAAAAACACTGACCAATGGGAGCCATCCTTCCCGGACAGCTCCTATTGGTCAATCTCCTGCTCCGCCTCTCCATCCAATCACTTTGCTGTATTTGACACACCCCTCTCCCGTCGTTCCGACTCGTCCCAAATGGCAAATATAATGACAATTAAAATGTAAAGTAAAAAACAAGTATCTGTTTATGATCCGTTCAGAGTTCGCAAACTCCCATCGTAAACATAACTTTGGTTTTCTCTCATGTTAGTCCATCACTTTCAGGTTACGGCGAGTACAAACTGACTTCGACACATAATTGAACAGAAAAAATCTATTTATTAATAAACACTTTCACAGGAAGCTCTTAAATTATAGAGAAAAAAAGTTCTCTGTTCCACAAACATCGACACAAAGAGGATAAAAACATCAAACTCAAATCTGAGTTTTAAAAGTGGAGATCGTTTTTCTCCGTTTACAATCCCCCTCGGCGGAGAAAGACACTTGACTGAATGGATTTATATCTTTAAATGAGTGACGTGAACATTAACCCTTTATTTCAGTTTATACTCGGTGTTTTTGGTGTCAGTTATACGCTTGAATAATAGGTAGCAACGTGTCTTTAACAGTGATACGGAGTCGAGGGTTAAGGTAGCGCCCGGCGTTTGCTGATGACAGAGAGGCGTTATAAACACGCCTCACACTGAAGCCAACCAATCACAAAACAGGAAGTCTTCATTCAAACGCAAACACACGGTCAGTTTTTCAGTCGTTTTTGTAAACAGTCGAGGATGGCGGTGCTTTACAGCGAGTGCATTTAAAGATGTGCTTTGAGCGTATGGCGGCAACAAGGTGGAAGCAGAAGAAGAAGAAGAAGAAGAAGAAGAAGGAGAAGGTTGTTGTTGTTGTTTCCCTGGAGGGCGAGCAGATCCTCAGAGACCCGGTCTAAGTCTCCCTCAACGGTTTCAGTCTGTTCACAGTCTGACGGTCCGACAGAGAGAGCGCCGCTCAGTCCTGCTGGAGTTTCATTCTGGGAGTTTTCGCTCCAACATGGCGGTTATCGCGCCGTGACCATCCACAGGCCCAGGGCCACGTTGGCCGCCAGCAGGGCGCTGCCCGCCAGCAGCAGGAAGAAACCAATCAGCTCTCGCTTTTGACGGTCCGTCACCACGGAAACCAGCGTGGCCTCCAGCAGAGCGTTCATCATCCACTGACCGTCCAGAGCGAAACACGGGACGGAGTTTACGACGGCTAACGCGCCGGAGAGGGACACGAGATACCTGAGGGAGGGGTTAAAGGTCATAATGGAAAGATGGACAGTGTAATTGATATTCATTATTTGGTTTTTACAGTGCAGCGCTGTCACTGTGTCAGATTTTTCACTGCCGTAAAATATCAAAATAACGATGTTAGCATAATAGTTAATTAAAACTTGACGATTAAATAAATGGTCAAAGTGAGGACAGGAAACACAAGGGCGGAGCAACGCATGAGGTCATAAACTGTCATAACGACCGCTGTTACCTCATTAGTCATCATCCATGTTTGATAATATTCACATTTAGAATTTATCGTCAGCCACAGAGAAGACACTGTCCCTTTAAATGACGATGAATACACCGCCCCTTTAAATGACAATGAATACACCGCCCCTTTAAATGACGATAAAGACACTATCCCTTTAAATGACGATAAAAACACTGCCCCTTTAAATGACGAAGACACTATCCCTTTAAATGATGAAGACACTGTCCCTTTAAATGACGATAAAGACACTGTCCCTTTAAATGACGATGATATGAAGTCTGCTATGACACAGTTGTTTGCTACTTGGTTCTAATTCAGGACATGATTGGTTCAGTGTGAAGTGGACTTGGAGAAACTCCCCTTTTCATTGGCTATTTATATAATCTACCAAAACATCGCAGAATGCCGACTATCGAAAAGGATATTGACTGTTTTATACTGATATTGAGGGAAACTAATTTCCGATAAATTCATCGTTTTATCGCCCAGCTCTACTTCAGAGCCTCCACTTAACGATAAAGTCCACTCAGCGATTTTGTTAACGGCGCTCTGACTTCTCTGGGATGATTAAAGGTTCACAGCTGCGGAGGTTAGCGAACATGAAGGAGACGCCATCTCCGATCAAAAACCCCAAAAGTTCACTTTGGTTTTGAAAAGAGGAGAAGCAGAAAGTTTGTGGTGATGAGTTCTACATCCGTCTGATCCTGCTGGGACAGGCAGTCATCAGACCGCTGAAGTGCCTCCTCACTGTGAGGAGAAATGATTGGATGCTAAAATAGGGAGACTGTTATCCAGAAATAACAGACATTAGAATATGTGTGAGGTCCAATCAGAGAGCAGGACTGAGTGAAATGGTCATCATTGAGCCGACGCAGACGAGGACATGAATTAAACTCTCCTCCTTTAAAGAACAACCTCATCTGTTTAGATTTGGAGGAGTGACTTCGACAGAAGAGGAGCGCTCACATTTCACGAGCCGACTTCTCCCACATCCATCATCTGGTTATGTCTGCGGGGCTTTTAATTTGAAAGGATACTTGCAGAAGGTCTCCAAGAAGACGGGCAGGTCCAGGTGAAGGAAACCGAAGCGGGGGATGAAGTTTGTCAGACTCACTGGAAGGAGAAGGAAAAAACAGGAGACGTCAGGACGGAGGTGTTTGAGGATAACTGCAGGTTTAACTCAGACTCTGTTTGAGCCAATCAGCACGTCTCTAACAGTCTTCAACACGCCGCTTCCTGCCCGGCTGCTGTGTGGAGGAGTCAGCTGGGAATAAACAACAATTACATGAATGTTGGAGACGATCGGAGACTCTGTTCAGGTCCTGCTGAGACTCACACCAGCAAAGACGAACTCAAGACCATCAAAAACACATCTGAGGTTCTTTTTCCACCTCCTCACTTCAGAGGTTAAAAAACTAAAGCGTGGTTTCTCTCTCTGCGTACCCGCGTACTGAAGGTGCGGCGGATACCCCACGAACAGCATGTGTGTGTTGGGCGGGTGTGTGACTCGGATGAAGCGGGTCTGGTTCTCCAGAGACGGGGTGACGCAGATGCTCGCAGCAGAGTGGGCGTGCACCGCCGCGCAGTCCTCGTTGGTTCTGCACACCCGCGTCCCCATCACCATCTTTCGCACCGGCATGCAGGCGAACTGAAATCACAGAGGAAGACACGGGGGCGGAGAAAAGAGACGTTTTTAATTTGAAAATGAGTTTTTTTCAGTGACATCTCTAAATAGATTACATCTTAGTAAATTAAATGACCTTTTGGAGCGTCCTGATCGATTTTATTGTTCAATAAATGAAATCACACAGACGACAGACTCAAGAGGGAATAAAAAAGAGGAATTCAATCACAGAGACGTTTCTTTAAAATCAAAACAAGGAAGTGAAAATTGTCCTTCAGATGTTTGAACTCTAATCAAAGTCTTTCAGGGTCATGCTTACAGATGAATTAAACAGACAGTGACTTTTTTTACACATGCAGTGTTTTCCACTACAGAGCCGAGTCTGGAAGCTCTAAGATCACATCTATCTAATGTTTGCTTCTCGTCTCTCCAGATTCTCTGAATCCTTTAATGATGTTTTGTCATGAAGACGGTGAAATCCTCAAAGAACTTGATCCTGAAACTCAGACTCTCCTGAATGAACCTTCAAAACCTGATCATCGTTAGCTGGGAGGAGTTTTTTTTTAACTTTTTTAGTGTTTTTTTGTCCTCACTCTTTTAAACTTTATGCTGCCATTACATTTGAATGATCTTCTTATCTTATGAGGTTATTTTATATATTATTTTTATGATTTAATATAAAAAAAAATACAATTTTAACATTTATTATTCTGTCTTATCTCAAATTTTAATTAACTATAAAGTTTAAATAATTAAAATCTGAAACCAGCATCTTCTTTCTCTTTTTTAATCTGGTTATACAGAGTCTCTCTGCAGGTTTCAACACATCACTTTTAAGACTTTTTAAGAGTTTTTTAAACCACAATTAATATTATTGTTTATTTTGAATGGCATGGTTTTTATTTGTAAATAACATTTATACATCTTTAAGACCTTTTAAAAACATATTTAATACAATTTATGAGACTTTCAGAGAATTTTAGACACTTCAAATTATTTGATTTTAGACATTTTAAGACTTTTTAGACTTTTTTAAACCATAATGAATATTAGTATTTATTTGTATGGCATGGTTTTTATTTGTAAGTAACGTTTGTAGATCTTAGAGACCTTTCAAAAATGTATTTAAGACGATTTATGAGATTTGAGCCGCTTCAAATTATTGGATTTTAAGACATTTTAAGACTTTTTAAGACTCATTTTACATCCATAAGGGCAAAAAAGAGCAAAAGACATGAAGAAGACATTAATCTTTATTTGTATGACATGTTATTTATTGGTAAGTTACATTTATTCATCCTTTCAAAAACTAATTTAATACGATTTCTGAGATTTTAAGGGAATTTTAGACACTTCAAATTATTGGATTTAGACGTTTTAAGACCTTGTTATAAAAGAAAAAAGGAAATAAAAGGATCTGAAATGAAAAAAAGAAGAAGAACTTCATTTATCCCCAAAGGGAAATTTAACAAGGAAGAAATATAAATAAAAATATGCTGGACCGTCTGAGAGGACTGGAAACCAACTCATAAGACAACGCAGTCACCAAAAGTCCCAACCTGTGTGTGTGTGTGTGTGTGTGTGTGCGTCTGTGTGTGTGTGTGCGCGTCACCTCTCTCTCCTTCCTGCCCTGAAGCTGCATGTAGGAGAAGCAGAGGTCTGTCAGGCTGTTGTTGCTGCAGCAGTCCATCGTTCCGTCTAAACGCTTGAAGGCTGAAAAACAGAGAGAGAGAGAGAGAGAGAGAGAGAGAGAGAGAGAGAGAGAGAGAGAGAGAGAGAGAGAGAGAGAGAGAGAGAGAGAGAGAGAGAGAGAGAGAGAGAGAGAGAGAGAGAGAGAGAGAGATAAGGGAGGGAAAATAAAAGAGATGGATGGATGAGAGAGGGTTTATTAGATCACTGAGACGACTCTGAAAAAAAAAAACACGTCAAACAAACAAACGAAGATAAATGTCTCGGTGTCGGTTTCCCTCTGACCCGCTGGTTTTCAGACTCTGTGATTAGACCAGAACTCAATGATATCACTGAGATGATCCTCCGACGTCTCTCTCTCTCTCTCTCTCTCTCTCTCTCTCTCTCTCTCTCTCTCTCTCTCTCTCTCTCTCTCTCACACAAACTTATTTCACTCATCACACGGCGGGCAGCAGGTCCTGATCCTCTCCGGACTCTCACCTCGCCCGTGGGCCCAGCTGGGCTGCAGGCTGGCGACGGGGACGCAGTATCCAGTCTGCGGGGTGTGAGAGAGGCGAGACAGGCAGCTGGTCCAGTCCTCCACCCCCCTGACCGGACAGTCCTCCAGACCTGTCACTATGTCCCCGACCGACAGACCCCGAGGACCCTCAGCTGCAGAACCCTGATCCAAACACACACAAAAAAACAGGAGGGAGGAGAAAAAGTGACCATCTGAGTGTCTAATTGATCTTCTCACTCAACCAGAAGGAGGTTCTGGTGGTTTGGGGGCAAGAAGAGTAACAAATCAAGAGAAACTCTGACCCAGGACCCGATTATCCCTGTAGTTCAAAGTCCTGATGTACTGACCTGGACCACCTCAGTGACCAGCGCCCCGGCTCCGGTGTAGTAAACAGGAAAGAGGAAAACCGGCAGCAGGAAGAGGAAGGCCAACGCCGCCACGCAGAGGACAAAGTTGTGCCAAACTCCTGGAGAGAAAAGACGAAGAGACGAATGATGACGATGTTTCTGAAGAAGGTGGAGAAGACAAGTTTTAAAGACCGGATCGCTTCAAACCGGAGAAGAGCGGACAAAAAACTCAAACTATCCGTTAGAGTCGTCTGTCGTATTTTCTTTTGTGTTTGTTGAGTTTGATTTGCTATAAATAGAACGTAATTCGTGGTAGGTGTGTTGGTAGCTAGAGGAGCAAACTGTTTCATTCACATCATCTATATCGTCGTCATCCTGTCGTCACCGTTTGTGTGAATTTGCTTCATCTTTATTTGCATTTGGTTTCTTTGACAAAAGAAGAAAAACAAGAAAAATGTGACTTTGACGAACAGTTTCATCTACATGTGGGAAACATTCAGGGCCTGATTTTAGCCCGGCTGAGACTGAACGGTAATCGGCCAAAACTCGTCGATATTTTCAGAAATAAAATGTGGAGAATAAGACGGTGCTATATAAATAAAATGTGATTGAATTTGATTTGATCGATTTGATTGATTGATTGAAGAGGACGTATTCTGTATTTGTTCTCTGAGTGTATCTGTCGGTGTGCCGCCATGTTTGAAGGTAAGACGTCATGAAGACTCAGAGTCTGAGCGGTTTATTTCAGACTGGAGCTCCTGAGAATCTGAAGGACGTAAAGAGCGGACGGTAACCGCCGCTGACCACATTTAAGTCTCTATAAGAACTGAAACTCTGAGTCGCCCAAAAACCACCCGAGGGAGAAGTTTTATTGTCTGTGGAGGTCAAACCGCCGAGTTTACAGTCTTTAAGGTTAAAAATAAAAAACAAACATGAGAGCAGGAGGAGAGAGAAAGTCTGAGAGGCTGAAGTTTATCGTGTCGACCTGAAGAAGAATCAGCTGATCTTAAAAACTTCCCATCATGACGTGAAGAAGAACGAGTCGGCGCTGCGTCACCTTTTTTTTTTTCAACAGATTAAATAATAAACATGTTTTCTGTGAAGAACCTCCTGCTGACAGAACCGACTCTGCTGGACCGGCAGAGACAGAGACGGGTAAATAAACCCAGCAGGCTGTTATGTCACCACCCCCCCGATGGGAACAGCATCCCTCCCTCCTCTCTCTCTCTCTCTCTCTCTCTCTCTGGACTGTCACATGACCTGATTGGATGTCTCGCTCCGCTGCCTGCAGACACACAACCCGGTTATTTACTCGTCATATTAAGTTGTGTAAAAGCCTTGAGGAGTTAAAGACGCAGACGTAGCTCTGCGGCGCCCTCTGGTGGCCGCACAGAGGAAGTCCCGGCCTGTCATTAGAGCCGTGCTCCTCCTCGCTCTGACAGTAAACTGACACATGAGCGTCTGCAGGGAGTTCAGCGTCTCCGAACGACAAATCACCGTGACAACCGTCTCCTTGTTTGTGGAGGATAACTCTGAATTTATGTCAAACGTGGAGAATCGAGCGTGGACGCCATCAGCAGTGAGTCAGCAGGAAAAACATGAAATCTAACCGTTAAATGTTCGAGATTTTTAAGTTGAGATGTCGTCCCGTTCGTGCAGGATACAGGATTCCAGCTGAAAGTCTCCTACAGGCCACCGTAGGAGACTTTCAGCGCCTCATTCATGCGGGAATAACCGCCAGCCACGGCGTCCGGTTCATTAAAATCTAATCTGATTAATCGTGGAGTGATTTGATGTGGAGCTGCTGTTCAGAAACCAAAGACCTCAGAGTGACCTTGGCGAGTGTTTCACCGATAATTGAGATGAAAATCAGACCGAGGAGGATTAATAATAATAATAATAATAATAATAATAATGATGATTGGATTTATAATCACTGAAACATGAAAAAGTCGTACCGGCGCAGAAGATCCGGAGCTGCTGGGTGGGGGAGACCAGGTTGAGGTGTGTGGTGAAGAGGTCCACGAAGGCCCCGGGGTAGACCACGAACACAAACATGCCGAAACCGTTGACCCGGACCTGCTCCCTGATGAGAGGAAGAGAGTAGCTCTGATCCAGATCAGACTCTGAGGTTCTGGTTTTAGTGCTGTATCCATGTTTACATCTTAAACCTTGTTAATAAATATAAATACTGTTATATATGATATTGCAGTTTAATATAAACTCAGACATAACTAATAAAACCATTTATATCATTAATTAATGACTCTGTATTACACAGTTCAATTATGTTATTTTCTTTGTTCTAGTTTCCTTTAAACCAGAATATTGACCTTTTTTTGTTGCCATAGTAACAGATGGTTAAAAGTCTGTCCGTCTACATTTAGGATTCTTTTTTTTTTTTAAACGGGATAATTTACATTAATAAACATTTACATGTAAACACACAGGATTATAACAAAGCGGCAAATTTCCATCAGCAGGTTGGTGTAAAAACATCGAAGCAAAACTATTTATTTTGATGAGAAACTTGAAGTGATAAAAACAAAATCAATCTGATATCGGCTCTCCTGATTGGCTGTTAGAAAACGGACATCTATCGACCACAACTGTGCAAATTTATGTGTTAGAATATAATAAATTTCAAATACCTAAAAATATGTCATGTCGAGCTAAATCTGTCAGAAAACAAAAACGTTATTTCCTCTTATTTTGTTCTTGACGCCTCCTTATAAGATGCTTTAAAACCAGACAAGAGTTCATCAGCATCATCAGACCTCGTTAACCTTCACTAAACAACGACACCAGAAGTCAAGACAAACCTGAAATGATGATAAAATCATCTTCCAGCAGCCATCAGGCTGTTTAACAAAACCTGAGGATCTGCAAACCTCAGCACTAAATACAGATTTAACTGCTAGTACTACTGCAGTTATTACACTTACATACTGGTTTTATCTATCTATCTATCTATCTATCTATCTATCTATCTAAGTATCTATCTATCTATCTATCTATCTATCTATCTATCTATCTATCTATCTAAGTATCTATCTATCTATCTATCTAAACAGACGTTCAGTTTCTTGTTTTCCGTCTGTTTTTCCTCATTTAAGCGTCTTTATTTAAAACCCCTCATCCATCAGCACTCTCTGTTCATCCTCTCTGTTTGTCTCTCTGTTCGTCCTCTCTGTTCATCTCAGGAGGGTTTCCTGTTATTCATGTCTGTGATTCTGAGCCCCGTGAGGAAATGATAAAGTCGTCTTGATTGAATTAAACTGACTGGTTATTATTTTGACAGCTGACACCATGAACACCTGTGCTCCTGTTTTACCTCAGTGCCGCCACGGCGTGGCCCAGCTCGTGTATGACTCCGCTGAGCAGCAGAGCGATGAAGAAGTAGGCCAGCTGACTGGTGGGCAGGTTGACCCCCGGGACCTAAAAACACACGAAGAAGAAGAAGAGCAAACACGGCTGTGACCGACGCAGAAACTCAAATGTCAAAATAATCTGTCTCTGTGTCTGAATCAGTTTCATGTGGATCTCCATGGTGATTTATCTGGACCTGGTCTGGACCGAGTCCTCTGTGAGCTCGGCTCTTCCCTCCTACACTCGGCGTCTGTGTTTTCTGCAGCTCCCGGCTGAATAGCAGGTTATAAATGGCCGACTAATAGCTCCACATGAATCACCTGCAGCGGTCCGGTGGGGATAGCGCTCACATTAATGCACGTCTGTTTGACACCTCCATGAATAGAGAGTGTGCGGGAGGAAAATGCTAAATAAGAGCCCTTCACATAATTGGGGGCATTTTCTGGCCCCTCATTTGAATATCAGGAGTTTTTTGTGAACTTTGAAGGACATTAAAACCGTAAACTCCACTTAATCTGTGACCCTGAACACCGAGCAGAGAGACGGGGACCAACAGAAACATCTTTTTAATGAGAACAACACGAGTCCAGCAGGTTTTAAAAAAGAATTAATGAAAGGTTTACTTTTTACAGAAGCTTATCGGGAATTTGTACATTTTTATATTCCTGCACATACAAAAATATACACTAAAATATGCACTCCTTTCTGTCTTTTACCTCTTTTATCTTATTTCGACTTAAATGTCTTTTTAATCTTTCTTTTACTAATAATCTTTTCTTATTTAACCTTTTAGGTTTTTTATTGATTTTATTGTTTTTCCTGCTCATTTTTGTTTTTCCATTTTATCATCATTATTATTATTATTATTATTATTATTATGTTATGACTTAAATATCATTATTACTATTGTCTTTTTATATTTACTATCCTGTTTCCTGCTTTCTTCCCCCCTTTTTTATTGTATTTCTTTCTCTTACCTATTTTAAGTTTTTGTTTTGGTCTCATGGTCTCATTTTATGTTGTAGGTTCTTGTATTGTCTGAGTTTCTTATGACAAATAAAATTTTCCTTATTTTTAACTGAGCTTTTGTTTTTTATTTGTTTTATTTCCATGTGCTGATGTTCTGTCAAAGTACTTTGTAAACTTGATATAAAAATAAAGTTATCATTATTATAATTATTATTATTATTATTATTGTTAAAGGTGTACAATATTTACCAAAGAAATATCATCCGAAATATAGACCGATATACAGAAAAATAAATGCCGCAATATCGCAGGACGGGAAAATGTCGCTGATGTGAACGCTTGTATTGACAGGATGTTTAAAAAAAAACACTGACATCCGAAAAAAAACGCTCCTGGTGTGTAAGAACCTTAAGGCTGCACATCAGGTGTATTAAAAGCAGGTAAATTAAAGCTGCAGAGGAAGATGAGACTATGCAGACGAGTTCAGACTGGGACCGTCATCTAACTTGGGAAATTTGGAGCAGATCAGACCCTGGATGTGAGAGTCAGAACCATGTGATTCCACAGGATGGCGCTGTGATGGTAGTTTAAAAAACCAGCATGTAGATGTGTGGAGGGGTGGATCTTAATTATGTAAAGGGAAGAGAGTGGAGGTTGTATAAACTTCCTCTAAAACAAGTTTATAAACGTGCGTACGTACCACCACCTGCAGGGCCTGCTGACCCCCCATGCGAGGGTTGTTCGTGGTCATCTGAGCGAGCGTCTGCTGGAGCGTCTTTATCAACAGAACCACTGAACCCACCATGGCAACGATACCAAACACCAGACCGCTGTTGAACCTGAGGGAGGTCGATATTCAGAGAGTTCAGTCATTTTTAAATGTGGTGAATGTATCTGAAGGCAAATCAACAGTGAGCAGTTGACCTGATTTATTTTCTATTGTAGCTTAAGTTCAAACAATAAGAAGAAAAACTCTAATCTAATCTCTGTTTACTTTTCATTCTTAATCTGGGTGTCAAACCGCTGGATTAGCCTATAAAGAAATATATAAAGGTATATAAAGTCAGACAGCAGTCCTCACCACAGGTGAAGGGCTCTGGGGTTGATCCGAGCACAGTAGGCGAACAGTCGGTTGAACATGGTGGTCTGCCATCTCACGTGGAAAGGAGACAACATCAGGCCTCGACTCGACAGCCAGGACTCGTACCTGATCCGGTGTGTCACTGAGGACTGGGCGGAAAAAAAAAAAAGTATTTATGGATCTTTTCAGCGGCGCTGTTTCCGACCCCATACAACCGTCAACAACAACAGCAGGTCGGTGTCAGACGTCAGAAGTGTCTACAACTGCTGCTGGAGAAACAAGAAGATGGAGCATCGTACAGCGTTGTTTTTGTCCGACATGATGGACGCGCTACTTTTTCTAAAGAAGAGATGAACACTACTCCTCTACTCTGGGGGTTTCTGTTTAAGAGTTACGGGGGCGTGGCGCATGTACAGGCATTGTCCGATCACACTCCGACTACGCTGCTTACATGGTAGAGAGAATCGAATTCCAATTGCGTTATCTGGGTGTCTTAATCAGACTAAGGTGTTCACATGACCTTCAGTTGTCCGGTCTTAATCGGAGTAAGGTGATAATTCGGTTTTCTTGAGTGTCATGTAAACATACTGACAGACTTGATATCAAACATTGTTTTTAGACGACTTTGATTATCATGATATAGCAGAAACTCGTGTCCATAATCAGAGTACAGAAACGACGAATAACAGACCGTTGCTATGGGGCGTTGACCAATCAGAATCAAGTATCCTTAGAATCCTACAGTTTGGTAAACCGTTACTCTTTTTCAAAGCGTCTCTACTTTCACTTTCACTTTTACCTACTCAGACCCTGTTTATAAGATAATATTCGATACTATCATGAGTTAAAACGCGAATTTAACCTGTAATTTACTTGTTTTGTCGAGAAGAAAGTCTATCTAGCAGGTAAGTTTGTGTTAAACTGAAGCACGTTTTTTTCTACAGGAGCAAACTTCATTTCCCAGCTTGTCTAAATTTAAGGTTTTAAAGTGACTTTAGTGAATTTAACTTGTTATTTACGTGTAAATGTGTCTGTGGAAACTAAACCGTGGGAGACAGAGAGTCGTGATGTTCTTATCGATCGTGTAAAACACTCCTGCTCTTCTTTTTTAACTCTCTATAACCTTAAATAATAAAGACATGATTAAAGTAAGACCCCTCACCTTCAGCATGGTGTCTGTCAGATAGACAACACACCATCCTGCCATCACAAACACCAGCAGAGACACCGGGATCATCGTTCATCAGAGTAAACACAAACTCAGTCTAACTGAAGAGTCTCCATCTCTGCTCCTCCGGGTCCACGCTGCCGTCAGCCGACACTCATCTTCAACGATGATCTTACTGTTAATATTTGAGCTTAAATCTCTGAAAAGAAGAAGATAATCCAGAGATATTCTGCTCTGAATGGAGAGAATCGTCAGCACTGTGCGACACTCTTCCGGGTTGAGCCTCTTTTTCTTCTTCTGCTGCATTAAATCAAACAAACAAACGGAGCGATGTCGCCTCCTGGTGGACAACATGAGAACAAGTAACAAAAACAGCAACAGGAAATTTGACATTTAAAGGTGGGGTTTGCAGAAGTATCTTTACTTTTGTGATGTATATACAAAAAAATCTTTTAATATCAGTCAATAGATATTAGTTATTGATGACATTTGGTGATATAAGGATATCTCTGTTTTCTCTTTTGTCTGTGTCGTCAACATTTTAACATTTTTTGAGCGGCCTGCTCTGTCTGACTGTAAACAAAGCCGTTCTCCACCTCCCCGACCTGATTGGTTGTGAGGCAGACGCTGCTCCCCCTAACAAAGTTAGCGTGCTACAATATTGGACAGTAGAAACAGTGGCGGTCTTACCATTAGGCAACACTAGGCGGTCGCCCAGGGCCCTGAGTTTCTGGGAGCCCCCTAAAACTCCTCATACACTTATGGTTAATACAGGTTTTACTTATTTGCACAAATTAATTATGTTTTTGCTTAAACTAACAATTTTCTGAATGGAGTTTGGTTTGTGTCAAAACTGACGTTTGAGCTGCACCAAACCTCATACAGAAAACAGCACTTTTTACACATGGGACAATTTTCTCCCTAAATGAGATTTTTTTTCATTATGGAAAAGTTCAAATCAAATATTATTCTTGTGGATATAAACATTATTGAATTGTGGATCTGTCACGGTTGTGGATTTGTCACGGTTGTGAATCTGCTTGGCTCTCTGGCTCTGCAGACACCCCCCACTCAGCACAACACTGACAGTAAATTTAACTTAAGAACCTGAGGACACGGAGTAAATGATCAGAGTTTGCAGAGCTGCTTCAGTATACAGTAAAAATGTCAGTGTTGGTGCGGATTCTGAGTTTGGCCCAAGCAAAAGGTCAGGATAGTAAAAGGACACCGATAAATGTTGATGGTCTGACTCCAGAGCGAAAGGAAAAGCTCCCAGTCTGACTCATTAGGCTGTAAATGGGACCAGGACACATAAAACTGTGGTTCATGAAGTTCACATTCATATAACAGCGTAAATGTGTCTCAGTGATGAAGCAGCTGTTTACTCGTTCACAGTCAAAGTTTAATGTTTTTGTTGTGGTTGGAAATGAGCGGACAAACAGGACAGATGCCCTCCTGCACGTGCAGCAGTTCTTGCCAAGAGAACAGATGACCATGAGCGAGAGGAGTGAACGGCGCGGGGCGGCGAAAAGTATTATTTGATCTCAGAGTTGAAAGCAAACTCGGCTGGAGGATTTAACATTCAGCTGACTGCATTATTAAATTAACCTCTACTGTCACCGTGACATACCTGAGCTTTTTATTTCAGCCAACTGAACCACATTTACACCGGTGCAATATATTGTTCTTTTAGTGCAATATAACCCTCTTGTTCTCTGAACATTATCAACTGTGCACAGTGCAATATACAGTTTTTACTGTACTATATGCATTATTTTCTGTGCAATATATATTCCTGGATGCATGTTTGCTACTGTTAGTTTCTGAATGTCCTGAATGTAACGTGATTCATGTCTTGATTTAGTCATAAATTGTACGGTAAGAATAAAAGCCTTATCGTTTAAAACAGAAAAGAAACAAAAGGCTTTAAATAGAATTAAAACACTTAAAAATTATATGCATACCGTAATGACCCTAAAAGATGTTCACTTCAAGAACTATTCTCAGCCTTATAAACATAAATCATGTCATTTAATTGTGTTTGAGTCTCTTTCGCTTAAATTAACAATTTTCTAAATGGGGTTTGGTTTGTGTCACGACTGAAATTTTTTTTTTTTTTACACATGGGACAATTTTCTCCCTTACAGCAGATTTTCTTGTCCTTATAGAAAAGGCCAAATCAAACATCATTCATGTGGATATGAACATTATTAAATACAAAATACAATTTTCTGAATGGAGTTTGGTTTATGTCACGACTGAAGTTTGAGCTGCACCAAACCTCATACAGAAAACAGCACTTTTACACATGGGCCCATTTTCTCGCTTGTAATTATTAGGAAGTTCAAATCAAACATCCTTCTTGTGGATATAAACATTATTGAATACAAAATAAGCGTGCACTTACAGTACATGTCAGACTGTTTTCTGCTTAAATGCTCCATTTTCTGGATGAAGTTTGGTGGTACAGGGAAAATACCTGAGGGGACTAATATAATTTTTTTCTTTTTGAACAAGGCCGTACTAACCTGCACAAACATACAAAACACACCGAACATAGCTGCACTGCGTATACATTTTAATGGTTTTTTTTTTTGACTGGGGTTTGGATGGGTCTGTTTCCACTCTTCTTTTCACTTCTACCTTTTACTGTCAGATTTCCAAAAGGTCACTAAATTCAACCAAACCTCTGCATTGTGAAGAAAAAACTCTCTCATTAAGCTTTCTAACTTTTCTCTGTCAGTCCTGCACCTGTTGCAATTTTTATATATTTTTTCACTGAGGTTTGGTTCTGCAGAAAAACCTCTACACAAACATTAATTTGGATTCAGTCATAATAACACGCTCTAAAAACAATGAACACATTCAGTGATGAAGGTGTTTGGAGTTAAGAGGCAGGGCTGTCCTTACCAACAGGTGAGCTCTGTGTGTGTGTGTGTGTGTGTGTGTGTGTGTGTGTGTGTGTGTGTGTGTGTGTGTGTGTGTGTGTGTGTGTGTGTGTGTGTGTGTATTTGCATAGTCTATAATACTTAACAAGCATGCAGTTTGAGTCCGTCATTTTACTACCTTGGCACACAGACGTTAGTGTCACAGGTGAGAGTGAACAGGTGCGCTAAAGGTGGACATCCTTATGTGAGGCAAGGCTGCGTATCATCCTGAGAGAAAGGTGAGTACACACACACACACACACACACACACACACACACACTCACTTTAAGAGGAGTAAATGACCAAACGAGAGGAAACACACACTCTGACTGATTCTCTCATGGAAGCTCGGATTCTGCTCAGGGAGGAGTTTCGTGCCTCTTCGAGCCAATCAGGACGAGCGGAAACAGGTCAGGTAGCCGAAGAGGACCTCAGAGAGCGAGCAGGCCGTGCAGAGCAGCCACGCACGTCAGGAGGTAAGAGAGCGCACACACACACACACACACCTTTAACTCTGTGAGATCCCAGCTCCCCTCTGGGCCTGTCATTGTGCATCAGTGTTTGAATGTTGTTAGATCAGCATGACCACTCGTGTGTGTGTGTGTGTGTGTGTGTGTGTGTGTTTAAGTGTGTGTGTGTGTGTGTGTGTTTGAGTCAGTGCCAGAGCAGAAATAGGACAGTGCCATTTTAGTCAGTGAGATGATGAGGAGAGTTTTAAGGACTCAGGTGTCAGAGTTTGATGGAGACGCAGCAACAAAAAACATCATGTTCCTCTGCTTCATCTTCATTTTTAGCCCCTTTAATTACGGGTGTTTTTTAGTTTATTTAACTCAAACTTTGAAATTATTGAACTTATAAATCCTTGAAAAGTTGTTCCCATAAATCAACCATCTTTGTGTAAAAGCAGACAGAGTTTGTTGCCATGATTCATCCTTAAAATGTTTATTTTTGAATGAAGTTTGGTCCAGTGGTTGAATCCTTCATAGAAGCATACCATAATGATCCTAAAAGATGTTCATTTCAAGAACTATCCTTAACAAACATAAATCATGTCATTTAATTGTGTTTGAGTCTCTTTTGCTTAAATTGACAATTTTTTGAATGGGATTTGGTTTGTATCAAAACTGAAGTTTGAGCTGCACCAAACCTCATACAGAAAACAGCACTTTTACACATGGGACAATTCCCTACCTAAATGAGATCTTTTTTTCATTATGGAAAAGTTCAAATCAAACATTATTTTTGTGGATATAAACATTATTGAATACAAAATAAGCATACACTTAGGGTACATGTTAAACTGCTTTTTGCTTAAATGCCCCATTTTCTGGATGAAGTTTGGTGCTACAGGGAAATTACCTGAGGGGACTTTCATTTTTTTTCCAATTAAACTTTTCACTTTTAATATATCTCAGCAGATGAAAGTCAAAACTAAGTTTAACAAACAAAAAAAAAGTAATGATAAAGTTGTGATTATCACTCAAACAGGCAGATATGAGTTTAGTTGCTTTACACTTAAAGTTTCAAGTTTTTCAATGAGGTTTGGTCTTACAGGTAAATTGTTTCCCGGAGTGGAGCTCCAAGCTAATTATGTGCAAACAAGGATCCTAATCTAGAAACAAACAAACAAACAAAAAAACGATTTCAATGTTTTATCTTCAAACATGAAACTTTCTGAATGAAGCTCACTGTAACAGGTACCCTATGTTACTTAATGGGACCTTTATAATTGCCTCATGATAACACTGAAAACCTGTTTGAATCAAAGACTATACTCTGTATAATTTTTATGTTTTAATATCATAATGTTTGTTTGTTTTTTTAATTTAATGCTTAAATGTTCACTTTTTTGAATGGGGTTTGGTCTTGTGGTTTAAGTAACATCATAAACTGTTACACCGTTCAGTATCTCCAGTAATAAACCTAAAAACGGGTTAAATCCCGGATCTTAAACCGGCCCGTGTTGCTGTTTGACAATGTTTTGGTTCGTCACTGAGTGTGTCCATGCGTGCCTAAGAGTGTGTGAGTGTGTGGATAGAAAGCAGGTCCCCTCTGCGTATCCATCTTCTATTTATAGTGAGAACAAATCCCAGATATGAGAGGAATCCTTCGACCACTTACGAGGCAGAGAGAGTGAGAGACAGAGAGAGGGCAGAGGGAAGAAGAAACCAGAGAGATAGAGATGAAGAGAGGGTGGGAAACCAGAGTTTGAGCGATGGATAGAAAGTGACCTCGTGAAAACCCGAGCGAGAGTACAGCCAAACATTTGACCAAACTTTAAAGTACCACTGGGTGAGTTTTATCCGCTTTGTTTACATGTTTGCGTGTTTGAGTAAGTTTAGGTCATCTTTTTAATAACTGTCTTTAATGAACAGTCTGTTAGTGTCTGAAAGGAAACTTTTTACCACAAGAGGACATTTTTATCATTTATCAGACTGTGTTATGGTGTTTTCTTTAGTAAATTTGTTGATCATATTGATTGATGGAAGTGTCATAAAAGTACATATCAAATATGATACAAAAGGCAATAAAGGGCTACTGTTAGACAGGAGTTTTAAGTTGTTTCAATTAAGTCATAGAATTAAAGAAATGCCCTCAGAAGCTGTTTGTTTTTTTAAGTAATGACGATCCTGACGATCTTAAAGAGGGCGTGTTTTCGGGGAGGTAAACGAACTTCTACGTTTCTTAAACCGGGACAAGTATGGTAGTCTTCTGAAATCACCTAATGGAGCTTTAATTGAACTAGGCGTGTAAACAGACAGACAGGTTTTTAGTTTGAGTATCACCGCCACATGAGGAAGTCAGGATTAAGCCTAGTTTATGCTCGACAAAGTCACGAATGACGTAAACATGCACCTTGCAACGGTGAGAGCACGTTGTACTGGCGTGTCGTGCTGTTGCGTTGTGCTGTTGCACACCTCCAGGATTTTAAAACTTGGCGTGCGCCGCGCGGGTGCGAATATTGCAACGGAGAATGCGCCAAGCATAAACGCCTGTGCCCTCTGCCAAAGTGCGAGCGCCATCCACGAAAGGAGCCAGGTGAAAGTCTAACCAGGGTATAGACTTCAGGTCGGCGCCCAGTTGTGTCTTAAAATCAGAAGTTTAAGTCAGACTAAAAAGCTGCAGATGAAAGCTAACACACACCTACGATCTGGGGTAAACGCTATAATGCTCTGTCACTTTTTTCTTAGTGTATTTAGGGCAAAGGTTTCAGGCAATCCTTCCCTGTAGACGGCGAAATACACAAAAAATTTTAAAGGTCAAAAATGATCGAAATACTTCATTTATGGAGCAACACGACGACACAACCGTCAGAGACGAACAGCTTATAGTGCTGTAACATTTTACTGTGATTTATGGTTTTTAATGTTCAAACATGTCCTCCTGTTAATAATGCACAAGTGTTCAATGTTATACATACACATGTACACACACACACACACACACACACACACACACACACACACACACACACACACACACACACGTACTGTGCGTCTCAAAGGGACTTTTTGTCAGGTGAGAGCTCGGAGGTTTGAAGGTTTCAGTGTTTGAAGATTTGAATAATTTAAAGTATGAGGAATAATAGGGACCTGTGTGTGTGTGTGTGTGTGTGTGTGTGTGTGTGTGTGTGTGTGTGTGTGTGTGTGTGTGTGTGTGTGTGTGTGTGTGTGTGTGAGAAAGTGAAAGGCCTTGTGGCGTCAGGGGGCAGCTGCTCCTTCTGGCTAACATAAATATCACCCTCTCGTGTGTGTGTGTGTGTGTGTGTGTGTGTGTGTGTGTGTGTGTGTCTTTGTGTTGTGTATTTTTGGACGCCTGTGCTTCTGCTCTCATGTCAAGGACGGCGAGGCTCTCAGTGTGTGTTGTGTCACAAACAGCACCGTGGAAACGGTATCTAAGCGCCGCCATTGAACACAGTCAGTCAGTCAGTCTGCGTTTCACGGCGCTCTGAGCCGCTCTCGTTGATAAGATAAAACCAAACATGGAAACTTCTACGATTAGAAACCTCTGGAGTCAGAGTCGATCATGACACAGCAGAAAGAGGAAGTGGAAAATAATGGAAAACAGGCTGAAATAAAACAAGAGATAAAAGGAACTTTATTTACCAAAGAGGAGAGGATTCATGAGAAATATACAGGTCACATTTAAGTGTTTCTGAAGAGATTTTTGCATTTTTATTGAAAGTACAGAGTGAAATGTGGAGAGATAGAGAAAGACGGGAGGACATGCAGCACATAGTCAGGGTCGGACTTGAACCTGCAACCACTGTGGGGACTGTGGACCATGGTCTGCATACATGGGGTGCACTAACCCACTCAGCCGCTATACTTAAGTGTTTTTAAGAGCTGATTACTGCAGGAATTTAAGAACTATCATAAAACTACACAACTGATCGACTGTAGAGAGTTGAGAATAAGACAAAACAGAGTCGGACAGCTGCGGGTTTGCATTGTCACGCTGACTGCAGTAGAAATATTTAATATAACCTAAATATGAAGGAAAATATAAAGTTTAAAAGCTCAGAGACCATAACCCTTTAATGCCTGAAACCACAAATTATGGACAGAAAATTTAGATATTTTTGGAGCTTAAATGTTTATTTTATTTACAACTGAAAACCAAAAAAATCAAAAAGTCCTTAAAATTTAACAAAAATATTTATTTACCTTGTTTGATGCATTAGATGTTTTTGGAAACTAATAAACTAAAAGAGGACATTTTTATAATTTATCAGACTGTATTCAGGTGTTTCTTTAGTAATTTGTTGATCATATTGATTTGATAGAAGTTTATAAAAGTATGAATCAAATATGAAACAAAAGGTTAAATGGTTAAAGCTCCAAGCTAAACATGCTAACAAATGTGTACGCTGGTCTAAACTGTTTTACCTTTCTGCTAAGTCTTAAAAAAATGATCTGAAATAAAGTAAAAAGTATGTTTTCCTTGTGAATTCTAATTCTAATTATATTTCTTATTAAATAAATGTCGTTTAACGTCAGGCTGATGCTAGAGGATCAACAAGTTTGTATAAATGTATGTATATAAAGCCTCTTGTTACTGCGAGGCTAACAACTGAACAAAGCTAGCAAGCGTGTCACATAATGCAGGACATATAAAGGAATATAATTAGACAGGTGGTCATTTACACATTTTCTTTAGCCTGTATAAAATCACAGAGAAAACTCGACTGTCTTGTTTTTACAGCTTTAACTAACTTTAAATATGAACGCTCATGTCTCTGAGGTCGGCGGGGACGATATTCTTTTCTCCCGATTCGATTCTACGTTTTTTTGGACGCCGATTCGATTTGAATTGCAACTCTACGATATTGTCGATTTTCTTGACAACACCAGTGAAACAGTTGGATGATTATGATCGTCTACTGACTATTCCAGGAACAATATTTTCCCAAAAAACACATCATATGTGAGTCAGATTTTTTCTTAAATTTGAAAAAAAAAAAATCTATTTAAAAATTGTAAAACAAAAAATCGTGATACTTCTGTAAACTGATTAATTCTCCCACCCTTACTTTGAGGAAATGTTCCCTGAAAAACTCGGTTCCTCGTCTGTAGAGTCTGTTTTTCTGTGATCTTGTTAAAGTATGTGAACATTTATTGTTTTATTCTGACGTGTTTTCTCTGCGGCTCAGTAAAGGAAAGTGACGAACACGTCGATCCTCTCGTCTCTCTCCATTATTCAGTCTTTATCTCTTTTACTCGTTGGACTTTTATCCACGTTTCTCTGCCATCTCTGCGTCTCATGAATGATTCAGAGAACAGTTCCTGTACCTGCTTCACTCTGAAAGAGTCGCTTAGCAACTGAAATGCTATCCCGGACTTTGAAAACCGCTGAAACAGAGTCCAGGTGCCCCCCGACACACACACACACACTCACAGCTGATGCCTGTGGTCTCTGTCTCCTCCAGGTACGTGGACTTACCGGGGGGATAATGTCCAAACCTTCGTCCAACGTCAAAGCCCTGCAGGTAGTACACTCTCATTTGGTGTGGTTGTTTGTCCTTCACTGAACTTTGGTTTGAATAAACGTCTCCAGACTTTTACACATTGAAGTCTTTATTGGTAAAGGCAAATACAGAGTTCAGACTGTGCATATACAGTATCAAGGCTTTGTTAGTGCAGAGTAGTAGCAAGGCGAAGAATGAGGTGTTGTCTGTTTCCAGTCCAGAGTCGCAGCGTTTCGTGAAATCAGCCACCGAACAAAATCATCGACAAGAGGAATAAAAGAGGACACGAACTTTCCTGTTTGGACTCAACGTCGCTGAATAAACCTTTAAATGTGATTCATCTGCAGCAGGGACAGTTCTCGAAGAACTTTAATTTCAGTTTATTTATAGTCTTTGCACAGATATACAGTCTCTCCCAAAGATGGATCACATAAAAGCTCTTAACTGATGCTTTAATAACTGGATAAGTCGAGGCTTTGAAAGAAAAGGTCAAACGTTCATGAACTCGAGGAAAATTCGTGTCCTCTTTCCTAAACAAAAGATAAAACTCGTGACTATTTCTCTCCCCGCTGTTGTTTTTTTTTATCGTATTACTGTGTTTCTGTTGTAATGGCTTTGTGCGTGCATGTCAGAGAGGGTCTCCTCCTCCTTCTCCTCCTCCTCCTCCTCCATGGTCTCTCTCTCTCTCTCTCTCTCTCTCTCCTCATTGTGCTCATGTTCATGTCTAACCACGGGATAGGCATCGGGACATTTTATCACACCACTACAGTACAAATATGAGGTTCTCCGTTTACGTCCCCGTCTCAGCAGAACGTCATCATCTTCAGAAGTTCAACACAAACGAGAACAGCAGCACAGAAATTACAGAACAAATTTTAAACATTTTAATTTATAAAAACAAAAATCTTAAAAGCTTTCATGTCAGCAGGCTCATTTTTATCTTTTTTTAACTGTAATGATCTTAAAAGCAAAACACGTGTTTGTAAATGTAAACTTTTTTCACAGAAAGCATTTTAAAATCTTATTTACAGAAACTCTTAAAATTCCCTTTAAGAGCGTTTAACTGAACTCTTTAAAGCAGATGATATAAATATACAGATAATCTCTTTTATAATGGAAGATTTCACTCACTTTAGATTTACTATTTAAAAATAAAACACATGAAGAAGAAGTTTGTGCAGATTCTACAGAGGAGGACGTTAAAGTCGTGATTACACACCGATCAAGATAAAACCATAGACTGTATATACTATAGGCGACTTGACTCCGCCTCCCGCCATTATATGAATTTGGAGCTGAATTGTTCTCGGTATTTCCGGGATTTCATCCACTGACTGGAACCACCACTTTGGCGGTTGAGTCGCTGTGATAATGCGCTGCTCGTACTCCCACAGGCTGTATCAGGTGTCAATTATAGAAAACATGAACCTCCTAATAACTTTAAAAACTGAGGACTTAAGCACAAACCAGTCTGACAGTAACTACATGTCAACATTTCTAAAGTTTGTCCACAACTCCATAACCCTGGATTTCCACCGCATCCGGAACGGCAGTGATTTGCACCGTACGCTACTTCCTACCAGATCCGTTTGTGAGGCAAATTTCGTGGCAGAATCTCACGATAACGAGTTGTCTCTCTAAAGACAGACACATAGACACATAAGCAGTAGATTGTGTCCTTCCAGAGGAGGAAATCTACTTCTAGACTTCGAGAATCAGCATCTCCTCATCCATGGTGTCATCGGGGTGAAATGACGTCTAAAAACCTTTCACTTGTTCGTCTCCGTCTGAACAAATGAAAAGTTGTGTTTTATTTTGAAAAGAAGCCGGATGTTTTATTTTGTGTCTGTGCCCGACTTCCTTTCCAGCACGGGTTAATCTGTGCTGAATTTATCCGCCATGCTCCGGCGTCCAGAAAAAATAGAGTCCGGCGATCCGCAGAGGAACGTAAAGAAGTCGGTGTAAATTGACACGTTAACTTGAATGGTTACGATCAGCTACGATCGGAGGATACGACCTTTTAGGAGACGATCAGGATGAAGGTGGAAATTGGGGATAATGATTGCTGGAGGAGGCGGGATTTATGACTTATACTGCAGCCCGTCACCAGAGGGTGCTGTTCTCGCTGTGGCTTCACACAGTCACTTCTATATACAGTCTATGGTTTAATCCAAACAATCAAAATCTGCAATGACTGGTTAGACAATCGTGCAAATGTGTAGTGCACAGTTTATATTTGGCACACACAGATTTGTAAGTTGTGTTCATGAATCTGTTCCTACTCCAAACCTGCACACACACACACACACACACACACTATAAACCGTGCACTTTAACAGGGTATCATCTGTAATAACTTTAAGTATTTTTTAAATACTCAATTAAATCAATCAATTAAAATCTCTTTCTCTCCTTTTTAAAGTGGTTTGTTGTCGTTTAAATACGATCTGACCTGTGATCAAACAGCTGAAACCCTCCAAACAGCAGGAGAAACAAACGGACTGTTCAGCACGACAGTTAAATTTACTCCTCCTGTATCCAGAGAGGCAGATGGCTTATTGATCGGCTCTAACACTGGACAAACAAACAATTATGAAGAACAAAACGACCACTCAACGCTGTCGGGTGACCGCCAAAACGGCTGATCGGCGACAAATGTTCTCCACAAACTAACGGTCCTGACTTTAACCCTGACAGTAAAATCTTCACAGCCTCCTCTGAGCACTAAATGAACATGTCAGCTTGTTTTAGAGTCTCTCTAAACGTCGCCTCGCTGTCCCTAAAGTCATCAGAGAAAGTTCACTCTCTAAATAAATATTTAGTCCAACCCACGTCTTCAAAAACAGCCGTAAAGTTTCCATCTCATCCTCCTCTGACTCCAAAAACACAGAGTCTCATCTCTCCTCAGTCTCTCTGAACAGCTTGTGTACTTCAGCGTTTTGTGTCCAGGGAGTCCAGTGTTTACTTCCTAAAAATATATCCTCCAACTTCTCTCTGTTTACGCCGAAGCAGGACAGCAGAGATAACTCAGAGTGTGTGCGATAGTTTAAAGAGGAAAGCTGATATACGGGTAAATATTCAGACCCTCACTGCAGACCTGCGGCTGCACAGAGGAGGGAACAAATCACGGATAGAGCTTTAAATAAACCTTGGAATGAAGATTTTCTCCTGTTCAGCTGAAGATTGTTTTAGTTTAAATTTGTGTCTCTGAGATTCATCAAGTCAGGAACTCGTTAGTTTGGCCGAACTTACTTAATGAGGCGTTTTAGTCCAGTTTAAAGTCATGGTTGACGATCTGAGAGGCAGAAGATCCTACGCTAGCTTCAAATAGGATCCACCATGTTGGATTGTTAGTGACTAGCGGCGGTAAACACCAGCTCTGCTAGCGAGCGCCATCTGCAGCTGCCTGGACAGCTACCGTGTTGACATGTCAGAGACTAATAAGAGTTATTTATGTAACATGTGACACGATTTCGCTCTAGCGTGTGATGACGTTTCCAGCTTTTCTAGCCAATCAGAGGCGAAGGAGGCGGGACTTTCCCCGACCATCTTACAAAAAAAATTTCGCGTCCGGGACGGATGGCTCCCATTGGTCAATGTTTTTGCAGCTCCGCACCTGATAGGTTGAAAAGATTTTTTCCGATCTTTTTTCTCTTCACTTTGTGGAGATCTCACTACAGGACCATGATCGCCATAGAAACGAGGTTCATAATAATTATCTCTCCAATCGTCAACCATGACTTTACTGAGGCTGTTTTAGTTCAGTTTTAAGTATTATCTCAGTGTGTAGGACTTAAAAAAAGATTTTAAAAACAGGGAAATGCTCCTTTTTTCTTGAAAGAAAACAAAACGTAAAAATAAGAAAACGTGTATTTTTACTGATTATGAAGCTAAAAGATCGTAAAGCTCAGAAACAAGAACCCGAAACAGCGGGCAGGTCTTCGTCTTTGGGTCAGGAACGGTAACCCTGGAAACAAAACTCTGTTCACACCTGTTACAGGTGAGGCTGAGAGGTGCTAGCTCTGCTAATGGTTCACATACATCATCACGATAAATACGTTATCGTAGTGATTAGTCGAGGATTGATTGACAGGTGTCTAACAGGAATATCACCGTGGAGATCAGGGTTAAAGGTTCCTCGTGTTTCTCTGTAAACTAAACCGCTTCGTCAGCATTTCTCTTCTGTTTGGCGAACGCTGATGAACGATGGCGAGCTTTAAGGACGGACGACAGTATGTAAATGCTGTTGGCTCTAAGGGACCAGAGGGAAATCAGGGTTTAACTTCCCACCTGTCCCTGCTGCACAATCTTAGGTTAACGTCTCTCTGTTACCGTCTGTTTCTGCTGATCGGGAACTTTAACTTTGTGTTTCTGAGCGCCACCTACTGGGTGAAATACTGTCACAGATTAAAACTAGTAAATACAAGAGTGAAATCCTCGTGTTTAACTTCCTCAAAGTAAAGCTATGATTGTATTTAAGAGTGGAGTGACCTTTGGTAGGAAAATGATCGCTAACAGGAGGCGAAGCGAAAAACACCGAAGCGAACAACCGGAGCCGAAGCGACGCCATACGGGAGCACGAATCTTTGCAAACATGCTGCAAATGAGGCGAATCCTCCAGGACCTTCAAATCTTTTATCTCTGGAGAAAAATAAGACCAGCATCCTCTGAGACACACACACACACACACACACACACACACACACTCCCTCTCTGTACAGCTGTACAATATGAGCGTATTTACAAAACATTACAGGGAAACAACAACACACCGTCAGGGCAGGCAGCAGGAGGACACGACGTTAGCAGGCAGATCTCTGACCCCAGTGTGTGTGTGTGTCAGTGTGTGTGTGTGTGTGTGTGTGTGTGTGTGTGTGTGTGTGCGTCCTCATTTCCATAAAGACACATCGCTCTTTCAGGGACATTAGGAAAACGAGGAAGTGGTGACAATAATCAAAACACGGGGTTTTGAGGAAACGGCACACACACACACACACACACACACACACATACATACACACACACACACACACACACACACACACACATACACACACACACTCATACACACACTCATGCAGAGACCGGAAAGTCAATTTTGTTTGGGAGCGTCTCATTGGTTGTCCTTGCTGTCCGTCAGGCTAATTTGAACATCCCGATGGGAGCTCTGCGTCCAGGGGCGGGACATCCTGTGAAGAGGAGAGAGGAGACAGTAGACACAGAAGAGGTGAGACCACACACACACACACACACACACACACACACCTGAAACCAGGAAGTGAACAGGTGAGAAATACTGGACTTTTAAAAATGCTGAGTCATTCATGAACACCTGGATTCATCTACAGGTAACAATGAGGGACAAAAATGTCTTTAAAAAGTGTGAAAAATAAACTCTAGAACGGCTGAACTTTAAAGCTCCTGTAGGAATTTTTACTTTGTCAAAACTTTGGCGCCCCCTGTGGACAAAGCCATCTTTTATGGCTAAAACCCACAGGATCCGGAACAGCTGTGCTCCGCTCCAACACGGCAGGCGGATCAAATACAAAAGCATTATAATCAATGTGAGTGATTTCACAGAATCCATCCCCCATCCTGCTCCGCTGCAGATCGGCTCCGGCGGTCAGATCAGATACGCAAGGCTTCTATTTTTGCCGGACGCCGCCGAATAGCGCATCAATTCAGTGCGGAAGCAGAAGTTGTATGCGGCTACAAAGTAAAATATCTGGTTAGTTTTCAAAATAAAATAAAGTCAAAAAGTTGAACTGTTTTTCACCTGATAATGGGAGGGTCCAGGGTTGTGGGATGTTGGTGTTTAAATACATCCCTGTTTATAAACACCAATCTGCGGATCTCATTCAGTATCTCACGGGGAAACACGTGAGATCTTGTCCAGTCTCGTGAGAAATATCGGTTATCTCTCAAGCACTTCTCCTCCGATGGTGGAGGAGGATCAGACCCGGTGGGCGCTGTTTGCATGCGTATTTGATCCGCCTGTCAGTACGGAGCAGAGTGGAGCTGTTCCAGATCCAGTGGGATTCTGGGGTTTCTTTAGCTGTTCAGCCGACACTCACCCCATCACACCTTCTTTCATTTATTAAAAATACATTTAAAAAATCACCGATCCTCTCACTGCTCGTCTTTTTTGCTTCTGGACTTCATGAAACAGCATCAACATGAATTTTTGTAGCATAAAAAACTACCTATAGGAGCTTTAATGTAAATATTGTCAGGTGTGGAATCATGGGAAAGACTTTTCTGTTAGTAAAGTGTCATAACTGTGATAAATCTGTGCAGATAACCAGGATACAGCGACCAGTATTTGATCTTAGTGAATAATGTTGTTTGAAAATCCTCCAGAAAACAATAAAGTCACATTAAATAAACTTAAAAAAACAAAAATATTCATGTTTTTTCATGTTTTGTTTCTACAGTAAGAGTCAACACAAAAGTACAACTCTAAACCGATAAAAAAAATAGACTTTTAATGATGAGGATTAATTAAAAATTCCTGTTTTTACTCTTTATTATGTGTAAATAAGAACATTTATCTTTTTATTTATACTTTTATTTCTTTGGTTTTTATTCTTCTACCACTCCACCTCCTGAAAGTGCGATACCACTCCTCATGCTTCTGTTTTACCCTTAAATTTTAGTTTTTATAGTTTTTATTTTTCTGTATATTAAATTAATCACAATCATGTTGCGATATGGAAGCCAAACAACGACACCACTGCTGAGTTTGATTCTGTGCAATGACAAATAAAGAAAGTCTAAAAACTGTTTCCTCTCTGGTTTGTCCGTTTGTGTCTCAGCCTCAGCCGTCAGAGCAAACCTGCGCCGCCGCTCAGACGTCAGAGGAGAAGAAGACGTTACCCGGCGCCGTCAAACTACCTGGACCAGCTGTTAACCTATCAGAGCTGCAGAACGTCAAGAGCGAGCTACGATGGGTCACCAAGGAGTGACATGGAGGTGAGAAATCAAGACGAGTGTCAATCCGAGACTCTTTTGCACGTATTTACTTTAAGGTGTTTCTCTTCATGCTCCACTCGGTAACTGGTAAACATGTTTTCACCGCTTTTTAAAGGATCCGGAGTTAAAATGCAAATCAGAACCAAACTAGGGCGAGAAAACACACAGAGGAGACGATGAACTGAGTCACTGAGTTTGTGTGAAAGATGCAAATCTGCTCAGAGTCTGAAAATGAAGCACGAGGTTATAAAACGACAAATGACGTTCACAATGAAGTTTCTGCTCCAACTTCTGATGGTTATTTTCTGACAAACATCCACTTCTATCACCTCCTTCACTGTTATTACTTGCAGTGACGGGAGCTCACCACAGGGGGTCAGTGTGGGCCGTTCAGTCTCTGTTTGGGTCAAGCAGCATGTGTGTTGTTGCCTCTGTGTGTGGGCTGGAGAGGTTGAGTCAGGCTCTATATTTAAACTTTATGAACAAGTGTGTGTGTGAGCGTGTGTGTGTGTGTGTGTGTGTGTGTGTGTGTGTGTGTGTGTGTGTGTGTGTGTGTGTGTGTGTGTGTGTGTGTGAGGGCCGGTCTGTGCTGTGACTTTCTCAGCGGGACACAGAAACCACAACACATCCAAACCCCGTGGCGGCGGCGGCGGCTCTGCCCGGCCCAAACCATGTGGGTGAGCTGTGGAGGAGAGGAATTAGAGGAGGAAGGGAGGGCGAGTTTCAGAAATACGCTGGATCCTCAGAGGCGAGGAAAAATAACAGAAGCTGCTATTTCTGAGAGGAGTCAAGGTGCATGTTTACACCGAGAAAAGGACGAAAATACTCGGAGAAGTCAGCAGGAGCAGAAACATCGGTGTATTTCTGTGCGACTGATCCTGTTTTCACAATGAAACACACAAAAAACAGAATTAGTGGAGTCTCAAAAACAGAAAAATCCAGAAATACTGGAGTAAAAAGTTCAAGTATGTCGCCTTTCATGACATTATCACAGATTTGGTCTTTGTGAGGATTATTGCAGACTCTCCTCTCTAAGAGTCACCAGAGACTCCGGAGAACTCTGCTGATTCAGGACTCTGCGGTTTAATCGGCGTTATTTCAGTATCAGCATTTATCGTCTTAAAAACCTAAAGACCGGTATCAGCAGATATGACAGTTTCTCTTTATGGAAATATCAGCGTTCATTTATTATTGGCTGAGTGTCCATCTGGAATAATGTCTTACACGACTGTACGAGAGTATTTCGAGAGTCTGTGAATGTTCATTTTTAAACAATTAAATGTTTTTATCTTTATACAAAAATAAAATAATAACAATTAGACCAGGCTGTTGCAGTTTACTGGTATTGGTGATAACAGCTGTTTCAAAGCGAATGAAATATTCATATACGCTGAAAATAAACGTAGTTGTTTCATGAGACTTTAAGCTAACTGTAGCCGCTAACGAACTAGCCTCAGCAGCCGTATCAGAGACGATTCAGCACTTTTAAAATCTGATATTCAAGATGAAGTGTAATTCCACAAACAGTATTAAAACTTTTGATTCTGTTGGTCAAAAATCAACTGAACTTTTATACTTTCGAACCGTTCTTTCACTATTTTCCTGCATTGTCAAAGTATGCTTTTATTTTGAAATATAAACATACTGCATAGTCACACCAAATCGACCCTTTAATAAACTCTTTTTAAAAAACATTCAAGTTTACTAAAGTGCTGCACAATAAAATAAAAGGAACAAACACGGCAGAAAACATCAAGAGGAAATAAATAAAAGCAGGTACAAAACATTTAAAATAAAATAAAATAAATGAAATAAAAACACAAAAGCATAAAAGAAATAAAAGTGATAAAAGGACAGAGATCACACGAATCTCATGCTGAACTAAAAGCCGAGGAATAAAATTGAATTTTACAGGTTTTTATATGAGTTTTACTGTTTTCATTCCGCTCTGTGACTTAAAATCTAACAGGAAATAAAGAAACTCAAAGATGAAGCAGAAAAAAAACATAATGATCTAAATATCGTTCCATCTATCAGTAAATCCAGCGTCTGTTGAATGTTAAGGTTGGGGATCCAGTTCATCATACAGACTCTGGGGTAAAGTGACTGGGTCTGTCTCTGAACAGTTCCTCCTGAGAGAGCCTCTCTGTAGACTTTATCATTACGATCTCTCTGACTTCCTGTCGTCGTTGGCTCCTCCTTCTGTAGTTTTCTCCTGGTTTAGCGGTAAACGGCGGTTCTTCAGCTCTCACACATGTAGGTCTGACTACGACCTGCGGAGCCTCTGAGTGTTTACAAGAGTAAAACTCGTGGTCTTGGTGACGAGACTGAACTGAAAACGTGCCTCACAGTGAGGGAGATCACGACACGTGGACGCACAGGACTGGAAAAAGGTCAAGAGAGAGATAAGTGAGAGAGAAAGCTCATATTTGTGAGTCCAGTGACCCCGCCTTCTCGCTGTCGTCCGGTCCTCCTGTCGTCTCTCAGGAGGTTGGCCGCCGATAACAGAAAATGAAAATCCCTCACAGTGTCTTTATCTGTGTTTTTCTCTCCAGGATCCTGAGCCGGGCGCGGAAAAAAAGCCGATAATCTTCACAGACACAGACTTCCCCACTGCCATTCAAGACGACCAATCAGTCTGATCCCGACCTGAGCGAGAGATTTCTGAGGAGCCGACGGTGGACCGCCGACGAGCTCCTCCGACAGAGTGAAACATGAAAATATTTATATTTATCCAGGTTGTTTTTTTTCACAGGTTAGATAGGAACGACGTTTGTACAAAAGCTTTCGAGTTAAAAAGTTTCTCTGGTGTGTTTGTGCTGAAGATCGACTTTCACGTCTTTCAGCAGCTTTTCTTTTTGTTTTGGGTATTTTTTTAATTCTTAAACTGCTGGTTTAGAAAGTCAAAAACAGACTCTAAAAACTCAAAATACAGTCTTCTGTTGGGGTGTTTTCATGTTTGTTGTTTCTTTGCTATAAATGAACCCAGAATCTGGTATCTTGAATAAAAACATCAAAATAAATGAGGTTGTAAAGAAGAAGTCCGATTGATTATTTCACTTGAATATCACAATACTATCCATTTAAAAATCATGATTACTTTATTTTAATCATACTTGTGTTTATCTGTAAAAATAAAAAGTAAAGATAAGATAAAGATAAAGAGTAAAGATGGGGCTTTTATTTTGAAAGGATCCCATAAATACTACCATAGTTTACTTGTGGTGCGTTCCAGTTTTACTCGGAAGACGGGATTTCCGAGCTCCAAATCGAGGAATTTATCTAGAACACAACCCTGAAGTCAGATTTCTGACTCGAAAACTCGGACAATCCTCGACAACCCCGACTTGACGACAACGACACAATTCAAGATGGCAGCACAGTGCATCAACAGTAAAGAGTAACAGTAAAAGCTCTCGTAATATATTATTTAATTCGCACTTCTGTTTTGTTTTTGTGAAATTAAATAAGTGGTTTATGTTGTTCTGCCCAACGGCTAACAACAGCTAACGACAGCTGACAATAGCTAACGACAGCTGACAAAAGCTAACGACAGCTAACAACTGCTAACAACAGCTAACAACGGCTAACAACAGCTAACGACAGCTGACAATAGCTAACGACAGCTAACAACGGCTAACAACAGCTAACGACAGCTGACAATAGCTAACGACAGCTAACAACGGCTAACAACAGCTAACAACGGCTAACAACAGCTAACGACAGCTGACAATAGCTAACGACAGCTAACAACGGCTAACAACAGCCAACGACAGCTGACAATAGCTAACGACAGCTAACAACGGCTAACAACAGCTAACAACGGCTAACAACAGCTAACGACAGCTGACAATAGCTAACGACAGCTAACAATGGCTGACAACAGCTAACAACCACCGACATCGGCTAATGAGAGCTGACAACGGCTAAAAAAGTTGATGAAGGGACATCAAAATAGTGTTACTTTCGTCAACAAAAATTATGACGAAATATTGTCATCAATTAACAATTATCATGTGACGAAAACGAGACGACAAATGTAAATGGGGGTCGTGTGATGATAATTATAACTAAATATAAAATGCAATATTGTTGACAAATAAAAATGAGACTAAATGTGGTTCACAAAATAAATAAAATGTCTCTTCATTGTCGTTGACTGAAACAACCGAGACGAAATTGTTTCGTCACGTTGTTTTTGTTTTCTCAGATGCAGGTGACGTCACGTCCTTCAAGCCCCCCAAAGATTTAGATGCGGTGGACGAAGATGTTTTGGGGTGAGTTGGAGTCATGGCCGAGTTGTCGGGAAGAAAAATAAAAAGAAGAAATTATATCTGGACACACTTTAATTACAAATAAGTGGAAACCAAAACGGAACGTGTCATGGAAAAAGACGGGGAGAAATGTGGCCATAAAATAGCGGGAAAAAAATACACCACGAATCTAAAAAGACATTTGAAGGTTTTCCATGCTGAACTCGAGGTAAGTAAAATAAGTTATCGACTAAAACTAGACTAAAATAGTCATCAGATTTTGTCGACTAAAATTTGACTAAACAAAAATAAGTTTGAACGTGACTGAAACTAATAAAAACTGACAGTTTGACACAAAGACGAAAACTAAAATTAAAACAGACCGCCAAGAACAAACTACGCCAAAACCTCAGGTCTACTCTGATGGAAAACAGGCTCAGGGGGTCTTTAGTGTCCGTTTCCACACGGCTGTAATATTCAGATTTTATGTGTGGATCTATCGGGGGTTAGAGGGTTTAAGGTTCAAGTCATTGTCTCTGAAATACGCTGATCCAGACCTAAACCTCCACAACCAACTGTGACACAGAGGAATGCACACACACACACACACACACACATGTGCAGAGAGCAGCTGTAGCTAAGTTTAGCCTCCATCAGGTCACGGTGGTGTAATCAGCCATGAGAGAGAAACACTGCTGCAACCATTCAGGAGGATTTCACTTGGAGTGGGTCCGATTAAACGCCTCGACACACACACACACACACACACACACACACACGCATAAAAACACACTTAGCTTTAAGTGGGCGCTAGCACCAACCCGGACATCATAAATCACAATAAAAGCACACTGCAGAGGACGCTGGGAGAAGTTTTAAGTGTGTGATAAAGTGTTGTTATTTGCATTTTGATGTGTGCGTGTTTGTGCGACGCTCACGCAGTAGCTTAGCATTAATCAGACGACCGTAAACACGTTGGACAACTCGGAGCCTGGAGACAAATCCTGCTCTTTGTTATTTCTCGCCCCCGCCGCCGCCACCGCCCTCGTCCTCTCTCTCTGAATAAAAATTATAACATGACTCCAGAGCGTGATGTTGAAGCCTCGCAGGTCGCGGCGAGGTTAAATACCTCCCAAAAGGACACGGCTAGCGCTAATGCCACGCTGCTACACGCTACTTCTGACACTTGTAACATTTTCAGACATCTTGGCACGAGTACGCCGGTTCGATGCGCCTCTTGTGTCTGAGTTCCTATTTCTGTCGCCATGACGACGTGGGCACAGATCGGTGCCGTGGAATCTTGGTCGCAGACTATAGCAGCTGTATTTACCGATGAGTTCATCCACCAGGATAGACGCTAAAATCCCGCTAGGCCCCGTCCCCGTATGTGTGCCAAGTGTGTGTGGTGTTGTTATCCGTGTCTCTACTCACTTGTAGAGTTTGTGTGTGTGTGTGTGTGTGTGTGTGTGTTATCCCTCCTGGACACGGAGGAAAGGGCAGCAGACAAACACAAAGCCAACAGAGCCGGGACATCACAGAGAGAGAGAGACAGGAGGATTCGAGACGGAGCAGGATAACGGGGGGGTGAACACAGGAGTGTGTGTGTGTGTGTGTGTGTGTGTGTGTGTGTGTGTGTGTGTGTGTGTGTGTGTGTGTGTGTGTAGGGGGCAGTTATTAACCTTCCTATCAAAGAGTCACATGCCCGACCCTGCAGACGGAGGAGGACAAAAACACAGATGGAGGGGACCTGAACCGAGGACGCTCACTTTCCTCCAAACTCTTCTTTCCTCTTCGCTCGTTTCCTGCTCTGTTTTCGTCTACTAATGTCTGATTCCTCCTCTCTGTCGCGCGTCCTTCCAGCAGGTTGTCAGCTACGTTGTTTTTGACAGCAGTTGCAGCTGCTGCTCTTGGACTTTGAACTTCTTCTCAGCTTCTTCTTTCTTTCTTCCTCTCTTTCGTTTTTCCCCTCGTCTTCATGGAGAACTACTCGCTCCTCTACAGTTCCTCTCACAGAACCGGACTTCTCTCGGGTTTTCAGCGCCTGCGCTCTCAGAAGAGGATGTGTGATGTTGTCCTGGAGGCCGGCGGCGTATCGTTCCCGTGTCATCGCGCCCTCTTAGCCAGCTCCAGTGACTATTTTTGGGCTCTCTTTGGAGAGTCAACCGTGGAGAGATTAGCAGATTCCATCAGCCTCCCGGCGCTAACGCCAGAGGGTTTAGACGCCATTCTGGACTTCCTGTACTCTGGCTGGCTGAGCGTATCACCTCCCACCCTGCCGGTTGTCTTAGCGGCAGCCAGGTATCTGCAGGTCGAGCCGGCGGTGTCGATATGCGAGCGTTTCATGATTGATGGTTTAAACGCCGAGAACTGTTGCTGCTATGCTAACCTCGCCGAGCACCACGCTCTCGCAGACGCACTTGAAGCTGCCAATCAAACCATCGCCATCGAGATGGGGGCATTGCTGAAGGATAACAGGGATGACCTTCTCGGGTTGAATGTCCAATCCCTGATGGCTGTGCTTGACGCTGACGAGATTCCAGCTGTGAAGGAGGCGGAGCTTATAAAGCTAGCTCTGGATTGGCTGGACGAAAATGGGCCTATTTCTCTCCTGAAATCAAATCTCCTGCTGAGTCATCTCCGCTTTGGATTGGTCGCCCCCTCTGACCTTAGCAGTCTTAGCCACGCCCACCGAGCCATGGCCACGCCTCTGATCAGGAGCCAGCTGACCCGAGCGCTGGAGTACCACAGGATGGGAGCGGCTCAGCCAATCAGACAGACCAGACAATCCACACTCAGAGCGTCGCCCAACTGTGTGCTCCTCGTCGGCGGAGGACCCAGCCCTGATTGGCCGGAGCAGCAGGTGTTGGCGTTTGATCCTAGAAGCAGGAAGTTTTCGTCTTTGAGTTCCAGTCTCCCGCTGCGGCTCAGAGGTCACTGTGCGTGCTCGGTCGGAGGTTTCCTGTTTGTGATTGGTGGAGAGGAAGTAAAGGAAGGAGACGATGATGGGAAAAAGTCCGTCGATGTAGCGACGTCCAATCAGGTGTGGCGCTACGATCCTCGTTTTGATTGCTGGGAGAAGATGGAGTCCATGCTGGAGCGGCGTGCGCAGTTTACCTGCTGCGTGATTGAGGAGGTTATTTACGCCATCGGGGGACGACAGACAAGACAAGGCGCCTGTAGGCAGACCTCGATGGCGTCTGTTGAGTTTTACGACATGGCCACAGGGGTTTGGAGGCGGGGACCAGCACTGCCTCGCCCCCTTTACGGCCACGCCTCAGCTGTGCTCGACGACTGCATCTACGTGTCAGGTGGAGTACCAGGTAACCAGGATAGCGGTATTAACGCCAACAACCAGGAAGACCACAGAGAGAGCAGCAAGGAGCTGCTCCACTGGGACCCTAAAGGACGAGTGTGGGAGAAACGGGCGCCCATGTCCATCGCCAGATTCGGGCACCGTTTAGCGACCGCCCACGGTCACATCTACGCTTTACTGGGAATGTACGAGCCGTTCTGCGATATCGAGCAGTACAACTCAGCGTCAGACCACTGGACCCGCCTGAGACCGCTTCTCATTGGCTCCTTCAACTATGGGATGGTGGTAACGCCATCCGGGAATCTGCTGGTTTTCGGGGGGAGGAAATGGAGCGACGGACAGGAAGTGATAGTGAAGAGCGTGTTGGAGTACGACACGAAGAAAGATCGCTGGAGAGAGATCTGCCAACTCCCCAGACCTCTAACCGGGACTGAGTGCACGCTGCTACCGTTACCGGACTGACTGAGACAAGAGTGAGAGAGTTCGCGTGTTTTACCGTCAGTGCTGTGTTGGGACAATAGCAGGGGTTGGACTCTGAGTGCTCGCATAATTAACATAGAGGCAACATTAAGTTAACGGAGCTGTCTGGTTTTAGCTATTAAACGAAAATATGAGGTATCATGAAACCCGATCTCCTGAGAAGGGAAGCAGCTCATGATGATGAGGACTTACCCCCAATTTTCACCGCATCCGGAACGTCTACTAAAAGGTCGTATCCGCCGATCGTAGCTGATCGAAACTGTTCAAATTATTGTGTCAATTTCCATCGGCTTCTTTCCGTTCCGCTGCGGATCGCCGGACTCCACAGCTGATCACAAGAGTTCTATTTTTTCAGAATGCCGGAGCATGACGGATAAATTCAGAGATGCTGATTCTAGAAGTCTAGAAGTAGATTTCCTCCTCTGGAAGGACACAATCTACTGCTTATATGGTTAGCCTATGTGGCTAAGAGACCACTTGTTGTCGCGCGATTGCACGTGAATCTGCGGGTTCTCATGAGTTATAGCGATTCCTGTTGTCTGTAACCTGCCATGAAATTCGGCTCACAAACAGATCTGGTAGGAACTGGCGGACGGTGAAAATCGCCACCGTTCCGGATCGGAGCCGTTCCAGATGTGTTGAAAATTGGGGGTAAGAGACGTTTATTTTAGGGATGATTCAGAAGGAGACATGAACTGGTGACCAAAACAATATTTCGGTTTAAATAAATTCTCCTGCAAACTGAACAAAAAGGTTTGATAGTATGAGCGCTTTAATATCTCTGTAATCCACGCCTAAAATAAGTTAGCCACCAGGTTTATTTGGCCAGTTTGTAACATGGAGAGACGAGGAAGCAGGTAAATGATCTCTGGAACCAGCTCAGGTACTCCACCCAGACCCTGAACAGTTTCCTGGACAAGTTTGGAGTTTGGGGGATTTCGTAGAAGAGCAGGGGGTCATGAGTTTCCACTTTAAAGGTGTTGTAGTCAGGATCTGAGTTAGTTCCAGTTTTTAGGAGAAATCTTGAATGTAAACTCTAACCCTCCAAACCAGTTTTCCTCTCAAGCCCCGCCCACAAACAGACGCTCCTGCTCGCTCGTATCGTTCCAATTAAATTCAGATATAATGCAGATAAATACTTCAGATCATTACAAATGGGGCCCAGTCAAGGTGAAAGTCAAAAGCATTGGTGCTACTGTAGATGCCAACAGACTACCAGCAAACACAATGTTTGCAGGACTTCTACAACGAGGATAAAGTGACATAGTCCAGGACCCGAGGGAGGACAGTTTAGCGATGGCGCTACAACACGCTACAGCAGGTCCGTTTGACAAGAAACACTTCTGTTACAGACACTTGTCTTACTTTGTTAAAGCGGTTTACCTGTCCAGCAGAAAGGTTACAGGGTCACCAAGATCCCCAAGCGTCCCCCATCGTTTATGTTGACCCGGCTTTTTAGCTCTTGTCCGGTCTACCTCCATTTTAAGCGCCCGTTATTCCTCCAGAGTCTCCGGTATTTACTTTGTTTTCTTGCTTGTGTCGGCAGTCGTGGCCGAAGGAGGATTCGGACAATTTTCCGAACTTTCTGGTTAGTTTCTACTGTCCGATATTGTAGCACGCTAACTTTGTTTGGGCTCCTGAACGACACGGGGGAGCAGCGTCTGCCTCACAACCAATCAGGTTAGAAGAGGTGGAGAACGGCTATCAGAGATTAACGACAACAAATCAGTCAGTTTAGTTAGTTTCACGTCTTCAGTTTTATCGTTTGGGCCATGAGGTTTAACTCCGGTACCATGAGACTCCTTCTACTATGTGTGGTTGTCTTTTTAGCACCAGTCCGACAGCTTGTTATGTCGGACTGACAGGGACAAAGATGCAAACTAACCCTGCAGTTGTTGCTTCGTATCATCTTTAGTTGTTGAGGGATACTTGAAAGCGTCTCTGTAAAAATAGACGAAGCCTAAAGGCCGACAGCGGTGAGAAGTGAGGAACAAGGTGTTATGACGGCGATATTTCTGTGACTGAAGGCGACAGCGTACTAAGAGGAGAATTAAACAAGAGCTAAAGAGGGAGATTAGGGGATTCTGAGAAGGAGAGGGAACTTCAGAACAAATGAGTTTTCAGGATGAGGCGAAGACAGGCTAAAGAGGAGGAGGAGGAGGAGGAGGAGGAGGAGGAGGAGGAGGAGGTGATCCCACATGAGAGGGGAGGGGAGGTCAGAGCTGGAGAAACAACCAGGCTACGCTGAATATTTGATTCAAGTTGTAGGTAAAAATATGTGTGTGACATTCCCGTCTATTGACCTGAATAATTGAAGTTCCTTTAAGAAACATAAAGACAGAGAAGTTCACTGAAGACCTTTTCACTGTTTCAACCTTTTCCATCTTCACTGAGAGGTACTAGAGTCTGATCTGTTAGCAAAGGTTCCTGCTGGACGTCATAGTTCTTGGGCTTTTCTGCTTGTGTCTCCTTCCATTTATTTATGAATGCATACTGTGCTATCTGCCAAACATTACTTATTGATGAAGTCATTACATGTGAGGGTATTATTGGTTGGAGTAAGGAGCATCGTTCATCAATAATGGATACGGAAATGTGTTCAGCATCACTTCTGCCATGTGTCTCCTTTATCAGAGGGGAGAAAAAGACGACATGAAGTCTTTCACAGAGACGACAGATCGGGTTGGTTGACTGAAAACTTTTAAAAATAAAGCATTTGATTTTTTTTTGGTCTTTTCTTAATTTAATGTAAAATAAACGTCCTGATCAACAGTCATAAACAAAGAAATAAAAACAATAATGCGTCTCAATCCTGAGTTTAACGACACGACTACTTTTTAAGACTGTGTTTACGTCAACTCAGTTCAAGACTTTTACTAATCATGCTAACTTACAACATTTGAAGCTAAAATCTTTCCAATCGAATAAATTTTGATGTTAGAGCTAATATTAGCAACCTGCTAACTAGGGAATAGCATTTTAGCTAACTGAAAAGTGGTTCAACCTTTTCAAAAGGCAACAGAAAGAAAAAATTAGTCAAATACGATAAATAACAACTTGACCTCCAAGTTGTGTAAGTGAGAAAACAGACAATAGCTAAAGTTAGCTGTTAGCTGAACAAGGGCCTGTGTCCATTGATGCTGCTTCCTATCAACCCCCAATTTCCACCTTCATCCTGATCGTCTCCTAAAAGGTCGTATCCTCCGATCGTAGCTGATCGTAACCATTCAAGTTAACGTGTCAATTTCCACCGACTTCTTTCTGTTCCTCTGCGGATCGCCGGACTCCTCAGCTGATCACAAGAGTTCTATTTTTTCGGCGGATAAATTCAGCACAGATTGACCCGTGCTGGAAAGTCTGTCTTTATAGAGACAACTCATTATTGCGCGATTGAATATGAATCTGTGGGTTCTTGTTAGTTCTCACAATTCCTGCTGTTCGTAATCCGCCAGGAAATTCGGCTCACAAACTGATCTGGCAGGAATTGGCGGATGGCAAAAATTGCCGCCATTCAGGATGCGTTAAAAATTGGGGGTAAGCCTGCTGTAAAGTTACATAGTTCATATTTACTGTTATTCAAAACCAGCATTAAACATGTGACACAAACCATAGCGCTAACATTAGCATTAGCTTTAGACCTGGAATTTTACTGTCAAATTAAAAATTCTGGTTAATTTCTTCCCCAAAAACATTCATTGATAGTTTAAATTAGAGGTCCCGCCCCTTCTTGATTTTGATTGGTTGGTGATGGAAACTGACACTGATGGGTACAGCATGTCTTAAACAATAAAAAAGAAACTGTAAAAACAACATGGAGTTTTAGAGAAAACAGGCCCTTACTGAATGGTGTTAGTGGAGACAGGCCCTAAACTGATATCTGTGTTATAAACTTCAAACATGGCTGACTCCTTATTTGGCTCATGTACTGGCCAATGATGTCGCAGCGTCTCTCACTCATCACCTCTTCTATCAAATCAAACACACACCACAGGTTCATCTTCATCCAAACGACCACACTTTATTGATCCAGCCTCTTCATCCAACATTCAATAAATACTTTAGACTCATTTATAGATTGAACAATAAACCATCTCGACTCGACCGTCCAAAAATACCTGATAGAAATAAAGAACTTTATCCAAACACTGAGTTTAGATCTACGTTATCTAGATTTCAAAACACAAAAACAGAGGAAAGGATATCTACACCAAAGACATGCTACTACGACCAACCACGGGCAGCAGCATGGAGAGAGCATTCAAACCGTGTGTGTGTGTGTGTGTGTGTGTGTGTGTGTGTGTGTGTGTACAATTGCTTTGATAGTCTTGTGCAGTGGTGCCAGCAGCATACAAATAAACTAATATATTTTCATTAAATCCAAATTTTCAAATCTTATGCAAATATTTCCTCATTATCTCGACGCGACATGCAAGAACAGAGAGCCAGGAGGTCTCTGAGGAAAAATCCACCCCGACAAACTTTAACGCTGCACTTTTCCAACGCTGAGTAATGTCTGCAAAGTTCGGGGAGTCATTAATGATCAAGCTTTTACCTCGGGTTTGAGTGATTTGAGTGATTTGTTTCCTTTTTCTGAACAAATGAGAATAATCTCTCACGAACTTAATCACTTGTTTTTGAGTTTCTGGTGTTCTTCAGGACCTCAGGTCTCAGATGTTTGGTAGAGGGGATCTCATTAAAGCTAAATGAAGGATAGAAATGATGTCCACTCCTAATAGAGCTGTTAATGTTGGTGCTTTAACTAGAGAAGGTTAAAGGTGGTGGAGTCAGGATCTGAGTTAGTTCCAGTTTTTAGGAGAAATCTTGAATGTAAACTCTTTTCCCTTCAGCTCCTCCTCTCCCCTCCCTCTCTGCTCCAGCAAGCCCCGCCCACAAACAGACAAACTTTGATGAAGGCTGCAGAGGCAAAGTAGCTGAAACTTATCAGGTACAAAACGTTTATTTTTTTTTTTACCTTTTTTGCCTTCAGAGATGAACCGTCTTATAAAATGATCAACCTAAACTACGTTTGATGGTGACAGTAGTCAGGAAACCAGGGAAACAACCAAACATGAACTCCTGCAGAGTGTAAATGTTGTATTAACCAGGAATCCCTGGTCATGAGTGAGTGATCAGAAATGTTTTTTAAAGTTTTGTGGACTTGAAAAAGGTTTTTTATTGCTAAATATTGGTGTTTCAATCATGCAGTTAAACAAGCTCTTAATTATATTGAATATGTGTTAATATTTTGTGATCAATCAGAATTTAAAGATCATTATTTGATGAAAACTTCCTGTCAAACACCGGTGTAAGATTGTTTATTCTCTGCAGAATGAAAACAGTTAAAAGGTCTAAATTGTAAAAGTCAAACATGTTTTATTGTGAAATTTACCGGACTTTGTTTCTTACGTCTGTGAAAATGTTGAACCTGCTTTTATTTTGGGATTTTGACCAATCAGAATCAAGCATTTAACACAGCTGGGTAAAAAGTAACAAATCTGAATCATAGGTGATTAAAAATTAAATTAACGACGACCAGATATTTTAACTGTTTACTGTAAAGATGAAAACGGAGTGGAGTGAGCGACCAGAAATAATGTTAAAGTTTTTGGACTTAAAAGTGTTTTTTTATTACTAAATATTTGTGTTTTAATCATGCAGTCAAACAAACTACTAATTATATTGAATAAGTGTTAATCATGTGTGATTTAAAGGTCATTATTTGATGAAAACTTCCCGTCGAACCTTGGTGAAAGATTGTTTATTCTCTGCAGGATGAAAACAGCCGATAGTGAATGTTTTACTGTAACTCTCACTCTTTAGAAATGATCATTTTTAATAATTTCTCACAGTCTTAAAGTGTTCTGGGTGGATTTTTCCTCTTTTTCCCACAGAGTGCATGCTTCAGGTCCAGCCCAGCACAGAGCGCATGTCGACCAAAGAGCACGAAGAAAAAAAGAGAGTCTCTAAATCTAAAATTAAAAACAAACAAACAGCTGATTTCAAACAGACTTGTGCTTAATTCTCTGCTGATATACCTCACTGTACAGAAAATATCAGTATCATAGACTCTAAATATAAGGCTTAATGGATCACTCTGGACGGACGTCACTTGGTGGCGCTGTGCCGTCTGTACAAACAACAAAGCAGGATGGAGAGCGGTTTGGATGACGACACGATTTCAAGAACTCTGTTCAAGTCTGAAGGAGGAAACGTTTGTCCAGAGTTGTTTCTCGGTCCGATGTTTCCATGGCGACAGTATTAAAGTAGCACTAAAAGCTAACATGTATCACTAAAGACTCAGATCCTCGTCCGCCCCCGAGCCAGCTGGAGAGGCATGACCAATCAGCTCGTAGATGTGACATGAGGGCACGCAGACGTCTCCTCGCACAGCTGTCGTGTTGCACTTGTTCACTTTGGTTTCTAAAAGCGTGTCAGGATGAGAAGTGTCCTGCTCTCACTACCTTTCCTTCTATCCTTCCTTCCTTCCTTCCTCCTGCAGTGAAAACCTTCACCGCTGCATCTCTTATCCAGAAGAGTGACTCAAGTGTGTGTGTGTGTCTGTGTGACACTCGTCAGACGTGGGTCTCAATGTAAGAGTGTGTGTGAGAGAGCGAGGGGGTGAGGGGCGGGCCGGGGTCGGGGTCGGGGTCAGATTCAGCGGCCGGGTCGGGCTCCTGAGAGAACAGCTCCTGATAGGCTCTTTTCCACTCCTGGAACTCTGCCGACGACAGCTGGGGTTTGGCCAACAGCCTGTCAATCAACGCTAGCTCCCCCTCCCTGTCCTATGGGGGATGCAGAAACACAGGAGGGGCGGGGTCACTTTGAGGACTTAAAAAACCACTAACCTTTAAAAACGCAGACACACGAGAAGCAGGACACACACTCAACGGGAGACACGAAGTTTTGGGGAAACCGGACATGAGATTTATGTTTGAGAGGATCAGCTGGTCCTGGTAGAAGAGTCTGGATCAGCATAAATACAGAAAACTGAACTTTTATGAGGAAGACGGAAACAAACTTAAGTGTAGTTTAACCTATTTTAACAGTTTTAGTGTTTTTATTGGGTTTTAACGAAAGTATCAGTGTCATAAAGTTTCAAATTTACCAGAAGGAACTCTAACGATTACAAAATAGACTTTAAATTTACAACTTTAATCATGTAAATGTTTATGAGGAAGACAAACTTAAGTGTATTTTAACTTATTTTAACAGTTTGGCTTTTAACTATAGATGGATAGATAGATATTCTTTATTGATCCCAAACTGGTAAATTCTCATGTTACAGCAGCAAAAAAATAAAATAAAATTAAATATAAGAAGAAGTACAATGCAGACTAAAAATACTAAATATATACAATAAATACAGACTAAATATACTAAACATCCGAAGAGAAAAAAGTGAACTAACTAGAACTATTACAAAAGTATCAATCCTTATATTTTGTAAATTTTGTGTATTTTAGTGAAGCTGAGATTCAATTTTTGCTCCTTTTACTGAGCGATTAAAAAAAAGAGATGCTCTGATTGTGACACATTAACTGATGTTTAAAAAAAAAAACAATCAAGCTGATATTAGAATCAGAAAAAAAAGGAATTTAATATTAAAAACAGAAATAAAGCTGTAAATTTACTGGTAAAAGGTTCAACATTAATGAGAATTCACTTTTGAATTCAGAAAAATGAGGCTTAAAGTTCAAAATTTACCAGTATGAGCTTTAAAAAGTACAAAAATAAATTTATAAATTTACGAATCCACGGGTTCTTGTGAGTTCTTGTGATTCCTGCTGTCTGTAATCTGCCATGAAATTCACCTCACAAACAGATACGGTAGGAATTGGAATTGGAGCTGTTTCAGATGCGGTGGAAATCCCCGGCAAACTGGTTTAGGGCATCAAATACGACTAAATAAAGAGAGTCTTTCACTCATGTCAAAAACTACTTACTGGAGCTTTAAAAGGATCACGATCTGACCTAAATTCATCTTATTTGTCGTCAAAATGATGGTTTTATCTTTTCAAAAGGAGGTTTTTGGTCATGAAGGAGCTTGTTTTCTTTAAAACTTTAAATCTAATTCTTCTTCACCACATTATTCCTTCTATAAAAACAGATCCGATGTCTCTCTCCTCCGTCCTCGTTACCGTCGGTTACAGCAGCAGCAGAGAAGTTCTGCATCACCATGAGAAGTGAGAGTACACATTATCATTTCTCATCTACGCTGCAGCTTGTTGTTTTGGTTGAATTTTTGATGCATAATCCATACGGAGGAATTATGCATATCTTTGTTGTTTCCACGGCAACCACCGCAGAAAACTTCCTGCTGCAAGAGCGCGCGGAAACACGGAGCAGAGAGGAAGAAAGATCAGGTCTACCAGGGAGGACTCTGGCGTCCTCTCCTCCAAAGTCTCCCCCAAAGACTCGGTGTACTCCTTTGAGAGACGACAAACAGGACGAACAAAGACGCTCCACCACGACCACGACCACGACCACGAGACGACCTTTATCAGCAAACACAGCAGCCAACGCCACAATAAAATAAAACGACTTAAACTCAAGACATAAGCCACAAAGCTCCGCCCACGCCCTCGCCAAACAAACGGAGGAAGCGACAAAGATACAAACTGGAGAGACGAAATCACAGCAGCCAATCAGAGGCCGAGCACAGCCGGGACAAGGTCAGGACTGAAGACTCAGAGACCAAAGTGACGGGGACAGATGAGCAACAACACCGAGACAGATCAGCAGGAGTGTGTGAGAACATGTGTGTGTGAGAGTGTGTGTGTGTGTGTGTGTGTGTGTGTGTGTGTGTGTGTGTGTGTGTGTGTGTGTGTGTGTGCGTGCATTAGGAGCAGAGACTGCGGGTCTATCACAGCTCCTTAACCCCGCTCTCACATTTCATGTTTTTAGATGAGCGCGAGTGTGAACGTGATTACTGCAACGCAGCCAGGCGAGAAAATCACACATCAGTCGACAACACCAGAAATACAAATATGAGAGAGAGAGAGAGAGAGAGAGAGAGAGGGAGAGAGGGAGAGAGAGAGAGAGAGAGAGAGACAGAGAGGGAGAGAGAGAGAGAGAGAGAGAGAGAGGGAGAGAGAGAGTAGGGGACAGGGTTAGGGTGACGGTGAAAACGTGACAAACGCTGAAACTGGATATTTGGTTGATTCATGGAAAATTTCTGAAAAACGTCCAACAGAGTAAAAGAAATCTGAAAACTGACTCTTACTTTTGGGACTCTGTAGTGGAAATCCCTCTAAAAACCACTATCTGTGAGCTCTGAGTCAAACTAGACACCTGTCTTGTGGTCCTGTGGGTCATATTTTGAGTTTTTTTTTTACATCACAGACCAAAAAAGAGGCGACAGCTGGTTTATAACCGCCTCAAAAACAGGTTACTGTGGTGGTCTCTGGATCCAGGAGAGCCCGTGGAGTTGGTCTCTTACACATCTGGGAGGTAAACATGAACCCTGAATGATCGATGCAGACAGATCCATGCATATTTCAGCAGAACCAGACCAGACCACATCCTGTATGCATTAAAAAGACACGGCTCTGCAGAACAGGAGTCTGGGTACTAAACTGACCCGCCTGCAGACCGGACCACTGAGAGCATTTAAGACATAATAAATAAGGAATAAACTGAACTACTGCACAGATGAAGACCTTCATTTTCAGGACTTTAGAAACTGGTCTCCTTGGTTACCAAACATTCACAGAGTTATTAAAGGGATATAAAGAAGAGCGGACGTAAACATCAGGGTAAGAATCAGGTTATATTTTTCAAAAATCAAAACCAAATCTCCAGTTTCAACATCAAGTTTGTTTCATTTTCACTTTTTTCAGTTTAGACGATATTTAAACGATCAAAATCTGTTTCCTGTCGTTGATCACAGCCAATAAACTTCTGGGATTTGGAGATGTCGATCAGTAAATAAAGAGTTCTGAGTGATGGGAATGTCATAAACACACCAAAGTATTTAAACGTTGAAAAGTGTTTAACCAACAGCACACTCATTTTTATTGAACATGAATTAAAAGTCAGAATTAATGCATTCACTAATCCATTTCATAAACTGGAGATAATTGATATCAGTATCAGTATCGTATCGGTATCGGCCCTGGACAACGATATCAGTCCATCCCTGGTTAATAAGAGCGTTTGAGGTCCTTAAATCAGCAGTGAGTCGGTCTAAAGGATCATAAAGTTTGATAAGAAGAAAATAAATATTTTTGGTCGATGGATTAAAACCTGAGAATCTGAGGATCCTGGAGTCAGTCCATGTGAATGAAGTTTGTGTGTGTTTTTGTGTGTTTGTGTGTTTTTGTGTGTGTGTTCCTGTCTGCGTTTTCCCTCCACATGTGTGTGTCTCTGAGTGCTGACCAACCTTCAGCGTGGACGTCAGGATACGGAGGCGGTGCAGACGCTCGTTGAGCTGAGGGTCGGCGGCTCGTCTGAGGAAGGACTGCCTGAACTCCGACTGGCCTTTGACCTCCGATTCCCGACCGAGAGGGCAGACTCCGCCCTGCTCGCAGGCACGAAACAGGTCGCCCAAGGACGCCCCCTCGCTGCCACCTTCACAGAAACACCAGAACAGGGATTGTTGAGGGTGAGATGGTCCCTCTGTAACCTTCAGCTCGAGTCATAAATCTGGTTTGATGGCGTTATTTCTCGGAGTAACCACCGGAGGACAGCAGCGCGCACTTTTACAACACTCCAGTTTGAGTCTCTGACAGATAATTGATGGTGATCAGATCGTCTCCTCTCTCTCTCTCTGCAGATGATTTATTTCCTCTCCTCTCAAAATAAATCACACTTCATTATATTTCATCGTCTGCGACTCGCGCTCCTGTTTCCTCTTTTAGTTTGTCACTTTCCACTCGTGCGCCGCCGCCGGGTTCACCTTGGCAACCAGTGCATCATTGTCTCATTAGCCTCATTAGCTGGGCGCATGGCTGGAGTGTGTGTGTGTATCTGTGTGTGTACATGTGTGTGTTAAAATCTGCCTGAGAGTGTTTTTATTTCAGGCACATGTACCGACGTCAGCGTCTTCAAAAAAAAAAAAACCCTTTCTTTTAAATCTCAGGAGGCCGCCATTCAACGTGAGACACTCTTTTCCTTCTTTCTGCTCCTACTTCAGGTCCGCCCACGCGCCCACGCGCCCACGCACATCTGCTGGCGTTCCCTCCGCTCCGTCTCCACGTGTCTCACCTCACATGTATGTTCCCGTCTGGACTCACCGTTGTGTGTCTGCTGTTCTTCTTTGGCGGGGGGTGCCAGCAGCGTGTGCAGGTTGCTGTCTCGCGGCAGTGTGAAGCTGCGGGGTTTCCCTCCCTGGGTTGCCATAGGGATCAGCCTCTGCATCGCTATAGGCAACGGGACATTCCTCTGAGCGGGGAGGGTGTAAACGGCGCCGGCCATCATGCTTCCTCCACCTGGACCGGGTTCAGCGAAGACGGCGTCCTCTGGAACGTGAAGAAAGACACTTTTGAGATGCTGTTAAAAAAATCTAAAAACAAACCGGATAACCTGCATATTATATTATCTATATCTATATTTAAGAGAGATGAAGAGAAAACAGACAAACTGAAGGTGATAAATTAACTTTAAAATTTCAGTTTTAACCACTTTAACTTCTTATAAAAACATCTTTTTTAACATTTAACCTTGTGGAGTTCAATCTAGTCTTTACAGGGTGAAGACGAAAACACTCGTCAAATGATCAATAAAACTACAGCAGATGTTATTGAAATCAATCCCAGAAATCTGTTTCTATAATCAATAAAATCTCTATAATAATAATATATATCTCTATAATCAGCCTTAAAGCTCCTGTCAGTGACTTTCAGTTTGTGTTGACTCTGGTGCCCCCCTCCTGTACAGGTGTCAGCCTCGTTCAATGACACTGACATCACATCCTGTTTTATTTCAACACCTGATTGACTTAAAACTCGTTAAAAAATGTAAACAAGGACGGACACCAACCCCAGCAAAAGCTTTATAGAAATTTTAAGTTATTATTTTGATGATCATATTCATAAAGCGACATCAGTGTTACTTTCTGTTTGTTTTATTTATTTATTTATCAAAATTTCATTAATTTTATTTCCTTTTTTTTTTTTTTTACTTTTTTTAACATTTTTATTTCATTTGCTTGTTTACCTTATCATCTTCCTTAATTATATATTTCTTGTATTTATTCGTATATTTGTTTTTTTTTTTAACTTTCTACTGTTTACATGTTGTTATGGGTTCATAGAGCTGTTCATCTTTGAGTGGGTGGGATTGTGGGAGGGATAAAAAAAACAGGGAATAATGATAGAATGGAAGTCTTCTTCTCTGTCACGTTGTCCTGACATGTCGCTGTCTGAGTAATTGCTTCCAATAAAGAAAGTTTAAAAAAAAAAAAAAAAGAATTTGATCATGTAGATTGTTTGTTTTTTTGAATTTTTGTTTGTTTGTTTGTTTGTTTGTTTGTTTGTTCGGAAACACAAAATAATCTTCATTTCCTGTCTGTTACCTAACGGTCCGGTTTGGAGGTAGTGCAGTCCAGCTTCTGTCAGCGGCGTCTCGATCAGGTCCTGCCAAGAACGTCTCTGAGACGAGGAAGAGCGTCCAGGAGACCCTGTCTCACTGCTGCCCCCCGCAGGACTGGAGCGGTACTACGGAAAACGGTCATAAAGAAATGTCAATAACCTTATTTTAACATTCAGGAGATCTCAGAGTCACCAAAAGGTGAGACGATGAAGGTTTTGGACTTCTACTCAGTCCTGGTTCTTCTTATTTGGTCTGCACCACTCTGTTGGGTCAGAAACTGGAACCTTGAAAAATCTAATTTTGTGTGAGTGGTTTGGATCCTAAATCTCCTGGACTCTGAGCTGAAATCATCTTTCTCCAAACAAAAGCCGAGACAACAAAATGAATCCTGGGATGACGGCGCAGAGCCGTGCCAGAGAAAGTGAATTTTATCCTGTAAATGTTTTTCGGACAAAAAGACGAAATCCTGTCATTTCTGAATTCATTACAATCAAAAGGCCTTATGTAATCAGCTGACTGTGGGCCAATTAAATCTCATCACCACTCTGTGTGCAAATGTGACATTTTACTCCAAGAACACAAAATGAGTCCAAAATGAAGCGTTTCATAATTATGGAAAGAAGCCACGGACCTGTTGACCTGACGGGGGCGCTGAGGAGAATCTGAACAGTCTGAAAACCATCACCATTAAAATTAAGACCGTCAGGAGGACCACTTTAGACAAAGACAAGTATTAACTCTAATGGAATCAGTTTTATTTGGTGATACGGCTGAGCCTCCAGGAGAGCATCAGTAAAGATCCACAAACCAGGACCAAAGAGGGCAGGAAGACCATCAGCAAAGATTCAGGACCAAAGAGAGAAGGGAGACCATCAGCAAAGATCCACAAACCAGGAACAAAGAGAGAAGAAAGACCATCAGCAAAGATTCAGGACCAAAGAGAGAAGGGAGAGCATCAGCAAAGATCCACAAACCAGGAACAAAGAGGGCAGGAAGAGTATCAGCAAAGATCAGAAAACCAGGACCAAAGAAAGGAAGAGTATCAGAAAAGCAGGACCAGGACCAAATAGAGAAGGGAGACCATCAGCAAAGATCCACAAACCAGGAGCAAAGACAGCAGGAGGCGCATCAGCTAAGATCCACAAACGAGGACTAAAGAGGGCAGGGAGAGCATAAGCAAAGATCCACAAACCAGGACCAAAGAGAGAAGGGAGACCATCAGCAAAGATCCACAAACCAGGAAGACCGAGGGGGACCATCAGCAAAGATTCACAATCCAAAACCAATGAGAGAAGGGAGAGCATTAGCAAAAATCCACAAACCAGGACCAAAGAAAGCAGGAAGAGTGTCAGAAAAGCAAGACCAGGACCAAAGAGAGCAGGTAGAGCATCAGCAAAGATCCGAAAACCAGGACCAAAGGGGGCAGGAAGAGCATCATCCAAGATCCATAAACCAGGACCAAAGAGAGAAGAAAGACCATCAGCAAAGATTCGGGACCAAAGAGAGAAGGGAGAGTATCAGCAAAGATCCACAAACCAGGACCAGATAAAGCAGGATGAGTGTAAGAAAAGCAGGACCAGGACCAAAGCCTGGTTTGACCAGGACAAACCAGGACCAAATAGAGCAGGGAGGGTATCAGCAAAGATCTGCAAACCAGGACCAAAGAAAGCAGGTAGACCATCAGCAAAGATCCACAAACCAGGACCAGAGATCAGGCTGGTGTTGGGGTTTGCTGTTGGACTGCCTGCCTGGACTAGCACCAGGATTATTTAGAAACGCATCCCTTTGACTCACCTCTACAGGATCACATCTGTACTGCACGTCGCTGCTGCTGCTGCCCCCTGGTTTCCTCCCACTGTGCGTGGTCCCTCCCCCTAGAGGACCGGGGTGGTACTGCGGCTCTGCGGCGACTGGCGGGGGTTCTCCACAGAGGAAGTCCTCCTGGGAGGAGCGAGAACGAGACGTCTCTGTGGAAGACAGTCTGGTGGTGCGGCCCTCCAAGTAGGCGCTCATCTGACAGAGAGAGAGAGAGAGAGAGAGAGAGAGAAAGAGAGAGAGAAAGAGAGAGAGAGAGAGAGAGAGAGAGAGAGAGGAGACGTCAGCTGATTGGACTGATCTGACTCCTTTGTTATGACACTCTTGAAAACAGGATTCCAGCGCGGCGACAGAGCGCAGGAGGCGGAGTGATGATTGAATCAGTATGTGAGACAGAGAGGAGACGAGTGTCTGAACTACAAAGACTCTCCAAATACGAGGATCTGAGAATCTTCACAGCTCGGCGGTCTGCTGGTCTGGTGTCTGAGGAGGTGTTAGAAAAGCTCTCGTTGTTTTATGTTGTCACTTTGTTGCCTGGCTAAAAAGTAAAAGCCCAAAGACAACAACATTAACGGACGAGCGAAGCGGCGTGAGGAACGATTATAGCATCAATTACACCAGATTTAGCCCCACAACTCCCCGTAGGCGCCGCTGACTTCAGCTGTTCGAGCGGACTGCGGAGGATCTCTGCCTTCAAGTACAGCGTGTGCTTTGCATGAGCTTGTAGTACAGTCATATGTGTGCGTGACTCACTGATGGAGGCCGTGGGTAGGTATCGTACGGAGGTGGGGGACTGTCCTGTTTAGGGCTGGAGGTGGTGTCGTCCTCATGATCACTCTCGCTCCAGTAATCTGCAGAGAAACCCACACACGTGCTCAGAAACGACCCGGCGTTTACCGTTTACCTGAAACCTGAAAGGTTAGAAGAAGACAGGTGTGGAGAAACTCTCACCCTGCTCCTGGCGTATCCTCTCCCGCTCGGCGTAGCCCACAGCGGCCTGATTCAGACGACTCAGCCATCTGTCAGGAGGAAGTTCAGAGTCAAACCCCATGAGGAAAAATACACAAAACATCTAAATCAACCAGCCTACACTACCCAGAATGCAACTCACTCATTAAAGCTGCTATGAGGGGTTTTTGGGTCGTGATAAAATAGACTTAAATTATTGAAAAGGCAGAAATCTGTTAAAGAAGCATCTTTTTTTGTGGAGTATTTATAAAAAAATCTTCTAATATCAGTCAATAGTTATTAGTTATTGATGATATTTGGTAATATAATGATAATGTCTGTGTAAATAAAATCTTTATTTTAGTATTACCTTTATTATCAGAAACTCATTTCTTGTAAAATTCCTCTTGTTTTAGAAAAACTAAACGGCTTAATCTTTGTTCGACAGCTTCATGATTCATACGAAGAGCTTCTGTTCAGGCGTCTCTTTTTCACGTCACGTTCTTCACACATCTTTCATTTCCACATATGTTTTGTGCTTTAGGGATCTCAAACAGGAAGCTGCACTGTCAGGTAGTGAGCGTGTCCTTCTCGGTGACCTTCATGCATGCTAACCACACGCTGATTTACCTGTTCATGTCATCCACTCCATCTGCTGCGAAGTAGAAACTCTTCACCTTGGGGTGGCAGGCTTTGAAAGCGCTGAAAAAAGACAAAGGGAGGTGTGAGAGTTCACAGAGGAGAGCGGAGAAACATCCAAACTGGACAGAAACAGAGAAAAAAGTGAACTTACTATTTCTTACGACATTCGCTGGCTCGGTCGATCTTAAACTCTGGAAGACTGACGAAACCCTCGGCTTTTTCATCCTTCAAAACAGAGAAATAATAAACCTCTAAATAAGTTTTTGACGTCATGAAATTAAATGAAAATCACATTTTCTAATTTAATTCAAAGTCTGCTAATATTTGCTGATCCAGCTGAGTTTTTAAGCATTTCTATCCCTCACTGAAAATTCAAGAAAGCAACTTTAAAGTCGATCTATAATAAATCAAAGGATTTCCAGAGTTCGCCTCGCTCCTCTGTGGAGTTTATAAAAAACAAACTTCGGCCCGTTTGTGAGTCCCACAGATACTTCAGTTCTTGCCAAAAACACGACCCGTGGCTAAAAAAATCATAACGCTCCCTAAAGACACGAACATCTCAAAGACCTCAAAGAACTTTTCACTTTTTTTTGCAAATTTGAGCCGAAATCAGGATGAAAACTCTTTCAACTTTTCACCCAGCAGCCGTTTTTTTGACTCATCCTGTAGCTTTGATATCGGAGCGTAAGTCTCGACTCCAGAGCCGCTTCAACAAAGAGGTTCCTTGTCTCATATCATCATTACCTCTCTGATAGATAATCTACAGATACTGGATTATTTATAAACTTCATAGAGGCGAGGAAAAGGAGATGGAGAGTGTAAAACGCGGACTCGCCTCCTCGTTGATGTACCAGTACAGGCAGTTGTCCTTCAGAACAAACCAGTACTTCTTCCATTTGTGAGAGAAGTAACCCTTGGCGTCTCTTTTCCTCCACAGCCAGCCCTCGCAGTCGCCTCGGCCCAGAGCTTTGCAGGAAACACGCCTCCGACTGAGGGAGGCCAAACTCCGACCTGGAACAGCACAGAGGATTCGTTAAGGCGGGAACAGAACGACCACATCCCTGTTTCCAGTGAGCGAGCAGGGGCGTGTCCAGACCCTGGAGCCAGGGGGGCCAAACCGGGGGGACTTATTTAGACAAGGGGGGGCTTAAGCATGTTTGTTTTTTTATTTCTAAATCACAGGCCGTTCCTACGATGGAGCATTAGGGCCACATTAGGGAAAAAAATTAAGACATTGGAATTACTTATGAAGAATAAAGTCGTAATAAATTAATTACTTACGATAAAAAGTCGTAATAAAATCGTTACTTACAGAAATGAAGTCATAATAAATGTATTACTTACGAGAATAAGGTCGTACTAAAATCGCTACTTAGAAGAAAAAAGTCGTAATAAATTAATTACTTACGAGAATAATGTTACGATAAATCAATTACTTACCAAAATAGAGTAGTGATAAAATCATTACTTATGACAACAAAGTCGTAGCTGGTAGCTATTCTAACCTTATTACGACTTTTTTCTCATAAATAATGATTTTACTACGACTTTATTCTCATAAGTAATTACTTTATTACGACTTTATTCTCGTTAGTAATTACGAAGTCTTAATTTTTTTTCTTTTATGTGGCCCTAATACTCCGTCGTTCATTCCTATAGATAATAAACTCAGTACATTTACAAGAGGTTAAAAAAATCTGTTTTAGTTTTAAATACCTTTAAAAAGTTAATCCAATTTAATTGGTCTGGAAAAAAAAAGGTGGACTGTAACAGCACCGAGTCAAAGTCAGCAAACACACCTACTACACACAGTTAGGGATCTACTCTCTCTTATATCTATATACCTTTAATTTCCCCAGAAGTGGTCCCAAAGACCTGGAATGCCTCCTTGCTAACCCCTGCACTCTAAGCACCTTTCCTCCTTTTTTCAAGTTTTTATGATCAAAATGTCCGTCAACACAAACTCTTTAGAGAACAACAACAACCACGTCACGCAGCTGCTCACTAGATACAAAAAAGCAGATGTTACAAGTTTGTCCTTTGTGAGCAACCGTAGAATCAAAGTGATAAAGTCCGGCTGTTGAAAGGGACCAGGCCCCCGTCGGCCACCCCCTGAGAACACCCCTGCTAATGAGCGAAAGCCTCGAAGCTCTAAAATAAAACGTAGCTGTGATTTTTGGCCACACTCGAGCTTCTTCCTCCTCCTCCTCCAGCTCTGATGAGACGCTGCACTGCGGTACGGTCAGAGGGAGCGCTTAATAAAAATTTATTCTTTTCTTTTTGGCATAAAAGCCCCGTAATATTTTTACAGCGCAGTCCTCATTAGAGATTAGCCGAGAATCTTGGCTGCGGGTTTGGGCCTGCCCAGAAACTTTTATTGACTGCATGAAAAGTCTTGGGACTTTAAAGAGGAAAGTAATTCAATAATCCATTTAATTCTGCGGAGACAGAAAGTGCAGAGTGTGGTGTATCTCTAAACAAACAACTCTCTGTTCCTGAAAGACAAAAGGAAAATAACTCCCAGGTGATTTTAGATTAACACGTTAAGGCGCTGATACTGTAAAGAGAGCATTTCCGCTGTTTTCTCTTCATTTTGTGGAGTTCAAAACCCTGGACTGACGTCTTTCTTCATATTTTTATGAACTCTTTGACGAGGGTTCAGCTCGGCACGTGTAAAAGCATCAATAACTCGACGTTATCACAGTCAGTTTCCAACTTTTGGTTTCATTCCTGTAAACAAACAAATCCTCGGCCTGAAAAAATAAAAGCGCAGATGGAGCTGAAGATTTTCAGAGCCTCTCACGATGGCAGATGGCGAAACAAGCGAAAGGCCTGTCGATAAAAAAAACAACACAAAATCACTTCCAACATGTTGATCCTCGATAATGTGGCGAAAAGACCGAAATAGATTTGGTCAAAGAGGCAAAGACAGTGATGGCGAGGAGATACAGAGAGGGCGGACGGCTTTAATTTAACTTTTCTAAAGGAATAAAGAAAAACACTCAAAGAAAAGAAACAAGACTGCAGTCATGGTTCGGTTTCAGACTCGTGTGATTTCATCTTTACGGTCACGCCCCTCTGACGTGCAGAAATGCTGATTCAGTAGATTTCAGACTGATTTTCTTCTCTGGACGACATGCAGATTATAAACAAACCAGATGCAGGCCGACTCGCCACTGCCTCGCCACCGCCTCGCCGCAGTCCGGTCCCCCTCCCCGGTTAAAAATGATGAGGTTTGAAAATGCTAATCCAGCAGGAAAATAAAGAGGGTGAGCGGGTTCAATTATTCTATGGGAGCAGAAAATGATCGGACATCTCTTACAGCATCGATTTACCAACTCTGTCGCTCTGATGTTTCCGTCTATATGGAATAAAGAGTTTGTGATTGATAAGGAGTTTTTCAGAGACGGAGCTTTTATTGTACTTTCAGCAGGAGGTTGTGTCGTCTTCTGTCACAACATTTCATATTATTCTGTATTCTAGCAGCTCAGAGTTACAACACTTTATCACTGTTCTGTAGATTCTTATCGTGTCACATCACAAAGTGTCATCTTTAGTATTATGTCAAAGCACATGCTTTCTTATCATACTGTGTTGTATTGAACCATATGGTCATATACTACTTACTAAACTATACTGTATGGCACCATAAGGATTACACTGTGTCCTCTTTTACTGTAGCGAATTGTATCAAATCAAATCTTGTGTTTCTTGCATCTTAAATCAAATCATATGGTAACGTACAGCATCATAACGTGTTGTGTCTTGTCATGTCTTGTTGTGTCAACTCTTGTCGAGTCGTGTCTTGTCTAGTTGTGTCTTACCATGTCAAGTCCAGTCATGTCATGTCAAATCGAGTCATGTCATGTCTTGTCTAGTCGTGTCTTGTCAAGTTATGACGCCTCATGTCATGTCATGTCATGTCTTCTCGAGTCATGTCTTGTCGAGTCGTGACTCGTCAAGTCGTGTCATGTTATGCCTTCTTGAGTCATGCCATGTCATGTCATATAATGTCGTGCTGTGTTGTGTCTTGTCGTGTCTTGCCACGTCTTGTCAAGTTGAGTCGTGTCTTGTCTTGTTGAGCCGTGTAATGTCTTTTCTTGTCATGTGGAGTCTAGTCTTGTCAAGTCGAGTCGTGTCATGTCACGTCACATCCTGTAATGTGATGTCATGTCTTGTCGACTCATGTCTTGCCATGTCATGTCATGTGGAGTTGTGTCTAGTGAAGTTGAGTCATGTCATGTCATGCCTTGTCGAGTCATGTCATGTAATGACGTGCCATGTTGTGTCTTGTCATGTCATGTCTTGTTTAGTCGTGTCTTGTCAAGTCATGTCTTGTCATGTCTTGTCGATTCGTGTCTTGTCGAGTTATGTCTCGTTAAGTAGAGTCATCTCATGACATGTCATGTCTTGTCGAGTCATGTCTTGTCGAGTCATGGCTTGTCGAGTCGTAACTCGTCAAGTCGAGTCGTGTCATGGCAAGACATCGCATGACTCAACAAGGCATGATATGTCATGTCATGTTGTGCCGTTTTGTGTCCTGTCATGTCATGTCTTGTTGAGTTGTGTCTTGTCAAGTCGAGTTGTATCTTGCCCTGTTGAGCCGTGTAATGTCTTTTCTTGTCCCATGGAGTCATGTCTTGTCAAGTCATGTCATGTCACATCATGTAATGTCCCGTCATGTCTTGTCATGTCGAATCCTGGTATGGTACGGTAGCTAATCAGATGGTATAGAAAAGCGTCATACAAAATCATATCATGTTCTGTTGTGTTGTGTCATATCACACCAAGTCAAATCATGTGATAACATATAGTATTATGAGGTAACATGTTGTATTGTACGATCATATTGTGTTGTTTTGTGTTTTAGATTCTCAGACTGATGAACAGTAAAAGGGTTTTTTTACTTTGTGGGTTTTTACTGAACGAGTTTCTACATAAATTCATAAATGATCCATCAGTGATAAAGGTTGGTTATATAAATAATATTAATATTATATTAATAATCTCCACATCAACAGGATAGACAAGTCTCCCTCCTCCATAAGAAACGGGTTTGCTTATTGTTACATCATTTGGCAGGCAGAGCTTCACTCCAGAACGACGTACATGAGGAGGCTGCTCTGACATTCAGCTCAAACGATCATCGACACACATGATGATGATGAAGTCGGCAGAAACTCCGGGGTCCAAAATGAAACCGACATCTTTGATTCAACAGTGAGGAAATTAAACTTGCAGAGAAATGAAACAAGGTTGAAGTGGTCGGAAGAATCATGTCTGGATTTGTAAACAGACGAATAGAAAACAGGGAAACATGCTTCCAAAAGTAAGATTCAACAATGTGTGGCTGATTAATTTAAAGCTCCAGTAAGGAAGTTTTTGGTTCATTATGAAACAGGTAAAATAAGAACTGATGCCCGTATAAATGACCAGTATTATACTGTATGTCGTGTCATATTGAATACCATCAAATCAAACCTAATCATGTTTCCTGTGTCTTATCAAATCAGATCATATAATAACATATTCCATCACAAAATATCGTGCCTTGTCTTGTCGGGTTGAGTGATGTCTTCTGTAGTCCTGTTGTGTCATGTCATGTCATGTCTTGTTGTGTCTTGAGTCATGTCTTGTAGAGTTGTGTCGTGTCTTGTCAAGTTGAGCAGAGTCATGCCGTGTTGAGTCTTGTCTTGTCAAGTCTAGTTGTATCAATTCTTGCCATTCTTGTGATGTGATGTGATGTAATGTCAAGTTATGTCGTGTCTTGTCAGGTTGATTTGTATCTTGTTGTATCGTGTCATGTCATGTCATATCCTGTTTTATCGTGTCTTGTCAAATCGAGTCAGGTCTTGTCTTGTTGAGTCGTGTCTTGTCAAGTGAAGCCATGTCATGTTATGTTACATCGTATTTTATCGTGTCTTGTCAAGTCGAAACATTTGTCTTGTCATGGGTTGTCAAGTTGAGTCATGTCATGTCATGTCATGTCGTGTTTTATCGTGTCTTGCCATGTCTTGTCTTGTCATAGGTTGTCAAGTCGAGTCAGGTCTTCAGCAGAGAAACGATATAAGGCCAAAGTTGTTGGAGGAATCATGCATCAAAAATCAAAATTTTTTCCCCTAACCTTTCGCACGTGTGAAATTTTAAAGTTTTTGAAACATGTTAAAGTTGCTAAATTTGGAGTTGATTGCATAAAGATATAAAAGAATTAACTAAAATAACACCTTCAGGTTTAAGAGAGTCTAGACTGTTGCCACGTATGCATAAACTAAATTAAATCAGCTAAAAGATAAGTGATCGCCTTGTCCACAGGGGGCGCCAAAACAGACACAAACCAAATTACTAACGAACAGGAGCTTCTTAAAATTTAGTGGTGTGAGAAACGACTGAGTTGCAAGTTGCTTAATTTGCGTTTTTTCTGAACAATTAGACCTGAAATGAGTCGAAAGTTGCAGAAGCTTGAAATGAAGTTTTGAAAAGATAATTAGTCGAACTGAAGCAGCAGCTGCACTCACTTTTCTGCACAAAGCCCATTAACTCGGCGTCCCTGAGAGAGCGAATGAGTGAGTGACCGCGACTGGCGAGTGCTGGGCCGTGACGGCGGCGGCGGCTCCTGCTTTACATGTGCCGTGTGAGAGAAAGGAAACCAAACAGGTGGCGTCTCGGCTTACCTTTATTCTTCTTCCTGGTCTTTGAGGTGGTGGACTGCTGGTATGTCTGAGAGAGAGAGAGAGAGAGAGAGAGAGAGACGGGGCTGTCAGGATGAATCAGTGGCCTTTCATTGCTGCAAAGGATCCTGGGATATTGGAGATGACAGATCTTAGGAAGTGGAGGAGAGGAGGCGCACAGAAGGAGCAGAGATAAAGAGGGAAACTGTCCTCCTCTTATTATCTCATTTTCACAAACACATAAACACACACAGACGAAGAGGCGCCCTCGTGGAGGACTGGAGCACCTTTCACACCTCTAAACATAGAACAAAGAGGCGGGGCCAGAGGAGGGGTGACGGGGGGACCGCAGGAGGGACCGCAGGAGGAACTGCAGGACTTCAGAGGTGACAGAGGACAGGAGGGAAAATAGGAGCCGAGGGCCTCTGGGATTGGCAGAGATTTTACAAAAAGGACAAACATGAAACGGAGAAGTTTTCAAGGTCTCAGGCCCGGACTACACGTATATAGATATTTATTTATCAGGATATTTTTGTACTGCCGTCTAAATAAATGTATCTGTCCACACGTGTTAGTTCTCAGAAATATCTGCGTCCACACATAGCCTTCAAACTCAATCCTATCTGGTGCCGCTTAAAAAAAAATTCAGGAACAAAGCTACCTGATTGGCCGATGAATCGTAACAGCGTGATGTGTCATGCATTGTTTGCGGAAGCTACGCTAGTGCGTCGGGTCCATGTGACGGACCATGTGACCAATAAAAGTATTGGCCGCAGCAGACGCCTCTGTGAGCTGCTGACTGGTGGATGTAATTGTATAAAACAAGGTTCACTTGAAAGGCTGAAATTAGCCCCAAAAGAGCGAAACAAACGTAAAGAATACCCTGTCTGTCCGCCATCGTTGTTGTTGTTTTTCTTTTTAATTCACATGCGCGAGCTGCGGTTTGATGTCATCGATCCGTAAAAGTCCAACCACACGAATCCACTACAGATATTTTTTTATTTCTCCACTTGTTTTTCCGGATTCAGATTTATCCGGTTTGAGTGCTCCAAACTCCCGTTTTGGCGTGGTAGGGAGGCCTAATCGGACATAAATATGTGCGGTTTGAAATATATCCGCATTCGTGTAGTTGAGGCCTCAGACTGAAAAGGTGGATCAGAACCTGAGAGACTGTTTTTACTAGATCCATTCAAGAACTGCAGCTCAGCAGGACCGGTCAGAACCACAACAGGGAAAAAAAGGTTTAATGAAACGATCGAGGCGGACTGGAAACTTTAACTCTGATCAGCTGATTAAAAGGATATTCCGGCGTAAAATTAAGTTAGAGTCAAACACACAATAACACAGACCGCTTGCTTCTCTAGTTATACCAACTTTAGTAATGACCGCACGATAGCAATACACAACCTGATCCAAAACGCCACTCTATAGCCACAAATAATGCTCAGAACAGCACCTAACTTCATCAACAGGACATATAGGGTCACAGACATAGTACTAGACACCAAACATCTTTTTAACTTTGACTCATTTCTTTAGCAAAGAGACTAAACACAACTCACCTACTCTCTTCCAGCAGACACTTGTTTGTAGAGAGACCTCAGGCCAGTCCAGTACGGACTACAGCGGGGTGCCGCAGCTCAAGGAAGAACATTTATGATCATTTCTTCATGAAAATACAATCAGACCGAGACGCTAAGACAGAAGAACTACCGCGTCTGTAAAATGATTAATATGATGATTATTACTTCAAGGAAATGATCATAAATGTTCTTCCTTGAGCTGCGGCACCTCGCTGTAGTTGGCAACATTCATCTCTGGAGAGGGGGTCTAACTCGGTGTTACGGTGTGTTTGACCCTAAATTAATTTTACGCCGGAATATCCCTTTAATAATACCCCAGCAGATCCACAGACCGGTCCCCTCTGTGAGCCCATAGGGGGACAGTTCTCTGTTTCAGAGTCTCGGTCAACTTCGAGTCCTCTGGGTGTAAAAGTGTCAGTGAGTCCTGATCTGACAGAGGAGCAGATCCTCGTCCACCTCCTGATCCGGAGCGACGTCTCTGAGACGTGACCTCGCTGGACGGGTCAGCTGGAGCGAAGCACCAGCTCTGATGTCACCAAATTACACGTGTCACAGCCTGGAGCTCGGCCACTCACATCCCCACGCTCAGCAAGACAGATGACATGGGACCGCCCACGCCCACTGACACGCCATCTGCCAACGCAGCAGCCGGGCGCACTGTAAACACACACTCGCTCACTCACTCGCATGCTAACTCATTTAATTTGCAAAGAGACGCTGTCAGGACGTATAAGGTCACCGCCGGCCGAACAGAGTGTCTGGACCGGAGCGCAGACAGACAGGCAGGGCGAGCGGATGTCATGGAAGTGACGGGGGGGTAATAACGAGTCAGCGTTCCCTCAGATCACACTACAGTGACTTTTCATCAGGGGGTAAAGCTCAAACGCCTCCTCCTCCACCTCCTCACTAATCTCTGAGTCCAAACAAAGCAGAGAGGAGGCGGGTTTATTGAACTCTACAGTGTTAGAGGAGCAGGTCTGAGGACTTTTATATTAGTGTTTGATCAAGATTACGTAACCAGATCATGCAATCTTGCTGCTACCACCTGAAACTCCAGGTACTCCGAGTTCTTCTGTTTTTTTTCACACTTCCAGATCTAACCTCGCTCTTCTCTCGGCGAGGAGTTACATAATCTCTGTTTCTGCTCTTCACCTGTCAATCAAATTATTTGTTAAACGTCTCTGACATTTTTGGGTCGCCATCAATGACGCTCTTCTTCTTCTTCTTCTGTTTTTTTTATGTTTTTGTCCATTTCAGAGGTACAGTCAGGATAAGAAAGTCACAGTGATTTTTACCGACTGTTTTCACTGGTTTTCATCTGTACTGACTATTTTCATCGTCTCATCTTCATATTTAACTTTCTCACTTCTTGTGTTTTATCGTATCAGATCATATGGTAACATATTCGATCAGAACATGTCGTGTCTCGTCTTGTCATGTCATGTATTGACTTGTTGTGTCTTGTCAAGTCGAGTTGCATCTTGACTTGTTTCTTGTGGTGTCATGTCTTGTCGTATCTTGTCGAGTCGTATCTTGTCATGTTGTATCTTGTCACATCAAGTCATATCTTGTTTTGTTGTATCATGTCTTGTTTTGTCATGTCTTGTCATGTCCTGTTGTGTCATGTCATGTCATATCGTGGCGGGTCATATCTTGTCATGTCATATCTTGTCATGTTGTGTCGCGTCATGTCATATCTTGTCGAGTCGTATCTTGTCATGTCGTGTCTTGCCATGTTCTATCATATGTTGTCATATCTTGTCGAGTTGTATCTTGTCTCATCAAGTCATGTCTTGTTTTGTCATGTCTTGTCATGTCATGTCCGACCTTGTCGAGTCGTATCTTGTTTTTTGTTGTGTCATGTCTTGTTGAGTCATGTCATATTGTGTAATATCTTGTCACGTCATGTCTTGTCCTGTCGTGGTCTTTAGTTGAGTTGTGTCATGTCATGTCTTCTCATGTCCTACCTTGTCGAGTCGTATCTTGTTGTGTCTTATTGTGTCATGTCTTGTTAGGTCATGTCATGTCGTGGAATATATTGTCATTTCATGTCTTGTTTTGTTGTGTCCTGTTAAGTCATGTTGTGCCATGTCGAGTCATGTATTGTTGAGTTGTGTTATGTCGTGTAAGATCTTGTCATGTCATGTCTTATTTAGTCGAGTTGTGTCATGTAATGTCATGTCTTGTCTTGTCTTGTCCTGTAGAGTGATTTAGCACGTTATCCAATCAGATCGTATAAAAACTGCATCATCCTGAATCGTATCACGTTCTGTCGTGTCACATTAAACAAGTCAAATCAAACTGTTGTTTTATATGGTATCATTTTGTATAATATTGTGTTTTAGATGCTCAGACTGTCGAATAGGAAACTGTTTTGTTACTTTGAGGTCGACTGAATGAGTTTTTTCATACATATTTACCGACTGTTTTTACTCGTTTTCATCTGTACTGACTGTTTTTACTTATTTTCATCTGTACTGACTGTTTTTACTCGTTTTCATCCGTACTGACTGCACTCATTGTCTCATCTTCATATTAAACCTTCTCCCTCTGCAGCTGGTTGATGTTTCGCTCACTCATCCACACCGACCACCTGCTGTGATCACCAATCATCCCAAATGTGAGCGGTGTTATTCGGGGTCCTGCTGAGCGGTAATGTAAACAGATCCGTCACAAACAGGCAGATAGAAGAAGTCGTGTGGCTTACATGATAAATGGAGGGAGGCTCTCTCGGTGGTGAATCTCTCTGATTGGCCTGGAGCATGTAGTGGGAGGGGCTTTGGCTGTGGTGGCTCCGCCTCTTGGCTCGTTTAGCTGTGTCATTGGACCGTTTACCCGGCCGAGCGGTGTGGGAGGAGTAGTCGTCAGATCCGGGCCTCTCATCCATGCTGGACAGCCCGACGTAACGCATCAGTGACGCCTCTGTGAAGAGCCAATGAAACGAGCCCGAATCAGTCAGGTGACAAATATCAAGGATACACAAACACAAATAAATCCGCCCATTTTTACATCGCTGTGTTAGAGTCTTAAATTAGCAAAGAGACTAAACACAACTCACCTACTCTCTTCCAGCAGCCGCTTGTTCATAGTAAGACCTCAGGACTACAGTGGGGTGACACAGCTCAAGGAAGAACATTTATGACCATTTCTTCATGGAAATACAATCAGACCGAGACGCTAAGACAGAAGAACTACTGCGTCTGTAAAATGATTAATATGATGATTATTTCTTCAAGGAAATGATAAAGAAATGATCATAAATGTTCTTCCTTGAGCTGCGGCACCCCGCTGTAGTCCGTAATGGACTGGCCTGAGGTCTCACTATGAACAAGCGTCTGCTGGAAGAGAGTAGGTGAGTTGTGTTTAGTGTCTTTGCTAAAGAAATGAGTCAAAGTTAAAAAGATGTTTGGTGTCTAGTACTATGTCTGTGACCCTATATGTCCTGTTGATGAAGTTAGGTGCTGTTCTGAGCATTATTTGTGGCTATAGAGTGGCATTTTGGTTGGGGGCGTGGCTCTCTGTATTGCTATCCTGCGGTCGTTACTAAAGTTGGTATAACTAGAGAAGCAAGCAGTCGACAACATTCATCTCTGGGGGGGGGGGGTCTAACTCTGTGTGTTTGAACCTAAATTAATTTAAAGTTGGAATATCCCTTTAATAACATCCTATTTCAGCTCCGATCAGTAACTTCTGTTTCACATCTTCACCCCGTCTTCCCATGAAGGAGATAAAAAAAGACGTTTATTCTTCTGAGTGACTGAGATCTTCTCCAGTCATTCTCTCTCTCTCTCTCTCTCTCTCTTTCATTGTTTTACAGCTAACTTCCTTCTCTACCAGGGGAGGAAACTCACCTCTCTCTCTCTCTCTTTCTACCTCTCTCCACTCTGTCCTCCCCTGGTTGCTAGGCAGCGGCCGGAGGAAAATGAGACACCGAGAAGAGCTGCTGTCAGCGTCTCCATAGCAACTGCGTGAGTGATTCAGGTGGAGGTCAGGGAGAATAGTCTTTTTTTTTTTCCTAGTTTCTGCCTCCTCTCTTCCCTCTTTTCCTCTCTCTCTGCCTCCTTTATTCTCTCTCCTTTCATTCTCTCTCTCTCTCTCTCTTTCTCCCCCTTGTCTTCTCTTCCCTCTCATTTCATCCCTCTGTGATGCTAATCACAGGGAGAATTAGAGGAAGAGATGGAGGCGCATTGATCTGTTCGCACACACTGATCTCTGGGTAATTCAGAGAGACGGGAACATTTAACTGAATCTAACGCGCTCTTTAGGACGCACACACACACGCACACGCACACACACACATACACACACACACACACACACACACACACACACACACACATGCGCTCCACACGCCGGCGCTCACCTCTGCGGCTCTCTCTGTTCAGCTTGGCTGGATCTTCATAGTCGCCCACCCAGCTGCACTCCACAGGCATGGAGATGGGCCTCAGCCTGCCTACAAGCATGCGCACACACACACACACACACACACACACACACACACACACACACACACACACACACACACACACACTTATGAAACGTCAAGTATGGGTCTAATAACCTTATTCAGGATCACAAGAACACCCCTCAAACAATGACCATCTTTTTACTCCATTTCTCGACCTTGACCTTTACCCCCCTACACACTGTAGTCCCCTAATCCAGGACCTTACTCTGATCCCCTGATCTTCTGACCCTGATCGGTCCACCTCAGGTCTCACTAACTCAGAACTTCATCCGTATCTTAACTCTCCACGACTTTATCTCTTACTTCTCCGTCAGACCTTCACCGTGTGCCCAATGGGAATGGGACGTCCAAGCTCGTCATATCGCCAGTTTTCAATTCCACAAAGGTTACCACGGCAACTGAGTTTAAGTTGAAGCCGATATTTGTCATGCAGAAGTTGAATTATTGCACAGAAGAAAAGCGGGAAGACATCAGGAGAGGGATCTTTGCGAGAGGTATGAGAAGACGCCGAGCTTTATCTTCTTCCCTCCATCCCTAAATTCCTTAACACTAACCCGACTACTAAAAGGTCGTATCCTCCGATCGTAGCTGATCGTAAACATTCAAGTTAACGTGTCAATTTACACCGACTTCTTTCCGTTCCTCTGGGGATCGCCGGACTCCTCAGCTGATCACAAGAGTTCTATTTTTTCTGGACGCCGGAGCATGGCGGATAAATTCAGCACAGATTAACCCGTGCTGGAAAGGAAGTCGGGCACAGACACAAAATAAAACAGCCGGCTTCTTTTCAAAATAAAACATCCAGTCTCAGGAGGATCATATTTCACACCATGCAAACGGGCGGAGACGAACAAGTGAAAAGTTTTTAGACGCCAAAATTGGGGTTCACGCTCATCCTCTCATCGTCTCTCAATATTTCCCTCTTTTTTTCACCCTCAGTCACTTTTTCACTCTCCTGGCCGGCTCACCAAACGTGACGTCCTGCTGCTCATGTTGAACAGAATCAACCTTGACCTGATCCAACCCTAACCCTCTTTTCCATCTCTCCATCTCCACCTGTAACCTCACTGTTATCCCTTCATCTCTTGACCTTTTCCTCTTACACCATCATCTCTCACCCTCGCCTCCTCCCTTAATCCCTTCATTCAGTAACACCTGACTCATGGTGTCATCCTTCACTCAGCCTTCACCATTTCTTCTTTCTACCTGATCCATCCATCTTCTCAACCTCGGGACCAAATTATCTTTCTTCATCCTCGACCTTTGACTCTCAAACCCTCCTCTTAATCTCTCCATCCCTCTTTTATCTCTCTTATCCTCCTCTCCTTCAGTTTTTTCCATCACTCCTCCTCTTCTCATCCTCTTCACCCCTCCGTACAGACGACTCAATAAGCTCCTCTAATATCTATGTTAGCGCCGTCTTTGTGAAATTCTCCCCAGAGTCGTTTTTATGATCTGAAAACTGATATTCAGGCTCTCGCAGACAGAGTCCTGATTTATTCTCCAAAAATTTCAGGGCTCCCTCGCTCTCCAAAACTTTTTTATTTACCGCCTGAGGCTAACAGATGGACTCCTGCACTCCTGATTGTTTCTGAAGTGGTTCAATACGGCAGAATGAGATTGAACCCGATCCCTCCTCCCTCCTCTCTCCTCTCTCCTCTCTCTCTCAGAAAACACAAAAACACTTCAGAGGAGGGTACCATAAGTTGGTGTGGTGCAGTAAACGGGCTCGTCCTCTTCTCGCCGGCGAGTCTCTTGATCCAGGAAGGAGTTCGGTGACTCAGAGCGCTTGGCGATGCTGACGCCACCGTGGTTACGAGACGCCTCGTCTCCCGACAGGGCTCCGGTGTCATCTCTGCGGCAGAGGCGGAGGCAGGTGGTTGTTATTCGGTATCAACTGAGTTTTCATCGTCGAAGATGGACAGAGAAAATCAGCGTACCTGGGCGTGTACGGCTCGGAGGGCGGAGGAGGGATGTGCAGATCCTGCAGGGCGGAGTTTTTGGTGGGCGTGCCTGAGGGTGTGGCCGAGCTGCTGCCGGGGCTTCTTGTTGGCTGAGGAAAAATAAGAATATCGTTATTATTTACATTATTTCTTCTTCTTGTTAAGTGAGAAAATACGTGGTTTTTTTAGTTCATGTTAAATTTGGCGCCCCCTGGTGACAGACAGATACCTCCCTTTTTGATTTTGTCTTGTAAATGCTTGGATCGTGCGTTACAAATCGTTGCCATTTAAAACATTAATACGTAGATAACCTAGAGCTGCACGGTTTTGGCCAGAAATAAAATCCAGATTTTTCTCCCTAAAAACTCCTCTTTCGATTTTTTATTCAAACTTTCTCTCATCTCTCAAAACAAAACCACGAAAAAGATGTAGTGCATATGCCAAGCCAGTAAGTGGCGCTGTAACGCCGCACAGGAAATGCACAAAAGACAGAAGAAGAGTACAGAGCATGAGTATAAAGGTTGTTTTGATCGGAAACACTCAGACAGCGATATTTTTAATTGTAGGATGGAAGGAGAAGGTCCCGCCCTCCTTCGCCTGTGATTGGCTGGAAGTGCTGGGCTCTGATTGGTTATTCCTTATGACTGTAAAAAGGTCATCGTCTGTCGGATTAGGAGATTCAGAATTGCGATTATGTTCTGTAATGTTCTGTTCAATGTACAGAGCTGCGCTTGGCTTGAGCGTGTGACGATGCTACCAGCTTTTCTAGCCAATCAGAGGCGAAGGAGGCGGGACTTTCCCCTACCATCCAACAAAAAAAAATTTGCGCAGGCGCAATAAAAGAGTCACGCTGTGTGTCACATGATCGTCTCCAGAGATGCAGATAGACATCCACAAAATGGTCGTCGTTTACGAATTTATGCGCTCTTCGGCTACGGTCACTCTGCAGGTTCTGATGCACAATTCGGATATTGTGTCAAATCCGATCTTTTTGTGCGTTCGTTCACATAACAACAACGAATGCGTCCATGAAGTGACCCGCATGCACACAAAGCACAAATATCTTTCCGTGCCTGTTTGTGTTGTTGAACAATGGTGACGTTTGTCGCATATTGACGACGTTTAGGTCGGATAAACGCGACCTGAGCGTCCACACTGCAGTCACATCGGATACATATCTGATTTAAATATCCGATGGATAAAAAATCGGAATTGACCTGCAGTGTGAACGTAGCCTTTGACCCGTTTTCAAAAAGTCACCTGAAACGCCGATACGACAAACAACTTTAGCGTTTACTCTTGAGTTTGTTTCCGTGTTGACGGGTTGATACCGCCTTCTGACAGACTTTGCAGCGGGGAATTGCGAAGTCGTACCAATTCCACACGACTGACTCGCTCTTGTCCTATTTAACCACGAAATTATCGCCTTCTTTTGCAAACGCCATGTTTGTTTACACTGGTGTGTGTGGGAACTGGGGAGGAAGGGGGAGCCTACGGTGGCCTGGAAGTTAATCGTGCAGCCCTACATGGAAAGGACAACTGGACTAAGATACAGCCCTAAGATAACCTCGACCTCCCAGGAGTTACCAAACAACAGATCACAAACTTCAGGAAACTGCGTCAAACAGAGAACGATTACGTCGTCTAACTCCTCCGAAGTGTTTTCAAATCAAATGTGTGGCTCAAAAAGTCGTAAAAAGCCGAAACGCTCCTAAATGAGTGATGACTTCAGGGACGGGGGGCCGAGAAAAACTGTTTTCCTTTGTGCTTCCTGCTGTTCGTGCAGATAAACGCCGCTAATTAGAGAAGCAGATTTCATAATTCCTGCCGCTCTGGGATTGTGGGTGGAGGGTGTCATCAATTTCCCCACGTCCCGTTCGCTCCGGCGCGTTCGAGCCGGCAAACAAAAACCCCGCTGAGCCACAGTAACCTGACCTAATTACACGCTTTGCCCGCCGCCGTACAGGGAGAGTGGGAATGCCGTGGGGGATTATGTGGGCCGGCGCAGCGCTTTAATAAAGTCTATAAAAGGTAGAGCCGGTCCCACCTGCAGAGCCAGGGGTTTCCAGCGCATGTTCTTCAGCAGCGCAGGGGCGGAGCTGAGCGTGCTCTGTGGACGCTTCTTCAGGGTCAGGGACACGACGCCTTTATCGGCCCTCAGTGAGCCGACCAGGTTACGTAACTGCCAGCCCACCTGTAGACGGTTGAGCACAAAAGGTCAGAGATGATGATTATTTTCCATCTGGAAAAATCAACTCCACAAAAACAGACTTTTCTTTCTTTCTCTCTCTCTCTGCCTGTAGTTTGAATCGTGATTGGAGCTCTCTCTTGTTGAGCCTCCTGAGCGAGGCAAGTGGGTGTGGAGGTGGTGAGTCTATCTATAGAGCTTTTATGTGATGTAACCTGCCCTCAATTTGAAAACAAATGCATCTTATCATAAGGCTTTCTGTGCTTTTAGAGACAGCACTTTGTGAAAGAGCGAAAAAGGAGAAATCGAAAACTTTCAGCACGAACTTCTGCTCTTCTGCTCGTCGGGAGAAACTTTCTAATTAGAGACAAACACGATTAATTATCTAAACTGCATTAACTGAATCGTCCTGAGATCTGGCCGTGATGAACAGGAGGTGGAGAGAAGGTTAGAGGATGTGATTACACTAATTGGACGTGTGCTGTCCACGCTGGCGCCCGGTGAAAGTAAAGGGCGAGTTATCCCAACGCCAAAGATCAGGACTTATCGATGAATCTGGTTTGAACTGAAGGAGGTTAATTTACAAAGACTTGGAAACAGACTCTGAGTTTATCCCAAAACAAAAACGAGACTGTGAGTTTTCCTTTTTTTATCCTTTTTTAACTTGAACTGACAGATTTTTGGACACAGCTGTAAAAACGACAGCATCGTAACATCGCTGGAAACTCTTTAACGCCTGAAACCACAAATTATGGCCAGAAAACTTAAATATTTTGGAGCTGAAATTTTTATTATACTTAATACTGAAAACACAAAAAATCAAAACTTCCATAAAATTCAACAAATATATATTTTTTATCTCTTTTGATCCATTAAAAGTTTTTGGAAACTGATAAACTACAAGAGGACATTTTTATCATTTATTGGACTGTATTCAGGTGTTTTTTTAGTCATTTGTTGATCATATTGATTTGATAGAAGTAAATAAAAGGATCAAATATGATATAAAAGTCATTAAAGGGTTAAAGCTGATCTGTCCACCTGAAGGTATTGAGGTGAATCACGTCAGGTTAAAGCTCAGTGAGGTGATTTTAAATGGACGGCTGTCTCGTCTCTGTTTACACGTGTAAGAATTTATCTATTTACAATTTACACCATTTTAGCTCTTTGACTTTTAAGGTCATGTTACCAAAACAATCAACAAACAAGTGAGTGAGAAGCTGAAATGTGTGTCCAGCAGTAAAAACGAACAAACTTTCAAACAAACACGATAACAGCCCGGACCTTTTTATGCCACTTCCTCTTCTAACTAGCTCGCAGTATACCGGTGTTACTAACAATCTTCTTTTAGTAACATTAAATATTGATTTTCCACAAGTGCAAAACGATTAATATGGTGATTATTACTTCAAGGAAATGATAAAGAAATTATCATAAATGTTCTTCCTTGAGCTGCGGCACCCCGCTGTAGTCCGTAATGGACTGGTCTGAGGTCTCGCTACAAACAAGCGTCTGCTGGAAGAGAGTAGGTGAGTTGTGTTTAGTCTCTTTGCTAAAGAAATGAGTCAAAGTTAAAAAGATGTTTGGTGTCTAGTACTATGTCTGTGACCCTATATGTCCTGTTGATGAAGTTAGGTGCTGTTCTGAGCATTATTTGTGGCTACAGAGTGGCGTTTTGGTTGAGGGCGTGGCTCTCTGTATTTCTATCCTGCGGTCGTTACTAAAGTTGGTATAACTAGAGAAGCAAGCGGTCGACAACATTCATCTCTGGAGGGGGGGTTTATTTTGATGTTATGTGTGTTTGACCTTAACTTCAATTCATGCCGGAATATCCAAAAGTCCACCAGAGTCTCTTTAACATGTTTCCCTCTTCAGGTTTCTGCTCTTTTAAACTTTTTTATTCAGTTTTGTAACTTAAAAATCTACCAACTATCAGCAAACTTCAAAATAAAAGCAACCTGAACACACGGCTGAAAGATCACCAAAATAAAAGCATGATATATTCTGCTTAAAGGGTCAAAGAGCTTGTCTCTCCTGACGTCAGTTTGACTGTTTGTTTGCTTTTCTGAAATCTCACAATAACATCATTTCAGAATATTTAATATTTAATATGGCGCTTCAGTTAAAAATACATGAATGAATGTGATAAGGGGTCGTATCAAACACAATGAAGGAGATACTTTAACTTCCTGTTTCATAACCTGCATATTCACCTGTACACTTCTTCTACACACTCACACACACACACACACACACTCACAGACTAAATCTACAGGGTACTGAATGAACACAAAGCTCACACACAGTCGTACACAGACACACAAAGAGAAGTCGGAGACCCACCACCGTCTGGTGATTGACTTGGATGACTTCATCTCCCGCGTGGATCTTCTTACAGCGGTCGGCCGGGGACTTGAGCGAGCGAGCGAGGGAGGAGAGACAGAAAGAAAACCAGATGACTATGAATTGATCTGAGCGTATTGATCCGAGCGAGCCCATGTGGCCCAGCTGTCCGACCAAGTGTACTTCAGCGCTCTATAATACAACAACAACAACAGGAGGAGGAGCGTCTCAGAGGAATCTGATCCGCCGCTCTGAATCCTGATGTTCAGTTCTGGAGATGTTCTCAGAAAGAAACGTCTCTGATATCCATGAAGGACCGGGCATGCTGGGAAATTCTGTTTACTGGTGTTTGTAGGAGGAAGTTTGAGCGTGTTAGAGATACGGCTCTCTGGGAGTTGATTTCGGGTCGTCCTGGATCATGACGGAGGTTCTAAAACTTTATATACTTCTGCGGTTCGACTCTGGAAAGGAGTGTGGCGTTATGTCGATGTGGTTCTGAATGTTTTTAAACCGTCTGATTTATATGTATAATCTGTACACATGTATATTGTAAATAAGATTCATGTACATATCTTTTTTCTTTAACTTCAAGTTTTCTTATTTATGCTGCTGTAATTAAGGATATCCACCAGTGGAACTATTAAAGGAATAGCTTATCTAATTGAGTTTTCAAAAAACGTGTAAATCCATCCAACATGAAATTTACGGCACAGAAAATACAAATCCAAGAAAAATGAACTTTTCTTTCATTTTTGTAGTTTGTGCTGAGATTTAAGTGTCCGAGCTAAGCTAATAAGGCGAGTATGAAAAGTTAAAACACTCAGAGAAATATTTCGGCCTCATCATAAACAGAATTTTCATCCATTTGAATTTCTTAGATTTAACATAAAAAGGCCAATAAACTTTATGTGCTTCATATTTGTCAGTAAAATAAAAATGAAACAATTAAAAATGAGATTTATGTCATAAAACCAATCAACCCAATATGTTTAGAATAATTAATATAGATTTCTTGTTTCTGTCTCATAAATTTTCACTAAATTAATCCATAACTCGTCATATTTAAACTATTTTATGTGTTTTATAAATGATTAAATTTAATTGTTTTCAGAGTAACAGATTTATTCAAATTTTAATAAATTTTAATAAATAAAATCTTTTAAAAAAATTAACAGTTTTAATAAAATCAAACAGATTTAACTCATTAAAAATAAACTATGTCATGATAACATATAAAAACTCACCCCTTCAGTGGTTCCTGTGATGACATGGAGGCCGTCGTAGGTGGATTTGATGTACATCCCCTGTTTAGAAACAAAGAGAGTAAAAGGACAAAAAAACACTTAATTTTCTTCAGGTCGATAATTGAATTATATTTGATTTACCTCGACAAACAATATTTAATTAGAATAAAACCACTCCAAACAACTCCAAGCATTCAATCTTAAACTTTTTCAATCCTCAGAATAAAGAACGAACGAACCCGTGACTCAGGAATAACAGAAATGTTGATTAAATATATCTGACACATTCGTTTAACAGCTGTAGTCGTCTGTATTTAATGAGCATTGACGTTTATGAAACGGAAATGTTAATAAGAGATGAAATTTAAATGCAGCTGCAGAGAATTAAACACGAGTTTGATGGAGGAACATTAATTAATCAGCTGATTTAATCCGACTGTGGAACCAGTAAGAGGCTCAGCCGGATAGAAAACGCTGATATGTTCATGTTTTTCTGCATCTTTGCTTTATTAAAAAATATAAAAGATTGAAGAAGAGATTTATCAGCAGGGAAGTGAGTGTGGACGTGTCGGAAACCTGCATTCCCACTTACAGCCACTAGGGGGCCAGAGGAGGATGCTGGAGAAGATGAGGAGGTGTCTTTATCTGACGTTCATGAAAGTGTAAAATCATTGCAGCCTGACTGACCTGTCTGAACTAGCTCTCAGAAGGACGACACTGTTGTTGTTTATGTCGGAGTATTTTTGTGTGTTTATGGACGGATGTTCATGTGTGGATGTCAAAATATTTGTATCTTCCAAATCAGATCCTCGTAGACAAAGACTTTCCCACAGATCAGTCAAGCTAACCTTATTGGATTGACGTTTTTGTATTTTAGATGTAAGTTAAACTTTCTGTGGAGAACAGAGTGGAAGGATTGTGGTCGCTGGTTCAGAGGGGCGGGCTTTTACGGACCGCAGTGACGTCAAGTTAAACAGAGTTCGTCCTCCAAGTTTAAGCTTCATGTTTTACTGAATTATAAAGAAGTCACAGCAGACTGAAGCTTCTGTTTTCAACAATATATGAAAAATTCACTTAACTGGAAATTCCTGGATGTGTTATAAAAGCATGTGGAGTCATAGGCTGTGCATCAAATCAGATGTTCCCACAGTGAAGAAATATCAGAGTGTGATCAGAAACTGCAGCTCGGATTTTCTTCTGATTTATTTCACACACTTAGATTGTTAAAAAAAGCTCACAGACGTCACTCATGAAGGAAAATAGAAAATCTTTGGTGTCTCTGAACTGAAAACATGAAGTCGCCTGTAAAAACATCAGTCCAATAAAACCTACATGTCTCATTTCTTAGACGCAAACCTTTCCTTCATGATCGTCTGATTTCATCCTCAAAGTTTCTCTGATTTTAAAAAAGTACGAAGAAGAAAATTCCCCTCAGGTCTGAACTCTTTATGAAGAACTCTCTGTAATGACGGCTTTTAACAGATCCACAGAAAAACAGAGAGAGAGAGAGAGAGAGAGAGAGAGAGAGAGAGAGAGAGAGAGAGAGAGAGAGAGAGAGAGAGTCCACACACACAGAGTCATTACCAGGCCTTCAGAGGGTTTGATGTTGGTGAGGTGAACCAGCTCCAGGTGGGCCGACTGAGAAACCAGCGGGTCTGATGACACACACACGATGTGTTCGCACACCTCCGACAGAGTTTTACACTAAAGAGGAGGAGGAGAAGAAGAGGAAGAAGAAGAAGAAGAAGAAGAAGAAGAAGAAGAAGAAGAAGAAGAAGAAGAGAGAAAACTGCTTTAATAAGAAAACAGAGAAAAAACGCCTCGCTCCACAGCTTTTGTTTTTTTATTACAGATATTTTTCGTCTTTACGAGGAAAATAAACACATTTAAGTCTCAATTCTTGAAACCAGCGCTCAGGATTTAAGAGCCTGAATCTGTTCACTGAGGTAATTGTACGTTTTCTAAAGAGAATAAAGCTGTACGGATGTTTTTTTTTAAGGTCGGCCTCCACAGAGGATAAATAACAGGCAAGTTTCATTTACATTAAAAATCTGCATTAAGAAAAAAAACGAAGAGCGCTCTGAACATCACGCCGTCGGCTTTAAGGCCCGTTCCCCGGGAAAGTAAAGCGCTGACAGAATATTTTACGGCTGATAAATTAGAGCGGGAAAGTTTTACAGACAATGTCGACTTTTCAGACACCTTAACAGTAAATCAAAAACACGAGGGTGGAGGCGGAGTTTGTGGATCGCTCCTGATCGGAGAGAGAAGACCTGCTCATTAGGAGAACTGCTGACTCTGAACTCTGAGTCAGCTTTATTCTGGGTCAGGGTCTACTCGCCTGGACTAACTCCAGCCCCCTCTCTGACCCCGGACAGGATAGGCGGTCTGGATAATGAATGGATGTTGACTTACAGCAGCAGGTGAAGCATCGGCAGAACTAACATCATTAAGAGAGGCTCTGTGACGGTAATTACCGCATTAATTAGAGGGTCACTGACAAATCAGAGGGTCTGCTGGGAAACGCTCGGTGAATATGGCGGTTTAAAGGCGTTCATGGCGCTTTCAGACGGGGTCAGGGTTCATCAGAGGAGACCGGGGGCGCCATGAGGTCCAAGTGCCCCACATATTGAGACGAGCGTTTAGGGTCTGAGTTCAGGTCGTGTTCCTGTCTGAAAAAACTCCTTAAGAGAAGAAAAGGTCAGGAGTTTTTTTAACCTTTTGACTTTGTGAACATCTACAAACCAACTTCAGGTCCCTAAAAACGTTTTTTAACAACTTCTCAAAATCCACATTTTATCGGCGTTCCCGTGGACAGACAGCAGTGCCTCCAGAGTCGCCAAACGAGCGAGTTTGTCGCTAGATTTAGCGACTTTTCAGACCCCCAGATCGAGTTATTTCCAAGAAACGAAGGATTCTGTTTCGCATTGTCATCGCACAGTATCTTCATTTTTCCTTTTTTTTTCCTTTTTGTTTTTGTAAAAAATATTAAAACTCAATAAAAGTTGAATAATAAAAAATAATTGTGTTTAATAAAGAGGAAGAAATGAGTCGAGTTATTCCAAGAGTTTTAAAAAAGCTTCTCTAAAAGGAAAACTCAGCGAAGTGGCTGTACGATTTTTTGCGCAATACGCACATTAATCACAAATATTCAGGTTTTTGTTTCAAATTTATGGAATTAGAAAAGACATTATAACCGTTTAAATCTTCAACTGCACCGCACATTAGACAAAATCTTTAAAAAAACACATTTACGCTAAACGTCAGGTGGCGTCCTCTAGTGGTCATCGTAAGAACTATCTTTCCTGGAATTAGAAAAGACGTTATCACCTTTTAAATCATTTATTCTTATTAAATGTTTATTAGAGCGAGGCTTCAGCTCCACTAAAAATTAGACAAAACTTTAAAAAAGGTTTAAAAAAACAAAACAAAACACACATTTATGCTAAATGTTCAGTGGCGTCCTCTAGTGGTCATTGTAAGAACTATCTTTCCTGGAATTAGAAAAGACGTTATCACCTTTTAAATCATTTATTTAAAAAAAATATTTATCAGGAGTGAGGCTTCAGCTTCACTGTGCTTAAGAGAAAACTCTTAAAACGGTTTGAAATTAAAAAACATATTTACGCTAAATGTTTGGTGGCGTCCTCTAGTGGTCATAGTGAAAACTATCTTTCCTGGAATTAAAAAACACCTTTTAAATTCCTAATTCTTATTAAATGTATATTAGAGCGAGGCTTTAGCTCCACCGTAAATTAGACAAAACTCTCAAAAAGGTTTATAAAAAAAAGAACACATTTACGCTAATTGTTCGGTGGCGTCCTCTAGTGGTCGTAGTGAAATTTATCTTTCAGGAATTAAAAAACACCTTTTAAATTCCTAATTCTTGTTTATTAGAGCGAGGCTTCAGCTCCACTGTTCATTATACAAAACTCTCTACACATCTACATTAAATGTTCGGTTTCATTCTCTCGTTCTGCTAATTTCTTTCCGAACTCAGACTCAGGCGAGTTTCTGCTCATGCCTGTTGTTTTTATATGACGTTAAATAAACAACGCCTCGTCTGTTTTCTTCCGATTAAACAGAAAGATTATAATCTTCTCGTGTAACTCTTGGTGAAAAGCAAATCCACAGATAGAGGAGGACAAACAGACAGAGGAGCTTAAATCCAGAGACATCAGATCCAGCTGGAGATGAAGTCGTGGTGTTTAAGGAGTTTTGTACGAGGAGGTGTGAGCGGATTAAATATCCAAGAAAACACAACGCAGACAGGAGACAGCTGGACGAGGACGCGGGACTCACCACATGGAGGATTTTGTTCTCCGTCTCAAACACCGTACAGTCCTGCGGGAGAAGCAGAATTTAATGTAGCGCGAGCAGAACATGGTGTCCTAACAAAAACACACAAACACAGTAAAGAGTCTGGGCCTCACATGACTGAACCCTAACCTGAGATAAAAACACACAAACAAACACACACAAACACAAACACACAAACACAAACACACTTTTATATCTTTGATTTACACAAAAGAAGGACGTAAACAACAGAAACTGGAGACTCGCTCAAAGATGGAGAGAGTCTGAGGCTGCTGCTGCTGCATCACGCCCACACACACACACATACACACACACACACACACACACACACACACACACACACACACACACACACACACACCGCCGTTCTTAGGGGGATATGACAAGCATGGCAGAATACAAGCCTTCAAAACACACACACGTACACACACTAACACACCTGCTGTACAATGGTGGTGAGCTCCAGGCAGAGCTGGATGACATTATTTCGGGTTACTGAGTAGTCTGCCACTGCAGCGAAGGGAGACCTGGAGGGAGCAGATAAGAGAGAGAGAGAGGGAGAGAGAGAGAGAGAGAGAGAGAGAGAGAGAGAGAGAGAGAGAGAGAGAGAGAGAGAGAGAGAGAGAGAGAGAGAGAGAGAGAGAGAGAGAGAGAGAGAGAGAGAGAGAGAGAGAGAGAGAGAGAGAGAGAGAGAGAGAGAGAGAGAGAGAGAGAGAGAGAGAGAGAGAGAGAGAGAGAGAGAGAGGGAGAGGGGGGGGGAGAGAGAGAGTGGGAGCTATATCTTCAAATGTTTCTGCAGCGTTAGATAATGTACAGAGGAGACGGGCAGCAGCATTGTTACACACACACACGTAATCTCTGTCTGTGTGTGTGTGTGTGTGTGTGTGTGTACATGCACAGACACAAACACACTCATCTGTAGGTTTATGCCGTACTCAATAAAACACCTGAGGAGAAGATTTTACACTTTAATCACATAAATTACAGTTTCTGTTTCACCTTTATGGAATTAAATAAAGACATTATCACCTTTAAATCCTTTATTCTTATTAAACGTTTACGAACAGTCTATGATTGTTACACGTTATTAGTAACGCCGTTACTTTATTCAGTAACTAATAATGTAACGCGTTGTTTTTTTAAATTCAGTGACTCTGTTTCTGTTACCAAACGCTGCGTTACTTCATTCCTTTTGTTGAGGTTTTATGACAGCACACAGTTCACAAAACCTTTCAGCGATCAATAAAGTTGAATTGAATTGGAAAAACTAAGCTCTTGTCACACTCGTGCATCACACTCGTAAACAAACAAACGCCATGAGGAGGACTGGACAGGTCAGAGACCGGCGAAGAGGGGAAGATCAGTTTCTGCTCACATTATTTTCAACTCAAGAGCGAAAAACAAAATTTCAGTAACATGTGACCTCTGTCCCGGGTCAGAAATCCTACAGAAACATCTAGAGGAGCGGCGCTTCGACACAGTTATCACGGTCATCGTGGTCATCCTCTAAACTCTCGACGATGATGATGATGATGGATTCGTCTCTCACTAATAGACGGTGTTCTGGGTTTCTGGGTTTCTGCGGGTCGGTTCTGAGTTTAGTGAAGCTCCAGAACTTTCCCTGATGCTGTCAGAGGAGCTATAATTGGGTGTTGCTGTCTTCAGCAGAATGAATGAGCCTCTCCGCCCTCATTCATTAAAATCTACTCCACCTGAATGGAGTGTGCCGCTCTTGCTCCATGCGTACACCGATCCGAGCTCACCTGCAGGCATTTTCCTCTTTCTTTACACCCAGCTGTGCCGCTCACACACCGACTCATTAGGAGGACATCGACACCGAGTCACAAATGAGGCATCCGAGGACAGGACTCCGATAATAAAACATCGAGACGACTGAAATAATCTGGAGCAGGAAACTTCCTCCGACTCTCCGTAAAGTTGAGATTAAACTTGTAGTAGTTTTTGTTCACAGTGGAAAAGGGGGACAGGCTCCAGTGGACGGATGTGTTGGAGAACCAGGTAAATGGGCCACTCTGTTCTCAGAGCACGATTTACACTCCTCCTCCTCCTCCTCCTCCTCCTCCTCCTCCTCCTCCTCCTCTCAGGTACTTTTTATCGCCTCAGCTCAGGATTTAGGAAAAGAAACAAACAGGAAACAGCAAAGTTAGCGCCTCGCTCTGATTTTAACGACTCGAAGAAACAATGAGGAGATGATTAGACCTTCTGTGGATCCACTACAAAGTCTCCTGCATGTTTGTTCCCGTCGTCAGACTTTCCAAAGACGAGGGTCTCTAAAGCCCCTTTGTGCGAACGCCATGTTTATAAATGAGGCCCCAGACGTACGCTAACATAATAGACTATTCAGGTGTGAACAAGGTGTTAGGGAGAGAGGGAGCGTGCTGCAGCTAATGGGGTGCTAATGACTGCACACGCACACACACACACACACACACATACACACACACACACAGGAGTTTTTTATAACACATATATCACAACTTTGCTTCATTGTTCTAAAGACCCAGATAAAATTCGGCCACAGCCTCTAGTGTATACTGTACTATCAGTGTGTGTGTGTGTGTGTGTGTGTGTGTGTGTGATTTGGGTCATCAGTATTGAGGCTGTGTGCTATATATACGCAGGACCTAAGGCTACACAGACTGTTCGCTCGAACCCTCGAACAGCCATCAGAACATGAAGATTTCTCACAGATAAAACCTGCAGCTTCTGTTCGAGAGTAAAGATCGGAAAATTATTTTATTAAGACGGTAAATAAACTCTTTTATTTTCTGCGACAATAATGAGACAAACACACTTAAGCTCCTTTTAGGGCTGGGCGATAAAATGATATATAATCTAAATTAATTTCCCCTGATATTAATATAAAACACGGTCAATATTCTTTTCAAAAGTCGTCATTCTGCCATGTTTTGGTTGACTTTACGAACAGCCAATGAAAAGGGGAGTTTCCTCGCTGAACCAATCATGTTCTGAATTAGAATCAAGTATCAAACAACTGAACAGCAGACATCTGGAATACAAACAACAGGTTTTAAGAATATAAACTCTGCCTCAGAGTGTATTTATACTTCATTAACTGATCCTGAACTCTTCGTCTTGTCTTTTCTGAACCCTCCCTCCTCTTCCTCTCCTCTGCTCATCCAAATTCACATCCATTCACCTCCTCTTCCCTCCTTTCATCATTTATTATTCAGTCCTTCGGTCCCTCTACAGCTGCTGTCCGGGACTCCTGATTGGCTTTGGTGGCTCAACTCCCGAGACGGATCCTCCACAAAGAGTCTCCCACTCTCTGAACTTCAGTTTATTCCTCCTGGACTGAACCAGCCGACAGGTTTCTCTCTCCCACACTCCTCCTCTCCCTTCACTCCTGATATTTCCTCATTAAATCACCGTGTTCTCGTCCTTGTAGGTAAATTACAAACTTATGTGAGTGATAATAACACTAAAGGTGTCACCGCGTTTAAAAACACTCATGCTGTCCATCCATCTGTTTTCTTCTGCTTATCCAGGGTCGGACTGTAGGGGGCAGGAGTTGAAGTAAGTTGACCAAAGTCCTCCGAAACTGGGATCCTGACGAGTTCCCAGACCAACTTCCTGAACTTTACTAATCAACAAAATTAAAGCTCCTAATAGGAGTTTTTCGACATCTGTATGTAAGTCGAGGACAAGGTGAGTAGAGACTGCTTTGTCCACAGGGGGGCGCCAAAACTGACCCAAATCAGATAGCTGACCTTTTAATAATAATAATAATAATAATAATAATAAATTTGATTATAACGCCCTTTTACAGGTGCACAAAGACGCTTTACACAGTTTAAAATAAAGAAAATTTTGAGTAATGAGACCAACAGCGTAGACGGTTAAAAAGACACAATATAAAACGACAATAAAAGAAAGTTCACAGGTTAAAAACAAATTTAAAAAGGTGTGTTTTTAGGAGTGATTTGACAGTGTGGGCGTCTGTACAGTCTTGGGTGGGTTTAGGGAGTGAATTCCAGAGGGTTGGGGCAACAGCGGAGAAGGCTCTGACCCCCCAAGTTCGGTGCTTTATCAACTATTTCTAATTATGTTTACATTTTTGACTCATCTACATCCAAAACTTCTACAGAGGAGACGAATGTTCATCACACTTTTATTCTGACAATGTTTCCATCCTGCTTTAACACTAAGGTTTCCAGCCTTGTAAAACTGTGCTTTTATTTTGAAGGATGAGCGACTGTGAGACCGTACCAGTTCATTATTCATTTGGATTCCCAATAAAGACCTCATTGATTATGAGAATATTACCTTGTTTGTTTCATATCCTATCAGGCTGATAATTGATTACCTCTAATTAAAGTGGATTACATGTTAATATTACTGAGCGACAAAGTTAAACAAACATTTGAGATAATTTTCCTGCTTAAATCTTTAAAAGACAAAGAGAAGGACGGTTCAAAATGTGTAAAAAGTTACAACAAAGTTCAGGACTTTAGGGGCTGGGGCACCCCAAGATAAACCCTGAATCCACCCCTGAAACCCTCATCTCTGCACTTTTTAGAGAAAAACGATCAACATTGTCGGGCTGGGCGACAACGAAAATTGAAGGACACCAAAATTTACGACAATAACAGACATAATTTTGCCCAAATCGGTATATTCAGTGTACAAGTGAACCTTACCTCAACTAGTACTACAAGTAGACGAAGAACAGTCGACCTGTAGTACTAGTGAACTCAAAGTTTGTTTTATTAGTAAAAGTTTTTTGAGTTAGGGCTGGGCGATAAACCAAAAATTTACAGATATCGAAATTTACGACAATGACCGACGTCATTTTGCCCATCATATTCAGTGTCAAATAAATCAATAAATCAAAGTTGGTTTTGGATGTGTGTAGGTAGGCTATGGTCTCATGTCCCTTTAAGACGCTGTCCTACATCAGAGACGTGACTCCGCCCCATCCAGTCTGTAACAAAGAGGGAAAGACAGGTGAGGAGATGGAGGACGGTGAGAAAGTTGGAGCGGCTGAAGTAGACGAAGTTAATGTTGGAGGGGGTGAGCAGTTCGTGGAGTAGTTATCGTCTATTTATCGTGATATTGATTTGAGGCCATATCACCCATCCCTACAACATGGGTCCCTTTTCTTCCTCATCCATTCCCTGAGTCTCTGCTTTTGCTTTATCTGTCAACAAACTTTAACGTTAATAAAAATGCTTTATAAATAGTTACTGTGATTATTATTAGTATTATTATTATTATTATTATTATATAAGAAACCAGAACAGCATTTTGAAGTAATCAGAAACTCACTCTTTCCTCTGAGGACACATTATTAATTCAGACCGAGGTTTTTCCACGCGCTCATATAGATGAGATTTAAAGAAACAGAGAAATTCTGCTAATTTCAATAATCGATGAGTGATGGTGTCACGTCTTCTCCCTGACAGAAGAATCCAGCGGGGGTTTTCCTCCTCTGACAGCCCTGAGGGATAGATAAGCGTATAGAGGAGGACACATCGGGGCGTCAGAGCGGAGGGAAAGACGGAGAGAGTTGGTGAAAAACATCTGAGAAAGAAACCACAAAGTGCTGCTCATGAGCGCCGTACTCTTCGCTCATCCCTGAGAGGTCTAATAACCGGCAATCAGGGAGAGATGAAAGTTCAGATTCAACACAATTTATGCAAATCTGCTGCTGTTGCTGCTGCAGACCTTTTACAGAGCGAGTAATCAAGACAAGACAGACTGTGTTCTGCTTGGAAATCATAACCTTCTCCACGTCGTTAGGGTACACTTAATGAAGTCCCCCGAATCATCCACCTCGACGCTCTTATTTCAATAAAAAATTCATCTCGTTTTACTCACTCATTTGTTATTCCAATGCAGTGGAAAATCGGTTTCTAAGAGATGAGATTTCATTGAAATAAAAGCTGCGACCGGATGGAGCGCCTGTTAAATTTAGCGTGCGGGTTATAAAATAAAAGAAGTCTTTGACGACGTCTGAACAGATACGTCTCAGAAATGAAGAATCGAGAGCAGGAGTCTTTCCCTTCCTCTGTGTCGCTTTGCCATTTACAGTTGCATCACCGTGCGTGGGCGAGCGAGCGCGTGTGTGCGCTTGCATAAGTGTGTGTCAGTGCGTGCGGGTGTAGGTGTCTGTCTGCGAGTGTGAGTGCGTGGGTGTTTTCCGTGAGTCTGAGTGCGCTCGTGTGGACGCCGCTCTATACGCTCCTGTGTGTCTGGATGGCCTGAGGACAGATGTGGGATGCCCGACATTTCAAGAAGCGAATGCCTAAGACCTTTAGCTCCGAATGTGATGTGTGTGCAGGAGATCGAGTCGAGTCATGAATAAATGAAGTGACAGAGAGAGAGAGAGAGAGAGAGGGGAGAAAAGAGCTCTGACATTATCCTTTAAGAAAAACATATTTCTGAAAAGATGTCAACAAGCAGCCGCTGCAAAAGAGAGTCGATGCTTTGCAGATTTGAGCGAACTGAACACATACTCAGAATAATCTGCTCGTCTTCACTGCAGCAACATGGAGAGGCAGTCACTCCAACTACAGATAAACAGATCAGGACAAGAACACCGAGAAGAACATCGACCAGCTGATCAGGTTCATTTCCAACAGGTGAGTAACATCACCGGGTAGGGCTGGGCGATAAAACGATAACGATATATATCAAAAATTAATTTACCTCGGTATCAATAAAAAACATGATCAATATCCTTTTCAATAGTTGTCATTCTGCCATGTATTGGTCGATTATATGAACAGCCAATGAAAAGGGGAGTTGCTCCGGATCCGCTTCATTCTGAACCAATCATGTGCTAGTATGATCAACTGCGTCCTATCACACAGCAGCTACACCCAACCATAGCACTTTAACAGGTGAAGCCGACAGCACTGTTGGTGAGAAACAAAGAAAATGAGTGCTACCCCCGACAGAAATGACCATGAAGGCTCAACAGATGACCACATCAATGTCAACCACAACACTGGCGTTAGGAAAACGTCGGTGGTGTGGAGGTATTTTGGTTTTTGGAGGTCGGACATGAAGCAGAGTAATGTGGACTGTAAATTATGTCGAGTACATGTTCTCACAAAGTCGGGGAATACCTCAAATCTTTTTCAACACCTGAAGCAGCGCCATGCCGCAGAGCACGCGCAACGCAAAAGGTTACAAACCCCGAGAGGAGTGAGGAGCCGAAACAGACGACCGTTCAGTCGGCTTTCTCTAGAGCAACGCCTTACGACAAAACGCCAAAGAGACACAAAGACAGTCACAAAAAAACAGTCCTGAAAAATCTGAGTTTGACTTTCTTTTTGGAAATCATGGACGGACACCAGACCAACAGGTTTGTTATCGGCACACGACTCAAATACCACCATCTTTGATACAGTCGGGCTATGACACGGCGAGCTAACACATTTGGGAAGGCTGAATATGACATACTCAGGTTTTGTGGTTATAGATAATAAACAATTAAATGTAATATTCTGTATATGTTGTGACGGCATCACTCTGAACAGTCTGGGTGCTAAATTTTCTGTTTATCAACATTTTAAAAACTATCCAGATGCATTTTGGGTATTAGAGTTCCAACTTTAAAAGAGTCTCCTAACTTGAAACCTACACTGGACTATATGTTCACACATTACCTGTCCAGCCAAGCTAGCAGGCTCTTGGCTGCGGTGATGAGGTCAACCACTGAGGTCAGCAGATCGTTGGGGAGTCGCCTTGAGGTCCTGCTTTCTGATTGGCTGCTGCGACGGCGGCCGGAGATGAAGTTCTGCAGGTTTTTGGCTGAGGCGCCAAGTTTGTGAGCCAGAGTCCTGACGCTTTCTGTCTCGAGACCTGAGTTCTACACATACACAAACACACACAAACACATAAACATGTTTTTAGGGCCAACAGAGGACTATTAATTTTTACCGTCTAAACGAGGACCTCGTAGTTTTGAAGTATAATTATAAACTTTTACAAAGTTTGTGATTGCACCTATTAGCAGATGTAAAACTTTGATGTTGCACAGTAAGACTTTACTTTCTGCGCACTATTACACTGTGTATTCAAGCAGAACACAAATACATTAAGAGCTGCAGCTGTACAGATTGCTAATGAGAGTCCAGCGGAGCACTAAAACTACAGAACAAACAAACTCACCAGAGCGCAGAGCAGGTCGACGGCCTCCAGGATCAGCTCCTGGTGTCCGATACGGGAGACTCCCAGCTCCTCCAGTTCGGCGTGGCTGATCCTCAGCAGCCTCTCCCCGCACACGCCTCCACGCTCAAACACACACACATATTGCTGCAGGCAGTCATCCAGACCTGTAGCAAACACATTTTTCATGAGAGTTACTCAGGATGAAAACACTGATTTGTTCCAAAATGAGATCATGACCGCTGTAAAATAAATAAGTTGTTTTTCTTCTCAGGGTTGTGGGACTATTGATACTTCGTTCTCTGTGTTGCCGGGAGATAATAAACCAGACATACCAGAGGTTGACAACACCATTTTTATATTTTTCTGGGATGTTTCATCATTTAAATCCCATAAAATGAATCTGAACTGCAAAAATAAGGCTCCTTGAACTCTTGACAGAAAAATAGAAATCTCTGTCAACAAACCGGAGTCCATATAAATGAGACGGCAACAGAGAGCTGCTGTCTGCATTTCTGGACAATGAAAGAGAAAACATTCACAGAACTCTCGATTCGAAGATAAAAAATGACTTATTTTCAAATAAACTGATTAAAACTGCTTTTAAAAGAGGCCTCAAGTGGACGCTCGAGGAACTGCAGTTCAGCAATGGCTTTACTTCTCAAAACTTAAGGGTTCGGATTCGTCAGCAAGTGATATATCTAATTAAAATAAAAGATTCAAACCCAACCTTTGCATATATTAGTCCCCTCTTTTTTTATCCCCCACCAGTGAATATGAAGTGACTTAAATCTAATTTTAAGTCGTCTACTTGTTGAACCTCCAAAAGCTCTTGGTGCGATTACACCTCCTATGTATGTCTATATAAACTTGACATACCAGAGACTCCAACAGGAAGCTGCTGTCTGATAATCTGGACAATGAATGGGAAAACATTCACAGAACTCTAATTATAAAAATCAATAAAGGTTTGAAGCCCACCTCCGCATGGATTAGCCCTGTCATAGTTCAACCAAAATAACTCCCCTTTTTATCCCCCACCAGTGGATATGAAGGGACTTAAATCTGATTTTAAAGTCATGGTTGACGATTGGAGATATTGGTAGTTATTATGAACCTCGTTTCTATGGCGATCATGGTCCTATAGTGCGATCTCCACAAAGTGAAGAGAAAAAGATCGGAAAAAATCCGTTCACCCTATCAGGCGCAGGGCTGCAAAAACATTGACCAATGGGAACCTTTTTTAAAATCTGCCTCAACGGCTCAGTTTTTTTCAACTGCTTCTCAGATCGTCGACCGTGCCTCTAAGTCGTCTTTTTGTTTCACCTCCGACAGCTCCTGTTGCGGTAACGCCTCCTCGGCTCATGAATGCTCCTCTGTGCTAATTCCGCCTCTTGTCCAGATGGTGTACAGAGAGTCTGTGAGCGTCTGAAAACATCTGCCTGCTGTCTCTGAAAACCAGACTAATCAGAGTTTTCGGATGGAACGACAGTAAAAAGACGTTAAAATGTCCTCAGGTCTGAACTTTTCGGTTAGAGCCGTTTTTCTGTATTTTACTGTAATCTTATAAAAGTAAACACAGATGTCTGACTGAGATGATAGGAGAACTTCCTTTTAGTCTCTCCTTCAAGTGTCCATCCCCCCTGATCGATACCCAGACTCATTCCCACTCTCAATGATTGGTTTCCAGTCGCACTGATCCGCTCTTACAGACCGTACGTTTTTTCCCATGGCGAGGGCAGATGCTTCATTCTGCTCAGGAAACCGTAGACACATTTTCATCTCGTCTCCGATAATACAACAGCTGCTGTGTAATGTTTTTTCAGACATGCAGCTTGTTTGCAGTTTTGTAGATTTCACCCAAGTGCCGTTTCAAAGCCGGAGCGCAATGAGGGAAAAGAATAAGACGCGGTTTGTTTTGAGAGACACCTCGGGGCTGAGCGAGGCTTTTAAGGTCTTGTTTTGTTTTTCTATTTCACACAGGATGGAGAACATTTTGTTCGATTTATGAGCGAGACATGTGACTTTGAGACAGTTTCACCTTGAAAGGGAGGAAAAGAAAGAGTGTAATCGGAGAAAGACAGGCAGTCTCTGCTCCTCTCTTACATAAAAGACCAACATTGAAGCTGATAGTCAACATTTGTGCTCGTACAGGGACAGAGTGGGTTTACACTTAACTCTATGAGGTTCTAAACAGCAGGTATTCAGATGTACTTAGTGTGCCACCTTTAAAGTTAGATTTTCTAATGTGCTGAATCAATCCTTTATTTAACCCTGTTTGTTTAAACAAGACCCTAAACTGCAGACTCAAAAGGATTTATTATATCAAAGTAGATAAAAAGCAACAAAAACTTACTTTAAAATGTCCTGAACAGGGATCCAAACGTACACAAACACACACAATGAACCAACAAAGAAACAGGGGAAGACAGGGACTATATACACACAGGTAAACAAGCAACAGGTGAGACAAGGAGGGAAAAAAGGAGGGAAAACTGGGGAAGTAAAACGAGAGTAGAAACACAAGGAATCAACTCCTACAAAATAAAACAGGAAATAAGCACTGAAAACTGATTTAAAGAATAAAAGACAGAAAACAGGAGGAAAACAGTTCCAGTCTGGAGCATACAGAGGAACTATAGTCTACTATCAACAGCAATGATAGCAGACTTAAAATTCAGCCATGTTATAAAAAATAAATAAATAAAAAATAAATTAAATAACAAAAAAAAATTGAAAAACAAAAAAAGAAAAATAAATAAATAAAAAAATTTAAAAAATAAGAAAAAATACGAAATTAAAAGAAAATTAAAATAAATTAATTAATTAATTGATTAAAAAATGAAAATTTAAAAATTTAAAAAATAAATATAGATTAAAAAAACAAAACAAAAATTAACAACAAAAATTAAAATAAATAAAATTAAGTTTTTTTTAATCCAGCCATGTTAGAAAAATGAACAAATTAAAGATAAATGATAAAAAAAGAAATATAAAAAAATAAGAAATATAAATAAATAAAAATAAGATTTAAAAATAAAATAAATAAAAAACAAAAAACAAAAAAATTAAAACAAAAAATAAAAAAGTTAAGATATCTATTTAATCTAGCTATGTAGACTGTGTGTAACACAGACTAACCTAAAGGAAGGCCGTGACTTTATGCAGGTAAAATACGACTTTAAAGTCAGCCGTTAAATAATAGGTCACTCTGTCCTAAATGTTTCTTTATTACAAAGTATTTTATCTCTTTAGGTCTTTCCTCTTTTTGGTCCTCCGACAGAAAAGGTCAAAAAAGGTGAATTTTGCGGCAGAGCTAATTAGCTTCCTCTTCAGCGCTGTCAAGACTCTCTAACCGTCGTCATGGGTTACAGCTCACCTCACCTGAACTGGATGTTGAATCATGTGTGTGAATTTACTCGCCAACAGACCTGAAACAAACCGTGGACCTGAGAGGAGAGTCCAGAGGCTCGTAGAAAAGCCGTAATAAACGGCAATCAGGCAGCCACCCAGGTAGCGATTGTGTAACATCTGTGTTGTGAGTGGGCCGGACTCTTTAGATCTGTAAGTGTGTGAGTGTATAAGTGTGTGGGTGCGTGTGTTGTGGGTGTGTGCGCGCGTGCGTGTGTGTGTGTCGGTCTGGCCCGGCCCGGGTTTGCTGAGTCAAAGGAAAAGCAGATCAAGACGGAGCGGCTCAGCTGCAGCCCCTGGCTCCCAAAACAATGAATGTATCCAACATCTAACCTCTTAACAAACAGCCAACTGGCAAACACACACACACACACACACACACACACACACACACACTACACACACGTACGCACACACACACACTCACACCTCTGAGGAATGAGCATTGATTTCCCCCGCCTCAAGTCCCCGCTTTATAATACACTCATCTATCATAACCGCGCTAACAAAGATGGGGAGAAAACAGGAGGAAGAGAAAGAGGAGGAAGAGGAAGAGAGGAAGAAAAGACCTCGTACGCCAGCTTCTAAATCGCACACTCACACACACACACACACACACAGATATTTGTCACTTCCTGTTTCCTTCCCTCTTCAGTCTCCACGTCAAACTAACAAACACGTCGCTCCATCTTTGGGAAACCGAATAAACTCGACGATCATGACCCGGACGTTCAATCCAGACCGTCTCCTCTGAAGGTGGAGCTTCTTCTCTCCACCATCTTCTATATCCACAGATTGATTTCACCGTCTAAACCCCCGAACACTCGGAGTTGATGAGCGATATCCTCTCCTCCGATAAGAGCGAAACATCAAACCGCTCAGTTTTCAGTCGTCTGCCTCTCACCTTTTAAAAATGTTAATGAGGAGATAAGACTTGTTTTCACATCTGCAAACTGGTCCAGTGGTTCAAAAGTACTTCTAAACTTCGGAGATACTTGTCTTTGTATTTTATGAAAAATTTTCTTTCTACTCTGCCAAGATTTTTGTTCAATAATCTCTTAATTTAAAGCTCCTGTGAGGGGTTTTTAGACATTGAAGAAGTAAACTGAAACTCATGACGCCTCTCCCTGATATCCAAAAGCAAACTAGACCATCAGCAACATGATTGATCGTCTTTATCCTCATGACGAAAAATTACACGTTTGACTGTCAGAAATCAAAAGCAATTTCTCAAATATGAGGAAAGACATGCGAAGGCTGCTCTGTCCACAGGGGGCGCCAAACTCAACTAAGACTTCCTCACAGGAGCTTTAAAGCCCAAACTCTCATCGTATAGATGTAAACAAGTTTCTTTACCATCTTTAAAAAAACTGTTTTCAGTATCAGGATGCGGTGGAAATCCGGAGTAACTGGTCTGCAAACCAAAGGTGACCGCCTCGAACGCAGTCAGCTGAGTTAAAAAGATAATAATAATAAAAACACAATCTCACTTTAATTTGAACAGAAATCATCACAGATTAACTCTGTTAATTTAAAATGACTCTAATCTGCCTGATGGGAAAAGTCGGCGTCCTCACGGGGCGAGTGGATTTGATGATAACAACATCCCCCATCCTCTTAAAGCGACAGCAACATATTCACCTCTTTTCCTTCTTAGTGGCTCAGATTCAGAGGTCAGGGGTCAACCTTATTATAATTCATTCACTCTCTCATAATTCTTCTTTTTTCTCTGAATCAGACTTCTCTCCTTGTCCTCGTTTACATGCAGCTGAGAAAATCGAATTATTGACGTGAACGTGTCCTCCTCCCCAACACTAGGGGGCAATATGGTTCTTTTCAGCGGCGCTGTTTCCGACCCCATACAACCGTCAACAACAACAGCAGGTCGGTGTCAGACGTCAGAAGTGTCTACAACTGCTGCTGGGCATTTTGGAGAAACAAGAAGATGGAGCATCGTACAGCGTTGTTTTTGTCCGACATGATGGACGCGCTACTTTTTCTACAGATGAGACCAACGCTACTCCTCTACTCTGGGGGTTTTGTTACCAGGTTATGGGGGTGTCCAATCATACTCCGACTACGCTGGTTACATGGTAGAGAAAATCGAATTCCAATCAGATTATCTGGATGTCTTAATCGGAGTTCTCAAACTCTGATTATAGTCGGACTAACTTCAGTTGTCCGGTCTTAATCGGAATAAGGCGATACTTCGGTTTACTCGTGTGTCATGTGAACGTACTGAGTTTAGCACCTCTCCTCGGCTCAGAACCAGAATTTAGATTTTATCCTCATTGTTTAAGGAGAAACTTGACTGGACTGCAGTGCCTCGAACAGAGGTCAGTCCAGCACCTCGGGGACACACAGACTGTGAGCCAACGTCGATCACAGACCTCTGCGGTTCCTCTTCCTGTTGAATCCCTGCAGCTCGACTCCACAATAGAGAGGAGAGTTTACAGCTGCAGCAGGTACTGAACAGCAAACCCAGCCCGGTCCAATCCTCGGTCATAAAGTGCATTTACACACATATTATAGTGGTGCTATTTTTACTCAGGTGAGGCGTCTTCGCACATTTAAAGGGGTGTGATTTCTAAAAGACGTGACGCTGATGAAAACAATGTTGGCAGTCTGCGCTCAGGAGAAGTGTTACTATAACTGAGAGGCAGAGAAACAGACGGGGAGATGTACAAAACTTCACCGATAATCAGCGTCGCTTATCGCTGGCACGGAGCGAGAGCGCGAATGCCCTGAATACTGATGAGCCAAATTGTAAGTGACTCTGTGGAGCGAGCGCACACACGCCCACGCAGACAGAGGCAGAGACCAGAACGGCGCCATACAGTTAATATAAAGCCTTCATACAGTTCGGCTGCAGGGAGGGAGTCATTATTTTTCTGCAGAGGTCCCAACTCGCCTTTTTTCCGATATATCCTCAAACGCTCCGATCAGCAGCTCCATTTATTTCAGCCGTCGCTTCTTCTGGCCGTTTCACCATCAATTTATTTCTCTAAACCAACAGTTCAGATTTTTCTTTCTGCGTTTCTTCTTCTTTCTTTTTACCGCCCAGAGATTTTGGAGCTAAAAAAGTTCAACGTTTTTGATTCGATTTCAGCTTTTTAAACAGTTTTAGAAACAATTCCTCCGTTACTCAGTTATTTAGCCGACCGTGAAGACGGTTTATTGATTACATAACGAGTAACAGGTGAGGCAGACGAGACACAGGTGAGAGTTAATTAAGGAGGGAAAACTAGGGAAGGAGAAACACACAGAATCAACTCCTACAAAATAAAGCAGGAAATAAAGACTGAAAACTGATTTAAAGAATAAAACAGAGAAGAGGAGGTCAAACTGAAAACTAACAAGACTGGACTACAGGGAAAATACACAAAATACACTCGAATAAAACCAGGAGAAAACTAAATAAACAGAAAATATCATGAGAAATATGTGAGAAACTGAAACATTTAGAGAGCTGAGAGATAGAGACATCAGCCAAACTGAAGAAAACAGACACGAACAGAAATAGGGTGACCGTATGTCCTCTTTTACCCGGACATGTCCTCTTTTTGGGGGGCTGTCTGGCCTGTCCGGGGGAGTTTATGAAATCCTTTAAATGTCTGCGGTTTTGTCCGTAAGTTTCAATTTTGTGTCACTTAGACTTACTGAGTTGGAAGCACGTAAAGGACACCTGAAAAACTCTCAAAACTAACATAGTGTAGTCCTTTTTTGGGGATTCAGAATATGGTCAAATGTCATCAATAACTAATAACTATTGACTGATATTAAAAGATTTTTGTTTATACACCACAAAAAAGATGCTTCTTTAACAGAATCCTGCCTACTCCACGTTTGAATCACTCTGAAATCGTTAAAATCATCTTTAAACAAACTTGGAGTCACCAACTTTTATATCTGTAGTTTGAAGTTTGGTCGTCGACCGATCGATAGTCGGTTAATTTTTTAGATTAAAGTTGAACTTTTATTCATATTTTTCAGGTTTTAAAACTTTTATTAAGACCAAGCGAACAAATTTAACCCGCTTCAGACTGTTAACGAACATTTGACCAATAATTTCACTTATTAATCAAATACTAAGTTACATGATGCGTTCATCATTACCAAAGATTTCCGCCTTTTATTCCTAATTTGGAGTTTTTTCTCAAACTTTCAGTGTTAAACTTTCTGTTTTCCGTTACTTGATGCTAATTCGTCGTCCAGTTTTCACATGTCCTCCGCAGAGGTGTTGTTGCTGAATCTCATCAGGATGTTTTCTTCTAAATTAAATTAATGTGTTTTTTTTTTTTTCATCCGTTTCTTTCCTGGCGGCGGCAGAAGAAAAAGTCACACCTGGGAAATCACCGCTGCGCCAGCGGGAAGCTCCGACTTTCCCGCTCACGTTTTTCTATAGATCGACACTCGCACTTTAAGTGGAAGCGTGGGTGTGTGTTTGTTGTATAATGGTGTGTAATCTGCACAATCATGCACTCATATCTCAGCACATACAGCATTCATGTGTTAGGGAGATATTCATCTGTGCGCTCACTTGTTTGACTGGTGGAGAAAAATGTGATTCATGGCTGACTCACACACTTAACTCCCACAGAGGCACACTTTTCACAACAGCAGGCGAGCCAAACACCCACAAACACCCTCTCTCTCTCTCTCTCTCTCTCTCTCTCTGTCACACACACACACACACACACACGTTTAATAAAACTGGATTGTGCGGTGACTTCTGGGATGTTCGAGAGTCCTATAAAAGATCTGGCTCTCCCAGTCGGGTTATGTGTCATCTGTTCCGAGCGCTCTGAAGCTTCGGCAACAATAAAAGTTAGATGAGCCTCGCTGTGTTCCTGGGATTTGTAAATGCACGGCGTTAAAAGCCCTGCAGCCATCACTGCTGAGTTTACAGCCCCAGGGTTGCCAGTTTTAATCCCGGGGTTTTCGCACAGGGGGCGATAAACCAGACGAGTTCTTCTCTTCGATTAACAGCAGCTTTTTGGGGCGTCTGGTCCGAGTGTAAATGTGGTTATTTACTCTCGGACGCTTAAGACTTTTCTGGTTTTACTTTTTTCTCAGTATTTTTTCAAAATGCTGAAATTAAGGGAACGAAAAAAGCAGAAGTCTGGTGTGAGGAAGGTTGGTAAAAGACGAACGCCATCTCACGTTTTTTTTTTTGTAAAAAGGACAATTATCAGAAAGAATGTTGCGTTCCAGTTGTACTCAGAAGTCAGAAATTCACGTTGAACGCCCCCCTGAAGTCGGATTTCCATCTTGGAAAGTCAGATGACCAAACCCGACTTGACGACAACGTCATAATAGAAGATGGCAGCGCAACTGAAAACTGAAAATTCTCACACTGCACTTTAATTCATCGTCATCTAGGGCTCGGCGATATAACGATAACAATATATCAAAAATGAATTTCCCTCAATATCAATATAAAACATGATCAATATGTTTTTCAATAGTCGTCATTCTGACATGTTTTGGTAGAATTTACGAACAGCCAATGAAAAGGGGAGTTTCTCCGGGTCTGAACCAATCATGTTCTGAATTAGAACCAAGTATCCTGTCACACAGCAGCTACACCCAACCATAGCACTTTAACAGGTGAAGCCGACAGCACTGTTGGTGAGAAACAAAGAAAATGAGTGCTACCCCCGACAGAAATGACCATGAAGGCACAACAGATGACCACATCAATGTCAACGACAACACTGGCGTTAGGAAAACGTCGGTGGTGTGGAGGTATTTTGTTTTTTTGGAGGTCGGACATGAAGCAGAGTAATGTGGACTGTAAATTATGTCGAGTACATGTTCTCACAAAGTCGGGGAATACCTCAAATCTTTTTCACCACCTGAAGCAGCGCCACGCCGCAGAGCACGCGCAACGCAAAAGGTTACGAACCCCGAGAGGAGCGAGGAGCCGAAACAGACGACCATTCAGTCCGCCATGACAAAACGCCAAAGAGACACAAAGACCTCACAGATGCAGGAGATTATTGTGTTGGAAAAGACATGAGACCAATAAACACTGTTAGATTTTTATATCCTGATATTGATCGATATCAACTGATATGAACAAAATATATCGTGATAAACTTTTCCCCATATCGCCCAGCCTTATCGTCAGCCAATACTTGTGGAAACTGTTTGATTGCTAATTGGCTTCCTCAACCTCGTACCTCGACTCTTGTTTTTCACCAGACTGTCAAATACTGTCGTGACATCGAGATTCAAACCAGATCATATTAGTCAGGACGTTTATATATGTGTTTGAAGCCCCTGAGCCTCATCGCTGAGCGTACTTCAACATCTCCGTGACCTGACCCCACGCTGCGCCGTCACTCTGCGGTGACTTTCACAGATCTGCTCGAACCTCAAACACCGACGCACCGCTTGTTTTTTTTTTTCTCCGCGGAGTCAAATGAGGCAACAAACGCGGTCTGATTTTCTGATGCAAACTGGCGAATGTTTAAAGCAACCAGAGTCCTGTCGAGTCTCACCTTCAGATCAATCCCACAGACGGATAACCCGCTCTGATCCTGACGGCCTGTGACCGTCACTCTGACTGTTTTCCATAATATCCTCGGGGCGTTCGCCGCAATTTAAAGTCTAGTGATCAGATTCATGCGGGGGAAATGAGGTTAAAAAAAAAACAGCGAGAACAAACGACAACAGGACATGAGGGTGAAAATTCCCAGCAGCCCCGGCGGGTTCTCAGGTTACCACTGAAGTGTACCACTCCCATATTGTTCGAGCCTCATTCATGCCAATGCAGCGCCGCCGCCAAGTCAACGACAGTCAGACCTTTTGGCCCCAAAAGGCGCGAGCATATGTGAGCTGCACATTTTTACTGTACACACACACACACACACACACACACACACACACACTGAAATAAAGTGTATCATGTTTCCCTGTGTCGCCACAGACACACCCAAGAGACCCAGCGTGAATCGAATACCACGCTCAGGCGCGCCACGTGTGTTGTGTGTATGTTATAGTTTGTGTGTGTGTGTGTGTGTGTGTGTGTGTGTGTGTGTGTGTGTGTGTGTGTGTGCAAAAGCAAATGTCCGAGGACCCGGTTGGAGCCTTCTGTTCAGAGCTGGTGTGTGTGTGTCTGTCAGCTGCTCTGCACAGACGGTCTGGGACGAACAACTCACCATCCTCCCACACACTGACTGCACACACACACACACACACACACACACACACGCAGGGGCACATATAAACACACGCCATATGCACATGACCAACTGATAACCTCAAAAACTGAAACAGCACAACATGTAAATAAATCCATGTCACGATTTCTCTGCGGCGTGTGACTCGATAAATCTCTGACCTGCTTTACATCGTTAAAAAATCACAACAAACACGGCGAATAACAATCATCGCTAATATTAGTCGGCGTTGTTCGTCATTTCTCACAGATTATTTAGAGGGGGGGGGGACTTTGGCTCAGCCTGATGAGACACGGAGGAGCGCTGATGCATCCTGGAGCTGCCAGAGAAAGATGTCAGAGATTGACCCGATGGGGGCGCTGTTAAAGGTCAGGAAGGCAAATTTTGTAGGTCAAGACTGTGGTTTACAGCAAGTTTGGGTTTACCGCTCATAAATTTACATTGACAGAGGCAGACTGAGGATTTTCAGAGAGACTCATTTCATGATTTCTTATTTGGTTTGGGAAGCGTGGAGGTCGGTGTCCATGTGTCTGTGCTGGTTACAGATTAAAGGGATATTCCGGCGTAAAATTAATTTAGGGTCAAACACACTGTAACACCGAGTTAGACCCCCCCTCCAGAGATGAATGTAACGACAGCAGGATAGCAATACAGAGAGCCACGCCCCCAACCAAAACGCCACTCTATAGCCACAAATAATGCTCAGAACAGCACCTAACTTCATCAACAGGACATATAGGGTCACAGACATAGTACTAGACACCAAACATCTTTTTAACTTTGACTCATTTCTTTAGCAAAGAGACTAAACACAACTCACCTACTCTCTTCCAGCAGACGCTTGTTTGTAGCTAGACCTCGGGCCAGTCCATTATGGACTACAGCGGGGTGCCGCAGCTCAAGGAAGAACATTTATGATCATTTCTTTATCATATTCCTGAAGTAATAATCACCATATTGATCATTTTTCACTGCAGATGCGGTCGTTCTTCTGTCTTAGCGTCTCGGTCTGATTGTATTTCCATGAAGAAATGATTCAGAAATTCAACGCCCCTCTAAAGTTGGATTTCCGACTCAGAAAGTCAGACGATCCTTACCAACCATGACTTGAAAACAACGTCATAATCCAAGATGGCAGCCCAGTGCATCAACAGTAAAGAGTAACAGTGAAAACTCTCGTAATGTTTTATTTATTAGCACTTCTGTTTTGTTTTAGTGAAATTAAATAAGTGGTTTATGTTTTACTGTCCAACGTCTAACAACCACTGAAAACGGGTAACGACAGCTAACAACAGCGGCTAACAGTAGGCGTCCATCTTGGTTTTCCGACTTGTTTACTGAAATGCCAGTAAAACGCCCTCAAGTCAGGTGTAACGCCATTCCCAGCTCCGACATCTGATATACGAGGTGACTGAAACGCAGCATAAGAGATCCTGCTCAACACCTGTGCCTGTTTACATCGAGATAGTCGAGCTGTACGATATTCAACAGCCCCGGCGAGCGGACGACAGCTTGGGCGCAACATCTGACCAACGTTTCATGGCTCACAGTGGAAATTAGTGACTTTATTTAGTGACAACGTTTAACTCTGTTGACACAATCTGAAATGTGATAGGAGCTTTAACTGAAAAATTTAATATCAGAGCAAATTAAGTATTTGTAGTTCACTGAAATCCTTACAGACTTCACTGTTTTAAATCTCCTGTAAGTGTTATTTTTAATAGTTTTGCAACATGAATCTTTTTAACATTTTTTACTATATTTTGTGTAAAAAAATATGTTGTAATAATGGTAGTTGTTGGTTATTTCATCTCTCAAAACCAAACCACTGAAAATGATGTAGTGCATATGCCAAGCCAGTAAGTGGCGTTGTAACGCTGCACAGGAATTGCACAAAAGACAGAAGAAGAGAGCATGTGCGTAAAGGTCGTCGTTTACAGATTTATTCATTCTCTTACCCGTTTTCAAAAAGTAACGTTTACAGTCACCGGAAACGCCGATACAACAAAGCGTTTCCTCCTGAATTAGTTTCCGTGGTGACGGGTTGATACCGCCTTCAGACAGACTTTGCAGCGAGGAGTGGTTTACTCTTCATCTGAAACTGTGAAGTCGTACCAATTCAACACGACTGACTCGCTCTTGTCTGATTTTGCCACGAAATTATCGCCATGTTTGTTTATACTGGTGTGTGTGGGAACTGCGGAGCGCTCCCAAAGGGAGGAAGTGGGATTTGACGATTTTAAAATTTTAAACATCGGCATAATTAAATAATCTGATTACGGTTTAAAATCGATTGTGCAGCCCTACCTGGAAGAAACGTCTCAAGTAAGTCCAGTTGTCCTTTCAACGAAGAATTGGAAATCGTAGACACATCGTCATAATTACAGTTGAAAATTGATTAATCGTGCAGCCCTAATTTGGACCTACTTATGCCTGTAAGTTCCTCTGAATGCGACCCAGTTCCTGGCTTTTATATTCCAGGTTTTCCAGTCAACCCGAGCTCACCACCGTCTCACTCCCATAAAAACTTTCTTCTTCTTCTACCTCTTCAGTGTTTGACTCTCTAAATGGCGGTTTTGGATGGAAAACTTTAATGACTTTCATTACACAATCCCTAATTTTGTTCTAGCACCCAATAACACCCCAGAGCCCATTAATTTCCACCTAACTCAACCGTGAAGTCTGTTTGGTCTCACAAATAGTGGCAGCTCCAAAGTAGGAGAAAAATCCAGCGTCTAATGGCTGCAACAATAGATTTACTTATTATTCTCATTCCTGACAGTTCAGTTTATGACACTGAAAACTGGAGAAAAACTGGAGAAAAGAGTTTGATTTCTCTGTCTTCATGTTGTTTTTGCGATTACGCTCTTGATGGATCCTTTTATGAAGTTTTAAAAGAGCCTCACACGTCTTCTCTTTTTGCCAAAGTGGACATAAATCACTCAGAGAAATGAAGTTTTCACTGATAGTTTTGGCATCACCTTGGTGATTAATTTAAACTGAATGAAGTCGGATGATTAATCTGATTAATAGACCGGTCTTTACTGAGGCATGTCTCTTTTTGGCAGCTGGTTTCAGGGGAAAGCTGATTGATAATTACACAGAATCACTTCCTAAGTAAAAGTGAAAACAGCGCCATCACCCTCTGTATAGGGAAAGGACACCGTTTAAAGGAGACACTCTTTCTTTTGAACGTGTGGAGCAGTTTCCTCATGTTCACTCCGGCTCCTGGGTACAGACCCAATCAGCCTGCTTTGTGAATTATGCATAACTAAAATCCCACATCAGTTATCTGTAACACATAACAAGCCCCTGGGTAAACAAAGCTCCATTAATTTCAGCAAACACTCATTTAGGAAAGTCTTTGTGTGTTTTTAATTGACGCCGGTTTCTGTAAAGAGCGCGCCTCGTGTTCCCCGATCGAGACTCGGAGGATTACACGGGTTTAAATCCTGAACACTGCTGTTAGAGAGTCGGCTCTGTTCGTCCTCGTATGTGGAAAAAACAGAAAGGTGGATCAGGAAAGAGGAACGGCGTGAGTCTGATTGTACAATGAAATATATATATAAGGCAGCAAAGACGTGAATAACCAAACGACACGGGTCTAGAGGCGGAGCTGAGGCCTGGTGGTGCTAGCTCTGCTGTCTTTAGCAAACCTGTCGACATGGTTTACCTGCAGACTCTGCGATCCTCAGTCCGACTGTTTTCTGAGTTTTTTCTTGACTAGTCCTTGTCAAATTTCAGTTTTAGTTTGGTTCAGTGTTGTTTTCGTCAGGCAGGACGAAAACTTAAATGACGACGTCTGACCCCTTTTTTCCTTGACGAAAATGAGACTAAGACGAACGTCACCAAAGCTCTGTAAAGACTAAAATGTGACGAAAATTATATTCATTTTCGTCAGACGAGAACGAGACGAGACTAAATTGTTATTAGGTGGACGAACAAAGTTTCAGAACATGCTTTTTTTTTTCCTAACAGTCACGCCCCCATCACACACGCACCAAAAGCCTCGCTCGCGCACAGCTGCGCGCACACACTCATTCACATACACAGAGCGGCAGGCCGACGAGGCGCGCACACACACACACCGTGGCGGCAGGCACAGCAGCGGTGCCCGGTGGCCGAAAAAAGAGGGATGATTTTTGGTCCTACTTCAGATACAGTTCAAGTGACAATAAAATAAAAGTGACAATAAAACACGGGACGGGGAGACGAGACAGACGACAGTTGTGGAGCCACAGCTTCCTCATGCTTCAAACTGTCGGGAAAGAACACCACGAACCTCAAAAGGCACCTTTACGTCGACTAAAACTAGACGAAAACCTTTTGAGTTTTCGTCGGACTAAAACTAGACGAAAACTATCAAGGATAGAAATGACTAAAATGGGACTAAAACGAAGAAGCATTTCGTCAAAATGACTAAGACTAAAACTAAATCTAAAATGCCTGCCAAAAACAACACTGGTTTGGTTGTAGGTTTGTTTAGGTCTGCTTCTTAACCCCCAATTTTCACCACATCTGGAACGGCTGCCATTTTTGCCTTCTGCCAATTCCTACCGGATCCGTTTATGAGGCGAATTTCGTGGCGGATTACGGACAGCAGGAATCGCGAGAACTCACAAGAACCCGCGGAAACACGTGCAATCACGCGATAACAAGTCGTCTCTATAAAAACAGACACATAGACATATAAGCAGTAGATTGTGTCCTTCCAGAGGAGGAAATCTACTTCTAGACTTCTAGAATCAGCATCGCCTCATCCATGGTTTCATCTGCGATCCTCAATCCGACTGTTTTCTGAGTTTTTTCTTGACTAATCCGCGAGTCCGAATTGTAGTTTTATTTCAGTCACAGGTTTGTTTCGATCTGCTTGTCACTGTTCGGTGTGATTTAAAGTTTCAACCTCGCTAAATAGTTTTTTATTTGTCGCTCCAGATACAGCAGAAGGATCCGTTTCCAGCTGACTCTCACGCCATGTTCCTCTACCTGACAGGCTACGCATTATTGCCGCCAACTGGTCTGGCGTGCTTATGGGAGCGTTTTCAGCTGCTTCTGTCCTGTGAGCGGTAAAATATTCAAAAACACCTGCTGTGGGTACGAGTCCTGAAAACGGAGACAGGAGCGAGTTTTACAGGAGGATGACAGGAACACGGTCTGATGAGCTACAAGAGACAATAACACACACACACTAACAGACACACACACAGGTACACAAAGGAGAGTGTACACGACTTTTTACACTTCGAACTCTAGCGATCTATCGGGGGTTTCCAGACATTTCTACACCTGCCACAAGGTTTACAATCCAGCCACAAAAACAGGTGTTTGATCAGAGACGTTTGATGGTAAATCTGCAGTGATATATCGATGAAAACATGATTATTGATCAGATTGTTGTGATCAAAAAGCTAAATAAAGCCGGGAGTTCTGAGGGTTAAAATGTGGAAAACAACTCTAAGATGTAAAGAGACTGTAAGAGCAGATTGATTTCATACAGAGATATTGATTATTGATTGTTGATTACCCCACCACTCCTGTAAAAGTTTCTAGCCCCGCCCCTGCTGAAGTTTGGCTCGCTCTCTCCACCTGTCACTCAAACGTTACATCATCACCCGCTGATCATCAGGTGCCGCCGGGGTGATGCATCGACACACACACACACACACACACACACACACACACCTCCCACGCAGTATAACACCAATCGCGCCTCTGTCTCCCCTCCCCTCCCCTGCGTGTGCGTGTGTCACCAGCATCGTTGTGTGTATTTCTAACATGTTTGACGATGTATAAGTGTGTGTGTGTGTGTGTGTGTGTGTGTGTGTGTGTGTGTGTGTGTGTGTGTGTGTGTGTGTGTGTGTGTGTTACCTTTCATCCAGTCCACCACCTGGCTCGTGCTCCATTTGCTCACCGGCTCCATCACCAGCGCCATCGAGGAAACTTTCCGCCGACTCTCCGTTGTTTCTCCCCCAAAACAAAGCTCTGTCAGCCGGGTACAGCTCTCCCCCTCCGACCCTCCCTCCCTTCCTCCCTCCCTTACGTCCTCCTCCTCCTCCTCCTCCTCCCTCCGCAGCCAGGTGACTCCTTCTCTCTCACTCTATCCCGGTCCGGTTCTCCCTCCCCTGGCTCAGTCCGGTATCCGGTCCCGTTAACGCAGCGGACGCCTCAGTGCGGGACAGCGGCGGAACAATCCGGTACATTCCCCCGCTCGATCCGGTGTGACATGTGTCTCTACCTCCCCCTTCTCTCCCCCGGTGCACCAGTCCGGTGGTGTAGTGTTCCCGATGTGCGCGCGTGTACGTGTGTGACAGAGGGAGAACGAGAGGAGTGTGTGTGTGTAGGTGTGTGTGTGTGTGTGTGTGTGTATGTGTGTGTGTGCGCAGCCGGTCCGTTACCGACAGCAGCAGAGGAGGACAGAGAAGTCACACCGGACTCAACACACCGGTCTCTCTCTCTCTCTCTCTCTCTCTCCAGATATGATTAAACGGTGTGCACGCGCCCCGTGGGTGGCTCCTCGCGCACCTATCAGTGTATTTCCCTCTGGAGTGACAGAATCATGCGGAGGAGAAGAAGAGGGAAGATGTTTAATCAGTGTGTGTGTGTGTGTGTGTGTGAGAGAGAGAGAGAGAGAGAGACAGAGACAGAGAGAGAGAGAGGGGTGGTGGTGGTCGTGCATCTTTTTTATCACATTGCTGTATAACCCACCCTGTAAGTCTGTGCCACCCTCCTGACTATCCCACCTCAAAGAGACCTGAACCTTGTTAATTACCTTAAATTCTTTTGTTCCATTAAAGTTTAGATAATCGTCATCTGAAGTGATAAAATAATTAAAGTCATTTTGCTGTATTAGGAGAGCAGAGTTACGTTGAAATTAAAAAGATGCCTACGTCACGATGTTTAATAATATGGATATGAACATCCATGTTAAATATCGGGTAAGCCTAAAGGTCCTTTCACACCAGGGCCCGTATGCACGTTGAAAGCGTTTAGCGTAAACGCGATTAGGGCGTAAACGCGTTTAGTTATACGGGCCTTAAACGCGTTTAGTTCCTATACGATTTTGGTATGCACAATGCTGTAAACGGAACCGTATAGCTAACCGCGTTTACTGTGTCTTAAACGGGTCGAGTGACGCTCGAGTGACGGTTCGACTGACTGTCGACTGATCCACTCCTACCAACTCCCCACACACGTCTTGGAAAGAAGAAGTGGCGTAGTACCGTAAGGTTACGAGGACTTGTTGTAGTGGAGTGAGGGTGAATCCTCGGTTCGAAAGTTCAATTTCAGCGGAAATCTCCTGTGTGAGGTCGAGAATATGGTGCAGTCGAAATCTAAACTTACGGAACACTTCGTGGTCGTCATACGTGTCGAAGGGGTGTTTTCTGTCACGAAAAATCCTGTTTCGACGCAATTGTCGCCGCTGTCTTCCTTGGAACAACAAGAGTGCCGCCGTATTTAAACGCGTTTAGACCCGCTATTGGACCCCCAGAGGTGCGATAACTTTAAACGCGAAAATCCGTATAGGACTGTTTTTGTCGTGCCATTATTTCCGACGTCAATATTTTTTTTCGAACCTGTATCCTGTCAATACAAGCGTTAACATCAGCGACGTTTTCCCGTCCTGCGATGTTGCGGCATTTATTTTTTCGGATCATGGTTGATTTTTCTAAAGTTTCGTATACTGTGCGTCCACTTCTGACCAATCAGATTGCGTGTTGTTGTGACGTCTGATTCACCGGTATATCCAACATGGCCGACCGGATGATTGACTCACAATGGGCTACTGATAGCATGGTTAGCAGAGGATGGTTTCGATCCATCGACCTCTGGGTTATAGGCCCAGTACGCTTCCACTGCGCCACTCTGCTAGTTTTTTATTTTTTTTATTTTTGTGTGTGTGTGTGTGTGTGTGTGTGTGTGTGTGTGTGTGTGTGTGTGTGTGTGTGTGTGTGTGTGTGTGAGTTGATGTTTTTGGGTTTTTTTTTTTTTTTTAAGAATTAATTCTTGTGTTGGGAGAAACCGAAGCACTCGGAGTAAACCCATTCGTGGATGGCCATGTATGGACCTGAAGTCTGTCCTCATATCCATCCAGGACTTCATGCGCTACTAGTTGAAGTGAGGCTGGAAGCCCAGAGAGTCCAAGCTGGATATGAGGAAAGTCTACATGTACCCACCCACCCAAACCCTGATGTTTCTAGCGCCGTTTAAGAGGGCAGTGAAAGGCCGGAATACACGTCTCAAGACCTTTTGGATGCCGCTGGGTCTTTGCGGCGAAAAATGCTTTTTTAGAGCCTCAGCCGCAGCCTCAATGACTGTTTCTTTCTGCTTTAAAAGACTTATCCAAAGAACTCCGCCACCAACCTTCTTGCGTAGGTCTTTGTACACAGCTTTGCATTTCTTGTTGATGCTTTTCAGGCTCAAATCCACATTAATGTCAGTACCAATCATCTCTTCAATCAGCATGTCTGTCAGTCTGGCTTCCACTGATTTGTAATCCACATGGAGGGAGTAATCCTTCATGACTTTGTGTAAGAACAGCTTCACGATGAATCCACAAGTCAGTCGGTCCCACTTCCGTCTAACAGATTCCGTGTGTTCACATGATGCTTTTGCCACCTGAGCCTGTTCTACTTGCTCCTCAGGTGTGCAGGCCTCTTCTTCCTCCTCCTCATCTTGGCAGGCCTCTTCCTCCTCATCTTGGCAGGCCTCTTCTTCTTCCCTCTCAGCTTTGAAGCTTTGAACCTCCTCTTGCACAGTTGTGGGGTAGGTCTGATCCTCAGCTTCTGCTTTGGGGGAACTGAGATGTGAATATTTAATGAGCACAACTTCCTCGACCTTTCTCAGAGTCATGCTCACACTGTCCTTCCTAGTCTTGTGCAGTCGGATCTGCTTCTTTAGCCAATTCCTTATCCGTTTAACGACATTGTCTACTTCAGTCTGAATCTCCTCTTCGTGTGTTTCATCTTGGACTACTAGTGGTGTCAAGTGGTCGTCCAATGTGTCACGCAGCTTCTCAGCAAAACTTTTCAGCTTGCCATTGGAAATGTTGCTGTCAGAAGTCTCAAAGAGGCAAACCTCTCTTGACCCACTTCTTGTATCCTGATCTTTTGGTGTAATGACCTCTGTTAAAAGGTTATCCACACTCTTAATCAGCTGTGAAGTGTCTAATTCCACAACTTCCTGTCCTTGATGGGAGGCCTGCTTGCGTCTGACTTTAGACATCATGCTCAGGATTGACCCTCGAGCAAATGTTTGGACAAAGACAGTCCTCATCCTGTCGATGATCTTCCTCCTGTTGTGTCTTAAGGTCTCTTTTGTGCATGATTTTTTCTCTCCAACCAGGTCCTGTGAAGCCTCATTTGAAAAAGCTTCTACAATCCGAAATGACAACTCTGATAACTCTGAGTCCTTGCTGGTTTTAGAAAGAAGCAGGCTATCTTCTTCCTCTGTGAAGTAACTCAGAGAATCATGAGAAATCTTTTCCAGTTGTTCAACCAGGATTTGAAGAACAGCTACAGAGGTCGGAGTGGATTCCACCACCACCTCTTCCTTTTCCTGCAGAGTGCAGGTTGATTCGACTTTCTCAAACTCCTGCTCAGCTTGAGCTGTATCCTCAGTCTCCTCCACCCTCTTCTCCTGGTGTGACGTTGACATCTCACCTTCCCGAGCTTTCTTGAGCTTCTTTTTAGTCATCATTTTACTCGCCTTTCTGGAGCACTTTTTGAGAATCGCCTTCAAGTGTCCAGTCAGTTTGGTTAGACAAATGGGAGTGGGCTTGTGCTCCTCCGAGTCGGCAGTGTCACTTGTTTTAGACAGCCTGGAGTTTACTCTCTCTGTGACTGCTGTGACCATGACTTCTGTCATCTGCTCGCACTTAAGGTAGTGGATGTCACCTACACCCTGGATTTCTGCCACAGTCTGTGTGATGACTTCACCCATGTTCCCTAAACATTCTTGCACGTCCTCCTTACACACAGGTGTAGCAGATCCTTTCTGTTTTTCAAGTCTCCTGCTTAAAGACTCATAGAGACTTTCCCCCAAAAATTCAATTATAGTGACACACAAATCTGTCAGAAGAGAGGAGGTATCTGGGTCAAGAAACCCAGTCTCCAGTCTCTGCCAGTTTTGCGCCGTCAGCCGTTCTAAGACCGCACGGATGACTGGCTTTAGGGTCTCTTTGGATGCCAGATGAAACTTCTGTTCCACCCTCTGTGGTGTGCTGTTGAGACTCATAGCTGTGTTTGTGTTTGTTAGTTGTTTTGAAAAGATTGTGTTTGAGCAATGATCTTGAAGCAAGGTCCAATTTGGTTTTCTTCTCCTTGGTGCGCTCAGTTAATGCTTTTCATGCTGCCTCTGATTGCGTTCGACCTTAAGTCCACTCTGATACATCAAAGCTCTGATGACATCAGAGCTTTCATGTCATCACAGTGATGACATCACAGTGATGTTGCCATAGTAACGGGGAACTCCACCTGGACATTACAGTGATGTCATAGCTTATGTCACTGCATGGCTGGCCTGTTACTATGGCAACAGATCACAACTAAATTCTGCCACACCTTAAAGAGGACATGAAACACACCACATTGGCAACTTCAGGTGGTAAAATATATTTTCAACTTTGCTATGTTCACACTGCAGGTCTATTCTGATTTTTTAACCATATGTGACACATATCTGAATTTTTCATCTAAGTGTGAACAGTGCATCTTTGATTTGTTGTAATCCGACCCAGGCCTCTTTTGTATGTGGATATAAATTGGATATGTATGTGATGTGACTGCAGTGTGGACGCTCAGGTCGCGTTCATCCAACCTATACAGCATCAATATGCGACAAACGTCACCATTGTTCGACAACACAAACAGGCGCGGAAAGCAATTTGTGCTTTGTACGCTTCACTTCACACTTCACAGACACATTTTGTTCACATTGGATAACGCATTCGTATTTGTAAGGTGAACGACCGCACAAAAAGATCGGATTTAACAAAAAATCCGAATTGTGCATCATAACCTGCAGTATGAACGACTAATTTCTTTAGCAAAGAGACTAAACACAACTCACCTACTCTCTTTCAGCAGCCGCTTGTTTGTAGAGAGACCTCAGGCCAGTCCATTACAGACTACAGCGGGGTGCCGCAGCTCAAGGAAGAGCATTTATGATCATTTCTTGATAGAAATACAATCAGACCGAGACGCAAAGACAGAAGAACTACCGCGTCTGCAGAGCAAAATGAATAATATGGTGATTATTACTTCAAGGAAATGATAAAGAAATGATCATAAATGTTCTTCCTTGAGCTGCGGCACCCAGCTGTAGTCCGTAATGGATTGGCCTGAGGTCTCCCTACAAACAAGCGGCTGCTGGAAGAGAGTAGGTGAGTTGTGTTTAGTCTCTTTGCTAAAGAAATGAGTCAAAGTTAACAACCCACTGTGCTAAAATTTCAGCCGTCTGGAAATATTTTAAACTCGTCAGCAAAAACATGATTGATTGGAGAGGAAGCAGGATTAGAGCTGCTTCAATAATTCTGATTTTAAAACTTGACATTTGACAGAGGAATATATCGGGTAAGCCTAAAGGTCCTTTCACACCAGGACTGTTTTTGTCGTGCCATTATTTCCGACGTCAATATTTTTTTTCGAACCTGTATCCTGTCAATACAAGCGTTAACATCAGCAACGTTTTCCCGTCCTGCGATGTTGCGGCATTTATTTTTTTCGGATCATGGTTGATTTTTCTAAAGTTTCGTATACTGTGCGTCCACTTCTGACCAATCAGATTGCGTGTTGTTGTGACGTCTGATTCACCGGTATATCCAACATGGCCGACCGGCTGATTGACTCACAATGGGCTACTGATAGCATGGTTAGCAGAGGATGGTTTCGATCCATCGACCTCTGGGTTATAGGCCCAGTACGCTTCCACTGCGCCACTCTGCTAGTTTTTTGTTTTTTTTTATTTATTTATTTATTTTTTTATTTTTATTTTTTGTGTGTGTGTGTGTGTGTGTGTGTGTGAGTTGATGTTTTTGGTTTTTTTTTTTTTTTTAAGAATTAATTCTTGTGTTGGGAGAAACCGAAGCACTCGGAGTAAACCCATTCGTGGATGGCCATGTATGGACCTGAAGTCTGTCCTCATATCCATCCAGGACTTCATGCGCTACTAGTTGAAGTGAGGCTGGAAGCCCAGAGAGTCCTAGCTGGATATGAGGAAAGTCTACATGTACCCACCCACCCAAACCCTGATGTTTCTAGCGCCGTTTAAGAGGGCAGTGAAAGGCCGGAATACACGTCTCAAGACCTTTTGGATGCCGCTGGGTCTTTGCGGCGAAAAATGCTTTTTTAGAGCCTCAGCTGCAGCCTCAATGACTGTTTCTTTCTGCTTTAAAAGACTTATCCAAAGAACTCCGCCACCAACCTTCTTGCGTAGGTCTTTGTACACAGCTTTGCATTTCTTGTTGATGCTTTTCAGGCTCAAATCCACATTAATGTCAGTACCAATCATCTTTTCAATCAGCATGTCTGTCAGTCTGGCTTCCACTGATTTGTAATCCACATGGAGGGAGTAATCCTTCATGACTTTGTGTAAGAACAGCTTCACGATGAATCCACAAGTCAGTCGGTCCCACTTCCGTCTAACAGATTCTGTGTGTTCACATGATGCTTTTGCCACCTGAGCCTGTTCTACTTGCTCCTCAGGTGTGTAGGCCTCTTCTTCCTCCTCCTCATCTTGGCAGGCCTCTTCCTCCTCATCTTGGCAGGCCTCTTCTTCTTCCCTCTCAGCTTTGAAGCTTTGAACCTCCTCTTGCACAGTTGTGGGGTAGGTCTGATCCTCAGCTTCTGCTTTGGGGGAACTGAGATGTGTATATTTAATGAGCACAACTTCCTCGACCTCTCTCAGAGTCATGCTCACACTGTCCTTCCTAGTCTTGTGCAGTCGGATCTGCTTCTTTAGCCAATTCCTTATCCGTTTAACGACATTGTCTACTTCAGTCTGAATCTCCTCTTTGTGTGTTTCATCTTGGACTACTAGTGGTGTCAAGTGGTCGTCCAATGTGTCACGCAGCTTCTCAGCAAAACTTTTCAGCTTGCCATTGGAAATGTTGCTGTCAGAAGTCTCAAAGAGGCAAACCTCTCTTGACCCACTTCTTGTATCCTGATCTTTTGGTGTAATGACCTCTGTTAAAAGGTTATCCACACTCTTGATCAGCTGTGAAGTGTCTAATTCCACAACTTCCTGTCCTTGATGGGAGGCCTGCTTGCGTCTGACTTTAGACATCATGCTCAGGATTGACCCTCGAGCAAATGTTTGGACAAAGACAGTCCTCATCCTGTCGATGATCTTCCTCCAGTTGTGTCTTAAGGTCTCTTTTGTGCATGATTGTTTCTCTCCAACCAGGTCCTGTGAAGCCTCATTTGAAAAAGCTTCTACAATCCGAAATGATAACTCTGATAACTCTGAGTCCTTGCTGGTTTTAGAAAGAAGCAGGCTATCTTCTTCCTCTGTGAAGTAACTCAGAGAATCATGAGAAATCTTTTCCAGTTGTTCAACCAGGATTTGAAGAACAGCTACAGAGGTCGGAGTGGATTCCACCACCACCTCTTCCTTTTCCTGCAGAGTGCAGGTTGATTCGACTTTCTCAAACTCCTGCTCAGCTTGAGCTGTATCCTCAGTCTCCTCCACCCTCTTCTCCTGGTGTGACGTTGACATCTCACCTTCCCGAGCTTTCTTGAGCTTCTTTTTAGTCATCATTTTACTCGCCTTTCTGGAGCACTTTTTGAGAATCGCCTTCAAGTGTCCAGTCAGTTTGGTTAGACAAATGGGAGGGGGCTTGTGCTCCTCCGATTCGGCAGTGTCACTTGTTTTAGACAGCCTGGAGTTTACTCTCTCTGTGACTGCTGTGACCATGACTTCTGTCATCTGCTCGCACTTAAGGTAGTGGATGTCACCTACACCCTGGATTTCTGCCACAGTCTGTGTGATGACTTCACCCATGTTCCCTAAACATTCTTGCACGTCCTCCTTACACACAGGTGTAGCAGATCCTTTCTGTTTTTCAAGTCTCCTGCTTAAAGACTCATAGAGACTTTCCCCCAAAAATTCAATTATAGTGACACACAAATCTGTCAGAAGAGAGGAGGTATCTGGGTCAAGAAACCCAGTCTCCAGTCTCTGCCAGTTTTGCGCCGTCAGCCGTTCTAAGACCGCACGGATGACTGGCTTTAGGGTCTCTTTGGATGCCAGATGAAACTTCTGTTCCACCCTCTGTGGTGTGCTGTTGAGACTCATAGCTGTGTTTGTGTTTGTTAGTTGTTTTGAAAAGATTGTGTTTGAGCAATGATCTTGAAGCAAGGTCCAATTTGGTTTTCTTCTCCTTGGTGCGCTCAGTTAATGCTTTTCATGCTGCCTCTGACTGCGTTCGACCTTAAGTCCACTCTGATACATCAAAGCTCTGATGACATCAGAGCTTTCATGTCATCACAGTGATGACATCACAGTGATGTTGCCATAGTAACGGGGAACTCCACCTGGACATTACAGTGATGTCATAGCTTATGTCACTGCATGGCTGGCCTGTTACTATGGCAACAGATCACAACTAAATTCTGCCACACCTTAAAGAGGACATGAAACACAATCAATTGGCAACTTCAGGTGGTAAAAAATATCTTTTCAACTTTGCTATGTTCACACTGCAGGTCTATTCTGATTTTTTAACCATATGTGACACATATCTGAATTTTTCATCTAAGTGTGAACAGTGCATCTTTGATTTGTTGTAATCCGACCCAGGCCTCTTTTGTATGTGGACATAAATTGGATATGTATGTGATGTGACTGCAGTGTGGACGCTCAGGTCGCATTCATCCAACCTATACAGCATCAATATGCGACAAACGTCACCATTGTTCGACAACACAAACAGGCGCGGAAAGCAATTTGTGCTTTGTACGCTTCACTTCACACTTCACAGACACATTTTGTTCACATTGGATAACGCATTCGTATTTGTAAGGTGAACGACCGCACAAAAAGATCGGATTTAACAAAAAATCCGAATTGTGCATCATAACCTGCAGTATGAACGACTAATTTCTTTAGCAAAGAGACTAAACACAACTCACCTACTCTCTTTCAGCAGCCGCTTGTTTGTAGGGAGACCTCAGGCCAGTCCATTACAGACTACAGCGGGGTGCCGCAGCTCAAGGAAGAGCATTTATGATCATTTTTGATAGAAATACAATCAGACCGAGACACTAAGACAGAAGAACTACCGCGTCTGCAGAGCAAAATGAACTAGAAAATGCAATTTCTGAAGAAATTGCGAGTGGGATTGCTTCAGTTGAAATTGCTAGTGCTACGCTGCTATTGCGAATGGCTGAATTTTAAAATATGTGAAAGGTCAAAAGGTATGAAGTATCAGGAAGATTTGAATCAATTCAAATAAACTCAATTGAATGAATTGAATAATTCATTAATAAATTTTGAAAATTCAATGTGTGAAAGTTAAAATGATAAAAAACCCTGAAGCATGGGAAAGGCTTGAAGAGTCAATAAGGGTTGAATCAGTTCAAATGAGTTGGAATTTGTTTGAAAGAACTAAATAATGCATTTAGAGTAAAAAATGATTTAAAACTGGAAAATTATGAGGTTACAAATCTGGAAGAAAAAGAGGTTTGAAGAATCAAAACTGTTTAAATCAGTTTGAAGGAGTGTAAATTATTTGGAAGAGTTAAATAATGCATTTTCAATGAATGATTGAAAAAGGGGGGAAATATAAATGAATAAAAATCCTTATTAGACCCCATAATGTCCTCAATGAGCTGAATTTATTAAGCCCTGGTTGGTTTCTGTAGCTCAAGGTTTGTGCGAAGAGATAGATGACAAATTTCGTCAAATAACTCTATTGAAGGGTTTTAAATGTCACCCCCAGTACTCTGTGTACTGAGCCTGGCTTCATGTGTCTCATATGGCTGTTAGAAGCAGCTTTCCAGCCAGCTGTGTGTCTCCAGGTGCGCTTATTGGTTGCCATGGTGACGATAGATGCTTAACAACAGCAGGAGAAAGGAGGCTTGAGGCTGAGAATGTAATGCCCAAACAACGTCATATTTCTCATCCTCTGTAACTGCTATCTTCATGATCAGGAGCTTGTGACAACCACAAGGCCCGGCTGAACACGTTGATACAACTTCTGTGTTTGTGGAGCCAAAAATGCCTTCGCTACGACAAGTTAAAAACATGTCCAGTTTGTGTTTCCTCTGAAAATCCTCCTCTCACTTTACATTGGAGTCAATGGAGAAAGCTGGAGAAATCTGGGGGATGTCTGCGGCAGTTGGTGTCTGCCCAGGCCACTGTGTGTGTCCTATGGCTTTGATTTTTTAGATGAAGAGTGACAGCGAGTTTTGCCATCACTGTACCAAATTTTATCTGTGTAGAGCGAAGTGAGTTGCCACAATCCTTTTGTAAAGACAAAGTTTTGAGGATCAATTTTCAGCCTGTCTCACTCTAGCTGTGAGGTCACCCACTCTAGCGGTCAACATTCCGTGCAATACACACTAATGTTAAAACCTGAAAAGGTCAGAAAATCCTGTGACTGTTTGAACTGTCACTGTGAGAAAAGTATGAATGCCATGAAGATGGTTAATGAATGAGTGAATGTCTGAAGATGTGTGAATATTTTAAAGTTTGAATGAAGTTTCTAGGTGAAAGTATGAATGAATGAGGAGAGGTTGAAGTTGACTACGTCTGAAGCCCTTTTCCCATTGACTCCCATTATAACAAAGTGTTAAACAAATCTTAATATTTTGAAAAGTACAAATGGGATTAAAAATGTTGAAGATGTGGAATAATGCTGACGAATTTGTGAATATTTTGGTTTTTGAATGAAGTTTCTACGTGGAAGTATAGAGGAGTTGAAGGCTTTTGAAGTTGTGTGAAGAAAATGTGAAAAAAGGGCCAATTTGAACATTCCATAATGCATTTCTAATGGGAGAAATCGGTCGGAAAACCTGGAATATCTCGGAAAGTATGAATGTTAGGAAAATTTTGAATACAACCCGGAATCTCCTCAATGAGATGAATCTTTTGAAGTTTGAATGGTTTGAATATGTTGAAGTATGTGGAAGTAGTTAAGGGCCAAAAAACGGCGGAATAATAATAATAAAGATATGAATAACATATAGTGGGAATGCTGTATTAGGAGAGCAGAGTTACGTTGAAATTAAAAAGATGCCTACGCCACGATGTTTAATAATATGGATATGAACATCCATGTTAAATATCGGGTAAGCCTAAAGGTCCTTTCACACCAGGACTGTTTTTGTCGTGCGAATATTTCCGACGTCAATATTTTTTTTCGAACCTGTATCCTGTCAATACAAGCGTTAACATCAGCCACGTTTTCCCGTCCTGCGATGTTGCGGCATTTATTTTTTCGGATCATGGTTGATTTTTCTAAAGTTTCGTATACTGTGCGTCCACTTCTGACCAATCAGATTGCGTGTTGTTGTGACGTCTGATTCACCGGTATATCCAACATGGCCGACCGGCTGATTGACTCACAATGGGCTACTGATAGCATGGTTAGCAGAGGATGGTTTCGATCCATCGACCTCTGGGTTATAGGCCCAGTACGCTTCCACTGCGCCACTCTGCTAGTTTTATTTTTTTTTTATTTATTTATTTTTGTGTGTGTGTGTGTGTGTGTGTGTGTGTGTGTGTGTGTGTGTGTGTGAGTTGATGTTTTTGGGTTTTTTTTTTTTTTAAGAATTAATTCTTGTGTTGGGAGAAACCGAAGCACTCGGAGTAAACCCATTCGTGGATGGCCATGTATGGACCTGAAGTCTGTCCTCATATCCATCCAGGACTTCATGCGCTACTAGTTGAAGTGAGGCTGGAAGCCCAGAGAGTCCAAGCTGGATATGAGGAAAGTCTACATGTACCCACCCACCCAAACCCTGATGTTTCTAGCGCCGTTTAAGAGGGCAGTGAAAGGCCGGAATACACGTCTCAAGACCTTTTGGATGCCGCTGGGTCTTTGCGGCGAAAAATGCTTTTTTAGAGCCTCAGCCGCAGCCTCAATGACTGTTTCTTTCTGCTTTAAAAGACTTATCCAAAGAACTCCGCCACCAACCTTCTTGCGTAGGTCTTTGTACACAGCTTTGCATTTCTTGTTGATGCTTTTCAGGCTCAAATCCACATTAATGTCAGTACCAATCATCTCTTCAATCAGCATGTCTGTCAGTCTGGCTTCCACTGATTTGTAATCCACATGGAGGGAGTAATCCTTCATGACTTTGTGTAAGAACAGCTTCACGATGAATCCACAAGTCAGTCGGTCCCACTTCCGTCTAACAGATTCCGTGTGTTCACATGATGCTTTTGCCACCTGAGCCTGTTCTACTTGCTCCTCAGGTGTGTAGGCCTCTTCTTCCTCCTCCTCATCTTGGCAGGCCTCTTCCTCCTCATCTTGGCAGGCCTCTTCTTCTTCCCTCTCAGCTTTGAAGCTTTGAACCTCCTCTTGCACAGTTGTGGGGTAGGTCTGATCCTCAGCTTCTGCTTTGGGGGAACTGAGATGTGAATATTTAATGAGCACAACTTCCTCGACCTCTCTCAGAGTCATGCTCACACTGTCCTTCCTAAATCTGTGCAGTCGGATCTGCTTCTTTAGCCAATTCCTTATCCGTTTAACGACATTGTCTACTTCAGTCTGAATCTCCTCTTTGTGTGTTTCATCTTGGACTACTAGTGGTGTCAAGTGGTCGTCCAATGTGTCACGCAGCTTCTCAGCAAAACTTTTCAGCTTGCCATTGGAAATGTTGCTGTCAGAAGTCTCAAAGAGGCAAACCTCTCTTGACCCACTTCTTGTATCCTGATCTTTTGGTGTAATGACCTCTGTTAAAAGGTTATCCACACTCTTAATCAGCTGTGAAGTGTCTAATTCCACAACTTCCTGTCCTTGATGGGAGGCCTGCTTGCGTCTGACTTTAGACATCATGCTCAGGATTGACCCTCGAGCAAATGTTTGGACAAAGACAGTCCTCATCCTGTCGATGATCTTCCTCCTGTTGTGTCTTAAGGTCTCTTTTGTGCATGATTGTTTCTCTCCAACCAGGTCCTGTGAAGCCTCATTTGAAAAAGCTTCTACAATCCGAAATGATAACTCTGATAACTCTGAGTCCTTGCTGGTTTTAGAAAGAAGCAGGCTATCTTCTTCCTCTGTGAAGTAACTCAGAGAATCATGAGAAATCTTTTCCAGTTGTTCAACCAGGATTTGAAGAACAGCTACAGAGGTCGGAGTGGATTCCACCACCACCTCTTCCTTTTCCTGCAGAGTGCAGGTTGATTCGACTTTCTCAAACTCCTGCTCAGCTTGAGCTGTATCCTCAGTCTCCTCCACCCTCTTCTCCTGGTGTGACGTTGACATCTCACCTTCCCGAGCTTTCTTGAGCTTCTTTTTAGTCATCATTTTACTCGCCTTTCTGGAGCACTTTTTGAGAATCGCCTTCAAGTGTCCAGTCAGTTTGGTTAGACAAATGGGAGGGGGCTTGTGCTCCTCCGAGTCGGCAGTGTCACTTGTTTTAGACAGCCTGGAGTTTACTCTCTCTGTGACTGCTGTGACCATGACTTCTGTCATCTGCTCACACTTAAGGTAGTGGATGTCACCTACACCCTGGATTTCTGCCACAGTCTGTGTGATGACTTCACCCATGTTCCCTAAACATTCTTGCACGTCCTCCTCACACACAGGTGTAGCAGATCCTTTCTGTTTTTCAAGTCTCCTGCTTAAAGACTCATAGAGACTTTCCCCCAAAAATTCAATTATAGTGACACACAAATCTGTCAGAAGAGAGGAGGTATCTGGGTCAAGAAACCCAGTCTCCAGTCTCTGCCAGTTTTGCGCCGTCAGCCGTTCTAAGACCGCACGGATGACTGGCTTTAGGGTCTCTTTGGATGCCAGATGAAACTTCTGTTCCACCCTCTGTGGTGTGCTGTTGAGACTCATAGCTGTGTTTGTGTTTGTTAGTTGTTTTGAAAAGATTGTGTTTGAGCAATGATCTTGAAGCAAGGTCCAATTTGGTTTTCTTCTCCTTGGTGCGCTCAGTTAATGCTTTTCATGCTGCCTCTGATTGCGTTCGACCTTAAGTCCACTCTGATACATCAAAGCTCTGATGACATCAGAGCTTTCATGTCATCACAGTGATGACATCACAGTGATGTTGCCATAGTAACGGGGAACTCCACCTGGACATTACAGTGATGTCATAGCTTATGTCACTGCATGGCTGGCCTGTTACTATGGCAACAGATCACAACTAAATTCTGCCACACCTTAAAGAGGACATGAAACACACCACATTGGCAACTTCAGGTGGTAAAAAATATCTTTTCAACTTTGCTATGTTCACACTGCAGGTCTATTCTGATTTTTTTTAACCATATGTGACACATATCTGAATTTTTCATCTAAGTGTGAACAGTGCATTTTTGATTTGTTGTAATCCGACCCAGGCCTCTTTTGTATGTGGATATAAATTGGATATGTATGTGATGTGACTGCAGTGTGGACGCTCAGGTCGCGTTCATCCAACCTATACAGCATCAATATGCGACAAACGTCACCATTGTTCGACAACACAAACAGGCGCGGAAAGCAATTTGTGCTTTGTACGCTTCACTTCACACTTCACAGACACATTTTGTTCACATTGGATAACGCATTCGTATTTGTAAGGTGAACGACCGCACAAAAAGATCGGATTTAACAAAAAATCCGAATTGTGCATCATAACCTGCAGTATGAACGACTAATTTCTTTAATAATAATAATAATACATTTTATTTGAAGCGCCTTTCACGTCACTCAAGGACACTTTACAGAACATATAAAAACAATAATAAAACACTATTAACAATTAAAATCATTAATCATCAAACAGTTAAAATCAACAAAGCAACATTAAACATGAACAACAGCAAAGGAATAAATAAAGAAATTAATAATACCAATTGAAATTTAATTTAAAAAAGTGGGTTAGGGGTGGTGGGAGGGATAGGCCAGTTTAAACAGGTGTGTTTTGAGTTTGGACTTGAAGAGGGGGAGGGAGTCTATGTTGCGGATGTGTGATGGTAAAGAGTTCCAGAGTCGGGGGGCAGAGCGACTGAAAGCTCTGCCCCCCATAGTGCTGAGGTGAACAGGGGGCACAGAGAGGTGGAGAGAGGAAGAGGAACGGAGGTGGCGTGTTGGAGTGGCGATGTGGAGGAGATCAGATAGGTAAGGAGGGGCGAGGTTGTGGATGGCTTTGAAGGTATACAGGAGGATTTTGAACTGGATTCGTAGAGGGACCGGGAGCCAGTGAAGCTGCTGAAGGATGGGGGTGATGTGGTGGGACGAAGGGGTTTTGGTGATGATACGGGCAGCGGAGTTGTGGACCAGTTGAAGTTTATGGAGAGACGTTTAGCAAAGAGACTAAACACAACTCACCTACTCTCTTTCAGCAGCCGCTTGTTTGTAGGGAGACCTCAGGCCAGTCCATTACGGACTACAGCGGGGTGCGGCAGCTCAAGGAAGAGCATTTATGATCATTTCTTGATAGAAATACAATCAGACCGAGACGCTAAGACAGAAGAACTACCGCGTCTGCAGAGCAAAATGAATAATATGGGGATTATTACTTCAAGGAAATGATAAAGAAATGATCATAAATGTTCTTCCTTGAGCTGCGGCACCCTGCTGTAGTCCGTAATGGATTGGCCTGAGGTCTCCCTACAAACAAGCGGCTGCTGGAAGAGAGTAGGTGAGTTGTGTTTAGTCTCTTTGCTAAAGAAATGAGTCAAATTTAAAAAGATGTTTGGTGTCTAGGACTATGGCTGTGACCCTATATGTCCTGTTGATGAAGTTAGGTGCTGTTCTGAGCATTATTTGTGGCTATAGAGTGGCGTTTTGGTTGAGGGCGTGGCTCTCTGTATTTCTATCCTGAAAGTTGGTATAACTAGAGAAGCAAGCGGTCGGAAACATTCATCTCTGGAGGGGGGGTCTAACTCGGTGTTACGGTTTGCTTGACCCTAAATTAAATTTACACTGGAATATCCCTTTAAGCTCCACTGAGGGACTTTTGGTCAACTTTGGCGCCCCCTGTGGACAAAGCAAGTCCTCTTAATTCTTCATCATTAAAATCGTAACTCCTGTAGCTGATGGTCTTTTTTCACTTTTGAATATTATAAAAATGCATCACGATGATCCTCAGTTTCTTTCACTAACCTCCAAAAACTCCTCATGGGAGCTTTAATATCACTGTTTTTATAACCATAGCCGCAGGGTAGGAGTCAGATGAAGTGAGTCACAGTGTGGTGACTAACAAACCTGTTTTTATAAACATTATTATCTGGAATAAAGACTTAAGTTTAGACTGTGCTGCAGGAACCGGGTTACATCAGACCATTATATGGCAGTCTTCAGGGACACACGGTTCAAAAAGGTGAAAACATATCAAACACAGGACGGTCAGTTAGATCAGCATTAACAACCCACTGTGCTAAAATTTCAGCCGTCTGGAAATATTTTAAACTCGTCAGCAAAAACCATGATTGATTGGAGAGGAAGCAGGATTAGAGCTGCTTCAATAATTCTGTTTTTAAAACTTGACATTTGACAGAGGAAAGGCTGTAAACAACAAACTCTGGATTGTAAGAAGGAGAAATTTCCTGGAGAGAGTGAAAAGTCTGAGACGATTACACAGACAGCGGGTGAATTTATCACTGTGGACAACCTGTCCGTATCAGAGACAGAGGATGCAGGTTTTTACCACCTCACAGACACAACAACACATTTCAGACGCTGCCTTATCAGAGCTGAACGGCAAAGTTTGTAAGGTGAACTACAGACCTTTCAAGAGCAAACGCCACTAAATCCTTCACGGTTAAAGACCAAATGAAATTAAGATTGTCTTTCAAATAGCTGTAGGGAACTCAAAATAGAAATAACACTTAAAACTCTGCTGCCAAGACCTGTACGGTACATTTTCCCTCAGATACAGATGATTGTTTTGTTGTTGTGAACACTAAAATACTTTTAGAAAATTCAGTATCACTGCTTTTCCAAAAAGAGTGTTATTGTATCCACGTGCAGCAACACCACCTACGCTGCAGCTTTAGATAGAAACTAAGAGCTTAGTCAGAAAATATTGTTTTTGTTATTTAGTTGAGTTTTTTTTAGTCATGATCTGCCTTCGGTTTTATTTTTATATCCTCAAAGCTGCATTTATAGAAAGAAAACGGGGCGTGACCTTTCCTCTGAATCTTTCAGGCCGGCTCTGCAGCTCTGCGCTGAAGAGGTGAATAAAAGTGTTCCCAGTATTAATATTTGGCCGTAGAATATTAAGTTAACTGGTTGTAATTGTAGTCAGTGTGATCACATAATGAGAAAGTTTGATTAGCCTATTATTCAATTTAATCAAATCATTAAAGATTCATCATCTGGGCTACTTTAGGAGGTGTGGGTCGGGGATGTGTGTGAGATAAGAGAACACACACACACACACACACACACAAACACACACTCTCTTAGATGCAAGGACACACACACACTGGTCTATCCATCCATCTGGTCCAGTTTCTCTTGATATGATTAATTGCATTATCATGTCCTGTGTGGTTTGATGTATACACACACATTATAGCGTGTGTCTGCTTAAGGTACAAAGTGGGAACTATGAGAGTTTTCTTTCCAAATGGGGACCTCTGCTGGTGGCAGCTGTTGTTGCTCCTCAGCACTGAGTGTGAATCAGGGGTTGTATGAAAAGTTTGGATTCACAACTTCAGTCATAGTTTTAACATTCAACTCCAACTTTTTTGAGATATTAGAGCAGAATTACTCCAGTGGGGGTACTCGTACTCCTGGTGGTAGCTTGGGGAATTGCAGGGACCACTCGAGGTTTTCTTTTGCTCTTGACACTATGGCATGTTGGGTACTTAATAACATGTGGAGCAGATGCAACCATGTTCAGATTCATGTTTGTAAAGGTGTATAGATCATGTTTCATTAGAGTAAGAGAGTCAGAGACATTTATTTGCCATTTGCAGAAAAAAAAAAAACATTGGAAAGCATTGGCGAAAGGACAATAAAGACAGACAATTAAGTTGCGTAGAAACATAGAATAAAGTGAGTTAAAATTACTGGTAAAGTTAAGTACAGAAGGACATTGCAAGTCATAATAATAATAATAATAATAATAATATTAATAATAATAATAATAATAGTAATAAATAAATAATGATAACAATAATAATTTTGAAGTCCGAGCCAGGAACCTTGAGTTATAAAGAGCATCTCGTTGAGGCAGGTCAGTGCCAGTAATTTTCTGAGCCAGATTGACTATTCTGGTCCGAGATTTTCTGTCCTGTACAGTGAGGTTTTTACTATTATTATTATTATTATTATTATTATTATTATAGATCAAGCTTCATGTAGGGGTCACTTTTCACTTTGTTTCAGCATTTTATGCACTCTGTTCATGAAAAAAATACTGGTATGACTGATGTTAATGTAAATGTACTTTATTTGATTCATTTTATTTTTATGATGAATGACAGTGTTTTAAATGCCTGTGCCTGCTGCAACCCGATTGGCCCTTTTTGGGACATAATAAAGCTGAAGTTGAAGTGAAGTGAAGTGAAAGTGAAAGAACGGGAAAAATTAAAATGGGTTTGTAGTCGAAGATTATAAGCTATAAATTTGAAAAAGCACATATACAATAAGACACACCTTTATTTAGTGCATTTTAATTCTGTATCAGAAAAAAGCTAGTAATTTAGTTTGTAAATCAGGTGCTGCATTAAAGTACAAATCTGTTCTTTTTTGTGTCTCTCTTCTTTCTCCATCTTCTCTCCTACAACTAAGAGGCTATTGTTATACTCTTTGCTTCACTGTGATTATGTTGCAGCTTTGTTTATAGATCTTTTTCTGTTGCAGCCCTAAAACTATGGAACGAGCTACCCCTCCAAATCAGACAAGCCCCCACTCTGTCCATTTTTAAAACTCGTCTTAAAACCCATTTTTATTCATTGGCTTTTAACCCTGCATGAGACTCGGCTCCTGTTTTAGTGTTTTATGGTTTGTTTTTAGTCATTTGTTTCTATGTTTTTGAATTAGTCTTTAAAAACATTGAAACTCTATTTTACTTTTTAATTTTGCTTTTATATTATCCATTGTTTTGTTTTTTGATTGTTTTTATGTCTAGTTGTTTTGTCTATTCATGTACAGCACTTTGTTCAGCTGTGGTTGTTTTAAAGTGCTTTAGAAATAAAGTTGAGTTGAGTTTACTTTTTAATTTTACTTTGGACACAATATAGAAACTAATCAGTTTACTGTTTAAGTTAAAAAAGTAAAAAAATAAGCAGAACTTCAACCAACTACTCACTATGTTGTAAAACAATAGCTTAGGGAAGCACTGATTTGAACCTTTAGATATTATTACTCAGGATATAGCATCATAAAAAGTAACTGTCATGTTATCGGAAGAAAAAGTCATTCTCAATATTGATTTAAACACTTTATGATTGTTAGTGGTTATGAATCGAAACGGCACAACATCTTAAAAGCAGAACCTATATTGGCTTTCCTACACTGTGGTCTCAGCACTTTCACTTAAAATAAGGAACAGTGCACATCCTCAATCACAACAAGAACTGGTCTTTTGTGTTTATGGTCAGTCGATAACAAGAAATGTCTACGACGAAAAGAGGCTAAATAAATAAAGGAAGTGGTGATTGTCAATGTGACAAAAGGATTAGCACATCATTAAAAAAATAGTCTTTACTGACCACCGTCACCATGAGATGAAGTGATCAGTGTGGTCTGCAGAGGAAAGTTACCTCAGTTATTATTCTGTTAACAAGAATCACATATTTCAGCACATGTAAGAGCTGAGCATACATGTTAAGTAGAAATATTACAAACATTATTGTACATGATCAAATTAATGTTCATTACAGGTGAAAAAAAATTAACTCAGCAAGAAAAACAACCAGAAATGAGATGTGAGTCTAAACCAGCTCTTCCTCTGCTCATTCTTACTTTAGCCAATCAAAACCAAATATTTTTAAAGTTATGCAACAGCGTGTCTTCCCCAGATTGTAAAAACGGAAAAGCACATTTTTCAACAGCACAGAGACATACGTAGCTTCAGAGTGATTTTCATCAGAAATGCAGAGAAACAGACCGCGTGCTCCGGTCGTTTTAAGAGACTGTAAATCAAGGGGGTTAATTTTTGCTTTTGCGCCATTCAACTACAAGGCTGTCTGATGTTTGAAGTATTGCAAGTCTGATATTTCTGCGTGTTCAAAGTAACTTTCTGCTCTGACTTTATACACTAGACATGATTTATTCAATAAAAATAAAACTCAGTTGAAAATAATACTCTTTGACAAACCACAAAAGCATGGAAGAAGTGGTTTAAGTCATGAAACCCCATCCTGTTTTATAAAATATGGAGTCTGACTTACCGTGAGCGTGGGAAAGGATTTGCTCATATATGAAAAACCACCCAAGTAGGATCAGCTGATTCTTCAGTTCCTTTAAAAGAATCTCAGTGGTTTGAGGTTTTGGGGACATTTCTCAAAAGTTGTTGGAGTCTACTCATACTACACTTCAGTCATTTGGTCCACGGTGAGGAACTTTGATTCGTGTTGATGCCAGTGCCCCTTGTGGACAAAACTGGTACCTCTTATTTCTTGTCCTTTACATGTGAAAGGTGTAAGATATATCACTCACCAGAGTTAACAAAAAGTGAACATAGGTGGGTTTTCTGCCTGCTATTATCCGGCCTTACCCCCAATTTCCACCGAATCTGGAACGGCTACGAAAAGGCCGTATCCGCCGATCGCAGCTGATCGTAACCATTCAAGTTAATCTGTCAATTTCCACCGGCTTCTTTCCGTTTCAGCAGCTGATCGCAAGAGTTCTATTTTTTCCGGATGCCGGAGCATGCAGCACAGATTAACGAGTACTTCCTGATCGTATTTCACACCATGCAAACGGGCGGAGACGAACAAGTGAAAGGTTTTTAGACATCATTTCACCCCGATGACACCATGGATGAGGAGATGCTGATTCTAGAAGTCTAGAAGTAGATTTCCTCCTCTGGAAGAACACAATCTACTGCTCATATGGTTAGCTTATGTGGCTAAGAGACAACGCTTTGTCCCGCGATTGCACTTGAATCCGCGGGTTCTTGTGAGTTTTCACAATTCCTGCTGTCGGATCCGTTTGGCATTGGCGAAAATCACAGCCATTCCAGATCAGAGCTTGGGGTTGATAGGACCCTCTTACAGAGATTTCAAGCATTCAAAATGACCACCGTAAAATTATCCGTGGTCTCCTCTTTCTTTGAAGGTCATTGCGAGGCTCAATTATCAGTTTCAGTCTATTTTTCCCCTCCTATCGTGTGGCGTGTCATTACAGATGACACCGTCTGATTTCCACATTAATACATCTGTAATTTTAAATATGACATATGACTTGAATATCACACCTACAGTTTGAAAAGTGTTATTTGCCATGTCCTAACACTTCTACCTTGTACAGATGTTTTACATAAAAAGATTAGAAGTTCTGCTAGTTAGACTTTTTTTCCGCCTATAAAAACACCTTCTACTCACTTTAATTCTGCATAACGACTTTAAAATTAATTCACTGTACTACACTGTGACATCTTTTCATCTGGATTTAGTTTTGAACCGATCTTGGGGACATTTTTGAGTCTAATCATGCACCAACGCTGTTTCAAGGAATTGACCTGATTCAGGGAGTTTCATCAGACATATTTCTAACAAAACCAGCAGCAGAAAAGAGGAAGTGTCCGTGTCAGAGGATGGGTTTGCCTCTTGGTCATGTGGCATTGCTCGAAGTTTGGGGGGAAGTGAGCGTGACATTCAATGCTTCAAAAAGGATGGTTTATAACATAGAGGAGGCGAAGACGCGTGCATTTGCATAAGAGGAAGTGACAGTAAAAAGGAGGATAACTGGTTCTGTGACACGTTTTCCTACCAGACTGAACGCAGCTCAGCTTTTCAATCTCTACAGCAAAGAAAATTCATTCATGTTTGTTTTTCTGCAGCAGATTTTCTGTTTTTTTTTTTTGTTGTTCTTTTTTTAGCGTAAGGTCTCCGACTTAAAGTTAATGAGCTGCATCTTACAAGAAAGCACCACCCCTATTTTCAGATGCTTTCACTTCCTCGTTCACCGCATGAGAAAGATGAAAAGGAGGTGGTAAGACAGGACTGCATGTTAGACTTTTCTTCTGATCAGAGAGGGACATCGTTCTACTAACAAAGTAAGAATCCCACACTCTAATCTTTCACTGATATTTGACACGTTTGTACGGTTAAAGAGATGTGGATAATTATGAATATATTTGATTGTTTTCCTTGATTTTCAGGACTACCATCTCTTATTTGATGGACCGTTCACTCAGTCATTAAAATTTCTTGCTTATCCTGGGTTGATAGAGGACAGGACGATGACACCGGTAGGTTCAAAGTTGCTCAAACTAAGTATTGCTTTCCTCCTGCTGGATATTGGAAGTTTCGTCCCGCCGGTTGCTGCGTACTTTCTAAGAAATTGCTGGATCAAAGGCAATAATGTCATGTGTAAGCCGACTGAAGAAAAAATCACAGCTGTTCCTCGGGATATTCCCTCAACGGCGAACAGCATCGACTTGTCCTCCAACTGGATTACAGCAATCAGAGCCGATGACTTCAAAAAACTCTTCGTTCTGACAAATTTGGACCTAAAAAGCAACGGCATCACACAAATAGACAGAGGCGCCTTCGCCGATCTGATTTCCCTGAAGAAGTTGAATCTCAATCGTAACAAACTCCCCGCCCTCAACGATGATGTTTTTGATGGATTGAGCAACCTCACAGAGCTCAGGGTATCTTACAACCGCATCAAAGTGGTGGGACTGACCACCTTTAAGGCCTTGAAGAGTTTGACTTTTTTCGATATCTCTCACAACAAACTTCACAGCAGTACAAAAGTCCAGCTTATCCTGCAGCAGCTGCCAAATCTACAACAGCTGGTGATCACAGGCAATGCCTTAACCCACTTCCAGTCGTGGGAGCTGTCGAACAGCTCGCTCCAGCTTTCGTTTCTCGATTTGTCCCAGAATTCCATCGCAGTTTTTCGGATTGTCGCAGATATTTTTCCAAATGTCACCTGGTTGAGCATCGGCTCGACGATTAAACACAAGATGATATGGGACATACGGAACAAGACGTTTTTCAGCCGAGTGTCGACCCTGGATATCAGCGGGCTTCAGCTGAAGTCCGATGATTGGGAAGCTTTCCTACAGAACTTTAACTCCTCTCTGGTGTCTCTGAGGATGAATGAGATGAAACGGAACCTGACGAAGCTCATCAGAATTTCCTGCACCATCCCAACTCTGACCACCCTCCAGCTCAGGGAGAACAACCTCAAATCCATCCCTGCTAATATGTTTCAGCTGTGCACAAATCTAACACAACTCGATTTATCCAAAAACCTAATCCAAACAATCCAGGACGAAGCTTTCAGACCTCTGAAAGGTTTGAGGATCTTGATTTTGCATCATAACCGAATTCCATCAGTTCCATCCGCCACAAGGAACCTCCCCGGACTTTCCGAGCTGGATCTCAGCAGTAACAACATCACCTCATTCGGATGCCAAGATTTTGCTAATCAGACGAAGCTCAGGGAGCTCAGCCTTTATCAGAATTCAGTCCCGGCTTTGACAGACTGTGCTTTCAAAGATTTAGTAAGACTGCAAGTCTTGAAGCTTCAGACCTGCAAAATCTCCAAATTAAACAATGCGTTCAAAACAAGCCTGCCAAATCTTTCACAACTGCTACTGAATGGAAATCAACTGGTAGTCCTTAAATCTGGGAGACTACGGGGATTGAAGTCCCTCAAGAACTTGTCACTCCATGACAACCAAATACAGGTCCTCGAAAGGGGGTGTTTCATGGGACTGACCAATCTGACTGAGTTACGGCTTCAGTCCAACAGCATCCTAAGAGAAAAATTAAAAAAAGGTTGTTTTGACGATCTCATAAGCTTAAGGAGTCTGGATTTGAGGGACAACCACATCAGTTATTATGACACCGAAGCTTTGTCTGACCCGCCTTTCTCTAAGCTCACTCTTCTGGAGAAGTTGGCGATTCCTGAACAACACCGCAAGGGGAGAACATACCTGCCTCGCAACATCCTGCAAGGTTTGACAAATCTTGTAAACTTTGAAGCAAGGAATATGCAGCTTTTACAACTCCACAAAGACACGTTTAAGTACACGCCTCAACTGCAGCAACTTGACATTAGCTCAAATGATCTTGGAGATCTTTCACCAGATTTGTTTGCCCCCATCGGAAACCTCAAAAGCCTCTACATATCCAGAATAACCCTGAAGTCTTTAGATTTCCTCTTAAACGCCAACCTTACCAAGCTGGAATTCCTGCAGGCGAGAAAGAATATATTCCCAGTCGTTAGTGAGGAAGAGATCAACTCCATGCCGTCTCTGGTTTACATGGACCTCTCAGGCCACAGTTTCAAATGTGACTGCGATAACGCCAAGTTCCTCGAGTGGGTCGTGAACAACACCCAAACCCAAGTTTACGATGCCTATTACTTTGAGTGCAACTACCCTCAAAGTCTCAAAGGCACCAAACTGTTGGACTTCGACATCCAGTCGTGCTCGCTGAACATTGACTTCATCTGCTTCGTGTCGACCACCTGCTCCACTCTTCTGTTCATGCTGGTGTCCTTCACCTATCATTTCCTGAGGTGGCAGCTTGCCTACGCCTACTACCTTTTCCTGGCTTTCCTTTTTGACTCAAAACAAAAAAACAAGCAAGTTCAGAGCCAGTATGACGCCTTCATCTCCTACAACGCCCACGACGAGCCGTGGGTCATCGGAGAGCTGCTGCCAAAACTGGAAGAGGAGCAGGGCTGGAAGTTGTGTCTGCACCATCGAGACTTCGAGCCAGGTAAGATCAACCGCTACAGCTGTAAACATGGCCGACATATATGAAGTCTTATAACTTGTGCCCACAAGATACTTATCTTGGGAGTAGAAGTTACTTTCTTGTGAACACAGTAAAATTATCTCCTGGCAAAAATCATCTTCTGTGAACTAAGTGAGTATCTTGCTTCCAAAAGGAATTGATCTTCCACCCAAATATTGTCATTTTGAATGCAAGATATAACCTTGAAGTAAAATGTTATCTTGTGTGCACAAAATGAGTATCTTGTTCCCAAAAAAATATCTTGTGCCCACACATAATTATATTGTATTCAAGATATAATTAACTTGTGAGAACAGGATAATATGTTTGGTGCACAATGCAGTTATCTAGAGAGAACATGAAATCTTGCATGAACAAAATAAGTATCTTGTACCAAAACATAATTTTTTTTTTGCTTATAGGTTATTGGGTTGAAGGAGTGAATTAATCATCTTGTATGGAGCAAGATATCTTGAGTACACATTCAAATACCCAGAGGTTACAAGTTACCTTGTTCCCACAAGATTTGTATCTTGCTCCCAGAAGAATTATCTCATGCCCATGAGGTTGTGGGAACGTGTTTAGCATCTCTACCTCTGCATGATGTAATTGTCACGTGAGAGCAAGGTATCATCTTGTTGCACAGTGAAATTATTTTGTGTTTATTATCTTGTGCGCACAAGATTTAGCTCCATATGAAGGTTATTTGATGAAGTTTTGTTTTTTTGTGTTAATTTTTAAATTTTTTAAAATGACGTTTTAGTCGTTTTTAGAATTTAGAACATATTTTAGTATGTAAAAAAAAGGCATGGAATAGTATGTTAAATATTTTATATTTTAGTGTAAAAAAACTATTTTAGTTTGTTAAAAAATGTCAGAGTATGTCAAAAATTTTACATTTAAGTATAAAAAAATTGTCATTTATTATAAAAAGTCATAGTACAGTATGATAAAATGTCATTATAGTCATACTATATCTTTTAATTTTTTTGTATAAAAAATGTCAGAGTATAGACTGATAAAAATTTTATATTTAAGTACAAAAAAAACATATTTTTTATGAAAAAAAATGTCATAGTATGTCAAAAATCTTATATTTAAGTATAAAAAATGGTCGTTTTGTATAAATAAATGTCAATATAGAATGTTAAAAAACATATATTTAAATATGAAAAAAAAATCATATTTTAGTATGAAAAAAAATGTAATTGTATAGAATGTCTTGAATACTCAACAATTCAATCAAATAACAGGATATTCTCAGTTTGTAGTTTTGCCTTCAGTCCAGAAGGTGTCACCAAAGTACTTAAAAAGCCAACCAGAGGAACCCATGAGGAGGAACCAGATTCAGATCTTGATTTCCCTGAGTGATAGACACGTCTGTCCTTTGTTCCCTCTCCTGCAGGTAAACCCATCATAGAAAATATCACAGATGCCATATATGGAAGCAGGAAGACGATCTGTGTGATCAGCCGCAGATATTTGGAGAGCGAGTGGTGCTCCAGAGAAATCACGCTGGCCAGGTAACAAACCATGTAATCTAAGAAAACAACACAGTAGTTTACCAACCCGTCACATTCTGTTGTCTTCAAAAATAAAGATAAAAATAGTTTGAGAAGTTTTGTAAATCATCATTTTTAAGTTTTGGTGTCTGTGTCAGAGCTAGCACATAAATACAAGTGAAATTAAACTTGTCGAAGAAGGTAAAAGGTCGCTGTTTTTCTCGTCTCAGCTTCCGCCTCTTCGACGAGCAGAAGGACGTCCTCATCCTTGTGTTTCTGGAGGAGATTCCCACGGCTCAGCTGTCTCCTTACCACCGGATGAGGAAGGTCCTGAAGAGGCGCACCTATCTGAGCTGGCCGCGGGCTGAGGGGAACACCAAACTGTTCTGGCAGAAACTCCACCAGGCTCTGAAGACCAAAGAGAACCACGGCGAGGAACAGTTCCTCCTCACTGTGGTCAACCAACCCTGACAAGAAAATACAGACACTGATGCAGCTTAGGGCTGAACTTTGAACCTCTCCTCTCTCTAAACCCTGAGCTCAGTCTCAGCAGATGACTGTCCAACATCAGTCTGGTCCTGCTCGAGGTTTCTGCCTGTTAAAGGTGGGGTAGTCAGGATCTGAGTTAGTTCCAGTTTTTAGGAGAAAAGAAAAACTCGACCCCCTTCCAATTAAATTCAGATATAATGCAGATCAATACTTCAGATCATTACAAATGGGGCCCAGTCAAGGTGAAAGTCAAAAGCATTGGTGCTACTGTAGATGCCAACAGACTACCAGCAAACACAATGTTTGCAGGACTTCTACAACGAGGATAAAGTGACATAGTCCAGGACCCGAGGGAGGACAGTTTAGCGATGGCGCTACAACACGCTACAGCAGGTCCGTTTGACAAGAAACACTTCTGTTACAGACACTTGTCTTACTTTGTTAAAGCGGTTTACCTGTCCAGCAGAAAGGTTACAGGGTCACCAAGATCCCCAAGCGTCCCCCATCGTTTATGTTGACCCGGCTTTTTAGCTCTTGTCCGGTCTACCTCCGTTTTAAGCGCCCGTTATTCCTCCAGAGTCTCCGGTATTTACTTTGTTTTCTTGCTTGTGTCGGCAGTCGTGGCCAAAGGAGGATTCAGACAATTTTCCGAACTTTCTGGTTGGTTTCTACTGTCCGATATTGTAGCACGCTAACTTTGTTTGGGCTCCTGAACGACACGGGGGAGCAGCGTCTGCCTCACAACCAATCAGGTTAGAGGAGGTGGAGAACGGCTTTGTTTACAGTCAGAAAGAGCGGACCGCTCAAAAATGTTCAAATGTTGACGACACAGACATAAGAGAACACAGAGATATCGATATATTACCAAATGTCATCAATAACTAATAACTATTGACTGATATGAAAAGATTATTTGTAAATACGCCACAAAAAAAATAAGATGCTTCTTTCACGGATTCCTGTCTACTCCACCTTTAATAGAAGTTCTTCCTCTCCTCTGAAACTCTCTAAATGCTGTAAAGTGATTCACTCGTGTGGATGAAGATCAGGATGGGGGTGTGTCTGATCTTACAGGGTGGAGCAGCTCCATCAGTGGGTCTTTGTAAATAGAGTTTTTTTAAGCATCCTTGGATAAATAAAGATTGATTGTTTTAAAGGCACTGTGAGTAACTTCCAAAGAGCTTGCTTTTACCCAGAGTGCATTAGTTTCCTCAGCAAATGAATGTAATAGATCATCTTTTTTAACTTCGTCATCACTCGAACCTCAGGATCTGCTTTCCAACGATGTAAATCAAAATGACTTTTTTATGGGATCTGATCCGACAAAGAGAAACAAACTCTGTTTTTAAAGTGTTTTTAAAACGTCTTTATTTTTAGACATTAAAAAGTTTCTGAGTTACCAACATAGTCGTGTTGAATGGAATACAATCACAATGACTCACAATACTGCTGAATTACTCCACAGTATAAATCCCAATCTTTGAATACATGAAGTAGCTGTTATCGCATTAGTACAAAAACTTTGCATAATATTAGAGATAAATAGTAAAGAAATAATTATGTTTTTCGTATTAAAAATACTACTCTTCCCTGTTTATAAAACAGAACAATACAAGAAGAAAGGTCACAGAATATCACAACAGTCCCCGTCACAGTTTGTTTGTTTTTTTAAGTCAAGAGGAGGATGGGGATTTTCTCCGTCTGTCTGTCGACGGTTCAAGACGATGCCGTGGTTTTCTGGATTTCCTCTTTCTGAGTTTTTGGGTTATTCTTGTCGCTACGGAGGAAAAAGAAACACGAAGTTTAGTCACACACGAGCCTAACAGCGAGGTAATATTTTTAAAAAAGCAGAATAAACTGATTTAAGCGTACTCACTCTAAGCACTTCATCAGGTTTTGGGTATGACTGGATGATGGATTGGCGCAGATGAACCTTCCCCTGAGGTGGAAGCTGTGGAATCCAGGAAACAGAGACAAAAATTAACCACGAGCGCTCGCCCTCACGGAACAGACTCTCTCTCTCTCTCTCTCCCTCTCATTCCTCAGAGTTAGCCCCCCCAAAGCGTTTCTACACACATTCCTGACGGCTGATTCTGGGCTAAACTTTAACTGGGAAAGTTGTTTGTGTTCCTGGTTTACTAAGTGGTATTTGATGTTTGAGGTCAAACATTCAGGGTTTATGTACTTTCACTTCAGTCAAAACCCTTATGCAAACACTCGGGTGTGGAGGTTGAAACAGGCAGCTGAATCAGTTTTTCACTAAATCTAAATTTATAGAATTCAAACCAAGCAAATTTATTTTTATAAAAAGAAAAACAAAAACTATAAAGACTTTAATCTTTAACATAAATTCACTTGTTTTAGTGAGTGAAGTGAAGGGGACAACATGAGGACGACAACTACTGAAGTTGCTTGTGCAGAAAATATTAAATAACTTCAATATCACGTAAAATAACTTTTTTGACCAGCTGTTCGTGACCCAATCAGAACGTCATAAGGAAACATCGGTATTAAATTTAGCTTTTTCCTAACTAGCTTAAAGTCTTCAGAGGAGCTAACTATTTAAGTGCAAGCTCAGGCTAGTTTTAGTTGTTACGCACCAGCAACTATAAAACACTCTTTCTTTTTTTTTGTTCAGTCAATTTAACTTCACCACAAACTCATCAGTCCGTCTGTTTATTTGTGTCACTGAGTAATCGCTCATGTCAGATTTGGCAGAACTGTGACTCACATAACGGCGTTCATGTCGCAGGACGTGTTGATGGTTTGGATGGTGTAACCCAGCAGCCTGTTGCATTTCAGGTGTCGTCTCGTGTACCACAGGCAGCAGCTCGCTGCAAAGAAACAGACATAAGTGTTCAGATTAAATATATTTAAACTGATATTTTCAGGATGTTTTTTTGATGCTGAAACAAAATTCTTGGCTTAAATTTAATCATAATAATAATAAAAATACTAATAAAAATTAAAAATAAATAAATTTAAAAAAATTGAAAAATAAAACAAAATAAAAATAAAAATAAAACAAAATAAAAATAAAAATAAATAAATAAAATAGATTTTAAAAAATCAAAAAAAATTCCTGCACTTTCACTCTGCATTCACAGGTACTTGGAGCTTTACTTTGTGAGACAGTGCACATTTTCTCCCTGAGAGCATCCACATTAATGAACGAGGATGTTAAAAACTCACCTGACTGAGTCCTGTCGACGAAGCTGCTGAGGATGAGGAGGGAGCACACGGCTGTCACAAGAACGGTTTTTCTGATCATTGTTCCTCGCTCGCTAGTTTGTTCTTGCAGATCCGCTTTGGTCTGTGCCGCAGTGAGGCTGTATCGTGGTTAATGTGTCTCAAAGCACCTCAGAGGATTCAGTTAGAGTGTGACTGAGATGGCGCAGCGCTCGCTGCTTAAATAGGACGTCTCAGGGGTTTTCCCTCGTTCTACAGGATTGTGCAACACTGTGTGCAAGCTTTGGATGTGTGCCAACAGGTGAGTGTGAGAGAATGAGACAGGTCGAATTACAGGTCACACATTATTAATGATATAACAAAAGAAAAGATATACAGGTGTGGGCTTCTCATGCCACCACCTCCTTTACTCTGTTTAGATGTGCAGTTTACTGTTAAAGTTAATCCCCCAAAGTTGTACACTTCATACTGAACCTTGACACAGTTAGATATTTGCTGGTGAATATGGTTTATCGGTAAAAGGCTGGAAAGACCCTTATTTCCACGCAGCAGCTCGGAGAAAACAAAAACTGAACAAAAAGTGTGAAAATAAACTGAGAGGAAAACAAAAGTAACTCTGCAGCTCGACTGAGAGTGCATTTCTCACATACATGAACAAAAATGACCGATTTACTCACATGAAAAAGCCTAACGGTGAATATTCAACAAAGTACTGCAACCCTAATTCAAAATGTTGGTAAAATAATAAAAATAAAATCAGATTATGATGGTTTGACAAACCAGCAAAAGCCATTTATTGACAAAAATTAAAAAACAACTGTCTTTAAATGAAGAAAATTGGAATAAAAGGGCGTCCTCAGAGAGTCAGTTATCGTATTTGTCTCACCATCAATGAATGCGTCTATCCGCGTCTATTTACATAGATAAAGCACATTAAGCCAAACAAAACAGTGAGATAAGTCAAACTTGAAGTGCGCCTTATAGTGCAAAAATACGGTAATCTAGAGAACTCAGAGTATAGAAGGGATCCTTCATCATGGGCCCTCAGGCATTAAAAACAGACACGACTCTGTTGTGGAAATCACTGCATGCTTTTCCACATTTACAACAAAAACTGCAAACTTACCAAGTTTGGTGTCTGTACGACATGTATGCAAAGTTTCAATTCACGAGGTAAACGTCATAATCTGAGAACGTCGATGTAAACTGATCAAATCTCAGACAAACAGCGAAAACGCAAGATTGGAGTTTATGCGTGAGATTTACTAAAATTCTAACGTAAGAATATAAATACATGGCGGCACAAGAACAGGCGTTGAGCACCAGAGCAATAGAGGCCCAGATCTACCAAACCAGGCAAGATCCCAGGTGCAACGAGGGCCCTGAAACAGTCCAACACCTAACAGCAGGATGCAAGATGCTGGCAGGAAAAGTAAACATGGAACGCCATGACCAAGTAGGCGGTGTAGTGTACAGGAACCCTGAGGTCAAAATGGGAAGAACCTCCCAAGGTGATGGAGAATGACCGAGCCAAGATCCTGTGGGACTTCCAGATACAGACCGACAAAATGGTGATGGCCAACCAACCGGACATTGTAATCGTAGACAAACAGCAGAGTAGAGCCGTTGTGGTAGATGTCGCCATCCCGAGCGATACAAACATCAGACAGAAGGAACACGAGAAACTAGAGAGGTACCAAGGGCTAAAAGAGGAGATAGAGAAGCCTGGAAGGTGAAGGCAAAGGTGGTGCCTGTGGTCAGCGGGGCAGTAACCCCAAAACTGGAGAAGAAGTGGCTCCAACAGAAGAGTGCAGTCCTAGGAACAGCGCAGGACCCTCAAGCTCCCGGGCCTCTGGTAAAGGACCTGAGCTTGAAGAGACACAACACCGCCCAGGGTGGGCGAGAGAAGAGTATAAGGGGGTAACGCTGCTCAGCTGATCAACCACAGGGAGGGAGGGGGGGACTGTCACTACCTGATCTGTACCAGATACCACATTTGTTGGCTAGCTATCGGGAGGCTCCAGAGATAATGCCGAGGCATTCGCCAGAGCTCCTGCCCAGAACAGTGAGACCTTTTGGGCCACAGAGAGCGCCGCCACCCGCTCAAAATTATGGTTCTCTGATTCTTCAAAGTTTCAAGGGGGGATTTATTTAATACATTTATTAAGAAGAAGCCTCCACATTTTGGACAATGATTTTCAGCGTTTTTATACAGCATTTCAATTTGAACAATGAAATATTCACATTCATTCAAGCCTTTTAGAACTACGTTACAATTTTACAATTTAGCTGAACCTTTAATCGTGAAACTGGGCGCCATTCTCTTGACCTTCCGGCACTCTGCTTCAGTCGGGGGAAGCACTTAATTCAGGAGAAAAGCATGAAGCTGTTATAAACTGAAGCATCCGTTCTGACTGAAGCGAGCTCGCTGATGCTGAAGATCACAAACCGTGGCGAGGGGCAAAGAATTGCTGAGCTGTCGCAAAGATGGCGAGTATTAACCATGAACTCGTGTGTCGGGATTGCAGCTTTTGGACATTGGGTTGCAAAAGTTCACATCAGCTGATCTTATGCTGCCGTTCCTCCTGTTAATATTTTTCACATGAAAAGGTGATTAACCAGCATGTTGGCGCAGAGTTGGGGACTTTTTAAAACTCGGTTATACAGTAACCACACCCTTCGATTTAACAGGAATGGAATCTCTTCAGTTTGTTTGACTCACACAAAAAAAGTTTAATGTCTGAGGACCAAAGATAACCATTCTGTGATGGTAACAACGTCTCCATGGTAAAATGATCTCATCGGGTCAACAGCACGTTCACACGCTAAACAGTTAACATCAGTAAACACACAAAGTCTCAAGATTATCTGTCTTATCAGCCGTCACAGGCCGGGGTTTGATAGAGAAAGATTTAGATATTCCCATGAAGTGAAGAGTCATCATTGAAGCTGAGCCGAGCGGTACGTTAGTCTGAGGAGGCTGTTTGTTTTGGTTTTGGAGCCCCCTGTGGACGAAGTTTGGATTCATCTCTGAGCAAAGCCGTCGAACGAATGTCAAAGTAAAGAGGTGAATATCCTCATCCAGAGTCTGACAGAGGCAAAGACGGGAAGAAAATCACCGTTCTGTGAGAGACGGCGAAAGAATCAGAGAAAGAAACAAAAGAGGGAAGTCTGAGATCCGGTCCTGGATTAGTGCCATCGAAAGGCCGTCAGGCGTTCACTGTTATCTACAACCACTTTGTCACCCCGTCCACAAATCCAGACGTGCCCACAGAGGAAACCATGTTCCACAAACAAGAAACTTCTTTTTCAGCTCATTTCAAATGAAGTTAGATGAGGCGCATCATGCATGAAAAATGCTTTTATATGGCTCTGCTGCCATAAATACCTTGACTGCACCGACTTTTGTTGTCGTACGACTGAGATCAAAGTTTTTCTGGCCCTGACCCATCGGAGAGACTGATTACCGTCTGAACTGTAAACACTGAAGCTTTCATATCTGAAATGGCAGCACAAAGAAAGATAAGCGTCTGTTTCCAAGACGTTATCTTGTTCCTCGACTATCATAAAAAGTGGATTTGACTTTTTTCAGTTTGAGTGCCTCCTGTCCTCAAAGCAGTTCAGCGTACTTCCTCATAGTTCTCATCAATAAAACATGCCAAGACATCTCAACATGGTGTGTCTTCAAACTGTCAAACTCATCAGTGAAAGTGTTGATCTGATGACAAATGAGTCAGTGGAAATAAGTTTGTTTTTGTAACTACCTGAATATGGAGAGAGTGCCGAAAAACACCAAAACCAGTCCGGTGAGTCCTCCAGAAGATCCAGAACCTGACCCCAAACAGGCGGGAACTGCAGTCCCAGTCCGTAAATGTAAATGTTCTTAATTTATGCAGCACTTTACTACAACCCTTCTGGTGAACCAAAGTGCTTTACAATAGAAAATAAAAATGAATACATAAAAACAATAAAAGCAACAAAAAAATAATAAAATACAATGCGATAAAATAAAGGATGGAGCGGGAGATCGATAGGCGGATCAGAGCGGCGTCAGCAGTGATGCGGACGCTTAACCGATCAGTCGTGGCGAAGAAAGAGCTGAGCCGTAAGGAGAGACTCTCGATTTACCGGTCGATCTACGTGCCAATCCTCACCTACGGTCATGAACTTTGGGTAATGACCAAAAGAACAAGATCGCAGATACAAGCGGCTGAAATGGGTTTCCTCCTCAGGGTGTCCGGGCTCAGCCTTAGAGAGAGGGTAAGGAGCTCGGACACTCTGGAGGCGCTCAGAGGAGAACCGCTGGTTAGGACGCCTTCTGGACGCCTCCTGTTAGAGGTGTTCCAGACATGTCCCACCGGGAGGAGACCTCGTGGCCGGCCCAGGACCAGGTGGAGGGATTATATCTCGCCTGGCCTGGGAGCGCCTGGGAATCCCCCCCGGAGGAGCTGGTGGAAGTGGCCGGGGTGAGGGCCGTCTGGGCTTCGACGACGGCAATAAAATAAAGTGTCACCACGCTACTGGGTTTTAAAAATCAGCACAAATAAATACGTTTTCAATCAGGATTAAAAAAAGGCCCAGGTCAAAAATAAGTCTCATTTCTGCGGGGAGTTTATTCCAGAGCCTGGGACCAGCGACTGAAAGGTCTCGGTAACCCCAGTGTTGGACCTCAGAGCTCTGCCCGGCACCCGAACGGTTAAAAGCTCAGATAAATCGGTGGGGGTGACGGGAAGCCGGTGAAGGGAGATAAAGACGGGGTGATGCGCTCACGTCTGTCTGAAAGCGACGAAGAGATGATTGGAAGATGCCGACATAAAGTGTGTTACAATAGACGGGTTTCTCGTGCACAAACAATACTAGGTGCACATGCAACCATGGGGCAAAGGTCTGCTTCGGAGTGAACTGACATCAATGAAGATGTCGTATTGTTTGCCAGGTCTCCCCGACACAATTTCAATAAAATGTCATTGAAAAACACTCCGTCTTTCACTGCATCAAAATCAGAAAAACTCGCTGAAACGTCCACGAATTTCACTCAATCTACCAGGTCATGACGTTGTTTTAGATGTCTCTGATATCAGGAGCAGGTCGGAATGTTTGCCGATCGTTTGTTTTGCTGATTCGTGCAGTTTACAGCACAACCGCTCCCTGTCATTTTTTTCTCCGTTGACTCCGCTAGTAAAATAAATAAATAAGAAATGTCCCGCATACCTGCCATGACGTTGCACAGAAACCCGTATATCATCCAATCATGAACTGATTAGAGCACAGATGGATATCTGAAGGTTGTCCCGGCTGAAAATCATTTTGATCTTGGCCAGGAAGAAAACTAGTCCTGACAACATTGTCAATTTGTTTGTCAAAAACCAATCCCAGATTCCTGACAGTTTATTATTTAGATATAGAAAATTTTGAGCCAACCTCTGCTTAACATCAACATTACAAGCAAACTAAGAATCTTGCGCACTGCCAAAGTTTGTCAGACACGTTTGCAGATATAAATATGTGAGAGGAAGTCAAACCCCAATCATGTCAGGTGCTAAATGCATAAAAATCTCGACCCGGTTCGTTCCTGTCCTCGTTCACACACATTCACAATAAAGTTAATTTAAGCCCAAATGTCAGGATGAAGTCATTTCAGTGAGAGTTTGTTTCACACCTGCTCACACAGCGTAACTTATACGGTTAAACAAACAGCCGAACACACCTCAACATGTCCGCACAGGTTCAAACCCTTAAACTGTCTTTATCTGTTACTATATTTAGCTCTGTGCTATTTTTAACCACTGACGGTGATTTAATCATTAATTCGACACTGAAGCGTTACCTCACCCCTGGAGAATTCAACTGTTTCTGTCCTTGTGCTAAAAATAGAAACGGACGTTTATTCAGGTTACATCTGACTTTCTAATCTCAAGAGTTGCATCATGCTCAGCGTTCAGCCGAGAGCAATAACTTCAAGTTTCCTCATCGTTCATGTTCAGCACTCTCACATACCATTGACAAATCTGATGACAATCTTTAAAGAGTTTCTACTGCTCCATAAAATAAGACTGCACAACTCGGCTCGGACTCAGTTCAGACTGAGGTTTTCATCATCAACTGCACCCAGATTCCTCACCTTTCCTGCTGAGCCTGGACTCATAATCATGACCTCAGTTTGATCTGATTTTAGCTGCAGGAAACGACGAGAAATCCATCATCTGTTTATGTCTCTAAAACAGTTTTTATTAGTGTGTTAAAATAGTTATCATACAGCTGAGTATCATCCGCATATGAGTGAAAACTTACATGGAGGAAATGACCCAGGGGTAAGAGGAGGAGTGGTCCAAGGACAGTTTGCATGGTGTGAAATACGATCCTCCTGAAACACGGAGTGTTTTATTTTGAAAAGAAGCCGGATGTTTTATTTTGTGTCTGTGCCCGACTTCCTTTCCAGCACGGGTTAATCTGTGCTGAATTTATCCGCCATGCTCCGGCGTCTGGAAAAAATCGAACTCTTGTGATCAGCTGAGGAGTCCGGCGATCCTCAGAGGAACGGAAAGAAGTCGGTGTAAATTGACACGTTAACTTGAATGGTTACGATCAGCTACGATCGGAAGATACGACCTTTTAGGAGACAATCAGGATGAAGGTGGAGATTAGGGGTTAGACAGAAGATCTATGGTGATTATTACTTTAAGGAATTGATAAAGAAATGATCATAAATGTTCTTCCTTGAGCTGCGGCACCCCGCTGTAGTCCGTAATGGACTGGCCTGAGGTCTCATTACAAACAAGCAGCTGCTGGAAGAGAGTAGGTGAGTTGTGTTTAGTCTCTTTGCTAAAGAAATGAGTCAAAGTTAAAAAGATGTTTGGTGTCTAGTACTATGTCTGTGACCCTATATGTCCTGTTGATGAAGTTAGGTGCTGTTCTGAGCATTATTTGTGGCTATAGAGTGGAGGTTTGGTTGGGGGCGTGGCTCTCTGTATTTCTATCCTGTCAGCGAAATTCATCTCTGGAGGGGGGGTCTAACTTTGCCGGAATATCCCTTTAACACGTATAAACATTAATGATCTTACAGTTAATGACTCGCCGCTTTCTTCCAAAGAATGCTGACGCGAAGTTTCGGTGCAAATCAACCGTTAACACTTTCAAACGTGAGGATGTTTAGAGAGGATTAGCTGAACAAACCTCCTTTTTCCTCATGTTTTCACCTCACATTGTCTCCGCTCTCGGCTTTCATCACATCCTTAATCCATTAAACTCTGACACGAACCATCTTCTGTGTCAAATACCAATCATGTCAGAGCAGAGCTCTCCTGACTCAACCCCGTCTTTGTTTCTACTCTGCAGAAATACAGAAGTCTGCAAGAGCGAGTGAAACTGATGATGAAACCTGTGACGCAAACGCTCAGGACTAAACCAGACCACCCTGTTCCTGAAAAACTGCCCATGTAGTCCTGATCCAGCTCTACATGACAGACAGGAGTTCAATAAACAGGATCTGTGAGTGCCGTCATCATAAACACTCACTGAGGTCAGTGTGAGTTTGGGCCTCGACTTACACAATCCAGAGTTCACGTATGTTTGATAATGTAAATAATCTGACGCTTAAATCGAGGTGCAGAGTCTGCTTTCTTATCCGTGTTGTTTCATTAAATCCTGAAAAAATGATTTAAAGGTCTTTTAAGTGATTTTTAACGGCACTGAGAAGTTTACGAAGTTGTTGACGATTATTGCAGGTCTTCAGAAATCTCCTCCACGATTTCCAAAAAGAGAGTCACTTTATGATTCAACAGATCTCAGGACAGTCTCCCACGCGGACTCTCCATTTTTGGACGTCGGCACCGGTGGACAGGGGCACCGTTTGGGTATGGCAAGGTATGACACGGACGGACTATGCTACTGGCACTTTTAGATTTTAACCCCCCTGGTGTACCGGGACTTTTTTGCAGCATCGCGGGACGACGTAACTCAGTCCTGTTCTAATTCTCTCGGACCGATTCGAGACGATGATCTCTTCTGCTGACGCCTCTCTGCTGCTCCTCTCCGTCTGGCTCGTGCTCAGGGCACTGCATGCAAACATTTAAAGGGGTTTGCCGAAGTGAGACCTCTAAAGATAGACAATCTTTGGGGCTGTTTCCACGACGTCACTACCTCAACGTCACTACGCATGAATATAGCGCGAAAACCATACAACTTCCCCGGGTCACTACCAGGAAGTCACATTTGTTTATGTTCAGGTTTCAGCAGAAAAGGTCCAGATGTGGTTGTAGTTAAAGTTTTTGACGAATATTGTCTCCTGGATATTCGGGTTCATTCTTCTGTTGTTTGTAAAAGAAAACGTTATATTTTTACTACCTGGGTGGGGTATTGAGACTATAATCTAATCCATAGTACTGATAGTGATAATTGATATTGATTGAAATATAAAGTTTCTTAATTTTGCTCTGAAATCACGATTACAGAGTTTAACGACAGGACGAAGCACCAGCATGTGTCCTCAACACAAATCTTAGAAGAGAAGAAGAAGAAGTGGGAAGAAGATTTGTCCACAGATGAAGTCGTGATCCTCCTCCTTCCGTCTGAACAAACAGTCTGACTTGTTGGCAGCGTCGGTGCGGTTTACTTCAAGCTACCACATTTGGAAGATGGTTAAGGCGTGTTTACCAGCCGCTGGTCTGCATGAGTAATCCAGCCAACACCCCATTCCTTCTTGTTTTACTTTGACAATCATCTTTGTCTTAAATTAAGGATTATAAAACGTGTCAATAACTCGGATGACGTCTTGCAGGTTGTCAGGGTCACCAAAAAAGTCCGGCTGCATTGACTCCTCTGTAACTTGTTTTTGTTTGACGTAGAGACTGAACCGCTGACAGGTGTGATCATTGTTACAAAGACGATTATAATCAAACAATAACTCATCAAAGTATTCAGCTGTCAATTACTCTGGTCTGAGGAGACGTCTGCGGAGTTTCTCACCTTTTGTCTGTAAACTGGAGTTCAATAACACAATTCACACTCTTATTATCATTCTTATCCTGTTTCTACGTCAACTTCGGTTGCACGTGTCTGCTACAGAGCCGGCCATGTGATGGTGTAGCCGTGAGAGAAGCTTCTACACGGTTTAAACAGAGTTAAAACGGTTTTAAAAGACGATTTAAAAGGTTTTATCTCATGTTTGTGTTCACTGAGATCTCGTCTTTTGTATCTCTGGAGTAAACAGGCTGATATCCTTGTTTCTACAGCAGCTGAGCTTGTTTCTGTCTTTGGATCTCAGTCCAGTTTTGATAATTCTAATTTTGTGAGAGGGGTCTAACTGCAGACTGACCTCCACTGTCAGGACCCGCCCCTCTGAGAGGACCCGAGGCGGCGTTTTTCTCAGCCGCAACAGTTTGTTTTTGCCGCTTCTTCAATTTGTATTTTCTTTTTGTTGAACATGAACACACAAAAAATCATATTAAAATTAATAAACAAGACAAAAAATAGGTACTTCCCAGTGTAATCGCTTTTAATTTTAAAAGGCTTCAAATCAAATTCTGACATGTAAGAAAAAAAGAAACCTATTTCTGGAACATTTGCTTTTATTTTAAAAGGCTATGAATCAACTTCTGACCAAAAATAATAAGTTCTTCCAGTGTTTTCACTTTTATTTTGTCAGGCATCGCATCGACTTCCAATGTAAAAAACATACTTCTGTTATGATTGCTTTTATTTTGAAATGCTATGAATCAACTTAAAATGTAAAAAAAAAACCGACTTCCTAAGACCTTATTTCCTGTATATATGCTTTTATTTTGAAATGTCAGATCAACTTTAGACGTAAAAGAACGTACTTCCGGAATTTTTGTAATTTTTTTGGAGGGCTCTGAATCAATTTCCAACATGTAAAAATTACTTCTGTTATGATTGCTTTTATTTTGAAATGTTTCAAATATCAACTTCTGATGTAAAAACACACTTTGGTAATATTTGCTTTTATTTTGAAATGTTTTGAATCAACTTCTAACATACAAAAAAATGTACTTCCATTATATTTTTGCTTTTATTTTGAAAGGTCCTCACAGTGGAGGTCTGCAGTCAGACTGTCTTAAATTTTGCTGCCCTGTAAACTCTCTAAGAAGAACAAAGACATGTTTGTTTCTCTGCACCTTGTTTACAGTTTCACGTGTGCAAAGAGACAAACTTTTTATCTTTATAGCATCTTTAAAAGAAACGATTAACTCCTCCCCTTTATAATTATAGTTATTACAGTCTGATAAAATAGGTGTCGTCCTTTTATTGACAGATCCATGGAAACAGGGCGTCACTCCAGTTTTTCCTGTGCGGACTCGTCTTCACCTGAGAGACGCATCAACCAAGCAGGAACACGGCCAAGACAGCAGAGGAGGCCTCCCTCTGGAGCGATGGTGAAATCCAGCTCGGCGTTTCGGTTATTAAAGATAATCGGAGATGCAGATTAGATAACAGCTAATAAAGCGACGCCCATAAGAAGCCGCAGTAATTTTATCTTCCACAGACTTGCAGAGGTTTCAGGTGAAGACAGGAATATCACAGGTACCTACGCATATCTGACAGGGAAAGAGGGCTGACTGAGCCAAATTTCCACTGAAGGATATTTACAGTGAGAGTTTTGATTCCAGATACTGTCCGCCCACATATTCCAGGATGAGGTGAATCCCTGAGAATAACTAAACATCACTAAATCACTAAATATATAAGCATATAAGCAGTAGATCGTGTCCTTCCAGAAGAGGAAATCTACTTCTAGACTTCTAGAATTATATTAGTCAGTCAGGTCGCCCTCTGATTCGCCAATCTTAAACCGGCGGAAACAAAAAAAAAAAAGGACTCCCCTCACCGTAACCATGGAGCTCCTGAGCTAATCCGACCAGAACCTTTTGTTGGACCAGGCTGTGAACATTTTACAGGGCAAAAATATCTGTACATGCAGCCTCAAGTGGACACTCTGGGAACTGCAGTTTTTCAGACTTTTTTTTTTTTTAACCTGGAGCAGCGATAATCTGAAGGTTGTTTGTCTGAGTTTATACGTCTCAACTAACCCACGCTGAAGGGTCCAAACTCAGTGTTCTGGTTTTGGTTAGCCCCAGAGAAAAACAGTGTGTTCAAATATTTGTGTCAATCATCAAGTGTTACCGAGGAGGAGGAGGAGGAGGAGGAGGAGGAGGCCCTGGCATGTTCCTGGTTCTTTTTCCTTGGCACTTGTCAGGAGTCATGAAATAAACCTGTTGGGTTGGTGAGAGTGTTTCCATGCCAGAGGAGCGGTGATACATGCTGACTTTTTCCAACCACACACCAGCTGAACAATCTGAGTTTCCAGGAGGAGCTTCAAGAAAAACTCGGAAAAACTAACGACAGTCTGTCTGTGGGAACTTTTTAAACTTGGATCTGATCTGTGGTTTCATGATGCGCTCCAACATGGTTCATGAAGGGTTAGGACGGGGTCAGGACCAGCTCGAATGGTTCCATGATGAAACAAGATACTGGTTATATCATAAAAATGTGTGATATCATCATAAATCATGCTCCGGCGCAACCCGGGTATTTAAAACAGCCGAGGATTCTCAGATCAGTCTCACTGGAAATACAAAAACAACAAGCCCTCAGGAGGAGACCCAAACAGAGAGATAAAGAGAATAGATTCTGCAACCAGAGGAAATCTATGATCTCCCGAGGCTAGGACCAGACTCTACCCTCTGAGATGACAATATTCAACCCACACAAAGTGGGTTCATCAGAGACCACCTCAGGAATTCTGGGTTATTAGAGACTATTTCTAGAGTTTGGGTTTATTGAAGACCAAGTCCAGAATTCTCGATCCCGTTGAATTCTTGTTGGATCAGGAAGGGGGACTGAAAAACCAGTTGCTGATTTTTAGTAAATGCAGTGAGTTGGCCTTTCTTATCCTTCTGTTTGTTAAATGAATAAATCAATAATCACCAACAGGCCTCGTTTCTCTTGACGTTTAATCCACTAAACTGACAGAATCAAGTGTTTGGTATTCTGGGAGAAGATCTGCGAGTGGTCCTCTCTGGTGGGATGAAACATCAATCGTTGGTTCTTCTAAAATCAGTCGTTATAATTCATGTTTATTTTGCGTCACTATCCTTCAGCGAGGAACAAATCTTAATAATCACCGACACGCGTTCAAACCACAGATGTAAAACAAAGCTCTGTTGTTATGAAGGTTGAGTGACACATAAAGAAACTTAAACCCAGATAACCCGTATGAACCCGTCCTGCTCTGATTTAACTCGGTCATTTATGAGCCGAGGTGACGAAACCTGAGGAGATACGGATCAGTGAGTGACAGAGTACAGACGGGAGAGGAGAGAGACTTCCTGTTATAGAACTAAAACACATAGAAGAGCAGGGCCAAACTTTCAAATATGTAAAAAAGAGAAGTTTGTGGTGTTTCCAGGTTTGGTCGGTGATCGTGTCAACATCTGAAACAGACAAAGAAAGGTTTCGTTCATCAAACCAAAGTAGAGCCTCATTTCATCGTTTCCAGGTTTATTGCAGTTTAAAGCAATCATGAAACCAACGAGCACTTTCAGTTTTTATAGATATGTTCAACAGTTTGATAAAAAATGGAGATAAAGTTCACAGAGAAAAGAAAAACTCGAGACTCGAAGGACATAGAAGGAATTTTTGCACCATGAATAACAAGCGTAAAAATGTCAAGGCTGAGAGCGTGATTTATGAACCGTCGGAGCGGCCCGAGGCCTCAGGATCCAGACAGGAAGAAGAGCAGAGATCTCCAGAGACGTGAAAAAGATCAACGCTGCTGCTTCTGAGAGAAATAAAGACGAGCGCATGTTGTTTTTAGAAATCAGCTGATCGGAAATCTTTAAAAACAGCTGACCGTGTTTTTATCTGTGAGGAATCTTTCATACCGGACTGAAGCTACACAACAGGTGACACACACACACACACACACACTCATACACACACAAAACACACAGTAGTGCCTGCACTTAAGGGCTTTGGTCAAGTATGAAGGCAGACGGTCGAGAGACAGAGAGAGAGAGAGAGAGAGAGAGGCAGAGAGAGAGAGAGAGAGAGAGAATAGGGAGAGAGTGCAGATGTGTGCAAATGTCTGCACAGAGAGAGTCCTCCTGAAATGTTTCCCATCATGCATCATCCTCTGAGTGGTCGTCGCTCCTCATCCTCTCGCGCTCTCTGTGTCGCTGGATGGCTCTCCAGATGCGACAAAGGACTCCGCCCCTGAGAGGAGGAAAAACCAAATATGGCGGTTTGAACAAATTTGAGATTTCATGGAGGGAAACTAAAGAGGCTTAAAGCAGAAAAAAAAGACGTGAAAAGTTCAGGTTCCCGTGGTTATTGTCGAAGAGATTCTCGCCACTTTTTCTAATGATGCGTTCCGGTTACTTTGGAAGTCGGATGTCGGATCTGGGAATGACGTTACACACGAGTTTTACTGGCGTTCAGTAAACAAGTCGGAAAATCAAGACAGACACTTACTGCGAACCATTGTCAGCTGTTGTTAGTCGTTGTTGGCGGTTGTTAGTCGTTGTCAGTTGTCGTTACCATTTGTCAGCTATTGCTCGCCGTTGTCAGTGATTGTTAGTCGTTGTTAGCCAGATTAACAACGACTTGGAAAACCGTGCCGGAAAGGAAGTCGGGCACAGATACAAAATAAAACATCCGGCTTCTTTTCAAAATAAAACACTCTGAGGAGATGCTGATTCTAGAAGTCTAGAAGTAGATTTCCTCCTCTGGAAGGACACAATCTACTGCTTATATGTCTATGTGTCTGTCTTCATTGAGACGACTCGTTATCGTGCGATTACCGTGAAATTCGCCTCACAAACTGATCTGGTAGGAATTGGCGGACGGCAAAAATCTCAGCCGTTCCAGATGCGTCAGAAATTGGGGGTTAGTCTGAGAACTGATACTGTGACTCTGTAGTTTAAATCACAGCATGAGCTCGAGAACAGATCCAGAAAATGGTTCTGGTGTGTCGTCATCAGAAGTCAAAGGTCAGAGGAGCAGGTTTACCGCAGACGCAGACAGCGGAGGTCGTCTTTGGTGACGTCACTCAGGATGTCGGTCAGCGTGTATTCCTCCAGAACAAACTGGAACAAAAACACAAACTCGTTTAAGACACAGAAGGTCTGAAGATGACGGACGTTTGAAGACCATCAGACGCTCCACCTTATCCACAGTGTCGGCGTCGGCGCCCTGCTCCTTCAGCCAGTCGGTCAGCTGCTTGTCCGGCTCGTGGTCGGCCGGGATGTGGAAGATGGAGGGAGGGGAGACGTCTGAGGAGAAATGGAGATCAGCGAGGAGAGAAGGAGGAGGAGCAAAAAACCAAACCGTCTGTGAGTCCGTGTGTCTACCTGGAGGTTTGTGTCGGACTCTGACCAGGTCCAGGTCGTGGGTTCGCTGCTGCAGGGTGGCCTTCAGGACCTGCTGGTACTCCTTCTCCTTCTGCAGCAGCTCCTCCAGCAGCCTGCAGGGGGCACCACAGAGACAAAGACATGTTCATCTTTACATCTCAGGTGTTTTTCCACGTTTACCTGATAAAGGGAAACTTTTTTTTAAAGTTTGCTCGACAGACACGGCGAACAGACCGGTTTGAGCAGATCAACAAGATCCAGCTCGGCCCTGCATACGTGGTTGATACTGTCGCTTCACTTCTACTTCCTCACAGGTGAAGAAACAAAAACGACACAAACATGTTAATGGAAACGTACATAACTGTAAACACTGATTAAGGATTTCATCATCCATCATCACTGTCAGTCAGCTCTACGCCTCAAGAGTGAATCTCCAGGTTTAAATTGACAAATCCAGATTATAATCAGGACAGGATCACCTCCGGGCTCAGAAAACCCCCTCTGATGAAATCCTCCCCTCTGACGGATCATTTTCAAACAAACTTCTTTACAGCTGAACTTTTGAGGTCGTGCAGAAATGATCGACTCTGACTTTAACAACATTTCTGTTTTTTTAACTTTTGATTCAGTTCAGAGAACAAAGAAACTTCAGGTGAACTCCAGGACGAGGATTTCCTCCAGGTCTAGTCAGGCCTTTGGTATGTTTACTATTTCAGCAACACCCCATCCCCCCCTACACACACACACACACACACACACACATATCTGAGTGGTGAAAGCATGGGGTAAATCTGAAAGTAAATCTGAAGTATGATCTGTTCCACACCGTCCTATCTCCTGAATTTGGAGCAAACTGCGTCTCAGACTGACTCTGGATCTCTGGAACAATCTCGTTGTGCACAAGTGAAATGACAATAAAACATCTCCTCCTCCTCCTCCTCCTCCTCCAAAAACCCTTTAGGTAACAGTTTTTGTATCTGTGGAGAGCAGTGATTGGCCGATTATCAGCTGATTATCTGTATTTGATTTTACAGATTTAATTTATAGGCAGGATTTCGTTAAAGAAGCTTTTTTTTTGTGGTGTATTTACAAAAATCTTCTAATATCAGTCAATAGTTATTAGTTATTGATGACATTTGGTAATATATCGATATCTCTGTGTTCTCTTCTGTCTGTGTCGTCAACATTTGAACATTTTTGAGCGGTCCGCTCTTTCTGACTGTAAACAAAGCCGTTCTCCACCTCCTCTAACCTGATTGGTTGTGAGGCAGACGCTGCTCCCCCGTGTCGTTCAGGAGCCCAAACAAAGTTAGCGTGCTACAATATCGGACAGTAGAAACCAACCAGAAAGTTCGGAAAATTGTCTGAATCCTCCTTTGGCCACGACTGCCGACACAAGCAAGAAAACAAAGTAAATACCGGAGACTCTGGAGGAATAACGGGCGCTTAAAACGGAGGTAGACCGGACAAGAGCTAAAAAGCCGGGTCAACATAAACCATGGGGGACGCTTGGGGATCTTCACTTTATCATTTCCTTAAAGTAATAATCATCATATTAATCATTTTTCTCTGCAGACGCAGTAGTTCTTCTGACTTAGCGTCTCAGTCTGATTGTATTTCCATGAAGAAATGATCGTACATGTTCTTCCTTGAGCTGTGGCACCCCACTGTAGTCCATAATGAAGTTAGGTGCTGTTCTGAGCATTATTTGTGGCTATAGAGTGGCGTTTTGGTTGAGGGCGTGTCTCTCTGTATTTCTATCCTGTGGTCGTTACTAAAGTTGGTATAACTAGAGAAGCAAGCGGTCGACAACATTCATCTCTGGAGGGGGGGGGTCTAACTCGGTGTTAACTTATATCCCTTTAATGAAATAATCTGAAATTCATGTTGAAGCTTTTTCAAAATAAAATAATAACAGAGTTTTTGGGGAACACATTTATAGGTGAACGTTTGAGAGCGTGCAGTGATTTAATCCCCGTATGTTTTTGTTGCTCTGTCTTCATGATCAGCTGTGTTCAGTAAAGACCACCTGAGGAAGAAACTGGACCTTCACTGGGACCTGAACCAGGACTCTCCGTTTGTTTATTTGAAAAACTCTGATCAGGTTCTGCAGCTGAAGTTTTTTACATAACCACAATCTCTCTAACCAGAGTGTGTGTGCGCTAAAATCACTCTGTGGGATAATTACTGATAATAACTCTCCTTTATCACACACATCCCTGGAGGTATACAAGCTACTGTGAGCAGGTGTGTGGGTGTGTAAGTGTGTTTATTTTGGTGTGTGTGTTTAAGACAGCTCAAATTCTTGACTCCAATTCAAACCAAGTGAGTCTGCCTTAAAGCGATATCTCTCTCCTGTGTGTGTGTGTGTGTGTGTGTGTGTGTGTGTGTGTGTGTGTGTGTGTGTGTGTGTAGGAAAGTTAGAGCTAACACCCTGAAATCAACACTTCCTCATCTCAAGTTCCCTCCAACAAAAAAAAACACCCTTCACTGTTCAGATTTACTGGAAATCGTTCACTTTCACTCGGTTTCAGAAACTTTAGATTCTTTCTGCAAAAGTTTGTCGTGATTTAAGAGAAGCTCTGCAGACTTTTATTTTGAAGGCGGTGGCTTTGGGTTTCTTCGAGCACATTCTGCATTTGCCAAAGTTTTTTTTTGACATGTTGTAAATCAGGTTTTTTGGCACGACTTTAGTTTTTAGTGAAAAAGATATTTTGCAACAAAAGGACTCCTTTTCCTGAACAGCATGTCCTCTATTATTACTGCACTCACTGTACTTAGATTAGCTCAAGGGCCTGTGTCCACTGACTGCATTTCTTTGTGCTGTCTGCCTCCCTCTGCTGTAACTCAGTTTTAAAGGGATATTCCGGTGTAAAATTAATTTAGGGTCAAACCCATCGAGTTAGACCCCCCCTCCAGAGATGAATGTTGTCGACCGCTTTCTTCTCTAGTTATACCAACTTTAGTAACGACCGCAGGATAGAAATACAGAGAGCCACGCCCCCAACCAAAACGCCACTCTATAGCCACGAATAATGCTCAGAACAGCACCTAACTTCATCAACAGGACATATAGGGTCACAGACATAGTACTAGACACCAAACATCTTTTTAACTTTGACTCATTTCTTTAGCAAAGAGACTAAACACAACTCACCTACTCTCTTCCAGCAGACGCTTGTTTGTAGAGAGACCTCAGGCCAGTCCATTACGGACTACAGCGGGGTGCCGCAGCTCAACAAGAACACATGGCTAGGATCATGTGACAAGTTTTTTTCTAACGATGTTCATTTCAGGGTCGAACGCCGCGAGCATCATGGACACGATTTCAAAATAAAAGCATCATCGTGTAAAAACAGGAGGAGTCTGACCTCCTGTTTTCGTTTCCTGCCGCACTTTGACGCTTTGTCCGTACCTGTTGGTTTCCTGTTTGAGCCTCCCCAGCTGCGCCCCGAGCTGGTGATGCGAGCGCTGGTGCTCCTGGGAGTGGGCGGAGTTTAACGTGAGGGATGTGGAGTGGATGGGGTCGGCGGTCGCCCCGGAGTCGTCGGCGTGAGGAGCTAAAACCGGACCGAACTCTGCTTCCTCTTCGTCGACCTCGTCCTCCTTCTCCGCTCCCTCGCACTCCGACGCCGGGCCCAGGTGGGTCTGCAGCTCTGAAGGGTCAAAGGTCAAAGTTATGACATGTGAGTATTTAACCCGGATAGTTTTGTAAAGACACACAGGAAGTGAACGGTCAATTTAGAGCGCAGCCGCCTGACGCTCTCACCTGGTATGAGGATGGTGATGGCGGCCTGCACAGCTCGCCGGATGATGTTGTCCATGGCGAACATCCAGTGAGGTTTGATGTGATGGTTCCTGAGGACTTTGTTGACCTGAAGACGGCGGAGAGAAACACGGAGAGGTCAGTTTTCAGCGTTCATACATCCACTGATCTATAATCAGAACGCGTTCGCTGACCGAGTCCTGGAAGCCGAACAGAACCAGCTGGATCTGGTTGATGGAGGTGGAGTCAAAGTCCAGGTCCAGCTTGAGCTTGGAGATGGTGGCGGCCATGACACGCCTCTCCGGGGAATGAATGAAGTCTCTGAGGATGCAGATGATCTGTTTGATGTGATCGACGGACAGCTGGAGCTCCTCACTGCCCTGTACAGACACACGAACACACACACACACACACACACACACACATATATACTGAACATAAACATCCATGAAGATCCAGGACTGACGTCAGGATCAGTTTATTCTTCACAGACTGACCCAGAAAGACTCAAAAACTTCACTAAAATAAACTCCTAACCCTAAAGAGTCATTTACCTTCTTCCTCCTGACACACAAGACTCCAAAACAATGACTGCAGCTCCACCTAGAGGCTCTACGAGTTACTGCACAATGAAATCTAAAGAAGTTTTGTTTTGGATCCATCATTAGTTAACACAAAATCTGCAGTAACTCCACTTCCTCGGGTCCTTCTCTTCTTTTCCATTTTGAACTTAGACGTCACACTTACATAATACTCAGTCTACACTTCATTCATACAGGAGCTCTTATTCGCTCATACAGGAGCTTTTTTTCTCTCTTGCTTGTTGAAAAATAAACCAAAACAAAAATTAGATGAAGAAAGAAAAATGAAAAGACAAAAAGAAAAGCAGAACTTATTTTAGGGAAAACAAGAAAACTTAACCCATCAGAGAGAAGAGCTGAACTCAGTTTCATTGTATGTAAACAAATACACCTTTAATAGTTTGTTAAAGTAACTTCTGTTCATGTCTGGAATTAAAAAGTACTCTTCACTTAAGACGGGTATTGCTGCAGACCCGGAGACTCTCGAGTCAGGACGCAGAAACCACGCCCCTCTAGCCATGACTTTTCAGAATAAAAGCACAGAAAGCAGCCCGGAGTCAAAAGTTTATGCCGATAACGATAAACAAAAGAAACATGGAGATTGTGTAGGATGTAGTTGTTATGAACATCTTGCACAGAAGACAAAAAAACGGAGGCAGCGCTGGAGAGGGCGGTGGTCAGTATGCTAATTACCTCGCGTTTGGAGGGCGGCATACTGTCTTCCGCCATTATTTTCTTTGTTTCTCTCTAGGCATGCATATCGTCTATTGAAACCGAATTGAGTCTCAAGAACACAATTAGAGAATGCAGATTTATTAATGATTACAATGATCATACATTTTAATAATAAAACATGGAATGAATAACAGGACCCGCCCTCCCTCAGACCAACGAACGTGCGGCACCCCCCGCCCACCCCGGACTGACAACTGTTCGGTGTTCATTGTATATACCCACCTTGCTAGTAAGCGCCATCACTGCCATCTATTGTAGTTCTAAAAGTTCCCACGCACCCGTTGTATTTATAGTTTTATGAAAATTGACCTTTTTGACCCTTTATTATTGCCGTACGATTTATCATTTCATGAATTTTGACCTTTTAGTATTGCCGTAGGAAGCGCCCCGTCCTGACACGAGAGCCTCCAGGTCTGCAGCAATATCCTGTTGCTTCATTTGGGCGACTGCATCATTTCTTTGATGCCTGCCTCGTACCACACAGACTTGACTTGCGCCACACCGCCGGCGAGGCACGAAAATAGAGCCTTGTGTCTTAATTTTCATTTACAAATCATGGTCCTGGTCTGCATCAGGACATCTGGTCTGTGAACTGCAGGTCTGGTGGTCCCTGCTCAGACTTCAAACCCACCTGGATGTGGTTCTCCCGGAGGTTGGAGATGACCTTGGCCTGGTCTTCGTTGAGGACCTTGTAGAGGATGGCTCGTCTCTCGCTGTCTTTCTTCAACAGGAACAGACCGCTGTCTCTGTCCTCAGGAGAGGGGGGGGCGCTGCGGTCCTCGGACACCGAGCCTTCGTCTGGAACACTGCAACACACACACACGCGCGCACGCACACACACACACACACACAGAGTGATCTCACTGCAGTCTGATATCAGGCTCTGATTTACAGCTGTGTGACGGTGTCGAGTTTATTTACAGATACAAGCTTCTCCTGGTTACTCTGTGTGTTTAGGAGCGAGAGTGGAGAGAGAGCATGAGTCAGCACACACACACACACACACACACTTGTCTGTGCACATACAGGTGTGTGTTTACGTGTGTGTCTGAAGCTAAAGCTCATAAAATTATCAGAGCTCATTATAGCCGTGTTGTTAAAGGCAACGGAGCGCACCGCCAGCACAATGAGGCCACCTGTCACCAAAGTACACACACTGAACTACACACACACTCACATGCACAACATAACACATGATCTGAACTATCCTGGCAGGATGTTCTCCTGCAGTGAGACGGAGTTTGAACCCTCTCAGAGGCGTTCAGAGTGAGCGTGCATCATCACAGGAAGTCTGTGTACGTTAAATTTTAGAGGTTAGCGGTCAGTAAAGATCTCCTTCAGGACCTCTGAGTTTGAGACATGATATTCAGTTCCCCTGAATCCCCACACAGACCTCAGGTAGTTGGAGTTGGGCGGTTTGAGCAGGTTCTCAGATCCCGGGATTTTCTTCTTCTGGAAGAAAACGTCGTGTTTGGAGTCGCAGTCCGGGCTCACAGACCCGTGTTCGCTGCTGCTGCTCCCGGCGGCCTCACACTGCAGCTGCACGGGCAGGGACACGTTATGGATGTAGTCTGGAGAAACATCAGAGAAGGAAGGATTTTATTTGAAGTCAGTAAAAACTCTGAGAAAATAAGGACGGCATGTCTGCACATGCTCAAAACTAGAATAGACTCTAATTAAAGGTCCTATCCGCAGTTTTTTTACTCTTTGTGAGCAGGACAAGCCTCTTTTTTTAATCTTAAAACCTAATTTTAATCTGGACTGGTCAGGTAAATGTGGCTGAAATTAAAGCTCCAGTGAGGAACTTTCAGTTTGTGTCATTTTTGGCGCCCCCCTGTGTCCCGTACAGGAATTACTGGTGTTTCTTGATTCGTTAATGGTGCAGACTCCTCTGCTTAGAAACTCTGTTAAACCAGGAAAAGGACAAAAACTCTTGCTATCATCGGTCTGTCTGTGTTGCCATGGCAGCAGCTGTTACGTCTTTATTAGCTCCTCCCCCTTTATCATGTTCAGTCTCTAAATCTGTCCGGACTGATAACCAGGCGTGGACGTACCGGGGTAATGCCGGAGTAAATACTCTTCATTCACATGTCCAGAATTAAGCGAGTTGATGGTTTTACTCTCGCTCGGTGTGAGCGCCCCCTGGAGGAGCATGTGGCGCTCAGACCGGGACAACAACTGTGCTGCCAAGTCCACTTGTTATAATCGACTTTGGACTTGTTTTACTTTGTTGTGGGGAGCTGGGTGATAACAAAAACATGGATGGTAGGTTGTCCTTTCCTCACCCCCGTTTCCAGGCTCATGTACGCTGCTGCACTTTATTTTGAAATGAAAAAACACGCACTTATATCCTCCGGTTTGTGCCTCTGAATATTGTTATCATCTAATCCTGCCCGGGTCATTTTTTTGTCTCGGTCCAGACTGATAACCAGGAGGATTTAAGGTCGCTGTGATGAAACTCGCTTCGTTCCCACCTGACGGTTTGAAGGCGATCTTGCTCTTCTTCCCCTTCGTGGTCTGTCTGACAAACGTGTCTCTGAGGAGGTCCGAGGCGATGGCTCTCTTATGAGGGTCCGGCTCGAAGCAGCGCAGGATGAAGGACTTGGCCTCCAGGGACAGGGACTCAGGGATCTCTGGGTGGATCTTAAACATGCCCACCTGTGACACAGAAGCAGAAAAAAAACTGAGTCAGGGTCTGAAAACCTGATTCTTCACAGTCACATGACTCCCACCTTAAACATGGCCGCCTGTGGTTCTCCCAGCTCATGAAACGGGGGCTTCCCAGTCGCCATCTCTATAATGGTACAGCCCAGAGACCAGATGTCGGCCGGGGCGCCGTATCCTCGAGGACCCTTATCGATGATTTCTGGAGCCATGTACTGAAGAGTCCCTGCAGAGAGAGGAGAAGAGAGAGACCACCGTGAACCACCTCAGAGGGGGGCGGAGACGAAAGGAGGAAGTCCTGATTCGACCCAAGAGTGAAAATGAGGTTTTAAAGCTCCTGTAGGGAGTTTAGAGCTGAAATGGACTCAAATTAATACGGGTGTCTCGTTAAGACAGGAGGAAGTAAAACAGACCACCAGGTCACAGCCATAGTACTAGACACCAAACTGTATTTTCATGTTAAACACACATAAATGAATGAATGAATGAATGAATGAATGAATGAATGAATGAATGAATGATTGAATCTTCACTCATTAGTTTTGATTCAGTCTCTCAGTTTTAATCCTGAGCAGATCAGGCATTCGTGAAAACGCTGATGTCAACAGAAGGAGACGCCATAAAAAGACTGAGTCAGAGGTAGATAAGGTTACTCACACACACACACACACACACACACACACACTCACACACACCTGCTAATGAAAGGTAAACACCCTTCTGCCTTTGCTTGATTAGCTAATCTAATTACACACCCCGCTGACTGCTGGAGAAGGCCAGATGGTCAATGAGTGTTTATGTGTGTGTGTGTGTGTGTGTGCGCACATTCGTACACACACTTGTGCATGTCTGAGTGTTTCCATAGCGGCTGATAGCGGCTTTTGACATTTTGAGGGTCATTTGATATTTACACGGGTCCTGTGAGCGTTTCTATGAGTCCATTAAAGACTGAAGACTAAATGACCGTCTGCTGATGCTGTGGAGAGTTTATCATTCAGTTACGATCAGAGTCAATAATTATTGATCAGCTTTGTTTACAATGATAGAGACTAAATCAACTAAAGGTTAATCATTGAAGGTTAACCACACCTGACAAAGGTGATCTTATCTGAATCTGTTTCTATAATCGCAACACATGAACCCTCCTCTGCAGACTTGAGGTCCCGACATTGATCTATGTAAAAGCCTGTTTATTAAATTAGGGACTGGGATGATTACAGATAAAAAGACTTACCTGTGAAGGTCTCTGTACAGGGGTTGACTCCTGCCAAACGCTTGGAGGTACCAAAGTCTGAGATCTTCAGGACGCCGCTGTAGGTGTTCACCAACACGTTATCACCCTGATGGAGAAGAAACAAAAAAGAGGTTCAGACACAGAAAAAGTGATTTTTGGATCATGAACATTAATTCAATTATGATCAAACTTCTAACTTCAAACTTCAATATATGACAAAACAACACAATCCAGGACGATGTCACATGATGTAACACAATACGGCAGTTATGAGGTAACATATCATGACACACAAGACAACACATGACCTGTTGGGATGTGATTCAAAGCAACACAACATAAAGAATATCATGTCACAGGACTGAATACCATGAGTGTCGCATAATTCAATAATCCACTATAACAATTTAACATGAGGGAACAATTCAGGAGCTGACAGATCATGATACAACAGATCGTGATGGGAAATGACTCGACATCATGACGTTACATATCATAACAAAACATTAGATGACGTGACATAACTCAGCATATCCTGACGCATCATGTTATATCATGATGTGACATATGACAGATCATGATGCAACAGATTGTGATGGGAAATGACTCGACATCATGACGTAACATATCCTGATGCGACATCTCGTGATAAAACAGTAGATGACGTGACATAACTCAGTATATCCTTATGCAACATGTTATATCATGATGTCACATATCATGACATCATATATCATGACATGATATATAACTCAACATATCCTTTTGCATCATGTTACATCATAATGTGACATAATATGACATGACAAATCATGACATAACAAATCATGATGCGACACCTCGTGACATATCGTGATAAAACATGTATCATGATGTGACATATCATGACGCAGCATAACAGGATAAGATACAATATAGGCAACATAACATGACATTTCATGATGGGACCTGACCAAACATATCATGACATGACAAATCATGATGCGACATCTTATGACAAGAAATATCGTGACAAATCATGTCGTGACCTGACCTAACTCAGCATATCCTGACACAGCGATATATAATGATGTGATAGATTATGACATCACATATCATGACTTGAAATATAACTCAGCATACACCTATGCGACATGTTATATCATGATGTGCCATATTATAACATGACTAATCATGATGCAATTTCATGTGGCGTGTCATGATATGATATGTTTCATCACGATATAACATATCACGACATGACATAACAGGATAAGATCAAACATGAGGATACATAACATGAAATTTCATGATGGGACATATCCTGACCTACCATGTCATGACATATCACACCATGATATATCATAATGCAACATGTGATGCAACATAACAGGGGGCGACATAGCATGACAGGACACAGGATTATAAAACATAGCGGTATGCTGTAGGATTAAACGACACAGAGTCTTAGAGGATTAGTAACCTATGACCATTTAATCTGGTCTATGGATAATTAATGAGGAACCTTCACACTGAAAATGACCGACACACCACTGTTAGATCTGATCTTGATAGATGATCTTGTTCAGTGCTCTTTCTCGTACCTTTATGTCTCGATGGACAATCTGGTTCTCATGCAGGTACCGAAGCCCCTCCAGGATCTGCCTGGTGTAGAAGATGATGGTCGCCTCCTTCAGCGGACCCCACTTAGACCTCAGCAGCGCAGACAGGCTTCCTGGAGAAAGGAGAGAAGGAGTGTCCACAACCTATCATGAAACGGGAACACGACCAGGCGGTTAGAGGGACCGCCCAGCAGGTGAGAGGTCAAAACAGGAACTCCTCCACCGTTAGACCTGAACCACGATCATTCACCTGCACAGGTAAGTCTCAGACCCAAACCACATCACCAGTTTACCACCCCGGTCAACAAAGACACACCTCCAGGGACTTGCTCCATGAAGATCTTGATGTATCCGTTCTCGGAGACGGAGCCAAGATACTGAACGATGTTCCTGTGTTTCAGGTACTTGTGGAGGGCGATCTCCTCATGGAGGGGCTGTGAGTACCTGAGGCACACAGACGGGAAAGGGTTAATCAAACGAGTCCTGTACCTGGAGGACAAAGTTTGACTGACCAAACGGAGATCTACCTGCTGTCCCTCTCCGGGATTTCTTTGATGGCGATCCGAACCTGGTTGCTGAGGTCTCTCCCAGCATACACCACTCCATACGTGCCTCTTCCCAACACCACCCGGTCGCCCGTCTCGTTGGTGTCGTACTCATACTGTTAAAAAAAAATCAAGGTGATCGTTTATTTTCTTTAATTTGCTGTAAAATTATAATTCAGGTCTGTTACAGACGCCCTCTGACCTCCAGCGTATCTCCGTCTCCCTCGCCTTCCAGCTCCACCGCGTTCCCCGTACCGTCAGTGATCATCTCCTTCACCATGGAGCAGAACCTGAAACACACATGAACATCGTCTTAAACCTTCTTTCTACTGTACGAACCCCGGGTTATTCCAGCCGCACACACGTCCTGCACAAACACAAACAAACACCTACACAGACACATCTAGAGGTGTGTGTCCTCACCGACCGCACTGCTCCTCCGTGGAGAAGTAGATCTGGAAGTCGTCGGAGTTGTCGTGGACGTAGAGGAAGCAGCAGCGCTCGTCGAATTTACTGATACTGCAGATTAGAAAGTAAAAAGATCGTTTTATTTCCAGATTTTCTACAGCAGTGAAATCCACTTTCTTGAACCGTCTTTTACACGGGATGGAGCAGAAAGTCGTCCGAGATTCAGTGATTCAAATATTGTCTTTAACCTGAAGAGGAAGTTCTAGTTAATCTAAAAGAAGTTTCACTAATTTCTGATTATATATAAAAGGTTCTAGTCGGGAGTTTTCACATTCATATAATAGCCTTAAATTTACAGTATTTCTTTTTTCTGACATCCAAAAGCAGACGAGACTATCAGGGACAAAGAATGACATTTTTTTTGTAATTTTTAAAGCCTGAAACTGGAGTGAGGGATGAGGATGAGACTTTTGTCATAATGTCGCAGACACTGTAAGTAAAGACCATTTTGTCCACAGGGGGCGCCAAATTTGGCACAAACCAAAAGTTCCTCACAGGAGCTTTGAGGGGAACAATGTTTTTGCTTTTATTTTGAAAGGGCAGCTTAAGAGGGAAAGGAAATATAGGAGCAGAGAGGAAGACAGACATGTCCAAAACCATGCCAAGACTAAAGACTGATCCTACAACCAAAGACAAGGACTGGAGTCCCAGTCTTCGGGGTAAATACTCCACTAACTGAACCAAACCGGACTCTCAAATATACAGTTTTTAATGAAATTCAGCTCCGCCTCTAAAACCGTACCTGATCCCTTTGATGGACATGGCGGTGAAGTTCCACTCATGGATCCCTTTCTGAAATAAAGATCAGATCAGCGCCGTTACACCTTCATTATATTTACTTACACTGTTGTCATCTCTGTGTAACCCTGACCACCTAAAGCTCTAATATCAGACGATCTAACTGGACTCAGTGTGGATGTCAGTGTCCTGTCGGTGTTCTCACAGTTTCAGCAGGAGAAACGTGCCAGATGGAGACGTTCTTCTCCTCGGCCTCGTTGTTTATGGACACGTAGGACGGCTGGTAGACTTTGGTGGGCTCCAGGATCAGCACCTGTGTCAGAGGAACGAACACGCCTGTTTGAGAGCGTCACCAAAGAGACGATAAAGTTCGTTTTTTTACGTGTGAGTGTGTCCGTACTGGAAACCGCAGTCGGTTGGTGGTTCCCTGTGTGGCCTCCACGATGATGTCCATCCAGAAGTTGAGTCTCTCCCTCAGAGGTGAGTGCTCCACCGACTGTTTCTTAAACCTCTGGATCAGCTGCAGGTTCTGAACCACCGACTTTAAATACCTGGAAACACGGACATGACAGTGATCAGAAATACTGTTTCTTTATAAATCTAGATCTGCGGGCGTCACGGCGCGTCTTTACCAGAGAGGCGGCTTGAGTTTGAAGAGCTTCTCCGCAGCCTGAGTCGCTTTGGGGATGTCGTTAGCTAGCATGCTAACGGTGAAAAACTGACCGATGTCCCAGTAGTTGTTCATTTTCTCCAGGGAGCCTTTCCGACCGAGCAGACTGTTCAACCGCACGCCTGAAACAAGAGTTCAGGAAAATTCAGCTTTTTCGTTAACCGGACTAAAACCTCGCTAACCTGTGAAGCGAGTGCATAAATAAAAATACACCTAACCCAGAAAAATCCTGACAAAGTTTGACCACGAGAAAGGTGTCATTCATATCTGCACCTGACGAGTTCGCGAACATGAGAGTTTCTCACCGATTTTTCTCAGTTCCATGGAGCTCTCAAACTGTTGACCCGCAACGATGAGGAGGACGGCCAGATTGATGCCCGAGTATAAAGTCGGCTGCAGCTCAAAACCTTTCCTGTACCTACGGGTCAAAAGTCATGTAGATGGAGGTGAAAAACTGGACGATAATCACACAGAGAGACTGAATGAGCGTCTGAGTGTTCTCACCACTGGATGGCGTTGTCTCTGTTTTTAGTGTCTTTACAGTCCGAGTCCAGGAAGATGTCCTTGTATATCCGTCCGCAGAGGCAGAACATATCCGGCGCTGGATGTTCACAGGACTGTAAGACCTGCAGCATCACTCGGAGAGCCTGCTCCCTGTCCCCTGGACTGTTTCTCCTGCACACAGGAAAGTTTTCAATTATAATAAGGAACAATGCAGGACTCTGTTTCTACATGTTAGTTTGAAGTTCTGAGTCTTCAAACCCGAGTGAGTTAAAAAGGTTTAAAAGATTTCAGTCCACTACTTTCACTGTTAATATAAACAGACATAATCGGTACAAAAGCAGGTCTCTGATTGGACAGGATATACCTGTTGAGGGCGAAGGCGTAGTGGAACTGGATCATGGGCTGTGTGGCCAGATCGCAAGTCGGCAGCATCTCCAGAGTCTGAACCAGCTTCACCATGGCGTCATAGTCCTGTTTAAGTAATAAATAATAAATGCATTAAAGGGATATTTCAGCGTGAAATTAATTTAGGGTCAAACCCACCGTAACCCCGAGTTAGACCCCCCCTCCAGAGATGAATGTTTCCGACCGCTTACTTCTCTAGTTAAACCAACTTTAGTAACGACCACAGGATAGAAATACAGAGAGCCACGCCCTCAACCAAAACGCCACTCTATAGCCACAAATAATGCTCAGAACAGCACCTAACTTCATCAACAGGACATATAGGGTCACAGACATAGTACTAGACACCAAACATCTTTTTAACTTTGACTCATTTCTTTAGCAAAGAGACTAAACACAACTCACCTACTCTCTTCCAGCAGCCGCTTGTTTGTAGCGAGACCTCAGGCCAGTCCATTACGGACTACAGCGGGGTGCCGCAGCTCAAGGAAGAACATTTATGATCATTTCTTTATTATTTGGGTAGTTCTTCTGTCTTAGCGTCTCGGTCTGATTGTATTTCCATGAAGAAATTATCATAAATGTTCTTCCTTGAGCTGCGGCACCCCGCTGTAGTCCTTAATGGACTCGTTACTAAAGTTGGTATAACTAGAAAAGCAAGCAGTCGGCAACATTCATCTCTGGAGGGGGGGTCTAACTCAGTGTTACGGTGTGTTTGACCCTAAATTAATTTTACACCAGAATATCCCTTTAAATTTAAATGTATTTCATTATTTTAGTTGTTGTTCCCGTTTCTCCGTGTGAGTCCTGTACCTGAATGTCTCTGTAAGAAAACAGCAGGTTCATGACGATGTCCTGCGTCAGGACCTCTGTGTTGTCGATCCGGAGCTTGATTCTGGAGAGTTCCTTGGCCAGCTCCTCCCCCTGGTACTTCTCTCGGGCTTTCCTGATGTCATTCAGCAGCGTGTCCTTAAAAGACGCACTGCACAGAAAAAGAGTGATAGAATAAAAAAGACAAGGAAGAGAAAGGATGATGAAAGGATGATGGGTGACAGAAAACAAGGAGGAAGGAGGTTTAAATGTTCGTTTACAAAAGTTCAAAAGCAAAATTTGCGACTTTGAGGAGAAATCTCTACTTTTTTGGAAAAAATCAAAACTTTTTGAAAATTTTAACTTTTTTTCTCTAAATATAACTTTGTTGTTAACATTATGATATCATAAAACACAATACAATAGAAAAACAGTATAACGCAATACAGTTCCAAACGAGTCAATTTGATTTTTTATGTTATTGTTAGATACAAATTAATATGATTTATACAATTTAACACTTTACATCACAATAAGATGATACTATACAACAATAGATCCAATACAAAACAATATAATGTGATACAAAAGGACAAGATATGTTATAACATGATTCAATATGATATAACGGAATGAAAAGAAACAAACGATCCGGTCTGATAAGAAATTTAAAGGTTTGATCATTTAATAATCTATAATATGATACGTTCAATAAGCTTCTTTAATAATAAGGTCTTCAGTGAGTCGGTGTTGGAGCTCAAACGTGTCTCACCAGGATGTGACGTGGATGTCCTTCAGCAGGCTGGTGAAGCGGTCGGTCAGGGGGACACAGAGCGGCCCCAGCAGGTTGTCCCAGCTGGGCTGCATGTACTCGCTGGCCCTGCGCTGGGCGTCGCTCTCACAGCACATGTACTCGTGGTTCGGAGTCACGATATAGGGGATGAAGTAGTAGTTACCGCTGGACGCCTGGAAGGAGGAGAGAAAAAGCGTCACTTCTTTGTCAAGAGAGTGGGGAAACAGAGGTGTGACTTCATGCTCAAGTTTATCAGGTAAAAACAAAACAAGCAGGGAAAAAGGAGAAGATGAGGACGGTAACAGGGGGGATCATTCAAGAGTTAGACAAGATGGGTCAGCAGAGGATCAGGAAACCACTGAGGATGTTCAGTAAAGACAAGTCGAGGTAATAAAACTCCGTTGAGTTTTTCAGGAGTGATTTATGACGCAGCAAAGTTCGGACACCACCATCTCCAAAAAAACATCTCCTTCAGTGTCCGCGGCGTCTGCTAGTAACGTGCTGCTGAGGCGTTTCAGGTTTAGTATTTTTAGCCCGTCTTCTGTTACAGCCGTAAAATCTTTATTATTGTTTTTAGTCTGTGAGCAAATCTCCCATCATGCTCTAGTGCAGCATGGTACCTACTTTATTGCGCAATCCAGAGCCTCTGTACTCTGGAGGTAACTGAACCCAGGGAAAACCTACTGCTGGAGGACGAGAGGCCTTCTCCACAGTCACACAACAGACACACAACAGACACACAACACGCACACAGACACACACACACACACACACACACACAGACAAATCAGATAAAATCAATCATGAAGATGAATCGATGACATGTAAGTTTCCATTCTGGAGGACGCTGCCATGCATGATTGCGTGTTTTTCTTTGTGTGTGTGTGTGTGTGTGTGTGTGTGTGTGTGTGTGTGTGTGTGTGTGTGATTAAGAGAGAGAGAGAGAGCAGGAGGGTATGCAGATACACATTCCTGAATGAGTTGCGTGAAAGCATGATCGGTGTTGGTCACAAATATTATTCCAGAAATAGATGAACACACAGGGTGGACATAAATCACTGCCCAGCAGTCACACACTCTCGCACACACACACACACACTCTCGCACACACACACACACTTACTGTGTTTTTCTGCGCCACCATGTCCTGCAGGGAGATAAAACAAAAAGCATGAGGGATCAGATTTCAAGACTGAAATCAGATATGAGGTGTGTGTCCTCGCTCACGCACAAACGCACGCCGAGTTGTGATTTTACATAACTACTGCGAGCAGCTGTTTCCCCTGGTAACAAAGTGCAGGGCTGACTGGACTACACACACACTCACAAACACACACACACACACACACCAGACTGTAAATAACTTGATGGTTCACTTTGTTCTGAGGAGGTGCTTAAGAACGGCATCTGTGGACTCCAGATACATCAGCAGACATCCAAATCAGTGTGTATGTGTGTCTGTGTCACAGTGTGTGTGTCAGTGTGTGTGTGTGTGTGTGTGTGTGTGTGTGTGTGTGTGTGTGTACCTTCAGTGACTGGGCAGTGTCAGGGTCAGTGTCGTGGTATAGGATGACGTTGTTGGCCATGTCGAAGCTCTCCCTAACACCCAGATGGTAAAACAAGGAAGGCTGTCGAAACACATCGCTCATGTCCACGACTGCGATATCTGAGAGAGAGAGAGAGAGAGAGAGAGAGAGCACAGATTAGATGGATGAGCAGCTGGTACCCTGGTCCAGATGTCCAGAAGAAGTTGGAAGTATTATGGACGGAGTAAATCAACACTAGTCAGGTACAACACCAAACAATACAGCATGATAACACAACAACACAACACTGTCTGATCGTCAACAGTCTCTGCGGCCCTAATAATAATAATAATTACTATTTGTATAGCACTTTTAAAAAACAGGAGTTTACAAAGTGCTTTGACATAAAGTCATGGAGCACATGGAAAAAGACAGAAAAAAAACAAAAAGCTCAGTTAAAACAGAATTAAAGGTCATTTTCATGTCATAAGGAACCCAGACAATACAAGAACCAAGCAACATAAAATGAGACAATGAAAAACAAAATAGAAATATAAAATAGTTAAGAAAAAGGGAAAATGCAATTAAAAGGGAGGACAAAAGCAGTAACAGGATAGTAAATATACTGTTAAGGGAAAAAATAACTTCTGTTGCCTAAACACCTTTTACATCTGCACACATCTATTTTAAGTCGCAAATGAGTGAAACGGTCGCACCGTACATGCATTTCCTTATTTACATAGTAGTATTTAGCAGTACGGCAGCGTTTAGGCGGTTTAACAAAACAAGTGTTCACATTAGATAGATCGACGTGTTGTTGTAGGACTGTATAGATAAAAATAAAAACGTACACGCGAACAAATGATGAGTCTGAGAGATATTTCGGTAAAAAATACTTTTATTCAGATTTAGTTTGGTTTGAGTTTTTCACAGACGATCGTTGTTCGTGTGGATTTATCCGGAGCCTCCGAGCAGATTTCTGTGTGCTGATTAAAACAGTGAAGAAGGTGAAAAATAAAGTTCTTACCTGTACATCTCTGGCTGTGTCTCATTTCAGAGACCGCAACCGTCGAACGGCGCATTTGAAGCGTGCGTGAGGTCATCACGCGGCATGAACGGTGTCCCTTTTGGCACAAAATACTAAGCGCGCTTCAAATTCGGTCTCAAAACCACACTACCCCCGCCTCTTTTTCAAGCGTGCATACATGCATACATGCACGCTTTCGTCGGTATCCCAGAATTCTTTGCTTGCTGCTGCACAGCTTCGCATTTCGGTTTTTCTCCACTTCCTTGAAACCAGAGCTGTGCAGTAGCGTTGTGCGCATTCCCTGTGATGACGCTCGGCTCAAACAGCGTATTCCCCCGGAAGAGCTACGCATCCCTGAACGCCCATAGGCTGTACCAGGTGTCAATCATAGAAAACATGAACCCCCTAATAACTTTTAAAAACGGAGCTGTACAGGAAATAAAGGACTTGGGCACAAACCAGTCTGACTGTAACTATATGTCAACATCACAACCAGGGGGGAGAAAAAATTATGTTCTGTGTAATAAATTTCTAAAGTTTGTCACAATCCCATGAGCTTTGCTGGCGGAGGCGGGATTTATGACCTGTACTGCAGCCCACCATCAGAGGGTGCTGTTCTCGGAGTGGCTTCACCCAGTGAGGAGGCAGACTCTGTCCATCTTATATACGGTCTATGGGCTGGACTCGCTTGGAGACGCAGTGCGTCTTCAAAGAAAATACAAGAAATCCAAAAACAGCAGACAGTCATCTCAGGCTGTATGAGAGCATGATCTCTGAACTCACTAAAATCTGTAAACCAAACATTTTAGTATTTCGAGATATTTAGTATTTCTTGTATTTTCTTTGAAGATGCGCTGCGTCTCCAAGCGAGTCCAGCCTCTCACCTGAAATGCGAAGCTGTGCAGAGGCACGCAAAGAATTCTGGGATACCGACGGCACGAAAGCGTGCATAAATTCACGCTTTTGATTGGCCATGTCAATCAAAAGCCCAGTGTGGGGCTGTGTCCACATGGCTCAGAGGATAAGGAGACTGCCCAGCACTCTTAAGGTTGTGGGTTCAAGCCTCACCTAACCCAAGTTGAGGTGAATTTTAAAGCCTTGTGTCTTCAAACGACAGTGAAATAGGAAAAAACCCGAAAAAGGCTCGAACACACCACCTCATAGTAGGGTCTGTTAACTTGAAAAAATGGTCAAATTGTTATGCGGTGGATAAAAGCACCAAATTTGGTACACACATTCTTCAAGGTGTATCTCATCATCTCAGAAGGGGTGCCCAAAAATGCATGAGTGAAAATGGCTCAAATGGAGGTCGTATACCTGACCCAGTTCAAAAGTCTCTCGTTGATTTATTTAGCAGGAAAAAGGGAGTCGATCTCTGCTGCTCTGAAACCACATCTGAGTCCAAAAACAAAGACAAAGAATACATTCATACTGCAAAACCAAGTGTGCCGTCGGTATCCCAGAATTCTTTGCGGGCCGCTGCACAGCTTCGCATTTCGGGTGAGAGGCTGGACTCGCTTGGAGACGCAGCGTGTCTTCAAAGAAAATACAAGAAATCCAAAAACAGCAGACAGTCAGCTCAGGCTGTATGAGAGCATGATCTCTGAACTCACTAAAATCTGTAAACCATTCACCAAGAAGTGGGCAAGGTAGGACTCGAACCTATGACCTCAGGAGTCACAGTCAGCGTTCTTGTCCCCTGAGCCACTTGAATACACAGGATTATACCACTTGTTTCCTCTTTCACTTTCCTGTCTAGACACTAGACTTCAAAATTCACCTTGTCCCAAAAAAGGCCATGTCAATCAAAAGCCCAGCCTAAAAGTCCTGATTATCAGTTCTGGGTCCCTGGCAATGACTGTTGGGTACAAACTGCAAAGCTTTCTTCTGCAGGTAGGGCTAGGCTTTTCATTGACCATGTGGGTCGAATAGTTGTGTGGGAATAGTGTGTCGTCTCAGCCACTATGTTTTCTGCAGTTGTGAGTAGAGAGCACCTTGATAGCTCACTTGTTAGAGCAGAGGACTGTAGGACGTTCCTCATATGAAATGCTGTGATACTAAGGTAGCTGGTCCAATTCCAGCTCAAAGCACCTGCATTTCGTTGGTGTGAGCAATGTTCTGGGTCTAATCACATTGAAATAATGCCAAGCCTTGTCTTCATCTGTCAGCTCCTCCAAAATGTAAAAACACAAACAAGATAACTCCTGCTAAATTTTCCAACCATTAATTTTTTATTCACCCAGCCTAAAAGTCCTGATTATCAGTTCTGGATCCTTGGCAATGACTGTTGGGTACAAACTGTGAAGCTCTGTTCTGAAGGTGAGACTGGGCTTTTGATTGGCCATGTCAATCAAAAGCCCAGTGTGGGGCTGTGTCCACATGGCTCAGAGGATAAGGAGACTGGCTGGCACTCTTAAGGTTGTGGGTTCAAGCCTCACCTAACCCAAGTTGAAGTGAATTTTAAAGCCTTGTGTCTTCAAACGACAGTGAAATAGGAAAAAACCAGAAGACTCCTCTGTGTCAACATGGCTCAGAGGATAAGGAGACTGCCTGCCACTCCTAAGGTTGTGGGTTCAAGCCTCACCTAACCCAAGTTGAGGTGAATTTTAAAGCCTTGTGTCTCCAAACGACAGTGAAATAGGAAAAAAACAGAAGACTCCTCTATGTCCACATGGCGCAGGGGGTATGCAACTGACACCCAAATGCTGGTCAGCTGGGCAGCCCTGGTTCGAAACCCGCTCAGCCCAGTGTTGTGGGCTTACACCCCCGGTGTTTCCAGAGAGATAAAATAGGGGGCTTATGCTACAGGAAGTCAGAGCAGGCTGAACTTTAGAGTAAGGATGGGGAGAAGGGTTGTTGGGGGGATGATAGGGGGGGCGGCGGATGGCCGGTGGCTGAGCAGAGGGCGTCCCCAATAGGCTTGAACCCACTGACTCGTGTGGACACACGCGACAACAATAATTTTTTCATATATCACTGTACTTTGTAGACTCTAGACCTTCAAAATTCACCAAGAAGTGCACAAGGCAGGACTCGAACCGACGACCTCAGGAGTCACAGTCAGTGTTCTTATCCCCTGAGCCACTTGAATACACAGGATTATACCACTTGTTTCCTCTTTCACTTTCCTGTCTAGACACTAGACTTCAAAATTCACCTTGTCCCAAAAAAGGCTCGAACACACCACCTCATAGTAGGGTCTGTTAACTTGAAAAAATGGCCAAATTGTTATGCGGTGGATAAAAGCACCAAATTTGGTACACACATTCTTCAGGGTGTATCTCATCATCTCAGAAGGGGTGCCCAAAAATGCATGAGTGAAAATGGCTCAAATGGAGGTCTTATACCTGACCCAGTACAAAAGTCTCTCGTTGATTTATTTAGCAGGAAAAAGGGAGTCGATCTCTGCTGCTCTGCTGAAACCACATCTGAGTCCAAAAACAAAGACAAAGAATAACTTCATACTGAGATTTAAGTGAAATTAAACAATAACCTTTCCACGAACTTCGTTACCTGTCTTCTCACAAAAAAAAAGAAAAAGAAACCGAAGCCTGCTGCAAATAAAAAATGAAACAGTGCAGGTTAAAAAAAACACAGCGGAAGTTAATGACGCAAGAAAAAAGTGGCAATAAAATTAAAAAGTTACTCACTGCAGAAATAAAAGGATCCAAATTAAAAAAACAGCCGCAATGGATGTGAGCGGCCGGGGACCAATTAGGATGATGCACCAGTGTTTTACGATCTAGGCACAGAAGACGACGGCGAGCAGACGAACAAAGAAGTTCGTGGAAAGGTTATTGTTTAATTTCACTTTGTAAACTTTTTAATGTGTTGTTTGGTTAGACCATGTAGCGCCTGAGTCGATATGAAGTTGAACTGGAGGATGTCAGTGTAATGTTGGCTTCAGTTCATCTTTTTATTTGCATCCTTTTATTTTTGCAGTTACTAACTTTTTTTCCATCGCCTAATTTTTTATTTTTATTTTTTTTTGGCGCCGTTAACTTCTGTTGCGGCTTTTTTATCTACACTGTTTCGTTTTTCGTTTTGCATTCTTTTTAATTTGCAGCAGTGGCGGTTTTCGGCCACCATATATTTAAATACAAAAATAAAATCAAACATGTCAAATACTAAGTGAATAGATAAAGTTATCAGTGGGTTACAGTAGGTGACTTTAAATAGTTGAAGGAAAATAGTCACGTGACATCGAAGCAGTCGCGTGCAAGTACACGCACACAAACGTTTAAACTATAACACCCTGTGTATAGACGCGCACGCTTTTTCAGTCACGCACCTGCATCGTAGAAACTGTCGAGCACCGACGTCTCTCCGAAGTCCAGCCGGCCGAAGGTCACCGTGGTCAGCAGCGCGCTCTCGGAGTCGCAGGCTCTCTGCAGACACTGCAGAGCTCCGGACTCCGGGCTGCTGGCCATCACCGCCTTCAGCCCGTCGTTCAGGACGTACACCACCCGCAGGGAGCGCTGCTTGGCCGGGGGACTCGGGCTGGACACCTCGCCCCTCTCCCGGTCCCGTTCCACCAGGCAGACCCCGGCGGAGTGCTCCCCTCCCATGTCGGTGACCTGTGCGCTCTGCACCGAGTCCATGTCTTGACTCTGTCTCTGCTGTCTCTCCCGGTGTCTCCGGTAACTTTCCACACTCCCCGGACTTCCTTCCTCTCTCTCGTGCCGTGTCCTCCTGTCACTCACTCGTTGCGCACCTGCAGCCGGAGAGGAGCGCGCCTGGGTTTGTCCCCCTGCATCTCCGCCTCATTAACTCACATCACCTGCCGATTATCTCGCACCAGGAAGCCCGCTTCACCCAGACTGGATCCGACCAGATCCACCAGAGACAGGGACAGAGGGAGAGTGGAGACAGAGTGTGTCCAGATTTACGCGCGGCTCTCTCCTCCTCTATCGCCGGAGTTTCTTGTTTGTTTAGCAGGATACAATCAGAGGAGAGATCTGTCCACAGCCTCAAATGTCACCCCTGTCCGCTCGGTGGTCTAAATATAACCCGGTTTGTCCGCCTGGTCCCCTCCTCTGAGACAGCAGCCAAGTTATGTCCCCCTCATGGCGCAGAAAACCGAGAATTATTCCCCCTCAGATCTGAATAAATCTGTCTGTTTACTTTGAGTTTGGAAAGGAAGGAAAATAAAGGGGAACACTTAAGAATAACATTAACTTATAGATGGTAAATAGAACATTTAAAAATGGTAAGCAGGTGGTGTATTAATGTTTAATCATCATTTATAAACAGCATATAGACCATTAATTAAATTGTAAATTTTACAATTTTAAAAACCTAACCCAAACTTTACAATAACCATCTAAGTAAAGATTTAAGATGGTTTAAAAACCAAATATTAATCATTTACAAAGTGCTGCTGACTCATTTTTAGAGAAGACTGAGTGTTTCCAGAAACTAAGATGCTTTTGCAGAATTCCTGCTGTGGTTTCAGTTACCCTCAAGTCTGATTCAGTAACTTTCACTTCTCTTTCTCTTCACTCCAACCTCCATCAGCACGGCAACATTTCCAGTTTCCCTTTTACAGACGTGTAAAAAGCAGCAGCAGATATTTAACCCTCCTCCTGTGTTAGGGTCCTCACCGACCTGTTATTAATTATTTTTTAAATGCTTAAAAGAAAAAACATAAATCAGCTTTTTTTGCATCAAGACTTTTTGACTTCGTCAGGAACCGCGATTTCAACAACAAAAGTTAAAGGTGTTGTAGTCAGGATCTGAGTTAGTTCCAGTTTTTAGGAGAAATCTTGAATGTAAACTCGACCCCTCCCAACCAGTTTTCCCCTCAGCTCCTCCTCTCCCCTCAAGCCCCGCCCACAAACAGACGCTCCTGCTCGCTCGTATCGTTCCAGTTAAATTCAGATATAATGCAGATAAAAACTTCAGATCATTACAAATGGGGCCCAGTCAAGGTGAAAGTCAAAAGCATTGGTGCTACTGTAGATGCCAACAGACTACCAGCAAACACAATGTTTGCAGGACTTCTACAACGAGGATAAAGTGACATAGTCCAGGACCCGAGGGAGGACAGTTTAGCGATGGCGCTACAACACGCTACAGCAGGTCCGTTTGACAAGAAACACTTCTGTTACAGACACTTGTCTTACTTTGTTAAAGCGGTTTACCTGTCCAGCAGAAAGGTTACAGGGTCACCAAGATCCCCAAGCGTCCCCCATCGTTTATGTTGACCCGTCTTTTTAGCTCTTGTCCGGTCTACCTCCGTTTTAAGCGCCCGTTATTCCTCCAGAGTCTCCGGTATTTACGTCGTTTTCTTGCTTGTGTCGGCAGTCGTGGCCAAAGGAGGATTCAGACAATTTTCCGAACTTTCTGGTTGGTTTCTACTGTCCGATATTGTAGCACGCTAACTTTGTTTGGGCTCCTGAACGACACGGGGGAGCAGCGTCTGCCTCACAACCAATCAGGTCGGGGTTGACTACACAGACATAAGAGAACACAGAGATATCGATATATTACCAAATGTCATCAATAACTAATAACTATTGACTGATATTAAAAGATTTTTTTGTATTTAAACCACAAAAAAGATGCTTCTTTAACGAAAACCTTCCTACCCCACCTTTAAATTGACTAAATTATAAAACGCTCTTATTAAAATTATGGCAAAAACTAAAATCATAAGTGCACTGTCGGATCCTTTTCCGATCATGTGAGATTTAGGAAATTCTTATTTTGCCGAACGTCGGACATGTCCAGATATGCGAGATCAATTTAATTTAATATTGATGTCTGTATGAGGGGCCCAAAACAAAAACTATTATAAGCAACATTTTTATGACTAATGAAGCCGAACAAGGTAATCTTAAAATGAGAATCAAATTGGATGATAGAGAAATGTTTTTAGTGTAATTTGCACCGACCCTTAACATATTGAAATCTAACACAGGAGGAAGGTTAAAACATTTTTGTCATAGTTAAAATAAAACAGAACACACATACTGTACATAATAGCATCTTTATTACACTGAAATATAAAAGTATATATTTATCACTATCCTGGAGAGAAAGGACCAAGTCAAGAAAACAACTTGTAGCCTCAGTTGTTGCAGTTTTCTTGTTGTCATACGAAAGAAACAAAGAAAGAAAAACAAAAACAAAGATCTGGAGTCAAAAACAGGAAGGCCACAGTGACGGGTTGCCATAGATTCTGTGCACATATAAGGAAGGGAGGCCAACAGCCGTACATGCTACCCCAGACACACACATACATGCATACACGCACATTTCTGTCTTCATTAACCTTTCGCTGACGACATTCCTGAAAACCCTGTCTGTAATCTTTACCCTTGAACTGCTACCAAAAGAGCACCAGAAACACCAGATGCACGTGGATCTCGGTTTGATATTCCAGGAGATGTGATGCGACCAGCACAGTGGTTTGTTTTTTATTTTATTTTTAAGGTGTCCGGAGCCACGGGAAGCAAAAAGTGCAACAGCGAAAAAAAAACAAAAAAGAGAAAGAAGAAAAAAGCAAAAATGAAAAGTTTTTGTCCAGAAGGCAACACACTTAAGAAAAATCACAGAAAGGGTGTGTTCACACAGTGTCATGTGCTTTTCTCTGTATAATCTCTGAGCGATATGGATACACTGTTGATTTTATCGATTAGAGGATCGATATCACTCTTGTTACAGTTATCTGATCAAGACCGAAAACAGAGGAAACAGGTAACAGAGCTCCGGGAAAAGCTAAGAAATCAGTCGATCAGCACCTGTACAGCAGAATAAACAAAGTTTAGACCTTGTGTCTCGTTCCCAACATAAAACCACTAATTTCTGCTTTTACAGCTCATGTTTTCACAGATTTGATAAATAATAATAAAAGGGTAATAACCGCGTTTCGTTGAGCAGAGACAGGTTCGCTGTTTCCTTCTGTTTTGGGTCTTTCTGCGATGCTAAGCTACGTAGCTGCTGTCTGTAGCTCCCATATTTAGTGTACAGCATTAATCCTGTGAGATGATTTCCAAAACTGATGCACATAAACTTTTCAATGTGCTCGAAAGTTTTTGAAATATTTGTCCAAGAACTAAAAAAAAAAATACTGAACTCTCAGAAACGGTCGCCAAAGCTTGTGCTGTTAACGGCTGATACGCCAGATTCACTCACCCGCAGTCTGTCATAGAAACGTAAAACTCACTGTGCCGAGAATTTCACTCTAATACTCGTGATGCGCCTCAGAGATCGACCGGAGCTCTCACTTTTAAGAGAAGAAGTCGGACCCTGCTTCAAGTCCACGTCCGCGCTTTGATAGAAAAATAAGAACACACACACACACTCACAAATTTGAGGCAAAGGCCGCAGAGTCGAAACGGACCGGCACAGAGGTCGTCTGAACCAACCGGGTCATGACGATCGATCGCCAAGTTTCCTTCATACTAAAAAACTAAACAAAAAGTACCGGTGAGGCTGCCGTGACGACCGTCGGGCCGCGGTCAGTCAGTACCAGTGGCACAGCAAGCATTGACGAAAAAAAGCGGTAAATGTAACAGAGAAGCCTCTTTGACAGAAACATAAAGAAAGTAAACAGGATAAGGCGGCGTCGGGGGGGAGGAGGAGGGAGGTGGCGGTCTCCACGGTGATGTGTTGTCGTCGCTGACATTGATCGTGTCGATCGTTTGGCACAAACTTTGTTTTGGCTGAAGTTTCTCGGGCCGACGGCGTGAACGTTTTCAAGAGTTGGCCCCTGATGTGGCGAGCAGAGTGCACTGATGATGACGATGATGACGATGATGATGAAGGTCTATTCTTCATTTTGATAGGTTCTTCTTTAGGTGCTCTACTTCCATCTGCCAAACAAAGACACGGCGTGGTTACCGAGACGTAGCTGCTGTGTGAGCTGCTGGTCTCTCGTCGTCCGCACTGACGCTGACTCACCTGTAAACTTAGTCGAATCTTCTTCTCCTCGTCTAACGCGTTCGACAATTGCTTCATCTCCTGCCTGCGACACACAAAGACACACAAAACCACGGCGTCAGAGTCACGGCCCTGATGATCCACCTGGACACACAAACGCCTCGGTCTGCGCCGTACCTGTGCTGACTCTTCAGCAGGTCTATGGAGGACCTCAAGTCTCTCAGCTGGTTCCTGAGTTCCTCCAGTGTTGGGGGGGTCAGAGGTGAGTGCCGGAGCTCAGGGGAGGGGGTCAGACCCGAGGAGGAAGACGGGGAGACGGGGCGATGGCTGGAGTTAGGCGGGTTCAGGACTGAGGGTTTGGTGGGCAGAGGAGCTTTACTGTCAGAGACCTGAGAGGAGAAACGGAAACAAAGAGACGGTGTCTGAAAAAAACAGTCAGAACAGAATCTAACAGGCTGTAAAATAAAGTTTCAGAGCTCCTATAACCCTGCTGAACCAGTCCTAAAACATTCATAACTGTGCTGTGCTGCCCTCTGCTGGACGACATGAGTACTGACCAGTGAAGACGGCCTTACAGAAAAGTTGGGGACTCCTTTCCTCAAGGAAACCTCAACAGGTCTGAGACTGACGGGCTCTGGCTCCTCCTTCCCTCTGTCCTTCTTGTCCTCCACGGCTGAGAAGTCCATGTCAACGCTGGACAGGGACGAC